GGTTGGCGACATCAAGACAGAGTACCATCCGCACTCCCGATGTCCGGCCTTCGTCCGACATGCCGACAGTCTCTGTCACAATACACCTATCACACAGTCTACATATCAGGCTGTGAAATCCCCACATCATCCTTTTGAGTCTCGTCTCGACTTTGAGTTCGCAGAGTTCACCGCTAAAACTGGGCTCAATGAAGGCGAGATCACAAGTCTACTCCGTCTGATATCTGGTATCACCGCCAATCCTGCCAACTTTCATATCAAATCGTGCAAGGACCTGAATAGTCTGTGGGAGATGAGCAATGCTGCTCATTCTACACAAGTAAGATTTATACCAATTATAAAGTATTGGATATATTTAAACTTCACTTCCACAGTTCACCTGCACCTCAATCAAAGTGGACTATGGGGACTCTATTCAGAGCTATCCATTCCATCATCTCGATCTGTGGGACTGGGCACTGGGGTTAATTCGAGATCCTATCCTTGCTGAGCATTTTGAATGGTATCCAAAGCGCCAGTACCGATGGAACGGGCAAAAATGGACTCGATTTGTGGATGAGCCTTTCACAGCCAATCGGTGCTGGGATATTCAAGTAAGTGTTAATCAGCTTTTTGTTTGAGCTGCAGTAACAATTCCAAATATATTAGACAGATCTCCCTGATGATGTCTTTATGGTCGCCTTTCACCTATATGCCGATAAAACACGCCTCTCAAGCTTTGGTGGCCAGAAAGGATACCCCATAGTTGCACGCCTTGCCAATCTGCCTGCTCACATCCGCAACAGTAGTGAGTATGGTGGTGGACAGGTTGTAGGCTTTTTGCCGATTGTGATTATTATATCTATCTCACATATGAATTGAGTGTACTAAATGTTTTTTATACCAGGTTGAAGATGAACTTGAAGAGGGCAAGGCCGGTTTTGTGGCATTGAAGAGAATTGTATGGCATGAGTCATTCAAGGTGCTTCTCGAGAAGATTTCCCATTATGCAAGACTGGGGCATCGAGCAGAATGTGGTGATGGAATCCCTCGCACACTTCTCCCATACATTCTTATTAAATCAGCTGACTATGAGGAGCAGTGAGTGCTTATCCTCTTATGTTTTTATTATCTCTCACCACATATAGATGTGTTATGTCCCTAATTCGGGGAATGAACTCTGCCTGTCCATGTCCAATCTGTCTTGTTCCTCGAGACAAGCAGTTTGTTCTTGCCTCTCAACCTCTATATCCTCGCCGGGATGTTCAAGCAGTCAAAACCTTGGTCAGAAGAAGAGATCTCACTGCAAGAGATAAAGAGGCTCTATGCAAGGCTATTGGGATTCGTGACTTGGAGGTGAGTCTTTTTGACACTATGCTTATTCAATATATTCACTAATATTGCCACAGAATGTTTTTTGGAGTATTCCTTACTCTGATCCCTATTCAACACTGTCATTCGACAGGCTGCATGCCTACCATGGAGGTCTTTTCAGTGACCACTTGCTCACAGAGTTCCAAAGTGTAGTTGGCACTCTGAGAAAAGAGCAGCAAGCTGAAGTCAATGATGCGTAAGTGGTGATATTAGAATTTTCTTATAAGATTCACTTCTTATAATTATTCAGATTCAGTGCTATGCCAAGATGGCGTGGCCTCAATCACTTTGATGAGGCTACCACTGTGAGCTTCACCGATGGGTCAAAATATGAGGACATGTCAAAGGTAGTACATTTAATGCATCAAATAATATTTGGCAGACAGACTGATTAACTGCAGGTCATTGTACCTGCCTCCTATGCCGCATTTCGCTCCAAGCATCTCCGCTTGTCCCGTGGATTTATTATTCTGAAGTGTATCAGACTATACAACATCCTGGACACCTATGCTGGCCTTGAATGTCACACTGAAGAGACCCTTCAAGATTTCAAGCTCACACTAGTACTGTTCTATGAAGCTATCCAGGTAAGATTTGTTTGATATGCAGGTTCCATTGCTTATACATATAATACAGGAATATATGCAGGTTTACCCAGGCAAGAACTGGAACTTCCCAAAAATGCACTCTCAACAACATGCTCCTGATGATATCTTGCAAAAGGGTGCCACTCTGCATTTCAACACAAAAACCTTCGAAACAATGCATGGCCCATTGAAGGATATTTATTTGACACGAACCAACTTCAAGAACTTTGAAGCACAGGTATAGTAGTGTTTAAATTTACCTGTTGATAATTGAGAGTTGAGACTGACTGTTTTGATATACAGATTGCAAAACATGAGCAGCGCTTGGCAACAGCACGACGTATACGTAGACATCTCGATGCTTTCTCTCCTAGCCAGCCAGAGCAACATCCCTCTGACTCCAAGGAGCCAACTTCACACTTTGGCCACACATATATTGGTGCTGCTCAGTCACCCATCTCGCTTCAAGCTCTTCTCGATGCAAACATGGAGAATCCACTCTACACTCAGTTCCTCAGCCAACTTCAAATATTCTTGCAGCAAAATCCAGGGTTACAAAATATTACAGTTGGCAGGGATACCCTAGTACAGTATATTCAATCCTTAGTACTGCACTCATTCTGATGTGAAGCTTTGTATTAGATCACAGAGCACCAGTTCCTCAAAATTGATTTCACCTCCAAAGTCACATGGAAAACCGAAACAGATTATTTACGATGCAATCCAGACTTCCACAATGCTCCTCGCTACGATTCATTCATCTATCAACCCTGGAACAATCTTTCTGCACCTGTGGAATTTGCTCACCTACAGCTTATTTTCACTATCATCTCAGGGGGCAAGTCACATCCAATTGTCTTTGCAGAAGCATTTGATCGACTAGAACAGCGGCCTGAGTATGACAAGCCACTCGGGCTCTGCCGTTTGCGATCACCAAGTCCACACAGATGCATTTTCCTTCCCCTCCAAGCTATGATCCGTGGAGCCATGATTACAAATGACCCGGGACAGGGACATGGTGGCGATGATTATTTAGCTATAGATATCGTGGATGGTGACATGTTTCTTCGCTTGAAAGAAGCAGTTCCCGAGTGGTACTCATAGATTCTTACCATGTACAGATAGGCGTATGTACACAATCAGCTGGATGTTCCATGCGCTTCTCCCTCATCTCGAGCAACGGCTGCACCACGCGTAACAGCGGCATCACAAGGTTGCTTTGTGCGCCCTCCGTCACTACCATGCTAACACCCGCCGCGCATCGCGGCCCCGTCCCACTCAACCAAGCGTACTGCCAGTCAACCCCAGAGCCTGGCGTGTGGGCAAACTGCCCTGGTGAGCGACATCGGCTTTGGGACTTGCCCAGTGCCGTGAGCGGCCCGCGAGCTTGACCATGTGCACCGCAGTGGACCACCGCAGCTCACCGTTCTCGGGGAAGTACAGGCCCTTCTCGGCGTGGCGCACGGCCGCAGGGCGGGCACAGACGGTGTTGAGCAGGCGCGGGTAGTAGAAGTCGGCGGTGCGTCAACGCGGATTCAGCACGGGAAAACGCGGTGGACGGCGCGGGATGCACTGCCGTTGTCGATGTGCACGACCGGCCGCACGCACCGGCGGGCGACTGTGGGCGATGGTGGTGCGCGCGAGGTGCGCGATAGCAGATGGGAACGCTTTCGCAACCCGCGCGCGGACGAGCGTGCGTGGTTCGTCATCCCGAAGACGATGCTCGACCATTATGTGCAGGCAGACGTGGCCGGCGATGTGGCCGGCGATGATAAGGCACCCACGCGTGAGCGTACGGCCTGCCTATTGCCGGGGAAGGTGCGCGAGGAATGCGAAGACCCTGTGTGAAGGCCTGTTCAAAAGTGTGTGCTGCAGCAACTTAAGAGGCAGGTCGACGGGAGAACTCACAGAGCATGAGGCAAATAGAAGAGCGTGCAGAGAACGAGAGGGAAGGGGAAGAACGTGGACAGGAGGCGGAGGCAGAGGCGGAGCTCCAGGTCAGGCGGGGGGCACTGGCTCGGGCAGTGAGCAGTCGTTCTGCAGCAGAAGAAACCAGAATCAGGGTGAGGAGCCGTGACTGTGTACATACCTGTCTCCCGGCCGGAACGATGAGCATGGAGTAATGGAAAGACTGAACACGGTGCCGCCGGGCCGCTCGTTGAACCTCGGCTGTCGATTGTGTCATGCCGCGCCGCGCTCAGAGACTTTCCCGCCGGACTCCTTCTCCTCCCTCGAGCGTGCCTTACGACTCGGACACCACCTCGTTCAAGTCAACACATCCATCGCCACCGACAGCGCCTGGATCAAGTGCGACATCGTTCCACTCGGGACGACATGACTCGGAGCTCATCGCGATGCAGTTTGCGTATGTCCGCGACCTCGCAGAGAACACCGCGAGCGAGGAGGTCAACTTCTCGGACTTCGTCACCACCATCTTGTCGTACTGCATCCAGTTGGAGTGCGACGCCGTCATCAACGCGATCGAGATGCCATTCCGGCTTCCCCACTCACCCTCGTCAACAATGGCATCGCCATCGCGGTCCACTACCCCAAAAACGCGGGCCTTCTCCAAGCTTTTCAGAGCTCCTCTGCCCCTCCAATCAAGCTCACATTCAATATCAACGTGGACGGAACCGTCGTGCTTCGCGCGGCCCACGATGGACTTCACACACGAAGTCACGCACTCTGACCGGCTCCTCGTCCAGGCTGCCGAGTCCTTCAATGTCACGGCGCTCGCCCGGTTCCCCATCACCCCTGACGATCTCTTCTGCTGCAGTAACCATGGGCCGGCCACCGGTGCTCGGGCTCGACGAGCACCTGTTCACCATCGCCGTCTCGGGCGCAGGGGAGGGCGTCCAGCCACACACGTATACCCTTGCGGGCCCCCGCGATGTGTTTCCCCACGCCGAGGTCCTCACTGCGCTTCGGGTGCGTCTCCGCTCCGCCCTGAGCGCGGGTTCCCCCTCCTTATAGGAATTATCGGCGCGCAGCGACGCTGGGTGAAATGGGTACTAGACACCACTGTCTACCTCCCCCCGGACGAGTTGCCCCACTCATATCAACAACACTACTACTACGAGGTCCTGCCTCCTGAGCACAGAAGGTCTCGAGTCGGAGCCATTCGAGCTCAAGACTGACGACATCGCCGAATCCCTCCCACGCTGTAATCGATGCGCTTCCCCCGCCTCGTGTCTCACGCTCGTCGACCTCCCACCCCGTCCCTCCATCCCCTCTCCTGCAGGAATTCTGCATCAACATCATCGGCAAAGACAACAAGACCATCGTTCATTGCAAGATCGCCGCCCGCGTCGTATGCGTCTTCACCGAGATCGACGTGCAGGCCACACAGCGCGCTGAGGCGCAAGCCCAGAAGCAGGACGACGACTCCAACCCTTCTCCTCCACGATAGTCCGCGAAACCTGCTCGTGTGTCGCACCGAAGGCTGCGCCCTTAAAACGTCACGCTGCGTTTCCAGGACGTCCTGGTCGAGCTTCGCGACACCGATGGCCGCTTCAACATCGACTTCCCCCGTGGATTCCTCCCTGCCTCGAGTGGCCCGCGCTCGTCGACGCCGCACGCGAGGTCCGTTGTTTGTCCTATGACCATAAAGGCACACCATCTGATTGTCTTTCCATTCCCGCGCTACCCTCACCACCGCCTGCAGCTCGGGGATACATCCCTTCCCGCAGAGCAATCGGAGATGGCGAACGACGCCTTCCTGAAGAAGACGCACCATCTCTTGCTTGAAGTGCGCCCGTTCCTCCCGTTGTCCTCTACGCTCGCGCTCACCACTACGTTCATTGAACGCAGATCCACGTCGAGGGGGGCCCGGTGTTGTGCGCAAACTGCAGCCATGTCTACCCGCTCTCAAACGGCCCCATCCTGAACATGGTGCGTGTTCGTCCTCCAGCTCATCCTCTCGCGCTCTTCCCCCCCCACCCGTCGCGCGAACTGCTTTCCTATTTCCGCCTCCTCCTCGTTCCGTTTCCATCCTCCCTTTTCTCCTTATCTTCTCGCGATCGAATGCCTGGCTCTCCCGCCTTTCACTCGCCCTCCACGATCGATATTTCGCCTCCATCCTATGTCCCGCATCCCTTGCTGACAGTGTCTCTCCTCGCACAGCCCCTCGCGGACGACGAGATCGGCTAGCCCGGCTGCGCCCCTGCTCACCCTTGCAAGCATGTACGGCAAGGCTATATGGGTGGCATGCCCAACCAGGCCGGCTGGTACGTTTTCTCGTCAACGCTGTCGATCGTCCGCTAATCGAACACGCGGCCTTCGACCCTCCGGTCGCATCCTCCAACATTGCCACCATTCATGCCAGCGCAGGTCGCTGTCGCCGCGGAAAAGGCCCATCAACGGCCGTCATCGGAACCCTCGAGCACCATGTCGGAACTTCAGAGCCAGCTCCAGGAACTCAGCACTCCTTGGCGCCGCGCAGCACGTCGAAAATGCTCGCACACTGGAGAACATGCTCACCAAGCACGGCGCCATCAAGCAGGAAGTCGGCTCGCTGAGGGCGGCGATGGAGGAGCACAACTTCTGGCTCACAAACGCCCGTCGACCGCACGATCAACCCGAAGATGACGATTTCGCATCGGACGATGAGGAGCTAGGGCCGAACTCGTCCTGGCGACCTGCCGCCGCCCTCCGCCAGACGCCCCCTCCCCCTCTCCTCCCTCGTCCGCCCCCGCTATCCCGGACGAGTCTATCGACCGCCTCAACGTGCTCCCCAAATAGCTCGAGCAGGCGCTCGAGCTCTCATCCCTTGAAGCCCGGCACGCTACCGCCGAATCCGCGATCTCCGTCCTCGGGTCCAAGGTCTCCTCGCGCAAGAACCTCGTCCTCGAGACGTAAGCACACGTCCAGTCTCAGGTCCAGGTTACCGAGCAGCTCGTGCAAGCGCCGTCTGAGTCCGCCCGCGTCGCACCGCAAGAGTCCACCGTCCCCGTCGCCGCGGTCAAAGAGGCGCAGACGGGAGCCCACTCCAGGCCTCGTGACCAAGAAGCGCGTCCGGTACCAAGGCCCCGCAGCTCAGGTTCGTTCTTCTACGCTGGCTCCGCCCACTGTCTTGCGTTACTGACCCGTCCCCTCAGCTCCACGAGTGGTTCCTCCGCTACACCCACGACTGGATCCTCAACGACAGCCAAGATGGCGTGTTCGAGTTCTCCTTCACCTGCCCTGTCGCGTTCTTTGGCGTCGCTCCCGCGGTTCCTCAAGCGTCCGTCCTACACAGCGTTCGTCCGCCGGTTCGTCCCCACTGCAAGTCCTTCCCGCACTATGGTCCTTCGCTCGCGTACGTCAAAGCGAAGGACGTGGTCGTGGACGTCAAAGCGTGCAAGAAGCGCCAACTTCACCGCGGCCGGCAGCGCAAGGCTCGCACGCTTGGGGCTCAGAAGCCGGACCGCGCGCAGGCCATTCTATGCGATGCGACCGAGGAGGAGACCGTGGACCACATGGCGGTTGCCGACGAGGACGTGACGATGTCGCCTGCGACCGACGTGCGTCCCTTTTGTTTCGTCGCGAATCCAGCCACTGACATTGTCCTGTAGCTGCAACTCGAGGACGCACGGGACATGCTGTCATCCCTGACGCTCACGGAGGCAGACGATGTTCCCATGGCGTACGAGGAGAACCCAGCAGCAGGTGTCGAGCCTCTCAAGGCGGCGGCCGCGGTGCGTCTTCTCTTGCTCTTGTTGCTCCCTGGCGTTGCTCATACGCTGTGCTATCCCAGACCGTGCCTGTCCATAAGGCTTGCTCTTAAGTCCAAGCTGTGCCTCAGCCTGTGGCCTTCACGCGTCCTTCCCCTGCCACCATCACTGCTGCGAAGCCCGTCATCGTTCCCGATGAGCCCAAGACCGCCGAGGAGCCCAAGGCCGTCGTCGTCGTGGAGGGACCCAAGACCACCACTCCCGTTGTCCAGAAGCCCAAGGTCGTCTTCGTCGTCCTCATCGTCGACAAGCCCAAGGCCGATGCTGTTGAGGAGACCAAAGCGAGCATTGTTCCTGATGAGCCGCTAGCCGTCACCGCCGAGCCTCGGGGTGACGTCGTCGCTGAAGATCTCAATGCCACTCCACTGCTGTGACGAAGGTCGGGAACAGTCTCATGTCACTGAATTCCTCTCAGGCGCACACAGAACGGCGACGCGATTTTGCAAAGCTCCATTCTAACAGCCTCGGCGATGTCGTCAACCTCCCAGCCCTCGCTCCAGGCTCTCTGCCGAGCCCACTCGTTCCCAGAACTGCCAGAACTGGAGGGCACGCGCTGTGTCGCAAGGACGGACCTCAGTTCCCCGTCAATCTCGCCCTCACCTGCCGACGACAGTGTGACCAATCGGGGCGTGATGACTCGAAACGTCCACCACTCCGGCTTCTTCGCAGTGGCGTGCAAGGCGGAAATTAGAACCCTCATGGGTTTGTTGAGGTGAGTGACATGTTTTTAACGTCACCAAATACAGCGATAATGTCATCCCCCGCAGCACTTGGTGGCACACGCATCACACGAGGCAAGAGGCTCCGCATTAGACGCGTCCAGACCGCCGCATCGCAGAACGAGAAGACGACTGGGAGATTCCGCTTGCGTACACGGTCAGTGTGACCTCGCACATGAACTTTGCCCACAGACATCTGACAAGGTATAAAGCTTTGCACAACTTCCCTCTCTTCTCCCCACCGGGCTCCGATTCTCGCATCGCACATCGGTATGCACACCGCGTTTGCTGCCATTTCCACTCCCATTTGTATCCTTACTCATCCTTGACTGTCACAGACATGTCTTCGCCACATGACAGCGCCGATGAAGACGACGACGGCTGGTCCTTATTGGGCTCACGGCCGGATACGACTGCCGGACTCGCCGAATATCGCAATGTAAGTGCAGTGGCGAGACTACGATATCCGAGCTGACAAGCTTGTACTATCAGGCATACCATGACCTTGAGCTGAAGTACTCTTCGCTCTTGACTGATAACCGACAACTCCAAGAGCAGGTCAAAGTGCTCAAAGAGATGCTTCCGGCTTCGAAGCGCAAGAACCTACCAACCTCGACCTATGAAGCGTCATTGTCGGAATCCCTGTCACGCTCGGCCCAACTCTACATGTTTCGTACCTGCTTCTGGGTACCTGCATCGCTCTTCACGCAGAGTACCCGGCCTGCTGGAGTCGATCCGGGAAACTACGGTTGGAGGTGGCCCAACGGCGCGACGATCGGCGATATCATCAAGTCGGACTCTGCCAGTGCACCCGATCCACGGGTATCCGACGCCGCCAATCGCAACGCTCTTGTTTCCCAGTCACGCCGTAACGATGCCCGTCTCGCTGAGCTTATCGATGACCTGCCGAGAGATCTCCGAGAGATCTTCGACAAAACTTGGATGCGCTCTGTAGTGAGTGCGTAGGATTTTTATGTGTCAGCTGTCTAATATTTCCTTCCCAGTTCGCCGACAGGGTTCAGAAGACGAAAAACAACTGCCTCAACAACTGCAAGGCGGCACGTAGCGCCATCTTCTCGCACATGGCAGATCTCCAGGATGTGCCGTGGTCGGGCTCGACTAACGATATGAAGGACCACGATCATCTCTCATTCCTTCGAGGCGATAATCAAGACTCGAGAAACCACTACTATCCTTTCTTGTTCCCCGGTATTGAGCACGAAAAGCTCGAGGTGAAGTTGTTTCGCACAGCTTGCATCGCAAAGGTCAGTCGGTCTTTGATTCTGCTTGTGTTCTGACTAATAAATACGCATTCAGACTCTTCGTGTGCTTCTGTACGGAGCCACTGGTGCGAACGAGGGTCACAAGCCTACCAACAAGAGTCTCGCGAAGAAGCTCGAAATTGCTACTGTCACGCCAGGCATGATTGCGATGGCGGCCACAGTGGTGAGTCCTCTGCATAGGATTTCGTTATATTTTCCCCCTGGTCTGCCGCCTTTACGTCCGCGAGCGCATTCTCGAGCTTCCCGTGGTGCAGAGACGATGCACAGCGTCTTGCCGCGTCCGTCGCGTGCGGCGTTCTGCAAGCCTGAGAAGTTGGCTCACGTTCCTGTCAGTACTGCGCTCATGATCGACGTTACGCACGAGCTCGTTGCACCCTGAAGCGCACCCTTCGCCGTGCTGCCTACTCTCCTCAGGCTTCATGGACTGTATCGACGTGCTTGAGGCACTCGCGTCCCATGGGCTGACCTGTAGTAGCGCAGACGCAGAACGAGAGGCTGCGCGCAATCGTGCCGGGCCACGGTGTGCTTGCTGCTCATGCGCCTGCACGTCGGGGGCCTGCGCGCGACCATCCCAGGAAACACAACTGTTTTCAATACGCTCGCGTTGACACTCGAGTAACATGCGGTGCTCGAGGTGCCACCGTGCGCATGCGGAGAACATCCTGCGAATCGCAGCGAGGCTGGCGGTGCACGCGTGCAACCGTCGACCACACGTTGGTGCACATGCGATGGAGTTTGAGTTGTTGCCACTATGTGATTTACTGACTGGTGTGTGTTTGTAGACGCGTTTCCTTCTCTCCTACGACACCGAGTTCAATCCTGTCGGGCCGAACACGAGCTGGTCCTACGAAGGGGACTACGAAACCTGGTACCGGTTCCTGACTGTCAATTGGGAGACAAACAATTTGCAAGCCACACGTTCTTACTTCGACCAGCACGTCTTCGGTGTCGTCGGTGGTGAGACAATCCCCATGGACATCGGTGACGACGTCACTCTGGATGTGCAGTACATGCAGCCTGGCAACCTCGACGACTTTGCATACGACGACGACGACGACGACTTCTCATCTCACCGGCATGCCAGAGCGCAGAGGCTTACCCACTCGTCAAGCACCGGTAGCCAGCCTCAGCCGACCTCCAACACCGGTCCGGACTTGAATCCCTCCACGGTATCCACGATCAGCTCCGATATATCTTCCTCCACTGCACCTTCTCAGTTTCCACATACCATTCCTCTCACTCCCCCTGCAAGTTCGTTGGCGTCCGTGTCTAGCCCCCTCCCCTCCAACACCACAACAACCCCTACTCTCGTCGCCACTACCCCGACTGGCGCCGGTGCCGCTCTAACGGGCGTTTCTGATGCCGTTGTGTCCACGTTGCATTCCGCTCTCCTGCCAACTTCTCCTGATCCAGTTGAGAACGACCTCGTACCCGCCATGGCATCGTCCATGTCCATCTCTGCAGCAGAGGAGGCCGCCCCGCAGACGCGCAACACTTCCCGGACCACTCGTGCGGGCGCCTCGAGGAGAAGCAGCCGCGCTGCTGAATCGGAGGCTGAGGCTCCCGTGCAGAGCGGCCGCCGGTCCACACGCAAGCGTGGAGGTGTGGTGTAGGAGTTGATGACTGGATTTTGCCGCGAAATTGGTACTTCTCGTGCGCCCTGGGACCCCGGACCATGCAGGCACTGACCATGGTCCGCATGTTTGTCGCACTTGCATCTTGACTGTCCCGCATCCACATTACCTTTGCCTGTATACACCCAATGCATGAATCAGTGCTCTCTGCATGTAAGGCATGCCATCGTTAACCAATACACTCGGGTACCAGAAATATTTCGTCAAGCAGTAAGTGCTTAATGAGGCCCCAGGGGATGGTGATATATTCAGGTTGGCATAGAACATACAAATGCCCGTTTGGAGTAACGGTTTTCTTGACAGCCACGCTGGTACGCTTCAGTGACTGCACGCGTTCGAGACCGTCAATGGGAGCTTTTCTGATGTATGCAAATGTAGACCGATTAGAGTAGTGATAGTACGTGAGTTTAGTAGAACTAGAGTAGTGTCCATTAGATGATCATTCAATGAGGCTTTAATAGACATATAGAACCATATATCACCGAGTGTAATGAAGTAACAACGAGCAAGTACTAGTAAGTAACAATGAGTAAGTACTAGTAAGTAACAACGGGCAAGTAATAGTAAGTATCAATGAGTAAATACGAGTGACCAACACAGATCGATATCGAAGTAGGCCTAACAAATGTACAGAGCACAAGCTCTTGACGTTTTGCCGTTACATTTCAATCTCCGACTGAATCTTGGAAGCATGTTCCAATCTCCGCTTCGCATCTTGCATTTTGAGCCGGTTGAATTGCCATCTCCGCTTCTCGCGTGGCGATGTCACCGGACCGGCTTGCAATGCCAGCGCCGCATGGGAATGTGATCCCAACGGCGTCTGGCAAAATTGCGATGGCGTGGCATGAGAAACTAGTCGGCTGGCAATGACATATCAAGCCGGCGTCATCTGGCGACTATTGCAATGCCGTTGCCAGCGCTGGCAATGCCCAATCGGTTTTTCCGACATACTTCAGCCAGGTAAGCCGGCTGACCGGATCCCAAAATACCCCGAAGGTACCGTCCGGCCGGGCCCGATCAGGTCCGGCCAGGTACCCCGTCGGAGTCGCCCGATCAGGTCGCCCCGGGTAGTGCGGAGGAGTCGCCCGATCAGACCGGGATGCTGGTGGGGAATAACATCGAGGGGGCTTCAGCAATGACCTGTACGTAGCATAGCGACACAATATATAAAGGTGCCAGCGCGTAAAGCAAACGGGGGACGAGCGCGTTGAGCGTAGGGGGGTTTCTATGTGTTTGTGTTCCGGCCAGGTCGTGCGGGGGACTCAGGCAGCCGGATCCGGCTGAAATCAACCGCCGGGCTCTGGGCAACCCACTGCAGCGCGCGATGCCTGCACATGGCACCCACATGTTCAGGATGCCGCCCCATGCCCATTTCAGAGGCGCACGGCGGCGTTGTGGCCCTTCGAAAGGGCTCGCGCGGGGGCCGGGTCGTGCGGGGGACTCAGGCAGCCGGATCCGGCTAAAATCAACCGCCGGGCTCTGGGCAACCCACTGCAGCGCGTGATGCTTGCACATGGCATCCGCGTACTGAGATAGCTATGGCGTGCGTGTTTAAAACACGTGCAGCGCCGTTTTGGCTCATTTAGTATGCACTCACAGCGGCCGGGTGGCGGCGGTGGAGGAGGAGGAGGAGGAGGAGGTTGCGGGTGCCGGGTAGCCTGAAGGCGCCCTGAACCCCAATGTCGCTCAAATTAACCACTGAAGCACTATTGTTTGTAAGTAGCCCGTGCCGCTTCAAACGCCCCCTTCATCCTGGCCTCCAGCTCTTCCCAGCGCGCCTTCTCAGCCAGAGCATAGATGTGGCGCCCCGTTGCTGCTTCCTCCTGGGCAGCCAGTTCCTTCCACTCCTGCGCCTTCGACGAAAAGGACCGGACAACACACTCCATCTCAAATTGAACCAAAACCAACTCCTCAGTCCATCTGCGTTTCCGGGCATAGCCTCGGAGCCACATGGAGCGACGGACTGCAAAATGTTGTAAGGTTGAGAACATGACCTTCATATATCAAAGAACCCACGTCGGTGCTCCCATTCACCGGGGTTCTCGGCGTCATCAGAGAAGGTCCATATCCACGAGGCATGCCAGTTGCGAAGCCCACGTGTGAATGGCTCGGCAATTGCGGTATTCACCCCCAGGTCTTCTTTCTTGACGGGTTTGTAAAGACGTTTTTTTCTCTCTTGCTCCTCTTTTGATAGGGCGAATGAGACCTTGAAGAAGGCGTCCCGGGATTGCATGTAGTTGCGAGTGTGCTTGGCCACGTTTCGCTCCGCCGCGTTGACATCGTCAAAAGAACGGAGCCGTGCGCGAGTGGAGGACGCGTTGCGGACCTTGGCGAAATAAAGGTATGACTTGTAACCGATTCCGACTCGAATAGCATGCAGGGAGTCGTTCATTTCAGCCATTCGAAGATCCGCTTCCTTTTTCGCAAGATTTTTGAGGCGGTTTTTCAAAAGGTAGTCGGCCCCAAACGTCGATGGAAGGAAGAGGGGAATCTTCTCAGGTCGTCCCTCCCCTTCAACCCCAGGAAGCTGAGGGGCCAGATCTTCTTCAAAGAGGGCGGTCCACTCACTCCCGTCATATATTGTGGCCCAGTCCTTCAGAAACAGTGACCCCGGAATGAACCTGGCGGCAGCAGCGTTGAACTCCCTGATGCCTCGCTCGAGCTTTTGCCTCTGGGTTGCAAGAGCAAGCTCTGCCTTGCCGGACGCATCAGCAGGCTTGATTCTCGCGGCGTGAGCCACTGAAAGCCTGCGGTTAGGCGATGAGTCTGGTGAGGGCAATCAAATGGATAAACCGACAAGGAACGTGACCGCAACAGCGACGGCGACGGCGTACGCGACAGCGACGGCGCACGCGACAGCGACGGCGCACGCGACAGCGACGGCGCACGCGACAGCGACGGCGCACGCGACAGCGACGGCGCACGCGACAGCGACGGCGACGGCGACGGCGCACGCGACGCGACGGCGACGGCGACGGCGACGGCGACGGCGCACGCGACAGCGACGGCGACGGCGCACGCGACAGCGACGGCGACGGCGACGGCGCACGCGACAGCGACGGCGACGGCGACGGCGCACGCGACAGCGACGGCGACGGCGACGGCGACGGCGCACAAGAGGGATTTCTTGAGGAAAAAAACACTCACTGCTCCTGCTGCAAATCAAGCCCCCTCCGAATCCATTCGGCTTCGCCCGAGGTGCCCGTGGCCACGCGTTCCTGGTCCATGATTCCCTTCTGAACCTCGGCTCGTGTGGGGACTGAGTCGGCACCATGAGACAAATACAACCCCCTGCCTCGAGAAGGGGACTCACGATCCTTGACGTCCATGACATATATCTTCATGACATTCGGATCCAATGTCCGGCCCTCATCTGCGAGTCGGGCTTCTTCCTTCCATTTCTCCACGTCTGCGGGGTCACTATTCTTGGTTATCGCATCAAAAGCTTCAATGGCGGGACCAATCTCTTCACTGGCCCGCTTCAGCCTTGCAGTGAGTGACACATCTGGGCTGTTTTAGTGTGGTCATTAAGGGCGAAATAAAAGGGACACACCCATTCTGATAAGCTTGAGCCAATTTGAGTATTGCATGTGGTCGTCGATCACCTCGCGTCGATGAGAGGAACCCATTCCCCGAATGCTGTCGTTAATCTTATTAAGCTGAGCCCATAGTGTCTCCAGAACCTCGCCATCTTGCATGCCGGCGCCAGTCACAAAGTTGGGGGAAAACCTGGAGAAGCACTGCGCCCGATGCCCGTGGATGTGGAACTGGCCAATTCCGAACAGAAGCAACAGGCCAGAGGGAAGGGGCATGTAGCTCTGTCTCCTGGCAAAACGCTTGCGAAGGTTGATGTAATATTGGCAGGCGACGTCGTATATCACCAGAAATAAGAGGAGTCCAGGGAATGACTTGAGAGCGTGCCAGAAAGCGTAATCCATGTGCGCATGGCTGAAACCAACATTTTTGTCAGCTTGATGTCAGTGGCCACCTGACATGGAACTTACGACTCTCCGCGCTGGAATTCGACAGAGGTATGCGGAAGGAACACACCGTGACGGGAACATGCTGCCGCCCCTATTCCGGTGCTCTCGAGATTGGCCTTCTTCACGTTCGCGCCGAGCACTGCACGGTGGGCATTGCACGTTGAGGGTTCGCTCTACGAACGAATGTGAGTGTTATTCAATGATTTCATGTGAACTCGGGGTGGACCTGTGGCTTAAACTTCCTCTCTTTTTCGAGGTGCTCTTGAAACGGTCCGTCCGCAACCGAAAACATTTCCCCATCAGCAAAGGGCAAACTGTTTTCTGGGTTAGTCAAGAGCCGGCCTTGAACGGTGAAATCCCCATCTAGGACGAAAGAAGGCATGTATTTATACCTGGCGAATTTTTTAATTAGCAAGCAGTGCCATGGAAGGAACGACCACCCATGGCTCATCACTCACGGATGTGTCTTGTCACGTTCCCAACCATCTGGCAAATTCACGCCTGGTCGTGGACAGGCCGGGCACTTGATTGCCATATCTCCTGGTCCGGCAGGCTCTTTGCGATGAGCAAATCCAGACCGTAGAATGTGTTGAAGATTGCGCCATTGGCGAGAAGTGCGCAGAAGCGCCTTGTATGCCATCTGAGGGTGGTTATGACAGTTAGGCTGGGTTTATCGATGCAGCCGCATATGAAGGGCTCTCACAGGCACCCAATGTGGCGCGTTCTCATTGGTCATGTGGCAGAGTTTTGAGTGGAAGCTGAACGGCGAGGTTTTGCAAACTCGATTCTCGGTGAGGAAGCCATCGAGGCATTGAAACGTGAAGGCGGAGCGTGGGCGGTTCTGAGAGCCGGGATAGTATCCCATCTCCAGAAGCTGTATGTCTTCGGTCTTATGGCCTGTGCATTTGCAGAATGATACAGACAGCCGATGGAAGCCGTTGGTGTGAGCAATAGTGAGGGTGCGGGAGTTGTTGTACTCGGCGAAGGGGAACGTGGGGACTGAGAGAGCGTCAAAGGCGTACGTGGTGAACAGGCTGCCCTCTCGCAGTTTCGTTGTCCCTGCATCTGCAGTGGCCCCATCCTCAGTCTCTTCGAGTTGATCCTCAAAGACGAAAGCGGGCACGGCAACATCCGGTTCCTCAGGCCCTTCTTGTCCTTCGTCTTGTAAGTTCTGAACCGGGTCTGTCGCGGGAAGATGCTTCACGAGCTTCGGGCAGGGGACACCGCCATGACCGCAGTGAAGTTGAACCCCTAGATCTTGAATCCACGCAGGGCGAAAACAAGTTCCGGTCCAGACTTCAACGCGATGGAAGAGATGGTCATTGTGCTTCTTACGGCAGCATGCGGTGCAGAAGGTCGGGCGGGAGTCGCAATCGAGGCAGCGCCATTGAAGGGCATGGCCGCATTTTGCTTTCCCGTCGACAGGGACGCCGTGGCCGCTCAACAAGACGTCCAGATATGTGTCGCGAATGCTCAAAAAATCTCGTTGGTAGTCAGTGGCCTATGGGATCCCATTTCACAGTAAGTAATGATCCGATTTGTCAAATACACTTGCATACTGAGCGGCCAGTGCCAGGCATTTTTGGCGGTGTGTGATCGACGGCATCGATGTTTCCAATATCAATCCCGTCCCCTAGCGGCGCTGAAGACGAATGTCTGTCAGGTGATTTGGCGGAAACCGATCGAAGGGTGTCCGTTCTTGGTGTCCGATTCAGACCCGGTCTGGTTTTGATGGCTGAGCGTTTGGTTCGCAAGGTGTAGCCTGAGTGTACTGCCTGGGACTTTTCGACCTTCAGAGTGAGCGTTGATCTGGTTTTGCGAGCGGGTTTGATATAGGAACGACCCATTGTGAAATGAGGAGGGGATGAGGAGGATATGGATGGCAAAGAGTTGAAAACTCTGGGCACTTACACGGCGGAAGGCGCATTCATCAGCACAAGGCGCGCGGCGCGCCTGATAGTTAATCCGTGATATGTCTGAAAACATCAGTTCTCCTTCATCAACAGAAACAAACACCGCGCACGTGTGATGGCTGGTCTCGCCCTGTGTGCAGCATACTCAGTGTGATTCTCGACCAAGTTTCCTGCCTCCACTCCAGCTTATATGACCATGCGTACCCGTGTTTCCTCCCCCGCTGTCTCAGCCGATCCAAAAGCGCCTTCTGCTTCGGAGGCATCTGAAGACGTGATGTGGGAATCCAAATTTGCATTGAGCAAGGATGAGAAGACCCTCGTGCTCAAGGATCTCCCGCGTTGGCAAGCGAACTCAAACACAAGGTCTGCAATCACATCTGAGCTTGCAAAGAAGATCGCAGAGGGAAGATCAGAGCATCTGAGCGGAACTTTGGCCGCTTTACTTGTGGATGTGCGTGATTTTTTAATCACCGTGATTACTTCACTGAGAACCATCCGTAGAAAATAAGCCAGTTCCTCCACAATTCCAGCCGCACCACTCAACAGGAGAAGAATCCGTTTTATTCCTCTCGCCCATTCGATGGCCTCCGGGTCTTTGGATATGAGGAGGATGAGCGAATCCACACGTCGGCACTGGACGATCAGGAGTTCAAAGAGAGCGGTCTCTGGATCGCTGCTTGGACTCGTGCTCGCAAGAAGCTATGGGAGGAGCTGGAACAGGAGGAGAAGGATGAGTTTGAGAATATGGCAGAAGACTGGACGCGTGATGGCCCACCGGAGGATGTGAAAAGAAAGTGCGCCCCTGTCCGTTCATCACTTCTTTCCGTCCTCATTTGTGACTGTCTCGCGTTAGATTGTTGAAGAAGCACGCCCTCCGATACTTCAGAGCCATGACTCTCGGATTTTTTCGTAGTTTTGACACGGCGATACATATCACCGGCTTGTTCAAGGATTCGAATGGCGAGCACATGACCTTCTTGTGCGATTATTCCCTTCTGTATTCTTCCAAAATTAATATCCAACACAAGTTACGACACTTCTGATCTTCTCCGAGAACAACGCAAAGACAAAGTCCCTCTTTTCCGTGACGACGACGAATGGCACGTTGGCTTCCTGGATTCTTTCAATGCATACTTCGGAGCCATCATTGACCCTGACAGCATATCGGAGGAAGGCAGACGAGCTGAGGCCGACCTTCGCCATGTCACCCATCTCCGCGAGCCTGAATTCGAATTTTATGAAGATGGCACGCCAATCATACGTGACAGAGAGAATGACGGCGAGGAGTACACCTACCTCCAGCGGCAGAGGGTCATCGCTGAATATCTGCGAACGCATCTCAGTTAGCCCCATCATTGATCTAGTTGAATCGCTTTCGATATTGATCATGATCTAGGCTGGGCATCTGGAACTGGAAAATGGACACGGAACGGCAGCTGGTCAACAATAATCAGCCATCAAGATAAGTTCTTCGACCCTACTTGGGTGCCCGAAGGTTTTGTATTCAAGGCGCCAAGCAAGCTCGGTGTTGAGGAAGCCAAGGCCTTCATTAATCATATCATGGCCAACGAGACACCAGACTCCGAAGAGGATCCCAACCCTCGTCGCTTCCGCTTGCTCGCAGCGGTGGATCAAGGCCGGAACAAGTGGAGACCTGCTGATTACGTGCGCCCTGAGGGGAAGGACCCGGGAGCCAAGAAGTTGAAGGTCAGAACTATCGCGGAGCGACAAACAGATGCCGAAATGCAGGGCGAAAAGAGCACAGATCTGAAGCATCTCAGCCCTGCTGATATTCGTGACCGACAACGGGTGGTGGCGGAGGCGCGAGGCCAGGCTGATCACTCACGCAAGGGGCGCGCAAAACAGAAGACCCCCGTCGATGTCGAAAGCGAATCGAGCGTTTCTGGGGGTGAGGCTGACAAGAAGCCTAGGCACTCGGGTCGGAAATCTTCCAGGAAACAGAAGTCAAAGTCGACTGCGAAGGCACCGAGTGAAACTATTGGCAGATCAACAGACGGAGCTTCTGGCAAGAAGAAGTCATCTACGCGCCGTCGTCAGCGGTCTCCTCTTGATGACAGTGAGGAGGAGGCCGTCTTCAGTGAGGAGGAAGACAACCCCGATGCCGAAGAGACTGAGAAGCTCCTCGACGCACTCGACCTGTATGACGACTTTCAAAACGACCACAATGGGCCTCCAGACGACGGCTTCGACATCCCCAATGACCTCTTTGACGCCCCTCCCAATCCAAATCGCGTCAACCACCCTACGGAGGCAGTCTACACCTCTCACGCTTCCGGAAGACGGTCCCCACCGCCCATATTAACATCTGACACTGTCGTTACCAAACTTGCGGTCCCGAAATCCTCTGGCACAACACCTGCACCAGCAGAGGCAGATCCAGAGGCAGGGGTGGCATATTTTACGTCCCTTTGCCCGAATCAAGCAAGCTGGACAGACTTGGTGTTCCACATGTCCAGCAAGGCAGGTTGTCATTTCAACGTCACCAGAGCAGTTGGCTGATTTTAACTGGATAGCTTGACGAATTGCGCCATGTCCCCTCGGATCCACGGTTTTCTTGGGCCACTTGGTCCAACGATACAGGTGGACTGGACGATGTAATTCACCAGGATCCGGTCACCTCACTCCGCCCCATTCGGTTGTATCTCGACGGCGAATCACTGTCAGATCCTCGTGCTGTCCATGCACAGCGGTGGTTCCTTGTTATGGGGCTACTTCTCCACAACATTTCCCGGGCGATTGAGCACGAGCCCAACTCCGACGACGGCAGCGCACTGGCAACCAGTGCCCTCACGCACAGGGACTTAGATGACCTGCTCGCCATATGTCGATCAAAGCGCCCCAACATTAGAGGTCAGGCAGGTTTTTGTTTCAACGAGACTTTCACGGTTGCTGACGTCGGCTCCGCACCAGATGGCCACGGCTCTGCGGAAGGTCCAGCAGCCGGTGAGGACATCGCAGGCAACGAAAAGGAAACCATCGGGGGACCGGAAGAAGCAGGGCTGCCCCAACCGTCAGATGAGTTGATTCACGCAGCGGAGAACGCGGCTGAGAGTGGAAGGGGCCGCAGTCGTGGTGCCTCTCGCCCAAAGCCGAGGGGGAAAAAGCAGGCCGTGCAAACGGCCCCCGTGAGAAGGCAACCGGTGAGGCAAAAGAAGAAAACAGCGACAGAATGACGGCCCAATTCGGTGTTTTAATGTATTTGCCAATGTGGGGGTTTGAACAAATGCAACGGCGATGTTAAAAGCGAAAGCGACGGCGACGGCGACGGCGAACGCGACGGCGACAGTGCACGCGACAGCGACGGCGCACGCGACAGCGACGGCGACGGCGCACGCGACAGCGACGGCGACGGCGACGGCGACGGGACAAAAAAAGTCAACACCTGCTTGCCCTGGTTAAAATTACAACCCGGACGCAACAACGAAGTCATCTACCCGAAGGGGAAAATATTCCTTGCCAGCTTGGTCAATGCCCCATGCTTTCAACACTCCCCTCTGACAGAAAAGCGCGATGCAAACCCGATCACCGGAGACCTCGGGAACGCCATGTGAGAGGTGCTTGGCCAGGAAAACTTGCGCGTTGCCGCTGTTGTATGGCGCCGCGAAACCGAGAGACTGATAGCCCATGTATGCCCCCCTTCCATAGTCACCAACAGTGGCGACCATGTCGTAGAAGAGACTGCCATCCCCCGTGTCACGATGGAATATCGTCTCCCGATTGGAAATGAGGTGGCATGCCTGTGTGGGGAAACACCAGAGGCCCGCGGTCTCGGGTTCGCGTCTGGCAAGTTCATCTAGCTCGGCGCGTAGTGCGCGATGCTGAGCCGGGCAGGTGACGCGCATGATCCCATCGAAAACAGCACCAGCGCGTGCCATGCTTTGAAGCCATGCGGACGTGCCATTCTCTGAGTAGGACTTCGTTTCGGCAATGTTTTTTCGAAGCTGCTGCAGACCGAAAGGAATGAACGCAAGCAAGGATGTTTTTTTGGTAGGCGCATACCGAAGTGCCTTGGGGTATGGCAGCAGGGGACAAGAACTGCTGCCCGGCGTGAGATTTGATGCCCGGATTGGAATTCTTTGCATCGAGGTTGAACAGCTTTGGGCCACAGCGCCAGACTGATTCATCGGTCGAAATGTGGAGGCCGCCGGCTTCACCGTAGGCCGAGCGTGCCTGGATTATGTCCTCCTGCTTTTCGTTAAACCAAGTTGGACGGCAGCTGACGCAGCACTGACCTGAATGTCATCAGAAAGTATCCCTGGCAGAGACCACACCAGGATAAAATCTTCGGAATCAGTAATCACAAAGGGTTTGTCCTCCACGATGGGCAGCGACCCGTCAGGTATTTTCGGCTCGATCGGTGGAAATATCTCTGCGAGATCTTCCTCCCGTCTCTCATCGTTCAAGGCACGGCCTTTTCCAGGCACATGTTCGTATTTCTCCAACGGCCAGGCTGTCTGGTCTATGTGAATATCAGTAACATTCTCTCCGGCCTGGAATGCGACCTTACAGCGGCGACCCAACGCAGCCGCTAAAACAGACCCGGCTCGCCAAGCTGCAGCCTTGTCCCTCCCTGGAATACTTGAAGCTACTGGCATCATCGGCAGGGAAGAGCGCCCTTCCCCGTGTGTCTTCAAATTTTGTTCGAAGCTGAATACCACTGCGTCACTGATGCTTTGAAATCGGGCGCGATCCATGATGAATGAGGGGGTGGTGAATGAGGGGGAATCGTCGACCATTAGATGCCTTCTTTTGACGCCCTTTCATGGGGTTCTGACGATCCATATCGGGCCGATACTTGGAGAGGTGATTGAATGGGGTATCACTTTTCAGAATCGTTCACGAAAAAGTCGGCGGCATGGCATGGGGCTATATTATGATGATCGGGGGCTCATATTACAACAAAAATGTGCGCGAAAATCAGACTCGATTCAGCCGGCTAGGGCGTCGGGTAGGGCGGCCAGAACGCGTGAATGCGATATGCGGAACTGCGGCGACTGGGTGCGACGTGGGGGCGGGGGGTTGCGGCGTCGACTCGGGGGAAGTTGGCGGCGGCGACGCGGGGGGGTCGATCTCGCTCTCGCCCTCGCTCGAGTCGCCTGACGCATGCCGGTTAAGCCCCAACTGCGCCGAGCGGGAGCTGCCCGTCAGGCTGCTGAGGCTGCTGCGGCTGCACAGGTCTGTATGTGCCGGCCCTTCAGCCAATGGGGGCGCTGGACTAATCGCGCGGCCGGTGTTGCTGGCCCAGCTGCCTGTGTCGCCGTCGCCGTCGCCGTCGCCGTCGCTGTCGCTGTTGCCCCCGTCTTCGCCGTCGCCGTCGCCCCCGTCTTCCTGGCCGCCGCCGTCGTCTTCGTCGCTGTCTTCGTCGCCGTCTTCGTCGCCGTCTTCGTCGCCGTCTTCGTCGCCGTCTTCATCTTCGCCCTCGCTGTCACGCCGACTCTTGCCCACGCCCCGAGCCATCCGACTCTTCCCGCCTTGGGAACTGTGGCCTGCCGCCCCTCCCTCCTCCACAGCTCTATGGATCCCATCGTGGGAGGCCGGGCGCCGCCCATGGATCCCCATCTCGAAGGTGAATTCAGACAGGGCAGGGCCTGCCGTTTTCGATGCAACAGGCAGGCGAACAAGAGGTTGGTTGGCCGTGGTTCCTACGTTCCCTGGGCGGCGGTCTCCTCCAGAGCCCGATGCACTCGGCCCGGCGGCTTCAGTCGAGCCCATTGGCGAGCCAGAGGAGGTCAAGTTGGACTCCAAGGCTTCGATGCGCAACCGCAGATTGTTGAAGAAAAACGCCAAAGTGGCAGTCTTAGCCTGCCCATCTCCAATATGCTGCGAGACGTCCCTGTATGCCTGTCGCCAAGGCAGCCCGACCTGAGCGAGCCCGGGGTCGACCTCATGCAGCCGTTGGCGTGCTTCCTCCGTTTCGCCAACATTGACCTCTGGGAGCAGACCTGACGTCACAAGGACGTCGCTGGCTATCGAATGCGCGTCCTGAATGAAACGGGTGAGGTCGGCCCTGTCCCGGGCGAGCTCTTCCTGAAGATGTCTGTTCGTTTCGACCAGGAGTTCTTCTCGATGAGCAGCGGCTGCATCAGTGAGTTCTATGAGCAACCACAAATCCTAGAATGTGTTCCAGCTCACACTGACCTTCTTCCTTCATCTGGGAAATCTGCTCTTGCATCGAACGAAGGGCTCCCGCCACAAGGTCCTCTGCGGCGTTGAGGGTTATCGGATTCAAACCTAATGTAATCAATGGCACTTTAATGCGAATTTTTAGAGCGTGGGTAGACAGGCGCGCACCTTCCTGAACCACGTTTTCGATCATATTCTTCATCGAGGTCTTCACTGACTCCAGAAATTCGCCTTCCTCCCATTGCGATAACGCAGAGTCGAGCATCCCACGAACGGTGCTTGAGACGTCCTCCGGAGAGGGCAACGGCTGAGGGGCAGCGTTTACGATTGAGTTGTTCGCTCTGTTGAGGGGCCGATCGATGGCTTGCCCGGCGTTCTTGAGGTGACGATGAGCGGCAGTTATGTTAGATATCGGATTTGGGGCCCCTTCAATGATCGTCGTCAAAATGTCCGAACAGTCCTTAAGCTCCGTGAGAAGGGCTCTCATTTCACTACGAGACATAGTGATTCTTCTGTCTTCGCGGTCGTCGGGAGCATCCTGACGCCAAATTAAAACGTGTTACGTCGAGCAGAAAACAAACGACCGGCTTACTTTACCGCATTCGATCATCAATCTGATCATGTCCATCGACACGCGCAGGCCGTACGTTATCCCTAATCGAAGACCGTAGGCGTCACGGTCTTCCTCAGGTGCAGAAGAATCTTGCCCGGTAGGGACAGCTGGCGTTCGAACATGCCGCTGTTAGCGTTGAAAATAACATGTCAATTTCGGACACCCACTGCTCTCATCAACGCCCCCTGCGCTCCCGTCAATGGCCCCCTCATGGTCATCTACACTGTGGCTGTTTTGTCTTGTGGCGTCCCCCTGCCTGTTCGTCTGGTCCTCGTCATTGATGTTCGACTCTGTGCTTCCCTGACGGGCCTGTCGCCCTGCTTCCCAAGGGTTGTTGGGCTTCACAACCGCCTTGGACATATTTTCATATGAATCCGCTGTGGATCTGATAAGCACAACGAATAAATATATCAAACATGCTCACCAGGTGGTCGCGGGGCCCGTCGTTGCATCCACTCCATGTCCGACTTGTCCTCTGTGCATCAACTGCATTAGCCACACAGAAATAATCAAACCGTCAAGTGGCACAAACCGTCAACCAGGTCGGGGCTGTCTTCCACAAGCTCTTCACCGCCTTGCGACCTCAGGTGCGTCTTCGCCTGGGCAGTGGATCCGGCGTCTGCCACTCTGCGTTTCTTGCGCGATGGTTCGGTGGACGACTTGACCGTGGCCGCGTTGCTTTCAACTTCGTCCGGTCCAGTCGCTGATCCCCGATCGACCGACTTCCCCTTGTTCTTCCCGTGACGGACCTGGGTTCCACCTTGGGCAGACTTAACACCCTTCCCACGTCCGCGCCCACGGCCACGGCCACGACCGCGCCGGTGCCCACGCGCACGCTGACCGGGACCAGGGGACTGCCCGGAGTGGTCCGAATGAGCCTCCTCATCCGACACCTGGTCAATGGAGACTTCGTCCGTAGATTCTTGCCCGATGTTGCTCTCGCTCGGCAGGTTACTATCAGCCGAAGGCCCGGGGGGCGATGCACGAGGGGGAGAAACACGAGGGGGCGCCGGCGAATCGGGCGGAACAGGCGATGGGATGGGCGGAACAGGTGATAGGATGGGCGGACTGACTGGGGCGGTAGGGGCAGTTGGCAAATGAATCGGGGGTGAGAGTGTAAAAACCGGGAGTTTATCAACTTCGGATTTCGACCATCCCTTGATGCGTTCTTTGGAGACGAGGAGTCGGTACCAGGATGGCACATCTTCGTCTTTGCGGTCTTTCCGAGCCCACGAACCGTCCTGTTCAGGGTCTCTTGGAAATCGATCTGGGTCAGTGACTTGACAAGCCAGACGGAAACCTTTATAGCTCTCTAGCTGAGCGCGTCGTGTGGCGTTCTCATTCAGCGAGCATCCCTTTCTGTCTCCAATGCACCCGAGACACTTGGCGCTATGCAGCGTCGCGACGATGCAGGATCTACTTTTGCCCTTGCAATTGCTGCAGCGCTGGTCCTGGAAACATTCGCCCAATTAGAAAGTTACAACGCAATCAATGTTTAGGATCAGCAACGAACCTGTGGAAGCTTCAATTTAAAGTCTCCAATTACTTCCTCCGGTGGGAACCCATCCTCTGGAGGGACGTGTTCATCGGGAGGAGCCTTTCGTTTGCCGGGTTCTGAGCAGCCATGATTAGTATTGTTCTGAAAATGGATCAAGGACACGAACTGGTTTCAGAGTCCTGCATCTCGATGCCGACGTCAGAACTTGGCCCGTCGTTTTGTGGAGGGGGACTGAACTCTGTGACGAAAAACGTCAGGATAACGGAAGACGGGGCAGGGAGTGCAAAAACTAACCGTCGCTCAGCCACCAGACAGACGAGGTTTCCAACGGCGGCATGATGCGGATGACGCCGTGGTCGTTGGGCATGATGGGGGGGTCCAATGTGATTCCTTGGAAGTAATCCGGGAGTGGGATATCGCGGAAGATTGGGAGGAGGTTGGAAAGAATGACGACAGGGGGGGAAGACCGGCCTCAATTTCGTCTATCTTTTGAGGATCCCCTCTGGACCTAATCTCCGCGACGGCTCTTCGAGCCATAACGCCGCGCTTGAACTCGTAAACTGCGGCGAGGGCAATGGAAGGAAGAGTCCCGTTGATGTCGCGGTGGTGTCTGCCGAATAGGGAGCCAACAGAACAGACAAGATGCCGCAGATTCAGCTCATATACAGGGCGGGACTGGGGTGGGATCGTAACGAATTTCCAGCGGATCCACGCGGAGTTGAGCTGTGTGCAGACATCGCTGAATTCACGGATCCTGGCCGGCAACAACTGCGTGAGGCCTTGGCCGGATGCGCTGGCCTCTTGTTGTGACATGAGGAACACCAGGGCGAACTTGAAGGTGAGGGAAATCCACTGCAAAAGCGCGGCGAGGTCAAGAGCGAGCGGGAGAGAGCAAGCAGGCAAATCGATGTGCTTGATGGATCAGGCGCTAATGATCCTGGTGGATCCCAGGACTGTATCTGACGCGATCGCCGTATCTGACGCCGTCGCCTTCGCTGTCGCTCTCGCCTTCGCTGTCGCTGTCGCCATCGCTGCCGCCGGCGCGGTCGCTGCCGCCGTCGCCATCGCTGCCGCCGGCGCGGTCGCTGCCGCCGGCGCGGTCGCTGTCGCCCTCGCCTTCGCTCTCGCCCTCGCCTTCGCTCTCGCTATCGCCGGCGCCTTCGCTGACGCCGGCACGGTCGCTGACGCCGTCGCCGTCGCCCTCGCTCTCGCTATCGCTGGCGCCTTCCCTATCGCCGGCGCCTTCGCCTTCGCCTTCTCTGACGCTGTCATGCTCACCTTTGGTCCTTTCCACCGCCTCGCCCATCCCCTTGGTCACACCCATAGTCTCTCGCACACCCTCATGCCTGCTTTCATCGGTGAGCCGCTTGCATGCCCTCGTCCTCTCACTTCCCATTGCCCGGGCTCGGTGGTTGATTTTAGCCGGATCCGGCTGCCTGAGTCCCCCGCACGACCCGGCCCCCGCGCGAGCCCTTTCGAAGGGCCACAACGCCGCCGTGCGCCTCTGAAATGGGCATGGGGCGGCATCCTGAACATGTGGGTGCCATGTGCAGGCATCGCGCGCTGCAGTGGGTTGCCCAGAGCCCGGCGGTTGATTTCAGCCGGATCCGGCTGCCTGAGTCCCCCGCACGACCTGGCCGGAACACAAACACATAGAAACCCCCCTACGCTCAACGCGCTCGTCCCCCGTTTGCTTTACGCGCTGGCACCTTTATATATTGTGTCGCTATGCTACGTACAGGTCATTGCTGAAGCCCCCTCGATGTTATTCCCCACCAGCATCCCGGTCTGATCGGGCGACTCCTCCGCACTACCCGGGGCGACCTGATCGGGCGACTCCGACGGGGTACCTGGCCGGACCTGATCGGGCCCGGCCGGACGGTACCTTCGGGGTATTTTGGGATCCGGTCAGCCGGCTTACCCGGCTTACTCTAGGGCCCTCAAGTGGTGACGGGGGAGGCGGCGACGAGCGACGCAAAGGATGTGGGCGAGACGAGGGCGGATGGAGAGGAGGGCGAGGCGGAGGCGGGCGACACAGAGGAGGCGACGTGGGCCGGAACGACGCGGAGGAGGGGGAGATGGAGGTGGCGGGCAACGCGGCGGCGCAGATGGCCAAGGGGTGGGCGGAGCAGGGCGAGGAGGAAGAGGGCAGCGAGGAGGAGGGCGACGCAAAGGCGGGTGGCGGGGGCGGGCGACGCGGAGGGTCGGGAGGACGTCCGCCAGGTCGTCCTCGAGCCTGTCATGGCATGGGTGGGTGTTGGGAGTGCAGGAGAACGAAGCGGAGAACTCACTAAAACAAAGGGCCGCGGTACATCGCCGCGGCCACCATATCCCAATCTCCATATTGAGGACGTCCGTATGGACGTCCTCGTGCGGTGTGTTTGCTGTGAGAGTGGCCGGGAAGGCGACTGAAGGGCGGGATGAAGGTCGAGGTCGAGGTCGAGGTCGGGAGGTCGGTGTCACCTGGTGACACCGGAGTCCAATAGCAGGCGACAGTCGACCATATGGTCGCTATCGTCTGCCTGGGCAGAGCGGGAAGGCTGGGGGCGACGAGGGTGGAGGAGGAGGAAGAGGAGGAGGAAGAGGAGGAGGAAGAGGAAGAGGATGAGGAGGAGGGCAAGGACGGCGAAGGCGACGCGTGGCGTGCATCACAGCCACGCGTTGATGCGCGCTATGCGTGCTTGCCGCCCGCCAAGGCGCGTCTACACGGGCGCGAATCACGGATCACCAGGTGCATCTGTAGCTGCCGATAGGCTATGGCAACAGATGCTCCTGACGATTCACTGCTGCTCCTCGAAGATGTGGCCGCGCGATCCACTGACTGGCGCTCAGTTGAAGTACATCTTTGACGAGCTCGAGTACGGGGCCTCGCAGCTAGACCCAGCCACCAGGTGACGTCCGGGTCATTCGTAAGTTCCCCTCGTCTCATTCGAACAACATAAACTGATCGTCTCTCTCCGCAGGCTACTGCCGTCCGAGGGGTCTACGCATCTCGCTCGCTCATCAACTCCGATTACGGGCTGAGAAATGGCGACGCCCTCAGCGAGTCGCTCAGGCACCTGGTCGCAGAGGAAGACAAATGCGTCGCGTTCCCGAACGTGTACCAGCACTTCGTAGAAGAATTTGAGCTCGAGGACGAGACGCGTCCCGGGCACCGCAAGATCCTCGCGCTGTTCCTCGTGGATCCGAACGTGCGGATCTTGTCGACGACGGACGTCCCGCCTCAACAACAGGAGTGGGCGGTTGCGGAGGCGCTGGGAGGCGTGCGGAAGCTTCCACAGGAGCTATTAGACATGATATTTGGGTTCACAGAGCCCACGCTGATATCGCGGAAGCAGGCGGAGGAGCACAGAGAGAGGCCGATGGAGGAACGGAGCGCGTTCGTCGAGATTCACAACGAGCAGACTTTCGAGATGCATTTCACCATGTGCGAGCATTGAACGGGCAAATTGTAGACATCTGGCTACATACATAAAGTGGCTTCCAAAAGAGGAAGCACCCTTATGTAAGACGGCAAGTTGCAGTGTACGTGAAAAGTACGGCCGCAACCATCGTCTCGGCACTCACATCGCGGGGTCGGCGTCTCCAACCGTCACGCGTAAAGCATTCTTCAGGATATGATTGCAGAGCATCGACGTCGAGGACTTGGGAGGCAGGCCTGGCTAGCCTAACCACAAGCGTGCGTTGCCCTTGTCTACTCTCGAGCGTGTTGAGGAGCTTGCATAAAGGATATCTGCCAGGCAAGCAGGCAGAGCGCCACAAGGTCGCGTTGATGGTCCAGCAGCTCTGAGAGCCTTTCAGATTGGCTGTCCTCTTTCACGGAGTTCATGCGGAAGAAGTGGCCGTACACAGAAGTGTGAGGAGGACGACATGACGGGTAGGTCCAAGGTTGAGCGCTGAGCGGCACGCGCCGTTCGAGTGCTCTAAGCAGCGACGAATGCATTCGACACAAATAATACATATTCCAATCCAGCAAGGATGTACATTGACTACCGAGCGTGCGGGGATAAAGTCTCCGCGGGGGAGAAACAATGCGCACTACGCACCGTAACAGCCCTCAGTCTAGTCCTCCTTCACCCGCTCGTATCCCGCACCCTGCTGCCCCCATCCCCCGAACCAGCTCGCGCCGCGCGCCTGGCCCGGCCGCCCAGTCGGATGCCCCTGCATCTCGCCCTCGACGTCGCTCGGCACCTCGACCTCCTCGAACCCGCGTCCGTTCCCGCCGCTGCGCGAGCCCGACGACCCGCGCGAGCGCGTCTCCGGCAGCCCGACGGGCTCGAACGCGGGGCTCGACGCTGTGGAGTCGACGTCGTAACCAGCCGCAAGCTCCCCCTCCCGCCGCCTCCGCCCGTCCGCGTCCTTGTTCGACTTGGGGGCGCGCCCGGCTGCCGCAGCCGACGCCTGCGCGCTCGTCGCAGCCTGCGCGGCGGACGCCTGCGCCTTCGTGAGGAGCACCGCGCCCCCGGCGAGGATCGCAGGGCCGTACGACGACCAAAGCCCGGCGACCAGCTGCGCGGGACCGGTCGCCGCCTCGGCGCCGCCCTCTTCTTCGAGCGGGGACGGGGCGGCGGGCGCAGTTTGCGCGTGCGTGACCGCGCCGGAGAGCGAGTCCCAGCCGCGGCGGAGGAGCTGCTGGACGTAGGAGTAGAGGTAGGTCTTGAGCTGGGCGAGCGCGGTGTCGATCTCGTGCTCGTGTGCGGCGAAGAACGGGCGGAGGTGGGTCGTGTAGAGCCAGGCGGAGCCCGATGTTTGTGGGAGGGCGAGGTAGAGGAGGAAGAGCGTCTTCATGGGGTAGTACAGCGGAAGCCTGGGGCGCGCATGAGGAGAGCGCGGCGAGCGCGAGTCGGCGAGGACGCACCATGAGACGAGCCACTCGGCGACATATTCTACAGCGACGATGCAGCCGAGCACGGACCAGTACATGAGCCAGCGCTCGAGCTCGGCCTCGTTCGCGGGTCGCTGCGAGAGCGTTTTGTAGGACGCGTAGCCCGGGTAGAGGAACGCGGTCGTCGCACTGCGTGCACGACGCTCAGCCCCTGACGATGAACGGCGGCTGGAGAACAGACCTGACGATGCGGAACAAGAGGTAGAAGAACATCGCGGGGTCGTGGGCCGTTCACGGGGGAGAGTGTCGTCCAGCGGGCATGAGGGCAGGAGGAGAGCTTGATATAAGAGGTCGGCTCCTGGAACCGACTTCAAGACTTGCGCTCGGCAAGCCCAGATTAGAGTCGCAATGCTAGTCGTTGTTATGTGGGCTTATATTTCGATAAGACGCCCAACATTTTCCGCAGTGATCGATTAGAAGGCGTGGAAAAGGCGTGTATCTGCCTTCTTTCTCGTCCATCGCATCGCGCTCGGCAACCGCGCGGTCCCCGGCAGGCGAGAAAGCTCACAGCGGGTTCGTTATTCAACACAAGTCGTACAGGGTCGTACACGCTCATCGATACACTACAGACAGATATCCTCAGCCAATCCCGCGTCGCTGATACCTCAGGCTTGGAGCGTGATGTCTGCGAAGACGGGACGGTGGTCGCTGGCAAGCACGCCATCGTCTGTCAAGGAAGAACCGACTTTGTACGCGTCCGCGGTCCTGAAGAAACATGATTAGCACCAGCGGACGCGGATGCGCATATACCTAGACGCATATACTCACCACTTTCCGTTCGAGCCCCCGTACACGAAATCGATGCGCGTGTAGACGGAGGCGTCCCCAGGCGCGTTGAAGCCGGTGTACGTCGCGTACTCGCCCGATATTTTTGGGCGCGGGGTGATCGCCTTGAGGTCTTGCATCACAAAGTTGGGCAGGACACCGTCCGGCACAGCGTACTTCTCCGCGAACGTTTGGTTGATCGCCACTGGTGGGATTTGCCCTGTGATGATCTGGTACGCCCCGGAATCCGTGCCGGTGGAAGGGCTGTTGAAGTCGCCAGTGACGATGACGGGGCCGCCGGTCGTCGCAGCTTCGTAGCGTGCGCGGGTGAGCATCAGCGAGGCAGCGAGACGCCGCTCCGCGTCGGACTGGTCGTCGAGGTGAGTGTTGAGGTAGGTGAATTTCACGGGCTTGTTGCCAGTCTGCAGCGTAAGGTGAGTGGCCGTGCAGATTCGGAAGGAGCCCGCGCCGGGGAACTTCGAGACATCAAACGGCGTATTTCTGCGATCAGGCTTCTCAGCTGATACGCATAAATGTGTCAACGAATAGACACTCACGAGAGCCAGAACGTGTCGTTTGAGATGAGGCTGATCGCAGACCTGGAGGATTGGAGGATAAGTGAGTTTGTTGCTCTCCGTGGACAGGCTGTCCACCCTTAAAAGCCACATAAACATTTCCGACGCGGCGTCGACTCACTTCTTGTAGAACACCGGGCTAAACTCCCCAGCTGCAACTCCATCATCGCGCCCAACACCAACCCAAGCCCACTCGTCCCCAAGTAGAGTCGCAAGGTCGGTCACCTGGCGTACCAAAGCTTCCTGGAAGCCTGCCCCGCCGTCTCAGCCGTCATCCGCAGCGAAGTCCAAACGTGAGTGCTCACCAGCGAGCACGACACCCTCGCTCTCGAGGTGCTCGAAGACCTTGATGCGCCGGGTGCTCCACGGCTGTTCGCCCTTGGCGCCGTAGTACGTCGGCGCGGCGAGCGCGTCCGGGAGCGCGTCGAGCGACTGCTGGGGCGTGATGCTGTCCGGCATCGAGTCGTATCGAAGGTTGTAGCTCGCGATCCGCATCGTCGCGTCTGCGTGCGCGCAGAGTGTCAGCGCGAGGCCCGCGAGTCCGGCCAGAGACCGGGAGAAGGAGGAGAACATGCTGCGTGGGGGCACAGGGCGCATATATGCGCGTATATGTAGAGGGGGCCGAGCGCACCGTCCCTGCGCGCAGGTGCACCAACCTCGCTCGCTTCGCACTTCCGGAATCCCCGCCTGAACGGCCGCGTACCGGCGCGAACGAGGTCGAGGGGCAGAATGCCGTGATGGAGGGCCTCACATGACGGGCGCGGAAGGCGGGAGCACGTTGGCACACGCACCTGCATTGAGCGAAGAAGGGCACATTGGCAACAGCCCGGTGCGCATGAGGGCCTGCGTGGCCAGCGTCGAGAATAGCGCGACGGTGCCTTTGAGCATCAGGAACTCCACGAACGTGCTTCGAGTGGAACGTCGAGGTTGCAGCTGGGGCTATCTGCGTCCAGCGAGGGGAGAGTTATGGGAGGAGGGGGTGCTTGCGACGGTGGAAAGCAGCAGAGTGGGGTGAAGCAAGGCTGGCCGCCATCGTGCGCAGCACTGACATGAACGTTGTCGTTACGAGCGGGCTGGAGTCTGGGGGTGGCTGGGGCAGCGCTAACGCGGGCTGGGCCGCTACGGGGGAGTCCGGACTGCCGTCGATGCCGAATATGGCAGCCTGTAAAGCTAAGCTAGAACATATCGAACGTGCGATGAAATACATGGACATATGCAAACATGCGTGTGGTGTGTAATGGTACAAGGATGATGAGCTACAACATACTATGGCTTCTCTTCATAACGTAACATCAATGTCTGTGTGGGATGAGGTCTGAGGATCATGCGTGGGGCACCGGATGCCTAAACGAGACTTCAAGCTTCAAGCTTCAAGCCTCAAGCTTTGAAGCTCGCGGAAATCGAAAGGACGACTTCCCGCGTCATCGAAAGAATGACTTCCCGCGTCGTCGAAAGGGCGGAGGCCGAAGGTCTACTTCGACTCCAGCGAGCCCAGGCTCCTGTCCGACCGCAGGTTCGCGAACATCTCTATCGGCATCCCAGGCAACGGCGACAGCCGCTCGCTCGGGCTCCGCACCTCGAACCGGTGGTGCGCTCTCTTCCCCTTCCCCTGCGCGCGCGGCGGGACGACCCACCGCCGCGAGCTCGTCGACGAGGACTCCCCGAGCGACCCGAGCGGCGACCGCACGCGCTCGCCCGCGGCCGGGTACACCACGCCCTCCGGGATCGGGGCCTCGACATAGCGCGTGCCGCCAGGGCTGCGGTGGGGGATCGGGATAGGCTCGTCCTGCCGGACGGGGAGCGGCGCCTGCGCCTGCGTGGAGCGGACCGAGCGCGGCTCGTTGTATGGGATCGGGAGGGGGTCTCCGGAGGGTGGCGGGATTGGTACGGGCGTGTTGGAGGCGGTGCGTGTGGGGACAGAGTATCGCGGGGGCGGGACGGGGAGAGGGTCATTAGGTGGTGGGGGTACAGGTATCGGGGTGTTTGAGGGTGGAGGGTGAGATTGGGCAGCGAGGGTGGAGGCGGGCATGGGAGGGGTGAGTGGCACGAAACCTGGAGGCAAGTCAGAGGGGAGCGAGCCCGGTGCCGTGCCGGTGATCGTGTCGGGTGGTGGCGGAATGAAGTCGTCGGGCTCTGGTGGAGGGGGGCGCCGCTTGGGTTTGGTGGGCAACGAGACTGGGGTAGAATACGCTGCAGATGGATCGCGCTGCGGCGCGTATATTGGAGACGGTGTGCGTTGCGAGCCGGTGTACGCAGGTGTCTCAGTGCGCATGATGGTGACATCTTGTACGGGCGCAAGCGGAGGTAGCGCAGCTTGTTCAGGGCTGAGGAACGCGGGATGCGTCCCTGTTGTCACAGCAGACGTCCGACGGCTACTTGAGGCAGTGGACTGTGGAAAGAACCAACGATCAGTATAGCAGTCGGTGTGCGTCTGGAACTTGAGCTTACCGGAGCCTCAACCGTGATGTCCGGTACGGGAGCACCAGGCGTGGCGACCTTCGGAGCCGAGTCCCGGAAGGACCTGCTTCGGAAACGGTTCTTGAACAGCTTTTCGAGCGGCGTCGTTCCCGCCTCCTCGTGCACCGTCGCGAGCTGCGGCGGGGGCGGTACCACAGGTGGGAGGTTTTCACGCGACCGCGGTCCACGAGGAGACGGCACCTGTCGCTGCACCGTGCAACGTGTGGTGGCGCGCGAGCGTTCCGAGTAATGGCCGAACGCACAGGGAGAACAGGAGGCTTGGTCAGGACCTGTGGAGCGGACGTAGAGAAAGAGCGCGACGTACATTACGGTCTCTCTCCCGCTCGTCACCGGAGCGCGAAGACGATGCGCGTCCGCCTGCAGTAAGCGATGGCATGCGCAGTTTGTGACGCCCCGCGCTGACGATGTCGAACTGCGAGATGTTTGTCGACGCCTTGGACTGGGGCGATATCGGTCGGTTGGGAGGCGGCGCGACTGGAATCACAGGAGGGGGAGCTGCGGGATACGAGAACTCTCGCGTACGCGGCGGATCCGCAGGTTGTGTGGCACCGGGGGGCGGCGTCGGAACGTAATAGTCGCGCTGGTGCGGTGCCAGTGCCGGAGAAGGTGCGGTGTTGACAATGATGGTTGGCGGCGGCGGTTCGACTGAGCGGGAACGGGGAGCAAGGGATGGGGCGACGCTGGATACGGGAGAGACCGGGCGAGAGAGCTCATGTGGGGGAGGAAGAATGATCTGCTCCCCAGAGGCGTATGGTATCCATCCATCAGGAGGGATGTCGACTGGTGGATGGATAGGTGACGGCGCGCGCTCATGGATGACGATGGGGGCGGGAACCTCGCCCATGTCGAGATCGCGGGGAGCCCGGTAGGGAATGGGCATACCCGCAGGCGTATCTGCGCGCGAGTATGATGGCGAAGGTGCATTGACGGGAGTGGTGAGGGTGGGGACAGGAAGAATTGCAGCATAGTGTGCGATATCTGGAACGTTAGGACGATTGCTGGTCCTTGACAGCGTTATTCTACACCTGCAAGTCAGACTATGATGTTAACGAGGGTAATCAAACACCTACCGAGAAGGTTGTCGTGGCGGCGGAGTGACTCTACTTGATGACGATGTTGAGGGGCCTGTTCTACGAGTCCGAGAATCCGAGGACGTCGATGCTCCAGGTGTCCGCGTCCTGTACTCTGATGGGCCTGGGTCGCGGACGCGAATATCGGCGGGGGCTGGTGTACGTGTTCTGACCTGTGGTGTCGGGCGTACCTCCTCCTCCTCTTCATCGGCAACCACCTCGACTCTGGCTTGAGGATATCGCCTCACGGTTTCTCTTGGAGGCAGCGGCTCGGAGCCGATTGCTTCCTGAAATCCAAGGTCCTTCCCTCGCACCAGCCCCTCTTCGAACCCCTCATCCCTTCCTTCTGCCCTCGCGCGGATGATGAGTTGCTGCTCCCGATACCGGCGGGCGGTCGACCTCGCGCGGGCCGCCTCCGCCTCCGCCTCCAGCTTCTGCTCCTCGAGGTCGTGGATGAGGTCGTTCGCGCGCGTGATCTCGCGCTGCGCGTCGTCGAGCCGATACTTGTACAACGTGAGCTCCTCCTTTGTGCGCGACGCCTCCGCCTGCGCGAGCATCGTCGCCTCGTGCGACGCGCGCAGCTTCCGCAGCACCTCAATAACCCGCCGCTCTGCGTCCTCCGCTCGCCGCGTCTCGCCCTCGAGTCGTTCGGTCGTCAGCGCGAGTGCGGTCCGGAGTGCGCGCGAGTCGCGTGGCGGCGGCGCGTACAGGTGCGCGAGCAGCTTCGCCTGGATGCTCGCCGCGTCGCCGTCCGCATCCCTGAGCGTGTCCCTGTCGGAGGCGAAACGGCGGTGGCGGTGGTCATCGGGGCTTCGCTCGCGCTCGACGCGCACGTGGGGAAGGGATTGGGGAGACTTGGAGGAGGACGCGGTGCGGATCGACTTGGACTGGCTGCTGGTGGAGGAGCGGGTCTGAAGGCTGCTGCCTGAGGACGCCGTCCGGGGACTGTCCGTCGTCACAGGCATGCGGGGAAAGGGGAACTCGTCGCTGGCACTGTAGCCGAGCTGAATACATATGCGATGAGGAGGTAAGCATCACGTACTCACTGGATTTCGTGGCCGTCTACGATTGCGGCCATTGGCAGGCGAGCAGACGCGGGCGGCGCTGGCGAGCGGGATGGAGGCGAGGGCGGTCGCAGCGCGGGAGGTAGCGATGGTGTGTACGTTAGGGAGGAGTCCCGGCGTGGTCATCGTGAAGTATGGATGTGCAAGGTGGCGGGATCGGCCTGGGTGGCTTCCTTGTGCGAACTTGGGCGCAATATGGCGTGGCGGCCCTCGGAGGCGTTGCACAGGCGTGTTGTCCTCGCCTCGTTGTGCGTGGCCAGCACGTGTCGATCGATACCACAGGTGGAGCGCCTGCGCAGATGATCCTCCGTCGGCGAGCGTCAGCTCCACAGCATCGCGCTGTTCATAGCGCGGACGGGACCCGTGATGTTAGCGTGGGTGATTGTCGCGCGCCCGTGCGCCTCATAGGCCCGCAACACGAGGCTTTGAAGGACAGGGCAGCCCACAGCCCATGCATCATCGTCCAACTTTTAAACGCAAACGATCTAGGCTATGATGAGCCGCATTGCGAGTCGTGTTTGCGGAAGTGCCTGCTTGCAGTGTAGCCACGGATATGGAAATCTCGAGAGTTCTGAGATCTGAGCCAAGATTTAGCCTCATGACTCCATCAAGCGCGGGAAGCGTACCACGGCGTTCCGGTCCTGGCGTCCGGGGAGGGTCTTGCGCTCGCGTGATCCAAGTCACTTGGCTGGCCATCCGCCCGAGGCTGGTCTCTCGGCGTCCTTCGTCAATCGGTAGGCTGCTGGGTACACTGGGGTACGGATCTTCGAGCGTTGTAGACGTGTTAAAGAGGCTTCGGTCAAGGCTTGGGACACATTTTGTAGTCAGACGCCCATTCAACGGCTCTCGTGACCGGGCTTCGATTGGTCTCGGCCAGTCTATGTGAGATGGATAGGTTCACAGGGTACCCTTCAGTTGACTGAATCTGGTAAATCGAAGTTGGTGAGCATGGAAGCGCAACGATGGGGACAGCGTTTGTTGCACTGGCATTCGTACGTACTTGATGCGTGTCATATATTCTCAAATGGCGCGGTGCTTGTACGCGCATATAATAACTTCCGAGTGGCGGGTGAGTATATAGTCGGTCAGAGCTGAGGGGCTATCCCTAGAATAGATCAAGAAACAACGATGTTCAAGCCAGATCGTCAGGGGAGGGTGTTGGGAGGCGTGATGGAAGGGAAGGAGACGCGGGATGCTTACCAAGCAACCCGCGGCAAAGATCGGCCTTGTCCGGCATCCGCCGGTCTTGCACAATTGCAGGATTTCAGCTTGATCACCACTGTCCATTTCTCAACAAGGCCCAACTGAAGCCATTGTTACCAAGCGCTACGAGGAAAATGCGCTACGTGTACTCTTCCGACAGGTGAAGTGATCTCGATTCTCCAGCTGATTCTCGAGCACCACCGCCGTTGACCGTTTGGCGGCCGTAGACATTCGTCCCGTGGTCGCCGCGACACACCGCGATTCAAAATCCAAGGAAAAAAACGATCGTCCAGAGGCTTCCCCACTAAAACCGGCGGCAATGCGAGGCCAGTCTGCCATCCAATACACTGCGGACACGCCGTGGTGCGGCGGTAGTACGCGGCCCAGGCATCGCAAGATCGGTTCCGGAGATCAACGCTTTCATGTAGAAGCTGTTGTAGGAGCTGTCCGACATCAGGGTCGGGCCCGCGTTGATGTCGCAAAAGCAGGGCCGGAGCACTCGAGAATCGAGAGAGAGCAATATACGGCATCTATGCGAGAGAAAATTGGAAAACAAACACGAGAGCTCAATCCTCGGTTGCAGTCACGTTCAACAGCAACTCCGGCCTCTCGCTCTCTTCGCCCATGGTCGGGTGGATCACAGGCGCAAAGTTCCATGCGACCGGCTTTCGGGTAACGTCGAACTGATACCGCGTGATCAACAGCGAGATGATGACCTCTGTCGGCGCAGTCCGTCAGCACCCCGATGAGGCGGAGGGATCCATCGCACGTACTCATCTCGAGCTGCGAAGACTTGAAACCGATACACGAGTGTGTCCCGGCCGAGAACGTCGTCCTACATGGCACATCCGCCTCGGGTCAGCTCCAAGACCCGAACCGGTCCGCGGTCTACTCACAGATGCGCATAGACCCCCGGGATCCGCGCGTCCTCCACCGGCTTCGGGATGGCTCTCAGCCAGCGCTCGGGCTTCCACTCGTTCGCGTCCGGGCCCCAGAGCGCCCTGTCGATGTTCGTCGCGAAGAAGAGCGGGGTGACGGTCGTGCCGCGCTCGACGAACAACTCGGAAACCTCGGTGCCGTCGCGCAGCCGGATGGGCTCCATGAACGGGAGCACGGTGTCTTTCGTCGCGCTGTCGTAGGTGCTATCAGATGTAGAAAGGGGGAAGAGAGGCTGGAGAGAGGAGAAGGAGGTAGCTGGACACGCACGTGCGGCTTGACGCGGGGACGGGGGCGAAGAGGAGGGTCTCGCGGCAGACGGCGTCGAGATACGGGAGGCGCTCGAGGACTTCGTACGAGAGGTCGGCGCGGTCGTTGCCTTGCGCTTCGGCGACCTCGGCGCGAAGCTTGGCCTGCGCCTCGGGATGCTCAGCGAGGAGCTGGAAAACCCGTGCGAGGGCGTTGGAGGTGGTGTCCATTCCAGCGAGCATGAACGTCCTGGAGCGCGGACTATGAGCGGCGCTGTACGGGTGGCTGAGCAACAGCGCAGAACGTACGAGATCTGGGCCACGAGCTCTTCGTGCGTCAACTTCTCGTTGTCTGCCGCCGCTATGTTGGCCCGCACTGCCCATTCCGAGCATCAGCACCGCCGCCCTTCCCCGACCTCCTGCTTGAGCGCCTCGTCGCCCTTGGCCCGTGCTTCTTTGCGCGCACCAATGATTTCTCGGGCGCGCTTCGTCATGGTATCACTGATGTACATGAAGTACCGAATACCCTTATGGGGGACGAGACAGAACAGCGCGCGGATGGTGGAGTGAGAGAACCACGGTTCGAGCTCGGAGCAGACCAGAAGCATCGCGGTGTTCTGCACTAGAACGGGGCTACATAAGACAGATCAGCGCGAGCCAGGAACGTTTGGGGTAGACAGCCTGACAGGCTCACAAGAAGCGCTTGATGCAGTCACCCAGCTCGTCCGCCTTGGAGTTAGTGAAGTCGTCGAAGGAGTAGCCGAGCCCTGTCTGGCCTAGCATCTCGAGCGTGGTGCGCCCCATCCAGCCGCCGATGTCCACCTCGCTCGGAGGCCGAGGGGTCCTTTTTGACGACTTCCTCTTGAGAAACAGTCGACCTATTGGCCACTTACTTATCACCTGGCACAGGGAATGGTCTCTCATGAATCACTATCGTGTGAAACAAAGAACAACCCCCGCTCGACTGTTCTTCGGGTGGGAAATATGCCTCCGTTAACGCCAGACGCACGCAGTGTGAGCTCTCCAGTCGTAACGGTGCGATTACAGTACGAACGGCCACGGCGGACTCGCCTGCACCCGCGCCCGTCGCTCAGGCGGGCTGGTTCCGAGAACGAGAAACGTACGTCTTTCAACACAATAACAGAGGTGCGTTAGCGCGTGCAAAATGAAAGATGTGAGAGAAACCACACCTACATACTGCTCGAGGAGGCGACTGGCGCGAGGTGGCGCAGTCTCGCGGCAGACGTCATCAAGGTAGTGCAGTAGGTCGAGCGTCGCGCAACGAAGATCCGCGGGTTCGGGGCCTCGAGGAGCCCGAAGACGCATGACAGGGAGTTTCGGCCGCAGAAACGTTCGCTTTTACCGTAAGACAATGAATTATGTTGGGTCTCTGGAGAATCGAGATGAGCCACTCATCATGGTGCATGCATGGAGAGACGAACGGCAGATATTGATCAGGTCCTCACGTAAGACGTCCTTGGTGATTGCGCAGATCGATTATGTTGCCTAATAGAAAACGTACGCTTCAGTACTCAGTCGTGGTCTCACCATTTGGGACCTGCAGTGCTTTGGGGCCCCTATCCGACGTCGATGTCCGCGTGTAGTGCCGACCGACGCCCGCCGTGAGTGGAGCAACGGCAGCGCACAGTCTTCCTTGGAGGTGAAATATTGACCACAGAAAGGTTGCTATTGAGCAGGAGAGGCAATGCCGACGCATGATGAAGTCTTGCGCGATGCTGCGCTTCAAGTTGTTGTCACATGGTGCCTGCATCCGGCTACATTCAACAGAACTTGACATCGCTGCGGCCTGTGCGGCAATGTAGGACGGCCGTCGATAGGTACAGGCTGAGGACGAAGTGATGCCAGTACTTAGCAGTGCAAGAGAGAGAGAAAGAGTCTTTCATAAGCCGCTGTCAACACGTACGCATACCTCCGAGACCCGATGTCCTCGGGCCGGGCACTCCGGGGCAGCGGGAGCTCGGATGATCAACTCGTGGCGCGCGATGCTCCCGAGGCTTTCTCTCCCTCCTTCCCCCCCTTTCTCCTCCAGAATCCACCACCTTATTTACTCCAGAGGTGTGCACGCTCCTTCTTGATGATGCTGCAGCGTTGATGCTGATCATGGTCTGCAATTCTCAGGTAGCTGCGAATGTCAAACGTTAAACGCTCAGAGGACTGGCCATTGAACATGCTTCTCACTTCGTGTTGAGAAAGAATCTTAGGTATGGTTGCGCCAGCGGAGCTATTTGTGAGACATAGGTGTGTCTGCTACGTGTATGTATCCAACTCCTCGCGTTGGTATCCAACACCGTCCACTCGTCCGCGCGGTGCCTTACTCCCCACGTCGTCCTCCCATACGTCTCCGACCCAATAGCCGCGTGCTGTTCAGCTACCGCGACCGGTGTCTAATCGATTATCCATGCACTGTCTGTGCGGCGACAAGTGCCGCCCTTCAGAAATGGTTTCCACAGCGGCAAGTCAGACGTTCGGTTCTCTCCCTCTAAGTCCATTCGGCCCTCGTTCATATCTCCCCATGCGGTCCCCGGAGTCCAGCTTCAGATCGCACCGTCAAGACCGTGCAGTTCGCAGGACACAAACGACGATCATGCGGACGGTTACATGGGACGGGGAGGCGATTGGTGAGGAGGAGGACGGAAGGACGCATTCAGGGCATGGAGTGAAGCGAGACGAGGTAGGCTCATGTGAGCATAATTGCACGGCGATCTCTGCGCTTTCTCGACACATTCTCTCGGCCTGTTCGTGCATCCGAGCCTTGCGGTTGCACGGACACGGCCATCGTGCTCTTTGGAGTCAACATCGTCACTGGCGGATCGTCGTGCACTATTGCGGGATTCGATATGCACTGTCCGCCTTGGTTGGGACCAATCGGGACAGTTCCATCCCGGGCGTGATTTGGAGAGCGAGACGGCCCCTTTCTCCGGCGATCGATATGTCAATGACACGAAAGCGCTTCCTCCTGCAGCACAAGATCTCGTTCCACAATGTCGAGCACTCACCAGTCACCGATGCGCTAAACACAACCTGTGAGCAAGAAAGAAGTCCTATAGATACACTGTAACGTACTGAGATCGCTTTGCTGTCGCAGAGTGGTAAGCTACGGTATCTGGAGACAGTGCATCGCGCGACAGAACTACCGTGCTTAATTCCACCCACACAGAAGAACCGACCAGATCCCTACGAACGCGCGTCCTCGACGTGCACGTCGACGTTCTCATAAGATTCGCGGACATGGTCGGTGTCGTTCTGATACTCTCTCTCGTACTCTCCAACGTCCTCGGTAGGGCCGAAGTCAAGCGGCGTTCCCAAGGAGCCGATCACCCGGTGGAAGACCACTGAGTCGAGTTCCCCGGAATCGGCCGAGGAGGTGATACCGGAAAGCTTCTTGTTCGCGACTTGTAGATTCATGAGGAAGCGCGACACGAGGATGGAGGTGAGGCTGAAATATTGGAGACCGTGAGACACGGCGAAGCAAAGAGTAGCGACGGATTCGCTCACGGGTCCAGGAAGACGGTGATAATGCTAGCATATGACCCATCGCCAAACCCTACAAACTTGACCTGGGTTGCAGCACATGAGTGGCGGTTGACAGACGATGAATAAAAACTCACGGAAATGAGGGTAAGCACCAGATGCAAGGCGTTCAAGAGGGATAGTGTGCTGCGCACAAGAAGACGGACGCTCATAAGAATGGATCGTGCTCAGATGGTGACAACATACATGAAGTAGAGTGTACCTGTCAGAAGAAGGGGGTTTAACGATCCACTCTGTGACCTTGAGAAATGATACCCACCATCGCGCAAAAGGACATTTGAGAGTACGCCGACATTGCGCACCGTTGGATTCACAGAAAGTTGAGTATTCCCTAACTTGTACCACGTGGTAGAAACCGCAAGAATGTCAGCTATAATGAGCGCTACCCTCGAAACGATTGTGACTGTAAAGTGATGATAAGTCATCATCCCTCCTAGTCCGAGTATGACTGCACCGCACATCTGTGAAATGTAGGTAAGAAATTGCTTTGAAGTGAAAGGGGGTGAGGACGGATCCATCTACATATGTTGAAGGGCCTCGGGTACGTTTACTTCGGTCACAGTACTTGTGGGGTCGATCTGAGCGACTACCACCTGCGGTACACGATACTGTAGCACTCGTCAGCTCAGACCCTGTAAATCGCAGATGTAGTCACTCACTAAATTGACAACAACCTGGACAGACGACAGTATGAAGATGGAAGTAGCCACCGCGCGATTGCGCGAGATAGCGAATATTCGCATCGCGGAGAATACTGGATTTGCGTTTAGCAGCTTTGAAAGATCCACGGAGAACACTCTTACATGTCCATGGGATTGGAAGCAGTGATTCAAGTGTTACTTGAAAACGAGCGGCCACCAGTAGCCTAAGATTCCCGACGGGTGAGATGTTTTCCTGCTTTTGAGCACTGTCACCACCTACGTCTATCGTGAGTGTTTCTCGGTGAGCAAAGTAGGAAGAAAACCAGCATGTGGTGGAGTATAGCTCACAGGTGCAGGGTTTGGAATGAAGAATATATAGATGGGTAGGTAGATGAAGTATCCCAGTGATAGGTATCGGTTGAGCGTGAACAGCACCAGCGCGCCGGTTGGTTTTCGCCAAGAGGACCAGTAAAAAGTGACCTCGGTGGACAGTGTGATGAGGTATTCATATACAATGATCGCTGCGTACAATGAGTTATTTGGAAAAAACGTGAAACACGACGCTTCCGAACCTACTGCTGCTATTTGACAGTAACCTTGGAACTGGCTGAAAGAGGGTCAGAATCCACAATTCTCGGGACGTAGAAAGGTACACATACATGCCAAAAAACTGGACAATGACTGAGCTCAATCCGTCTGGAGTTGTCATCGATGCTAGACCGGAATGTGGAGTGCACCGGGCGGACTAGAGTGTGGCCTCGTCGGGGTGGGACGATGATGACCGGGACCCATGACACGCGATGCGCATTAAGTACCTTCTCTCAGAATCATGGAAACGTTGGTCGCCCACGGCACCACTTGAAAACAGCCAAACCACACCCACCTATAGACGCTTCCGTTCCGCACATGCGGCCGAGATAGTCACTATTGGCACTGTTCGTGTCTTGCTGAAACAACGGAACATTGTTCTGGAGTGAGAGAGAGGCGAGGACTCACTTTAGCATGCTCCAAACCAGAAAGACCTCATGGAGGTGGCAGATCGGGAGCCGTGGCAGTGTGTCATTGTCGGCCAAAGGTCGAAACGCAGTTGCGCTGCGTGGAAGGGGATGCCGGCGCTCGTTCCCATATCGGCACTTTCGCGTCGAGCGAGCATGTCGCAATTCGAACTCTCTACACTGTTTCCCGCACCTCTTTTCTCCTCTCCAATCAGTCATCAACATGTTCCCCGCCGGTGTGAGCTCTCGTCGACATCTGTGCTCGGAATCATAAGCTCACGTGTGGTGGCGGCCTGCCAGACCGTGAAGTCGTTTCCTTTCCCAACTACGATTGCTGGCATGATTGCGTACACCACATGAGCGTCGCTCGCGATAAACTTCAAAGAAGACTCAATTTCGACTTCCCCTCGCTCGCCTCGTCACCTCCCCACCACATCCACAAGCTGTGTCTTTGGCACGGCCGCCGGGAACGCCCTCACCGCCAAGCGCGTGTGCGTCGCCTGCTCGTACGCGAACGCCATCCCCACGAGCCCGAACTCGCTGAACGCCGTGCCGAGGAACGAGAGCCCGAACGGCCTGTTCGGCCCGCCCTCGCGCGTCGGCTCCGCGGGCGCGAGCGGGGTGTCGGGCGGGAAGAAGCCGAGCGGGACGGTGACGATCGGGTAGCCGACGATCGCCGCGGGCGTGGAGGAGACGTCGGTGGGGAGGATGAGGGCGTCGAGGCGGTGTGCGGCGAGCGCGGCGTCGATCCCGCGCGTCGCGCCGAGGTCGCGGTCGGCGGCGAGCGCGTCGAAGAAAGTTTGGTTGACGGTGGTGCTCTCGGAGGTGATGAACCTGGGGGAGGAGAGCGTCAAGCGGGAAAGTACCAGGGCAAGCGCGAGAGAAGGAGCGTACTGGGACTGGTCATCCCAGAAGGGCGGGATGAGCTCTTCGTTCGCGTGGTCGGTATTAAATTGAATGAGGCCAGCGAGGTTTTCGACGCCCGTAGGGACTTCGACGAGCTCGGCGATATAGCTGTTGACGTCAACCTATATGTTTCTGAGCTTCTCTCTCAACAGCAATACGAATAGGCTTTGTCTACCTTGAAATCGACGTTGAGCACGATCGTCTCGTTGTTCGACGCCTGCAGCTCCTCGAACGATGGGAAGTCCACCGGGTCGACGATCGTCGCCCCCAGCTTCTTCATCGTGACCAGCGACGAGTTGAACGCCGCCACGATGACTGGATCGACGTTTGCAAGAAATTGGCGCAGAACGCCAAGCCGCGCGCCCTTTAGCGCGTTCTTGTCCAGCGCCTTTGTGTAGTCTGGGACGATAGGCGGCTGCGCGAGCGTAAAGTTATCGCGCGGATCGCGCCCCGCAATCACTGAGAGCACCATCGCCGCGTCCGTCACCGAGCGACACATGGGCCCCACCGTGTCCTGATGTTCAGAGATAGGAATGACTGCATGGGATGAGTTTAGTACTGGTCCACCGAACATGTCTGGATGCCCACTCGCCTCCTGCGCGCGACGTGAGCCCCACCGTAGGCTTGATTCCAACTAGGTTGTTGAAGTTGCTCGGGCACACGATCGATCCGTCCGTCTCGGATCCCAGCGTCGCCGCGGCGAGGCCAATCGCGCCCCCGATGCCGCTACCTGAGCTCGAGCCGCACGGGTCGCCCAAGGGAACGTACGGCGAACTCGCCTGCCCTCCTCTGCCGGAGAAGCCCGACGGCACGTTTCCACGGAAATTCGCCCACTCGGAGAGGTTCGCTTTGCCGAGGAGGATGGCCCCGGCGGCGCGCAGTTTGGCGGCGACGTGCGCATCACGCGGGACGATGGATCCGAGGAGCGCGAAGGAGCCAGCGGTGGTGTTCATGCCTGGGGAACAAAAAGGAATGTGAGAGGTGAGACATAAAGGAAGAAGGAGGCGCGGACCTTCGCTGGCCATCGTCGCGATGTTGTCTTTGAGGAGTATGGGAATGCCGTGCAGAGGGCCACGCGCGCCTTTTGTTTTCCGTTCGAGGTCGAGGTCGGCCGCTTGCTGAAGGGCACTGGGGTTCATCTCGATGACCGTGCGGAGGACGGGGCCTTTGAGGTTAACTTCGTCGATGCGGGCGAAATAGGCCTTTGAAAGACCATCAGCGATAAAGACCCCAAAGCGCCGAGCTATGCGTAGAACATAACAGGATCGACGACGTGATGAGCTTCCCCTGATCTCACCTTGACCAGATCGACACTCGTAAAGAGCCCTTTTTCCATGCCGTCTTGCAGCTCCGTGATAGATGCTTCATACAAGTCGGGGAACTTGGAGGTCTTATCTACATCCACGCGCAGGTTCAAGTGCAGGCCCGGGGCGATATCCACGTCAAAACCGTATCCGACCCACACGAGCGCGAGGACGAAAGTGATGAGCGAAGCGACCGCCAAGCGCAGCGAGAGTCCGCGAGAGCGCATCTTGGAGTCGAGTTCAGGATGAGCAGCAACCTGCGGTTCGGCCGGCGTCGTCTTCTTCATGCTGGACGGCGAGCAGAGCTTTTATGGGCTACTGAAGGAGCGTCGGACGCTTATCGGCGCTGTGCACGCGCTCCTGGGTGTGCGTGAGAGGGCGTGGGTCTGGATTCGAAAAGCAGGTTCCCAGCGGTCTATCAGTATGTGAGAGAGGCGGAGAAGCAGGAGGATACAAATAGGTATAAACACGTACGGCCGATGCAGGAAGTACGGAACATGCCAGGTTTCATACTGCGCGCCGTTTGATGGGCCACGGCCATGGAGGAGTCCGGACTCCGAAAGTGGTTTGAATTGCAAGGGCAGGCCGTAGCTCTGAGTAAGCCAACGGAGATGATGACCCTTCTTGGATGGCCACGCTAGTGTGTGAAGTCTGGCTAGGAGCTGAGAGCGTTTTGCAGGGAGTCGAGCCAAAGGCCCATAATCAATCAGCAATATATATATCGGAGTTCGATTTATTTTTGGGAATGTCGCGCTGTCACATGACCGTGACGCCCCGCGTTATCGAATCCTGCAAAGACTCTAGATCCTCTCCTCTTCCTCCTCCTCATCCAATATTACAGGGGGGTCCTACGTCCCGCGCAGGTACGATTCGAGACACACGGTACTGGTGACCTGCACGCACCCCAACCGAAGGACGACGTATTCAGCCTCGGTGCTGTATCCATACAAGTATGTACTCAGGGTTGCGAACGGTCGTAAACGAAGGTGGGAGGGGAGACTGAAACAAGTGTAGTGAACGTGTCATGAGGTCGTGATGTGTTGTGCCATACCTAATATGCTACAGATGAAGGAGCCGGATTCCACCAGATCGACGCACGAGTCCTCAAAGCCTCAACGTCAACACTAGCACCGGGCCATGGGGAATACGCGGTCCACGACGCGCTCGACGAGGCGCGCCTCGTGCGTCTGCATGTCCGCAGGGTTGACCGCCTCGCCCTTTCCCATCCGCTCCACCGCCCGCCGCCACTCCTCCACCTTCTCCTCGAGCACCGCCTCGCGCGCCCGCGCCAGCCGCGCCGTCGTCTGCAGCCCGAGCACCTCCGCCTCCGTGTCCTCGAGCGGCGTGCTGCGCGCACACAGCTCGACGTACGCCGGCCGGAGCCAAGTCGGGATCGAGTACTTCTCGGCCAGGAAGACACGCTCGACGGCGTCGAGCCGCGGCGAGGATGCGTCGAGCGCAGCGATCGCGTGTGCGCGCGCCGCGGCGAAGCCGAGCGTGGATGCCGTCGAGAGCAGGAGCACCTGGTCGAGCACGGACTCGTACGGGTTTGCGGAGGCGCTAGATGGGGTGGGCCGTGAGCACGCGTGAAGGGCGTGATAGTCACAGGATACGCACCCGTGGTAGAGGAACTGGAGGAGACATTCAAACTCGCGGCAGGAGACGTCCGCGAACGTGATCGCAGTCTGGTCCGACTTGCCCGCGTAGCCCACGACGGTGTTCTGGAAGAACTCCTTGAAGTACGCCGAGTCGCGCTCGAGGAAGTAGCGGTGCACGCGGAAGAGCGTGTTCTCCACCTGCGTCCTCATCAGTCAGAAGTTCTGAGTGTCCGGCGCGGAGCGTACCTTGAGCGTGATCATCTCATCCATCATGTAGAACCGCGAATGCCTTACGGCAGGCACCCCCGGCGGTGACGGCGAGCGGTCCATCTCCTTGCTCCGGCCTGCATGCGATTTGGACGGTCCCGGCGAAACCGACGAGGGCGACGGGGGCCGCGTCTGGGCGAGCGTCGAGCCGGGACTCAGCGGTACAGGGACGTTGTAGGGGCTCACGGGCCCGGGGCTTGACTCTGTAGGCGTCTGCGGGTGGATGGGGCGGAGGTCTTCGCGCGAAGACCGCGGGCTCGCGGAGAGGTGGCTGGGGGACACCGGGAGGGTTTGTGAAGGGAGGGCGAGCGGCGACTGCGACGGTGAACCAAGCGGAGACGGGCGGCGGAACTCTGAGCGCTCAGGGCGCTCAGATGGATACGTACTCCGGTCGATGGACGACTCGGACGTCGTGCGCGGGAGTTCCGCGAGTGGGAGGGACGTGAGCGGGCTGCTGAACATGGGCGACGCACCGACACCACTGTCGGACGAGAAGCTGCCCGAGATGTCGACCATCCGCCGCTGCGCGACGCTGCCGCTCCCCCCGACGTTGCTCCGCTTCGTCTTTGGCCGCGACTGTCGCCGCGGGGGGCTCGTCATGCGCGAGAGGCCGGGGATGTATGGCACCGCCGGCGGGGAGCGCGGCTCTTCGGGGTCGAGACGCTCCACAGAGGGCAAATGCCAGGAGCGCGAGGGTGGGTGGGACGGCTCTTCAGGTTCGCTGTCTGTCTCGACACGGGGACTGTGGTACTTGCGCGAGCCTTGGCTGGTGCGCGTTTGTTGCGCGGGAGATGAGGGCGAGGAACGGGATTTAGAAGGACTTCGCCGGCTGCCAGATGGGTCGTCAGATGGAAGAGGACCAGGGGGGCGCGCGGCGCGCGGCGTGATGTCGTTATAGCTTTCTTCCTGAGCTTCTCGTGCGAGACTGAGGGTGGGGCCTGCAGAGCGCCGCATGGGAGAAGGGAGGTCGGATGAGGAGAGTGTCCAGGGTTCGGGGGACATGGAGCGTCGAGGTTGGCGGGAAGGGCTAGATGGGGTGCCCGTGACTGGTGTCGACATGGAGGATGTGGGAGGATATGAGCGAGAGAGGTGATCGTCGCGGACGGGCCGCTGCTGAGGGCTTGACTCGATGAGAAACTTCATATCTGAACGAGAGCGGTGGGTGGCTGGGCGAGATAGAGCCATACCGTACATGTAGGTGAAGGATGCACCAGGTGCGAAGCGGGGTGTAGGGGTCGCGGTGGGGGGCAGCCAAAGATTTTGTACTCACGTAGCCGAGGGCACGAGGCGGGGGCGTGCGTTGGGGCGTGGCCGGTCCCATCACCCGCCAGGCCGAGATCCGCACGATCCATTGTTCCTCGCGTGGCCTTTGTTGCCACGAGTTGCGACTTCTCGTGGAAAGAACGGGCCTCGACTCATCGATGTTGTCACTGGGAAGTAGGAAGTCGGAGGGGTTGCAAGACAGAAGGCGATGAACATTATAGATACTAATCTACAACTGGGGAGGGCAAAGGAGATCGGCAACGCACTGAATAACCCACAGTCATCCCCCTTCAACCCCAAGCGTCTCTACCACAACATTCGGATCCGTGAAGGACTTGTTACATTTTGTACACACGTAGAAAAGCGTCATGCGCGTCTCCTTGCGCTTTGACTGGTCTTGGAAGAATACGGCACTGAGAGAGGATCAGGAGCGCCAGGGGCTCAGGAAATGGCGCGACTTACTCATCGTGGCCACAATGTGGACAAGTCATCTTCTGGTGCCCCTGAAGACTGATTGAGGATGATCACCGCGAATAAAATCAGTCCACGTACCAGCGTGGGGTCTGTACCGAGGTCATTAATGACACCCATTTGCTCTCTTCAGGCGGGTCAGTACCCGGTACAGTCGGACACTACGACATGGGGACTTACTTTGTGACTGTGAGCAAGTCGTTCCGGTAGACACACTGGTTCTCCCCAATCTCATCGAATGCGCATATACGGCATGCGTAGACCATGACACGACGTTGAGGATCGGCTTTGGGGTACAGGAGATTGTTGCACTCGGAGCAGAAATGAAGGGATGCCTGAGCAAATGTGGACGGGGATCAGTGACCTCCCAGCGCGCGCGAAGACGCAAGATAAGCTCACCATGACGCAGATTTCCACGAGCTCGGCACACTGATGAGCCCGCAGGACGCGAGAGAAGGAAGGCGAGAGTGGTGGTCGGAAGGCAAGACGCGTGAGTACATAAGCGCTCCGTTCAGCGCGCCTTTCTCTACCGACGACCGCGTCGAATCCGGCGACAAGATGCCTACTACCAACTTCCACGCCCGCTGCTGCACTCCTCTCTGCCTTGTGGACTCTTTCTCGTCTCCCCAAATTGTCCCTCCCCCTGCACTCGGTCTCACATAGATGGGTCGCGTGTACAAGCCCAGCAATGTCTACATAGCTCTGGTCATTCTTAGGACCTGCTTCGCGCTGTATGGGACAGGATTCATTCACCCGGATGAGTACTTTCAGAATGGAGAGGTCACGGCTGGTGTGTATTCTTTAACGTCGTTTCTCTATCTTTCAAGTTAACTGGCCGAGCAGGCCCTACCCTTGGTGTTCACTCGCACTTGACCTGGGAATGGCTGCCGGTCTTCCCGTGCCGTTCCATCGTGCCCGTGTGGTTGACAACTGGCGTACCTTTCATTTTATTGAAGACACTTCTTCCGGGTAAGTCCATTGGCTTGTTTCATCCGTGTATGCGTTCAAGTCCACCCAGACAGAGACCTTGCACCCAGAGTGATATTCACCGCGGAAAGATTGTCATTCTTGGGCTCGTCATTCTTGCTTGGTACGTGCTCAGCGTGAATATATACACATTCGACCGACCATGTCCTAGACTTCGCGACATATCACTTGGTACATGACTCTGCGAGAATGCCAGCATTGCTACTCCTCGGCTCGTCCTATGTTCTCCATACCTTCCAAGTCAGAGCTTTCTCCAACTCTATCGAAGCCGTCCTGGTCGCATCTTCTCTGTGGATGCTCAAGGCGTTACTGGTTGGGGAGAGCTTGAAGTCATACTCTGTGGTGAGTTCATTAGCCCCGTCCTGAGTCCTGAGTCCTGAGTCCTCATCACCTTCTCCGCGTACCTAGCATCCTGCTCTCATTTTGTCGGCAATATCCTCGGTGGCTGTTTTGGGCCTCTTTACCCGGATAACGTTTGGGGCTTTCTTCCTTCCTCAGGCCCTCGAGGTGCTCCGATGGAGCCTACGCGAATCCCCCAATTCTTTCCGCACTCTGCTGCGTTTGATCTCCCCGGCCATAGTCGCCGCTCTTGCCACGGGAGTGTGCATTGCGTACGCAGACACAGCGTACTTCCAGAATCAGCTCCGACCCAGTCACCTCGAATTTACTCCCCTCAACTTCCTCCAGTACAATATGCTCCCATCGAACCTTGCTCAACACGGACTCCACCCTCGCTGGCTGCACATACTCGTCAACCTGCCGATGATCGCGACGCCTGCACTCCTTGCATATACGTTCGTTGCGGAGTGGGACTTGTACAGCCCGCGCATTCGCGAGAAGACTTTGGAGGATGACAAGCGTAAGCTTGGGGCTGTTGAGCGTATTCAGACGGGTGAGTCGAACGCCAATAAGATCACTCATTAGATCTGACTGTTTTCAGTCTTAAATCGGTTAAGATGGTCGGCCGTGTTGCTTCTTTCGATTCAACCTCATCAAGAACCCCGCTTCTTGACCCCTCTGATAGCCCCCATGATTGCCTTCGTCGTCAATAATGGTCGCATCTTGCGTGCGGGGAGGTTTTTCTGGGTAGGCATGCTACTACTCCGCATGTCATCTGTGCTGAAAAGCAGCTGCAGGTTGTATGGATTGTTGCGAACATCACCCTTGCTGTCCTCTTCGGAGTTCTCCATCAAGGCGGTGTTGTCCCGTCCTTATTCCGTGTACACGACATCATCTATGATCCCGTGAATGGCTTGCCAAAGCAGAATTTCCATGTCGTCTACTGGAAGACCTACATGCCTCCAAGACATCTCCTGGCGGTGTCTATCAAGGGTTCGTTTTCCATGCCGACTGTTGGGCATATATTGACTTCTATCTACACTATCAGATGTCATACACAACACAGTCACCGTTTCCGACTTTTCCGGTGCATCATCACCCCGGGTCCTCCGGGGGCTGCAACTGCATCCCATTGATACCACGCCGCTAGGTACTATTTTGGTTGCTCCTTTCCACGCGGTACGGTTGCTGGGAGAAGCGAACTCCCGATGCGTGGTTGAGAGAAGCCGCGTGTATCCTCACCTCTCTCTCGATCACATCGGAGAAACGATGGAAGTGGGCTGGAAGGACGGATTCAGCCTCGGAATATTCGATATCGACAGAGATTGCCTAACTCCTCAAAATATCGCTTCAACTCCGGCGAGGTAGACGAATCCAGACGAGACGGCAGCGGGGGAGCGATACATCATTCATCCTGTCAGCCCAAACCGTCACTCGCGACTTCAGCGCGCCTCGACCACGTGTCCGTTTCGATTCCAGGTGAGGAACCATGTCTCCGAGTATAAGAGGCTTCGCCATATTTACGGCTCCTTGTACAGTCCTCGCTACATTCGATCGCACCAGATCTCGTCACTGAGCCCGGGCCTCGTTGTCGCCTCTATGTCCCAGCGACGCTTTTCGCCTCCTAAGGCGCCTGCGGCTACACGGCCCCGTGTTGCACGCCTGCGTCGACCATGCCTAGTACGCATTGCCCCGACTACATATGGAGTCCATGACCCGTCCGTCCACCTCCAGGATGCTTTTCAGCCTTCGTAGGTGCGGAACCCATGGACTTTTTCCCCAGCATACTCTCCACTCCCTGGACGCACGAGCCAAGTCCCCGCCTCTCTCCCTGCCCTCCCCCCAGCCCCGCACTTTGGATGCCATACGAGTGGACTCCCAACATGCGCAAGGACCCCGCGCACGTGCGCTCGCTCCCGCCTTTTCCGCCCCACTATCCGCCTCCACCACCACGCTCACACACGACACTCGCTCCTTCGAACCCGGAGTTCCTCCAGAACCTAGATTCGCATCCTATGATCATCCAGCGCGCCGTCACACCCGACGACGACAGCAGCAGCATCAGCACCGGCCCCGAGCGTCGCTCCCCCAGCCCCACATCGTCCATGGAGTTCGTCCGCCACGATTTCCCCCCTGCGCAGGTGCCGTTCCCGCAAGCCCATCCCTACAGCTCCGGCTTCAGCACCCCCGTGTTATGCGTGAGCCCGCGCCCTCTCCCGAGCGTCGGGGGCAGCTCGCACGGGGTGCAGAGCATCTCGAGCGCGGAGTCAAGCCCCGCACGGACGCCTGACTCCGCCATCGCTCTTCACGGGGCGTCGGTTGGCCTCTTCAAGCCATCAGGACCGGTGCTGGCGAAGCCTCAAGGCCCCCCGCAGGCGAAGGGGCCCGGCGCACTCCTCCCGCCCATCTCCTTGCGACCAGGCGGAGTCTCGTCGCCTCCTCCTCCCCCTCCATCGAAACTTGGTCTCGCTTTCTCTCCTGCCCCGCCTCAGCCCCAACCCCTCCTACTTCAGCCACAAGTCCGACCTTCCCCGCCTCCTATCAAAGCTCTACCTGCCCCGCAGCCGACGCCTGCGCCCACGTTCGCCAACATTCCACCGCCTCCACCTCTTTCTCAGCCCGTAATGAAGCAGCCTGGAACTCCAGGTCCGCGCGCCCGAGTGCCAGCCCTCCGTGGATCGACGAGCACCCTTTCGCTTCCCTTGAACAAGCCTCAAGCGTCGGACGCCCCGCGGCATCCGCATTTCTACAAGACCGAAGGCATGGTCGTGCTGAAGGTGCGTTGTGTGCCCCTCAGCGTCTATCGGCACCCGCCTCATGTATCGCTGCTTGCAGGTCGAGGGCTCCCTCTATCGCGTGCACAAGTACCTGCTCGAGCAGCAGTCCGAGTTCTTCCGGCAGATCATCTGTGAAGATCGCGACGCGATGGGACACACCGACGACCATCCCCTCCCCCTGCCCGAGACGATCACTCAACAGGCCTTCGACTGCCTCCTCAACTTCCTCTACTCAGGGTACGTCCTTCTCATGATCGATCCACCCCTTCTTCCATCTCACCCACGCTGGACCCTGCAGGATCTACGACCCCCAGAGCATCGCGATCCCCGACTGGGTCATCCTCCTCCGGATCGCGACGCGCCTGCAGTTCCCGAAGGTGCGCGCGTACGCCGTGCGCGAGCTGAGCGCGCGCCGGTGCGCGCTCTCGCCCGTAGACGCGCTCGTTCTCGCGAAGGAGCACGACATCCCCGCGTGGTGCGCGCCCGCGTACGCCGACCTCGTCCGCCGCACGGCGCCGCTAAGCGAGGACGAGGCGGAGCGCCTCGGGGCGCGCGCGGCCGTGCGCGTCGCACGCGCGAGAGAGGTGCTCCGTGCGGAGGAGTTCGCCCAGCACCAGCACCGGCAGTTCGGAGCGCGGTACGCGCCGCCGGAGACGCGCGATGAGCAACTTGTCACGCGCACAGTGAGCGAGGTGTTCCAGCTGCCGGCGTCGCAGGTGTGCGCGTGAGGCTGGCCCTAAAGGAACGCGAGATCGTGGTGGGTTATGTTGTCGTCTCTGTAGGTGCTGTGCTCTGCTTTAGTTAGGTACAGCTTTTGTTTTTCTTGAACTCGCCTTATCTATGATGTATCCCTTCCTCACCCACGCTGGGTGACGTGTATGAACTTTGAAGTTCGACTTCCAATCCTCATCGCCGCCATAGTATTATCACCACCACGAAGCGCTGCGGTGTGTGGATCTCTTCACGTCCAGGTGCATTAATCACAACCCTGATGTTGCGTTCGGACTCCTTGAGGGACCAAGCTGATCATGTATTCCGTCAGCGGCGAAGCCGACTCGCTCGCTTGGGAGGTCGATTAGTATCTAGGGTCAAATCCTTACATCATCCGTTCGGCCTTCGCGCACCGCCGCCGAGGACAGTGTCAGTCTTTCATCTGCTCTTATGCGGATCATGCTGACATCTCGCTCAGCAGCAACCTTTTCAATTACCCCCCGTATCTCAGGTGAGCTCTTAGCTCGTGCCATCACGGCGTTGCGGGGCCGCATGAGCCCAAGTTCGTCAGCACCTACTACGACATTCGTGTTGCATATTCGGTATCGGGCGAAAAGCGAAAGCCCGAGGTATAAAGACGTATTCCTGTTCATTTCTTCCGCGCACTCCACAAACACAGTTCCTCACGCCTTCGTTCACCAGACGCAAGTCATGAAGGCCGCGCAATACTATGGCCCTGGTGATATCCGCCTAGAGGACATTCCTGAACCTGTACCTACTCCGACGCAGGTCAAAATCAAGGTACGTGCTGTGAAACAATTCAAGGTCGACGTCTGTGACTGATATATGAAGTACTAGATTACCTGGTAAGACTTACTCCTGCGCGTTTTGCTCTGCTCTCAGCATAATCCTCATATTCATATTTGAAGGTGTGGAAGTGCGTAATCACAGACTCCGAATCCGACTTGGTGTTCTGACGTGTCGTCGCCACAGTTTGCGGCTCTGATCTGTATCTCTGGCACGACTTTATTCGCTCCGACCTATGACCACAATCACCAGTGGCAAGCGCCTTCCCGTCACTCATGGCCACGAGCACGTTGTTCCTATCACCTTCTTCGACAAGCTCTCGACATGTTCCTCTGCAGGATGGCAGGGATCATCGTTGAGCTTGGTTCCGATGTCGACACGTCTCGGCTCTCCATTGGACAGAAGCGCGCCATGTGCACCCCCTACCGGCCGGCGTGTCTAGTACGCGCAGTCCGTCACCGCATGAGGCCTGCCTAGCATCGTCACACAGCCGAGATGGGAGCAGTCGCTCAGCCGCTCGCTATCGCCTGGCACGCTGCCAAGCGAGCTGAACTCGGATGTAACGTGCTCGTCATGGGCGCGGGTCTGGTAAGCCGCTCCGGCTGTTCGTCGCGTCCAACCCACGGCCTCACCTGCTCTCGCTCAGATCGCGCTCATGACCGTAGCCAGCATCAAGTGCGTCCCTCCTCCGCCCGCTTTCTACAGCTTACTGAAACCGTCCTAGGGCCCTTGGCGTGCGACCGAGCTGGATCGGCCTCAGTGGCCGCCCCTTGAAGTCGGCCGCGAGTTCGGCGCGACGGTGCTCGACGTGCGCGCGCCCGGGTTCGACCTCGCTGTGACGAAGGCGGCGACGGCAGCGTACGGCGCGGACGTCGTCTTCGACTGCGTCGGCACGCAGGCGTCGCTCGCGGCGGTGCGCCGCCGCGGGAATATCATGAACCTCGCGGCGTGGAAGGTGAAACCGGTCGTGGACATGCTCAAGCTGGTGCTCAGTGAGGTGTCGATCATCAGTGCGTGTGGTTTGTTGCTCGGCATGTGCGGCGTGACCGCTGACGATGAATTTCGGGTAGGCTGCATGACGTTTGCAGATGACGACTACCCGAGTTTGCTCAAGGCTATGGGCGAGGGCTAGTTCGTTGGGCTTGAGGATATCATCACGAGGAGGATCGGGCTCGAAGAGCCTGTAGAGAAGGGTATCAAGGGGTATATACACGAAAAGAACGAGATGAGTACGTGGCTTACACATCGTCTTGCATGAGCCTGCTGACCCTGACGTCTCCAGTCAAAATCCTAGTACATCCCTAAGCACTGACATCCCCTTATTCAACCCACGTAGATTGTCGTCTGCCGTCACTCGCTCCAATAAATGTTGTTGATGCTTGCAAGTGCTGTCAATGGACTTGACTACAATATCGCCTCGGATAATTGGTCAATGCAGCTCTGTGCTCGATCACGCGCAGAGGGCCAGGGGAACCGGCATTGGTGCGTGATCTCGGACGACCGAGGTCGTGCCATACTCAAGCTCTTCGATATCCTCCTACTTCTCAGCCGGCCCGTCCAGTCCGTATGCATATGTCTATTACCGGGCTTAGTCGCGACTCGCGGCCAACATGTTTACGGCCAACTCTCAAACTTCCTTACTCTCGGGACTTATTCGGAAACGGCCGCGGCGACGATCTATGAGGTCTCCAGGGGCTCCTTGCGGGAGAAGCTCGAGCCGCATCTGAAGACAAGGCTGCAGACCATCTGCACTCGGTCGCGACCAGGTGAGCGCGGTCACCCGATTGCCTCAGATGCTGACCGGTGCTCCCCGGGCCGGGCCGGCGGCATAACTCTCCGTTCCGCGTCCCCACCACGCATTGTTTTCCCTCACGCCCATGATCACCAGCGGGGCACCATGACCGGTCGCTCTCCCGCGGATGAGCCTGAATGTTTGCACGGCTGCATATAAGGACGGGTCGTTCTGCGCGAAACGACTCGCGCCCTCACGAGCCTCTGTCATGCACTTGCTCTCTTTGCTCCTCGCGGTTCTCGCTCTGGCTCTGGGAAGTCTCGCGGCTTTCCCGGATCCGCTCGCTCTTTCCGGCTCGACGTACGTTCACGACCCGAGCCTTATCCAGCGCGTGAGCGATGGGAAATATTACCTGTTCTCCACGCACAACCGGATCGCCATCCTGACCGCAACTAAGCTTGCTGGGTACGACCTCTTTTGATCTCCATCGAGAATCTGTGGTCTGACGGTTTCGACGCAGACCGTGGACATCCGTCGGGTCCGTGCTCTCTTCAAAATCCATCATAAACCTGTGTAGGTGCATGCGCCCCTCGCTCCCGTCCTTCCTTCTGACCTTGGCGATGACGTCCAGCGGGGAACGACGACCTCTGGGCGCCGGACGTCTCGTACCACAACGGCGTGTACTACGCGTACTACGCCGTGTCCACCTTCGGCTCGCAGAAGTCCGCCATCGGGCTCGCGACGTCTACCAGCATGGACCCAGGCACCTGGACGGACCACGGCCAGGTCTTCGCGTCGTCGACCGGCGCGGCGTACAACGCGATCGACCCGAACCTCGTGATCGACGAGAGCGGAGCACCAGTGTTGACTTTTGGTGCGTGCCGACGTTTCTGTGAGCCGACGCAAGTTCTGACCCCGCTGCCGTAGGTTCTTTCTGGGTACGAAGCCCGCCCCTGTGCCTGCGCTGTCGTCGCTGACCAGAAGGCCGGATCTGCGTAGAGCGACCTTTACCAGGTCAAGCTGCAGAGCGGCCTGTCCAGCAGCACCGGCTCGGCCGTGCAGGTCGCCTTCAACTCGACGTCGCCCCAGCCAGAGGAAGGGGCCTTCGTGTGGAAGCACGGCAGCTACTACTACCTTTTCTTCAGCAGTGGTACCGTCCTTCCGCGCGTCGTCTCAAACTGTGCTCACACCCCCGTCCTACACAGGTCTCTGCTGCGGCTTCACCGCGTCCGCCCTCCCTCCCGCCGGGAACGAGTACAAGGTCCGCCCCCGTCCCCTTCCCCGCCTGTCTCTCCCCATCCCCACACTCCTCACTTCCCTTGCAGGTCTTCGTCGGGCGCTCGACCTCGGCGCACGGCCCCTTCGTCGACAAGAACGGGCGGGACCTGCGGAGCACGGGCGGCACGCTCGTGCTCGCCTCGCACGGGAACGTGTACGCGCCTGGGGGGCAGGCGATCTTCTCGGACACGAAGAGCGGGAAGGACGTGTTCGTGTACCACTACGTGCCGGTGAAGAGCGCGGTGCCGTACAGCGACGCGTACGCGTCGCTCGGGCTAAACGCGATCGACTGGAGCTCGGTGAGTGCTGCTGTTGCTGGTGCTGCTGCTGGTTTGTGGGGGGAGGAGCTGACGTCTGGACGATGCAGGGGTGGCCGGTGTTGACGAGCCTCTAGAGGACGGCGGAAGGTGGGGTCGCGTGGACAATGGCGCGGTTCGAAGTGGGGTGTACCTGTAAATCAGTGCTCGCGCGCGCCGTAGCCATGTCGAGCCGTGATGTGTCGCCAGACGAGGAGCAAAACGAATCATTGCACTTGCGAGATTGGGACGATCATCCATGACGTCATCGACACTCAGCCTACAAGGCAATCAAATTGAGTGTTAACAATAATGTACGAACTGCAAATTACAGGGACAGCAGTGCAAGGCTCGCAATAAAACTGATACAATATAAACTACCTGAAAACGAACGTTCAAAGCAAGAGCACGTACTTAGAGACCGTAAGAGCAACGAGCGCGTCGCCTTCACCGATACTCGCACGCTGTGCACGCGCCCGTCCCGCTCAGAACTTCCACCCGCCCGCAAGCGCCATCACGCCGTTCGGGTCGTACGTGGCCCTGATCGCCTGCAGCTTCGCGATGTTGTCCCCGTAGAGGCGCTCGAGCGGCGTGTCGAACATCGCGTAGTTGCCGTACAGCGCCGCGCCCGCGATGTCCTGGCCCTCGGCCTCGACGACCGCGGTGAGCTGCGCCGCGCTCTGCCGCGCGGCGTCGTGCATCACGTCGTCGTACGCCGCCAGCGTCCAGGCGTAGTAGATGTTGAGCGGGAGGAGGCCCTGCGCGCGCGAGGGCGGGTACGCGGACGAGCCCTCGGGCGCGTGGGAGAAGAGCGAGGACAGGAACGGCTCGACGTCGTACGAGATGAACGAGCCGGAGGCGGTTAGCGACAGGCGCTCGCCCCAGAACTGCATGCGCGGGAGGTCAGCAGGGTGGACGGCAGACGACGGCGGGCGGCGCGCGTGCGCACCTCGGACTCGTTTTTGACCGCAGCCATGATCGCGGGCGTGTACTCGAGCACAGAGACGGTGTGGAAGATGCCGCTGATGGACACAACACCACGTCAGCGTCCCGCACGGAGCGCCCATGGGTACGCGGAGAAGCAAAACAGGGCGGTGCGCACCGTTGGCCGCCCGTGGCGTTCGCGGGAGAAACCTGGACGAGGTCGACGAACGAACGGGTGCTGACGTCCTTGGTGAAGTACGGGATCGCGAGGAAATCGTCGAAGATCCCCGCGGGCGGCGTGGGGCCGTCGTAGAACATGAGGAGTGATACGCCGAGCTGTGTGTGGAGTGTCCGGTACGTTAGCGCGAGTGGGCCTCGTGAATGTTTTAGAACGCGCGCACCGAGCCGATCAGGAAGTTGTAGGTGGGAAGGATGGCCGCCTTCGGGTCTGAAACCGAGTTCTGAAACTTGAGCGTCGCTGCCGTCACTTCATCGGCATGGTTGGCGGTGATCGTAATAAGGCCACCCTTAACGCACGGGGCGCGAATTAAGCACTGAGCAGCGAACGAAAGCTGCATGGACCTACCCAGACCTGGCCTTGAGGGTGCGTGTTCAGCACGAACCGGGTGACGATGCCCTGTCGGAGGATATATGTCAGCGCAGGCGACGCGGGGGGAATAAGACCTCGCGAAGACTCACGAAGTTGTTGTAACCGCCCTAGAAGAACGCCCCCGTCGCCATCAGAAGATGTACAACGCAACGCCGCATTCCCCACGCACCTTGAGACCGAAGAAAAGGTCCGGGTACGATTCCGCGGTGACAGAGAGGACGGAGCCGTTCGCGAGCACGAGCTCATAGCCGGAAAGATTGTCAACCGTGAGGCCGAACTGGTTCGTCTTCCATGAGAATCCTGTGGGAATGCGTGAGCATCGTACTTCGCGTATACATTCTGTCCGCTCTTTTTTTCCATGCATGTGTCAATGACCGGCATTTGCGCTGGTCGCGCGGCAGTTCGGAGGCACTACTCCCCTGCAAGTGTATTGAGACTCACCTCCGCCAAGAGTGAAGCCAGCAACGCCGACACCGGTCACCCGGCCCCCGACAACCATGACCTCATGTTCCTCCAAGCCGGCGTAGACGTCGTCCCAGATGAGACCCGCTCCCACCGTGACCGTGTTGGTCGTGCTGTCGTAGTTGACCTCGCCGAAGCGGTACATCGCGATCTGGACGCCGGTGGTGGACGACCAGCCCGGGTTCGACGCGTGGCCTCCACCCTTGACCTACGCACGCCCAGCGGGTCAGCATCGTCCACCGCGGAAATGAGCGCCAGAACGCACCGCAAACGGGGTGTTTGTGTCTCCGAGGATTTGGAGCTAAACGGTGCGGTCATCGTGGGCAATGATGTCAACCGGCGGCATGTGGCTGTGTGATGCAGGTGAGGGAGACTTACGATTTTCCCGACATCCTCGGCGGTCCCTGGCTCGACGGAACAGGCTGCTTGTTGCGAGCTCGAGGTCATCCAGTGTCCGACGTCCTTGTTGTAGGTGGGATTGAAGTCAAGCACTGTCCACGTAGACACGAGGCGTAATAGTGCGAGATGAATATGAGGTAGGGCATGGGTGGCAAGAAGCATGCTGAGCGGGAACAGCAAGGAAAGTAGGCAGGAATGGACTCACGAGAGAACTCGACGGCAGAGTCATTGGTGATAGCGGCCTTGATCTGGTTGCAGACGTCCGAGATGTCCCGCGGGTATACACCCCCTGGAGAGACGGCGACTGATGAGGCGGCCGTAAGGACACCCACCAAGGCGGTGGCAGCAGCGAGAGACCAAGTCATAACGATGCGGAGGAAGGACGACAGACGAGAGGGTAAAGAGGGGACGTCGGCACGGTGGGTCAAAGTAGAGGTAGAGGTCGAGGGAAGGCGGAAGGTTCTTCGCAGAAACAGAGACTCGAGACGGAGATGTTGATGTCCACGAGATGGCTTTTAAAGTATCCGAGACCTCGATACCGGTGGGGCGTGCTTAGCCGCCATCAGCCAATTGTTGCCGAAGATCTGAAGGGATCTGCTACCGTCATTTTGGAGACATTCCAACGCGGCGTCACAAGTTTTCCGTTAGTGGCTCGGCTGGTTGCAAGAATAAAGGACAAACCGGAGAAAACCCATATCTTGAACCGATAGCCCCAAGTTGGTAGCTTCAACCCATTCTATGCAGTGACAGAAAGAAATTGGCACATCGGCGGCCGGACGCGGGTTGCAAGTGAATTCCCAGAGAGCGCGCCCTGGACGCATGGGCGGTCTCCTGCGCGATGGCTTCTTCCAGTCGACTATGGTGACACGATGGCGGGCACATCTACTTCGAGGCCGGGTCAGAAAGCGGCCATAAGTAAGCTTGAGATATCAATTGTGAACCCCAACGGCAACGCTTCCCCGTCCTCTGCGCAGTCGCACATGTGTGGGAAGGAAGTTACGTGATCCGCGGTCGAGGGTGCCCGCCGCCCGGGGGCGAACGCACGGCCCAACTCGCGAAAGCTGCGATAGAGATTGAGAAGAACGTTCTTGCTCGCACACCGTATGGCACGGCCGCGGCGAGAAGTCTTTAAGCGACCAGGACCTGAGGTGATGAGAACGAGCGTGAGTGCGTCCGCAAGGGACAATCGATGGAGAAGCACTTACTGCTATCGACATAGCATATACTCAGCCTACGTTTTAGGTGCCTCCAGCATATATACTACATAGTCTATGCAAGTGTTGTGCAACATGTGAGATGTATAGGTGGTCGAGTTCAGTCCAGGTGCAAGCAGACAGACGCCGACTTCCGGCCAGCGGTCGCCCGATTCCCGCGGTCGCGATAAGCTCACACGTGACGGGGCTTAAACCAACTGTACAGTTGTTGTCGGCAATCCCCGGGTGGCTGGCGCGTCCGCGGCGCTGTTGCTGCTCATCGCCGACAGCAGCGAAAGAAGCAAGCCCAGCCCGCCCCCGTCCTCAAGACCTCAAAATGCCCAAGAGTGCGTCCACGTCGTCCCTGTGCATTTGCATGCCGTCGTGCTGACCGTTTGCGTCGCTTTGCGCAGTCTACAAGCCCGGCAAAGTACGTGCTCTGCGGGCGTGAACCTATGACCGTGCGGACCAGGTCCTGACTGAACTCCCTGCGTCTCTTTTCCGCACATCCCAGGTTGCTATCGTTCTCCAGGGCCGCCAGGCAGGAAAGAAGGTCGTTGTCATCAAGCAGCTCGATGAGGGCACCAAGGAGCGGCCGTACCCTCACGCGATCGTCGCCGGCGTCGAGCGCTACCCCCTCAAGGTGACGAAGCGTATGGGCGCGAAGAAGGTTGCGAAGCGGAGCAAGGTTAAGCCCTTCATCAAGGTGCGTTTACAGCTGGTTGGTGCGATACTGGTGGGATCTGAACGGAGGGATTCCCGCTTGCGTGCGCGCGATGCAGGTCATCAACTACTCGCACCTCTTCCCCACCCGTTACGCACTCGAGCTCGAGGGCCTCAAGGGTGTTGTCGGCTCAGAAACGTTCAAGGAGGTTTCGCAGCGGGAGGACTCGAAGAAGCAGATCAAGAAGCTGCTGGAGGATCGTTACACGGGCGGGAAGAACAAGTGGTTCTTCCAGCCTCTTCGCGTGCGTATTCTCTTGCTCTCCCGCATTTTCTTCCCCATCCCCTTGTACTGACGTTCGCCTTCCGCAGTTCTGATCTGTTCCGGTCTTGCTTTCCCTTGTTGTGACGTTGTCTGCAAAATCCCCACATGTACATCACATGTCCACGCATGACGCATGCCCACCATTACCACATCATGTCTCAATAGTATGCCATGGGTGACGACGCCTCGCTCTTCTCGGGTCGTCCCTGGACAGCAAGTAGACCAGACAGATGTCTTGATCAGCACGCGCGTCGTGTACTCGCGGGTGTTACAAGGACCTTTGGAATTGTCGGTTCGTAATCGTCAAAGCATGTCCGAGTGCGGAATGGATGGATATACGTGCTAAGGGGACGTCATAATAGCGTAGCAGACAACAACAGAACGTGAGCAGCGAGGAAAGGGGGATGGGTGCCGGTCATCGCGCGCAAAGTGGATATCATATCGGTCTCGATCCAAGAGAGAGCAAGGAGGGGATTAGGCGGGCGGTGGACGGTGGGGAATATCGTAGGAGAGAGGAGCGGACGAGTGAGAAGATAGCTAAGAGAACGCCCCGGACGTGTGGTCTGGAGGCATGAGGCATGGGATGGAGCCTAGACGAGCACCGCAGCTTCACGAGAGCGCAGAGAACAGACACGACGCGCGGAACAGAAGGACGGACCTACGCTCACGACCCGACGTCGCCCACTCGCGTGAGTGCCGCGCGCCGCCTTTTCTTCGGAGGCTCCTGCGCCTCGTCCGCCTCCCGCGCCTTCTCCTTCTCCTTCTCCTTCCCCGCGCTCCCGCCCCCGAGCTGCGGCAGCACCGACGCGGGCTCGTCCCACGCGCGCGCGACGTTCTCGTCCACGCTCGCCGCGGGCGTCAGCGGGGGCTCCGCGGCGGCGGGGCGCTTCGCGGGGACGAGCGCGACGGGCGACGGCAGGGCGACGGCGTGCGTCGCGGGCGTGGACGCGACGGAGGCCGCAGCGGAGGGCGCCGAGGACGAGAGCGGGAGCGCGTGGTGGTGGGCGATCGTCTGGAGCTGGAGCGTGTGCTGCTGCGTGTGGTGCGGGGGGAGGAGCTCGTCGAAGACGACGAGGGTGCAGTAGCCGTCGCGCGAGGCGAGGATGAGGCACTGGCCGTCGGGCGACCTGTGAGGAGGGGTGGCGGTGAGCGACGGATGAGGCTGGGATGGGAGAGCACGTACCACGACATGTCCGTGAACTCGTCGTAGTGCAGCTTCGTGAGCAGGCAGACCGGCCCGCTCTGCTGCGTGTCGTAGATCATGACGGTGTCCATCGTCGCGACCGCGTAGAGCATCCGGTACGGGAGCGCGAACACGCTCGCGGGCGCCGTAGGCGTCATTGGCGGCGCGGGCGTGCCCGGCTTGCTCCCCATCGGCGTCGGCGGCCGCAGCGAGTCCGCGGCCGAGAGCGCGGGGGACGGCATTGCCATCGCCGCCGCGGCGTAGCCTGTAGGGATTGCGATGCGCGGCGAGGGCGCGGCGATCCCACCCGCCTTCGTCGGCGTCGCGTGCGGGGTCCGGTCGTGCGCTTGGCCATGGTGCGGGTGGTGCGGGTGGAGGTGCGCGCCGCCCGACACAGGCCGGGGCGCGACGCCGATGTCGACTTCGACATCAATCATCGTCTCCGGGTCGCGTTCGAGTGCAATGCTCTTCGTGTCGGCCTCCGATGCCCAAACGCCGGGGCGGAGCTCGTACAGGATCGGGGAGAAGCGTACCGCGACGCTGGCCTTCTTGTGCCCAGGCAGTTGCCCGATGGGCGGGCGGGCGAAGTTCGCGCGCGAGTAAATGTAGACAGAGGACGAGGAGCCCTCCTTGACTTCGCCCGCGCTCGGATTGCCCTTCCGCCCCCTGGTCTGCTCAACGCCCGGCTTGGGAACAACCGACGGGTCTTCGAACTGTCCGGCTGGGGTCAGGAGCAGACCGCCGTCGGGACTGAACGTGAGTCGGCGGAAGAAGTTGGTGAAGCTCTCGTCCCCGTAGAGCTTGACGGACGCCCATGCGGTCGTCGAGGGCGCCATCCGGATAGCGGGAAGTGCGGGCATCGGTGATGGCGAACGACCGTAGCGGCTACGATTGGCCGGGGAGCTAGGCGCGTTGGAACCGCTGAACGATGACCGTCGTGACGAGGTTCTGCCTTCGTAAGGGGGCGGGAACATGGTCTGGACTGAGGGTGTGCTTGCGACAGACGCAGTTGGGGTGAGCAGCATGCTCTGTTGAAATGGGTCTTTGGTGTTGCTTGTACTGCTAGAGGCGACGACTTCCTCATTCAGCCGTTCGCTGACGCTAGTGATAACCGACTCTGTTTCGCTCGCCGTAGACTCGCGGCGGAAACCGCGGGTGCGAGAGTGGGTACTTGGTGTGCGGCTGTGCCGGTAGGGCATGCGTGTGTTCTTGCCGACAGCGTGGACTTCGAGAGAGCCCGACTTGGTCGAGATGCTGTAGATGTGCATTGAACGATCGCTGCTCTGGGTGGCGATGTATTCGTTCAAGGGGTCCCACGCGACCCCCTGAACGTAGTGGTTGTGTTCCGCGACTTCATGGAGGCATTTCCCTATTGCAACGTCAGTATTCTTGCACACCTTCAAACACACTTCACGCGCTGAACCCTTTTGACGCCATGTTGTGCGACAGTGGCGTGACCCATCACCGGCCCATCACTCCCCTAGAATGCGACATGGTCACAAACCACAACCTTTGCCACTTCATCGCCCCGTGCCACGCCATGTCGGGCGCCTGCCCCCCGAGATCACGACGTACCGTCACTAGACGAGAAGATCCGAGCGCAGTTGTCCGTGCTCCCAGCGATGATGTACTCGCCCGAAGGGCTCCACGCCAGGTCGTACACCTGCATGGTCGTGCACCTGCCGGCCAAAGCGTGAGCTCGCCACACGTGTGCGTCTCCCGTCCGCGCCACACGCCCACTCACCGGAAGGTCGTCCGTGGCTTCCAGTGCTCCTTCTCGTGCTGCATGTCCTCCGGCGTGAGGTCGCTCCCGTAGCTGCTCGCGTGCGGGCTGTTCGTCGGCGCCCATACAATGATCATCCCGTCTGTGCGCGCGCCCTCCGTTCGTCAGTCGCACGTTCCCGCACGGACCCTGAGGCCTGAGCAGCGGAGTGACGTACCGTCCCCAGCGGACGCGATCATGTCTCCTGTGCGCCGACACACGCGTCTCGTCAGCGGCTGCGCGTCTCCGCGGGGCAGAGAGGGGGGGAGGGGACGCGGGAGGGAGGGCAAACGAGCGAGGACGCACCGTTCGGACTGAAACGCACGACGTTCACCGCGGCCGAATGCCGGCTGAGTGTCGCGAGGTACTCGACGCGCGGTGGGCGCGGGGCGGGCGGGGCGTCCCCCGCGCCCTCGACGAGCGACGGGGGGAGGATGTTCGGGTGCACCATCCACAGCTGCGCACGGAACGCGACCGGTCAGCGTGAGCTCCAGGCTCGGGGACGGATGCGGGGTAGGCGCGCAGGGCAAGATGTGCTCGGGGAGGGCCCCCTCGCTGCGTCCCCCCACCGCACGCGTCGCAGAGAGGACGACTCACGCGGACATGGTTGTCCTCGCCGCCGGTCGCGAGACGGTAGGCTTGGGAAGGGAAGAGCTTGTCGGCGGTAGGGCGCGCCTTCTTGAAGGGCACCGGCTGGAAGTCGCAGGTGGAGATGGGCTTGGAGTCGTGCCAACGGATCTCGAGGGTGCGGACGCGCATGGCGACGACGCTGCTCCGCGCAAGGGAGGCGACGAGGGGCAGGAGGAGAAGGCAGAGGGAAAGGAGTCTGACGCAGGCCTCGCCCGGCGCTGCGCCAAGTGGCGGACCCGGCGCCAATGTCGGTATCGGGCCTTTGTTTGGTTCTATTCAAATCGCACTGTCCCCGCAATCGTAGCTTACTGATTGGTTATCCGTTAATAATCAGATATCCAGCTGAACAAGACTCCCTGCTATTGTACACGGCCGGCAGCAACTGTCGATATGTATCGGTACACAAAGCCACCTTACAACGTGCTCGCCCTGAGCGTCGCCGTCGACGACATGAACGACTCCGGGTCCTCCTCTGGACCCGTGCCCTGTATCACCGCGAGATCCTTCATGTCCTGATGCAGCAACTTCGTCAGGTGCACCAACCCCGCCTGCTCGTCCGCGAGAACCTGCATTATCATCATCAGCCACGCATCCACCGCAGTCGACAGCGGGAAAGCCCACGCACCTGCGCAATCTGCGCCAACCCATCCTCGTCCACCACCGTCCATTCCACCCTACCCGCCCGCCGGTCCCGGTCCCGTGCCGCGCTCACTGCCCCAACGAGCGCCCACAGCTCATTCAGCTTCCCACGAATCCGCCCCGTCCCGCCTGGCCGGCGCACTTCTTCGTCGAGCTCTTCGAGCGCGGTCCGAAGCGCCTCTTCTTCGGGGCGGAGGGCGGAGGAACGGAGGGCGGGGATGAGAAGGTGCAAATGTTGGACAAGCTTGAGCACCCGGTGCGTCAGCTGCGTCTGTAGGGCCGAAGCGCGTTGCAGCCGTGATGCGTTTTTCAGCTGGTGCGCCTGGACGAGCGCAGCTATCCGAGCTTGAAGATCCTGAACACGAAACCGTTGAACCACTGTCGGTGTTTCTAGACAAAAGGAAAGTATACCTTGATCCTCTCTTGATGCGTGGCGGCCTGCTGAGTCTGCGCTTCTACCCGCTTTTGCAGATCGTCGAAGCCCGTTGCGATGACCGGAACAAAACTGGGCGTAATAGTCAGCCTCTCGATCTGAAGCAACGGCGAATGCTCGTACCAGCTGGGATCCGGGTTCTCCCTCATGGCCTTCTGCCACTGTGCCTCATTCGTCGCATTCGCTGGCCGCCCGTACAGGTGCACTTGGGACGGCTCCACGAGGTTGTAGAAGTAGTGCTGCACCGACCGTGAGCGGTCTGCGTCGCATACATACAAGTGGAGCGACTCACCTGGAATCGGCACTGCGGGTTGTTCGGATTCCACGCACTGGCGATGCTCTCGATCTTCTGCTGGAGCTGCGCCGACTGCGTCTGTGCGTCTTGTTGCGGGTTAGGTGCGCCGGACTTGGATGTGAACAGGTTGCTCGCGCCCAACGCCCCACCCCCTATCGTGCTGGCCCCGAGGATGCTACCCCCCGCGCCGAAAAGCCCGGTGTTCGCTGGTCTTTGTTGCTGACCCATGTTCGCGAACAGCGAGCCGGTTTGGGCCGGTTGGTTGGTCGAACTGAAGAACGACGAGCCAGCTTGCGGCTGGGTCGTGTTGCCAAAGAGCCCTCCGGAGGTCCCCGTGGCGGGCGCGGTGGACCCAAAGAGCCCCCCGCCGGTTGTCGGTGCTGCGGTGGTGCTGCCGAAAAGGCCTCCTCCAGTGGCGGTTGATCCAAACAGGCCACTAGATGGAGCGGTGGTGTTGGTGTTGGTGTTGCCAAACATTCCGCCGCCGGTTGTGTTCGCGGTGTTGCCAAAAAGCCCGCCACTCGGAGCAGCGGTGGTGCTTCCAAACATACCGCCTGAGGGAGCCGTAGTGTTGGTGGTCCCGAACAGGCCTCCTCCTGTCGTGTTTGCGTTGGTGGTGCCAAAGAGTCCTCCGCCAGTCGTCGTCGTATTCGTGGAACCGAACAAGCCACTTCCGACGTTCCCAGAGGGGTTCGTGTTCGTGTTCCCGAAAAGACCACCTGCAGCAATCCCTTGTTCAGTTTGCAACTAAAGAGAGCGGAAAAGGAGGCAGAGAGGGGCTACACCACACCATACGCATACGCATGCAAACCCCCTTTCTGGTGACCCTCGTTTCGCAACGATGTGATCATCATCCCGGGTGCACATTTCCTCCCCCTAGCGCATACAGCTGAGTGGCCGCCACCCAGACAATCGCGTGTTCACCTCCTGCACAACAAGACTTTGAACTCACCTGTCTGGGCCGGCTGCGTAGAGCCAAAGAGTCCCCCCGACGGCACAGAAGCGTTCGTCTGCTGTTGCGTCGCGTTCGTGTTTCCGAACGGCCCTCCTCCCGCAGGCGGGTTCATGGTCCCGAACGGCCCGCCGCCCGTCGTCGCCCCAAATGGCCCGCCCGACGGTTGCGCGTTCGTGTTTGTGTTCGTCGCGCCGAACAACCCACCGCCCGCCGTGTTCGTGTTTGTGTTGTTGCCGAAGAGCGAGCTGCCGGCCAGGGGCCCAGAGGTGTTTTGTGTGGACCCGAACGCGCCGAAGGCAGAGCCTGAGGGCTGGGCGGATGCCGTTCCAAAGGCACCAAACGACATGGACGAAGAAGAGACGGAGGAGGGGGTGGAGGGGTGGAGCAAAGAGTTAGTCGTGCGCGAGGACAGTGACAGCCAAGCTCATAAGTACGCAGAGCGCGCGAGTCGACGCGCGGGTGGCGGCACCGTTGCGGGACCGCGGGGACGGCGTGTTTGCGCATGTTTGGCCGCCTAATAGGGGGCGCGTTCTCCAGTTCGACTCTCTTTCGTTCGGACCATTCGCGTGGATTCCAAGTGGCCAGTATGTTTCAGCGGAATGGCTCTGAGTATGTGCTACACCGGAGTGCAGGGACCGGGGAAGGGCTGATCGCCAATTGGACAAACCACTAGTACACTCCGCCGCCCGGGGTAAAGCCTGCGACTTGTTCGTCGATTCTCGTCGCCGGCCCTCCTTTTCACCTGCTCTGTGCCGACATACGTATGCACCTCGACGTTGGGGTCGACGTCGCCCGCGCATACATGAACGTCAATAAGAAAGCTGGATGAGATTGCGGATAGACAAGCCTATGTAGATATCATGAGATGAGACAGAGTAGACGACATGTAAAGCAAGAGCGACAGCAGATAGCAATTGATACACATACAAAACCGAGGGATTAGCTGGAACGACGGAGCAAAGCAAGAGGACTCAGTCCGACGACGCCGCAACAAAAAATCCACCTAGATCGCGTTCCCACACTGCGGGCACTCGTACACCACCCCGTCGAACAGCGCGCCGAGCCCGCGGCACTCCTCCGCCCGCCGCTCCCAGTACTCCTTCCGCGGGACCGCGAACGCCTCGACCCCGGGCATCTGCTGGACGTCCTCGGCGAGCTCGTTCAGCGCCGCCGTCACCGCGTCCGCGCGCCTCGCCGCGCCGATCGCACGCACGCGCGCGACGCGCTTGCGGTGCCGCTCCGCGAGCATATGCACCGCCACGGCGTCGTCGAAGCTGCCGCGGTGCTCGAGCGCGGCGTACACGAGCCGGCGGGCGAGGACGACGTCGGCGACGTTGCCGATCGCCCACCCGCCGTCTGCGCCCTGCGCGCGCACGATCGGGCGCTGCGCGACCGCGAGGAGGGCGGTGGGGAGGTGGCCGAGGTAGTCGGGCCGGTGGCCGAAGTAGTGGAGGAGGCGTTCGAGAGGCCGGCGGTAGCCGTCCTTCGCGCACGGGACGGCGGGTGGGGGCGGGGCACTGGAGACGGCGGAGGCGAGTTCGGCGGAAGCGGGGGAGTGGGGCGAGTACGTCCTGGGGGTGAACTCGTTGAACATTGGGGAGCAGACGGCGAGGCTGTCGGGGTTGCTGGCTAGGTAACTGAGTCCAGCGAGCTCCGGTGGAAAGTCCTTCTTCAGGTGCGCTTTCGACAGGCAAGACTGGTGGAACCACTTTCGACAATCAGGGCTGGGGCAGAAATGCATGATAACCAATGAAGAAGGAAAGGGCGGGGGAGGGTACGGGGTGTAGTACTTTCGGCACCCAGGGAGACAAGCATGGTCTCCGATTTTAGGCTGCAAATTTACGTTGAGCAAAAAATTTGTGGCACAATCTCACACTCACCTTGACCGACTTATTCTGCCCGTGCTCTACAAGCACAGGACCCGGGTGGTTCGGCGAGCTGTCGTTCTTGCCCTTCTTCTTCTTGGTTCCGTTGGCGAGACCCTCCGATTGGTCGGGGGCGGGAAGGGCCTTCTTCATGAAGAAGTCATCCCGGTCGAACGTGACGCAGTCAAGCGCCGTCTCGTCGTACTCGTGTACATGGACCCGGTGGACTAGGCAGCGACAGTGAATAAACATAACTTAAGACCTATGAAGACCCTTTATACACACCTGAGAGTGCACCGGCCTTCTCAAACGTGAGGTGATCTTGAGAGATGATCCGCTCCCGCGGAGATAAAACTGAGGTGTCACTGGAAACGGCGTGTGTGAGCTGCAAAACGTAACATCGCAAAGAACACTCACAAACTCTTGATGACATCTTTGATGTCCTTGGCAGAGTAGTACCAGCGAACTCTGATCAGTGGCTCGCGTTTGTCGTAGGAGATTCGATTGGTGCGTATGTCCACCACATGGCCAATCCATTGATTGGCGTTGTTCGTCCCCACGGGGGACCAGAGAACGACGCTAAAAGCAGTGGGTCAATTATGTGATCTCAGGTTGTCTCAGGAGCGACGGAAAAATACAACGTACTCGTCACCCAGACGGACTGTGATCTTTGGTCTTGTTGTATTCTCGTGGGTATCTGGAACGGATGAGTGACGTCATTACACACGGGATCGGAACGAAACTCACCCTCGTCAGGCTGCACCTCCACTGATAGCACCACGATGAACATCAGGATTGAGCCTGGTTCGAGGCTAAGACAAAGTCCAACGGGTCACTCGCCTTCGAGGTGTTGAATAGACACTGTCTCCTCTTCAATGTCACACTCTTCCTGTCTGGCGCGCGCCAGTTCCACAACCATACGCTCCCGCCGGCGACGGTCGCGGTCGCGGCGTGGGGAACGGGAGGGGCCCATGGGTGGGAGGTTGTCTCGACGGTTGAGGGAGAAGGGAAGAAGAGAGCGGCGGTCTGGTAGCGGCGTGGGTGCTGCGGCAGTGAACTCACCCTTAGACCTTACGTCCACGCGTCAGGACTGCATGCGACAATGCCGATCAATATACAATCCGGGCGCTCGGTAATGGTCCAGCCCTGTTGCCGGGCATTGTGCGGCTTCTGCACTGCTCTGGTGGACGAGTTGGCCTCATTTGGAAAGCATGTACTAGTCGTCGCGCCCGAGCGGCTTCGTGGAAGAGATGGGAATATTACGTCCAACGATACATCCCAACCCGGAAAGTGGGGGACCTTCTCGCTGGAGAAGCCGAGCCGATGTGCGGTATCTACTGGCAAATATGGTTCAGTATCGAAATTCCAGTCTGGATGATCCTGAAGCCGACATCCGCGACTGGTCGACAGTACGTCCATTAGCAGACACCACGCCGACAGATAACGGGGAGTGCGTCATGCCATACCATGGCTGCAAGCTGAGGGGTGTGTCCTGAAGCAGTATCCTGATCATCGAGACATGCGCTGAAGGAACGGGAGTAGCGACGTGGAGCAGATTATATCGATGTGCGGCTAGAGTAACAGAGGAACGTAGATTGTGTGGTCGCTACCGGAGCAATGGACCTTTGGGTCCTCCCATGCGCTCGCAGATCTCCATGGCGTGCTCGTGGTACGCCCCGTGCAGACCCGCGAGCCTGCCCTTGATGCAGAGGTGGGGGAGCAGACGGGTGTGGAATATCCTGTGCGACACCGATCCACCCTACACAAGCGAGAACACGAGATGAGGACGTGCAGATAGCAGGCAAGAACGAAGCACGCACGAATTGGTGGAACACCCCGCCCATGACCGCCTCCACCGTTGCCCCGTACACCTTGTACATCCCGACGCCGCGCGCGTTGACGTTCCGCAGGTCCGCGAACGGAGCCGGCACCTCTGCGCCGGGGCCGAGCGGTTTTGAGAGGTTGCCGACGTTCATCGGCCGCCACTTCAGCACCTTGCCGACGTCCCAGTGCGGCGCGACGTGCTCGCCGAGCGCGTACGAATTGAGGGCGTTCTCCATGATCTCGGCGAAGTTGTGGTTCGGCTGCCGTGACGGGGCCGAGTCCATGAACATGAGGAGGTACGCCTGGAGCACGCGGCGGCCTGTGGACGCATACGCAAGCCGGATGAGCGGACGACGTTCAGAAGGAGCGTGTCACGCGAGGGGGACGCACCGACGAAGTTCAGCCGCCCGTTGTGCCTCCTCTTCGCGTCGGGGTGGCTCGCGTGGGTGAGTATTCGCGACGCGACATCAGGAGAGAACCGGAGGGGGTGGAAGAGCTCCTCGAGGTGCTTGGCCTGCATCGCGTCCTCCTGTGCGAACTGCTCGGGCGACTTGAGCGGGCCGGGGACGAGCGCAGGGTCATAGGTGCTCTCCGTCGCGTGGGGTGCTGCCCGCGACATGGCGCGAGACTGAAATCTCGCTGGGTAAAGCAGAGAGGTGAAATGGAGAGTTTTCTGCGATGCAGAGGGGAGCGTACCGAGAGGTGATGATACCCGCTTGCGACAGCTGGCCGTACGGCGGAGGGCCAGCGCGCATTCCCAGCTTTTAGACATTGTGAGGCGTCTTGGGCGGAGCCGTGGTTATTCGCGCCGTTTTGGGAGAAACCCCAGGCCAATAATGGGGGAGGGGGAAGCGTCGAGAGCGACGGCGGCGAGGAGGTGGCAGAGGACGAGCAAGGGACGAGAGCAAAGCGGCGGTCAGACGTGCGCTTGTTGCGGAGCGTTCTCCCGTAAGTGGGCTGGTCGGGGTCTTATCCCAAGGTTACATATCTCCATCAATATCTTAGTTACAGCTTGTACCAACTGTGTTGCAAATGCCGACGACTCCCTCGCGCTCATGTCTCCTCCCTTCCATTCGTGGTGAACACAACACAACATGTCATTTCTGGTCGGAACGGCGTCGGGCGCCCTGGTGGCTGGTGGGGTGCGCTTAGCTCTCCCACCCGTGAGCCTGTCATGACGAAGACCTCATACTTTACTGCAGGTCTACTACGGCTTCTCGGCGATGATGTCCTCCAGGTATGTCAATCTCTGGGCTTCGTGCATGTGCTATTGTACTCACACTGCTCCCAGGACAGGACAGCACCAATCTGAGTGCGTATATGCTTCCAGTCCCGCATTCCACCCTGAACATGTGCCACAGCATGCATAACCTCTCGCAACGGCTTGTCAACGCTGCCGCGGATATCCCTACACCTGTTCCCGCCGCACAACGCATACCCCAGAAGCCGTTCATGGCGATGATCCAGCAGAAATGGAACTCGCAGATCGACGCCCTATTCCGCGGGACTCGGGACTTGGACCAGCAGGTGGAGGATTGGGGACGGAGAACACTGTATGGAGGAGATGCCAGCCGGAAATCCCAGTAACGTGTCGCCCCCTCCCACACTGTAGACTTGTGCCCCACAATACGCCCCCTTCCGTTCTGTCCGCCCAATGAAGCCTTTTGGTCGATCATATTCATCTGCGTGCGCCTGAGACCTGAACGTTGAACTGACCTGCTCAATAATAGCACGCGGCCCCTCTGGACGCTTAGCGCCAATCCACAAGGTTCTCCTGCACCATCATGTCGCCCACCACTGCGCCCTACGGAACGTGGACATCCCCAGTAGATGTCGATCTGGTCGTGAAGAGTGTGAGCGTCTTGATCGTTTGAACTTATCGTCGTCTTAACTCTGGTCCAGGGCGTTGCAGCCACAGAGCTCCTGGTCGATCCGATTACCTCGACGGTCTACCACATGGAGAGCCGCCCCGAGGAAGGCGGTCGCAGCGTGATCGTCAACACGAAGACAGGAAAGGATGTGGTGGGCAAGGAGTGGAATGTGCGCACGGGGGTCCACGAGGTGCGTGTGGTAGTTCTGCCGAAGGTCAAGCATGCGGCTGAGTCGATTGCAGTACGGTGGAGCAGCCGCGGTAGTCTACGACGGCGTCTGCTACTTCTCCAACTTTTCTGACGGCCGAGTGTATAAGACGAAGGAAGGTGAAGAGCCTGAAGCTGTCACTCCAGGTACGTGTTCATCTAAGGTTTCCGAGCTTCACCCATTCAAGGCATGTTAGAGAGCAGCTACTCTCGTTATGCCTGCTTTGCGGTACACCCGACGCAACCGCATCTCCTGCTCGCCGTTCTCGAGAGCCACAAAAACCCTGAACCATCTAAGGTTGTTAATCAGCTTTCGGTCATCGACACCATCAAGAAGACTGTTACCCTCTTCGTCGCCGGATCGGACTTCTACTGTCGCCCCACCTTCTCCCCCGATGGCACTCACGTCGCCTGGCAGCAATGGGAGCATCCAGATATGCCCTGGGAAGGGTCCCAAGTTTGCATCGCCGAAGTCACCGCAACCTCTACCGATCTTTCGTATCGCAACAAAAAGGCCATCGCCGGCAAGCCTGGAGAGATCAGCGCCGGGTACCCGCTCTGGGCGACAAACGACCTTCTCCTTTTCGTCTCGGACGAGTCCGGGTACTACAACCCGTGGAAATACACGATCTCCACCCGCACTGCCGCCGCCGTCCTCCCCGCCCCGCTCGAGGAGGACTTCGGGGAGCCGCAGTGGGGGCTCGGCTTCAACTCCGGTACCCCGCTCGACGCCGCCGGCGAGACCGCGGTCTACGCCGCCACGCGCGGGGGCCAGAGCGTGCTCTACCTCCTCGACGTGGTCACCGGCACGGCGCAACAACTCTCCTGCCCCTATGTCGCCCTCTCCGCGGTGCACCGCGCCGCTCCTGGGATCGTTGTCTTCAAGGGCGAGCTCAACGACGCCGACGGGCACATCGCTATGTGTACCTTGACGAAGACCGAATCGAGTTTCGACGCGGCGTACACCGTTCTGCGCCAGGGCGATGACGCGGCGGCGCATCTGAAGGGGTTCGTCGCCTCCCCGCAGGGGATGACGCTTGTGGACGATGCGACGGGCGATCCGGTGCACATCCTCTACCATCCGCCGACGAACCCGGATTTCGTCGGGCCCGAGGGCGAGAAGCCGCCCGCTGTGTTCTACGCGCACGGAGGCCCGACAAGCGTCGTCTTACAGGGCCTGTCGTGGAAACGGACGTGGTTCACGAGCCGGGGCTATGCATGGTGCGTGTCCTACTCCCGGGGTACGCGTGGGTGCTGATGCCCGGCAACCTCAGGATCGACGTCAACTACGGTGGGAGCAGCAGCTACGGCCGCGTCTACCGGTACGCTCTCCCTTCCTACCCACTCACCGCCATCACTCCCACTCACGCCAATTCTCACACAGCGACCGCCTACGGGGCAACTGGGGCATCGTCGACGTGCAGGACTGCGCGACGGCCGCGCTCCAGCTCTCGCGAGCCCGCGGGCTCGTCGACGGGCAGCGGATGGCGCTCACCGGCGGCTCCGCGGGCGGGTACACGGTGCTGCAGACGCTGTGCGCGCGGCCGGACGTGTTCGCCGCGGGCGCGTCCTCATACGGGATCTCGGACTTCTTCACGCTCGCCAAGTTCACGCACAAGTTCGAGAGCCAGTACCTGTTCAAGCTCGTCGGGGGCACGCCCGAGGAGGTGCCGGAGGTGTACACGGCGCGCTCGCCGGTGTACCACGCGGAGAAGATCACGGCGCCGTTGTTGGTGGGTTTTGGTTTTGTCGGATGCGGTCCCAGCGCTGAGCGCTGAATGTGTGGCTCGACAGGTGCTGCAGGGGTCCATCGACGCGGTCGTGCCGCCAGAGCAGTCGGAGAAGATTGTGGAGACGGTGAAGCAGCGCGGTGGTCGAGTGGAGTTCATAGTTTTCGAGGGCGAGGGCCATGGATGGCGGAAGGCGGAAAACATTCGCACGGCATTGGAGAAGGAGAGCGGGTTCTACGAAGACGTGTTTGGGCTCAAGAAGTGAAGTCTGCCCTCTGAATTCTTGAATGTACTTTATATATATGTTGAGTAACACATGTTGTGACACCAGCACGTGTTCGTGACAAGACGCGAACATGTGGATGAACTTGAAACCGGTGCGGCGGCGCCTCATCTTGTCTTCGCCCTCCGCGTCGTCAACGACCCCGCTCGCCGAAGCGATCCGGCCCAGGAACACGACGGGATTGATTGAAGGCCTTGCTGTGCTCGCGCCTATCGTCGGCCTTCAAGAATGACAGCCTAAAGCCAGGGCGCTGCCACCGTCGGCCATTCGTTCAACTCTGCCGTTCCGGCCGTCTTATTTTCTGGCCGCATCCGCACGGTGGTGGTGGCTATCTCGCACGACATCGGCGCGCTATGCCGACCCCGGCCGTTTCATCCTCGTTCTTCCGGAGGCACGCAAGCACACTTTCCAGGACCGGCCCGCTCTGTCCTGCAAACGTGAACAAGGACGCCGCGTGTCCGTCGACGGCTCTCCCTTCAAAAGGCCAGCCCGCGCGACGGTGTGCTCGTGTTTCGGGTCGTGTCTCCCCTCCCTCCCCCTCCCCTATCCTCCGCCGACCAAACCCTCGCGATGCTCTCTCTAGTCCGCGCCGCCTCCCTTGCTCTCGTCTTCCTCTCCGCGCTCTCCGCGGTCCACGCGAATCTTGCTCGTGCCGCTATTGCGCGGTCCGATGCGCTACGGGATTTATCCAACGGCGAGCGTATGGCGCGCGGCCTCGGCCCCAAGCCTCCCAGACGACTCTACAGCACCGGAACCCGTGAGTCTTCCCCTTCGTTTCCCAGTTATTTCCCAGTGGCTAAAATATACTTCTTCCGTCCAGACGTCGCGCGCGCCGCGCCGTCGGGCGTGGCGGGTACTTCGTGAGTCTCTCCCCATCAAGTTCCTCCTGCACACCTCCTTGACCGTACCTGCGTCACACACACCCACAGACAATCGGGGTCCATCGGGGTGTACGCGGCTGGCGGGCAGTTCGTCGGGTACATCGGAGCATATGGCATCACGACCGTGCCCCCCGGCTCGGGCACCGCGAGTGCTGCGTGGACGTACTCGTACGCGATGCCGGATCCGGCCTCGTCCGTCGTCGAGCTCAACCGCCTAGGGGTGCGTATGCGTCCGTCTTCGGACGCGCCAGATTTGACCCGCTAACGACGTGTGCCCGCGACTCTGCAGACGCCCTTCCGCCTCTCCGCGGTCGCCATCCGCTCAGGGCCGCAGGTGACTCTTGGTCCAGGGTCAGTCGTCACCTGGGATCTCTCCCGCGCGCCAGCCGCTGAGTTTCTACCCCCTCCGCAGCAACACGATTTACCTCCAGCTGCAGAACAGCCGTGCGACCAGTGAGTTCACCCTGCTTGGCTCTGCGTCCGCCCGATGCTCACATGCTACGCAGCCCCCGCCGGGTCGCCTCTCTCCACCTACGTGTACGACACCTACGCGATCGGATACGCGCAGACCACGGTGGTGCGTGCGACTCCCTGTCTCCCCGTCCTCGCGTGCCGTCCGTGCTGAGCGTGGGCCGTCCCCCTGCAGTTCTCCGTCGATCCCAGCACCGGCCTGGTGACCGTCAAGTGGGTGAACCCCGACGGCAGTGAGTAGTACCCCTGCTCCACCTTCGTGGAGGCTCCCCGTTCGTGGTGCTGATGTCGGGCGTTGGCGACAGGCATGCCAACCACGTACCTCGCCGTCTCTGGCATGGGCCTCTACGTGACGGGAGATCTGAGTGCGCTCGCCTCGCAGCTTGGCACGCCGGTGACTGAGGTGGTACGTCTCTTTTCTCGAGTGATGCGTTTGCGTGGGCTGATCGACGGCTGCCCGGTCAAAGAACGTTTACTATATGTGAGGGCTTGTGTGCGCGGGGTATATGTTCGTGAACGCTTTTGGACCACTGTTTCCTTTCGGACAGTACGGATCACAGTCGCTACAAGGTCGTTAGACGATACCTTAATATACTTACCTTAGACATGATGTTGGTGGACTTTATGCCGACTCTATGCTTGCATCTGACACTGGTGGACATATTGTGAATGATAGTGTTCACATTATGGGAACAATTAGGGTGTAGGGCCTTGCCTATGACGGTAAATCCAATTCAACAAACTCGGAGCATAGCGGCCCGGGGGAACGCTCGATCGGGCAGCGACTCAGTGAGGGGAGCGCCAACTTGCTCCCTCCTTCTGCCATGAGCTCGACCACCGCCCCGTCCGAACTCGACATCGAACTCGAAGAAGCCATCGTGGCACGCCTCGTCCATGGACGTGGGGCGCACCAGCCCCTCCGCGCCCTCTTGGCACTGCACCGCATCCGAATCGATAACCAGGCCCAAGCCCGCATGATTTCATTCTGCCAGGGCGAGCGGCCCACTTAAGCAACTCGTGCGTACCTCCGCCCCGCGTTTTCCCCCCGCATCGCACGACCATGGCCCCCCAACACGACGGCGAGCGCAAGGAAGCCGGCGGCATCCTCGACGTCCTCCACGGCGCGCTCGGCCACCGCCACGAGCAGCCCGCCGCACCCGCTCCCAAAGAGCCCGAGGGGTTCTTCGACAAGCTCAAGCACCTCGCCGGCCAGGAGCCCGAGCCCGCGCCCGCGCCTCCCCCGCCCCCCGCCGAGCCGGAGGGCCTGGTCGAGAAGCTCATGCGCCTCGGGCACGCATCGGAGGAGCCGGCGGCGTCCGCCCCGCCCCCGCCCCCGCCGAAGGGGGAGGAGGGCCTGTTCGACAAGCTGCGCCACCACGGGCACGTCGAGGACGCCGCGCCGGTCGCGAAGCCGCCGAAGGAGAGGGAGGAGCGCGGGGAGGGTGGGCTGTTTGGCGGGCTCGCGCACCACTTTGAGCAGGGCGGGCGGCGGGAGGATGAGCAGGATAAGGGTGAGGGGAAGACGAAGATACACGGACACGGGAAGGAGGAGGCGCGCAAGGAGGAGGGCATCCTGGGCGAGATCGAGGAGCGGCTCAAACACGGCGGGCACTCTGCGCCGCCGCCGAAGCCGGAGGGGTTCTTCGCGCAAGTGGGCGACAAGGTGAGCGTTCGTTGCGTTCGTGCGGTTGCGTCGGAGTGGCGGAAGGTTAGGTTGGAAGCACGCGATCTGAGTGTTCTTTGTGTTCCAGCTGAACAACATGGCCGGCGGCGGAGCCAAGGGCGAGGCAAACGAAGACCACCTCGACAAGAGTTCGTCCTTCCTTCTGAGAGACCCTTGGCGTTAGTGCTTACACGATTCTTCAGCGATCGACTGGGTACAAGAACACGTCCTTAAGGCAGGCCAGCAGAAGGACGAGAGCGCGATCGAGCAGGCCAAGGATGAGCAGATCAGCGACTTCATTCGCAAGGGTTTCAAGGGCGCCACCGGTCACGAACTCCCTGTCAAGGACAAGTAGTGGCGAAGAGGATGGACTCTGCTGCGGCGTAAACGGGATGTACGATAGCTTTTGTTGAATGGAACACCTCTTGTATCTGAAGTATCTGTCCAGGACCTCTCCTGCATGCCAATATATTTGGCCAGTGGTCCTAAGGCCTGCAACTGTGTCTGTCTATGAGGCGGTAGTCACGGCGACGCGATCCACGGAGGATGGAGAGATTGCACATCGCGCCACAGGCAGACCAAGCAATCTTATAACCTCTCGGGCGAGTTCCAGGAGCCCCACTGCGAGGCCCGACTCGAGAACCTCTGACCGGGAACCCACCAGCAGCCACACTCGGCGGAGCGTCTCAAGAAGTTGTCAAGAGACTTTCTCATCTCGAGTGTCCTCCATGCTGCTGACACCCGGCCCGTGCTGTTGCTTAGAGTAACGGGGGCAATCCGCAAGACGGCGGCAGATGTAATGGAGGTGCACCACGCCACCCTCCTCTTCCGTCTCCTGGTCGGCAAGCTCTACCACCACGCGATAGCCCGTCTCTGCACCCTCCCACAGTCCTACTACCCTCCACGCTCACACGTCACACGGACCAGAAAGCACACCCCGAAACATCATCGCTCTGCGCTCCACGTGGCACTGTTCCGCGCCATAGGCCGCCTGAAAGCCACACATGCATGCAAGTATTGCTGACTCGAAGGAGGAGGCAGAGCTTTTGGTTCGAGCCCATTCGACCCGCGCTTATCAAGCCAGCTGCACTTTTGCCACTCCAGATGTCCCCTCTCTCTCCGTTCTCCCCGAGCTGGCGCTACCATTATGTACGCATAAACCGTGCACGTCGACATCAACAGCAATCGCGCCACTGGTGAGCAAGATCCACCTCCCATACACTCGACAGGACTGATTTCTCAGCAGCAAGCGATGCTGAGTGACCGCGATCCACTCTCTTTTGCGCTCTCAGCCTCTCACTTCCAGACCGAGTTTTTTCTCACGAGCATTCATAGAAGGTCCTCGACGGAGTATATAACCAGACGACGCGGACCACCCAGACTCGTCTCACCCTCTCAAACCTACAGCCCCTAGCTCCATCCACACTTCCCACACATTAGCGATGTCGACCCAAAAGGCTCTCCTCCTCCCCGCGAAGGGCAGCAGCTGGGAACTCGGCCAGTCTCCGATCCCGAAGCCCGCCGCGGACGAAGTCCTCGTCAAGATCTCCGCGACGGCCCTGAACCCCGTCGACTGGAAGATCCGGAAGCACGGCTACTTCGTGGCCGAGTACCCGTTCGTCTCCGGCACGGACGGCGCGGGCGTCGTCGAGGAAGTCGGCGCTGGCGTCACCACCCTCGCGAAGGGCGACAAGATGTTCGTCCGTCTCCCCGTTCGGTTCTCAAGCGCGTTGGATGCTAATCCTCGGGACGCGGCTCCGACAGCTTCTTCCAGGGCTACTTCACGAACCCGAAGGCGACCTTCCAGGAGTACTGCGTCGTCCCCGCGGAGATCACCGCGAAGGCGAGTTCCCCTCGGCGACACCGTTCAGCGCCGCGCGGAGGCTAACAGCAATAACGCACGGCTTCCGAACGCAGATCCCGGACGGCTTCACCTCCGACCAGGTCGCGTCGATCCCGCTCGGCCTCGCCACGGTCGTCACCGGCCTCTGGAACCACGACCCGCAGGCGGCAGGCACGTCCTCCGTCGGCTTCCCCGCGCCCTGGGAGGACGGCGGCCTGACCAGGTTCGCGGGCACGCCCGCCTTCATCCTCGGCGGCTCGTCCTCCGTCGGGCAGTACGGTGAGCAGCCATCGCCCGCCTCGCGCGCCCCTCGCGCGACGCTGACCCAACTCGACTTTCCCGCCCCCGCCCCCGCCCCCGCCCCTCCGCAGCTCTCCAGATGGCGCGGCTCGCCCAGTTCTCGCCGATCGTCACGACCGCGTCCCCGCGCAACGCCGCGCACCTCCGCACCCTCGGCGCGACGCACGTCCTCGACCGCGCCCTCGCCCCCGCCGCCGCGCTCGCCGCGCTCGCGCAGGCCACCGCGGGCGCGCCCCCCGCGCTCGTCTACGACGCGATCTCGTCGCCGGAGACGCAGGCGCTCGGGTACGCGGCGCTCGCCCCGGGGAGCGCGCTCGTCGTCACGCTGCCGGATCGGGTCCCGGCGGAGCTCAAGGCGGCGGACAGGAGCGTCGTGGGCGTGTTCGGGAACGTGCACGCGCCGCAGAACCGCGCGGTCGGCGTGGAGATGTACAGGCGGCTGCCCGGGTGGCTGGAGAGCGGCGAGCTTGTGGTGCGTTTGTCCTTTGCGATGGTGGGTGATGGCTGGTTTCTCACTGTACGCAGCCCAACGCAGTCGAGGTCGTCCCTGGCGGTCTCGCTGGGATTCCGGAGGGTCTGGACAGGCTGGAGGCGAACAAAGTCAGCGCGATCAAGTTGATCGCGCGCCCGCAGGAGACTGCATAAGGGGCTTCAGTGTGGTAAATTATCGTTCCTGTACTGCTAGAAAATATGCGACCCATCGCGCACAAATCTGTAAAAGTGACTTGTTGGGAGCGCGTTGTGATCGTTCAGTCGTTTCAAATATCTGACCGCCTCTGAACAGAACACTGCCCAAGATGAAGGAGGGTGGAATCAAATGCTACAGGTGGCGAACGTACAACTTCTCCATAGATCCTCTGTTTCGTGTCCAGACCTCGCTCCGACCCGTCCACCCCACGCTCACTGGAACATCTTCTTGAACGCCGCCTTCTCCTTGTCGCGCTTGCCCCGCAGGCGCCCCCGCACCTTCTCGAGCTCGGCCTGGATCGCGGTGTCGGTCTTGACGAGCGTGTGCGCCTTCGCGAGCGCTTCCTCCGCCTCGTCGTCCTCGTTGATCGTGACGTGCGCGAGGCCCTGGCGGTAGAGCGCCTTCGCTGTGAGCGCCGCGCGGGGAGCACGAGGTCAGCGTGTTGTTTGCGGAGCCGGGCGAAACGGAGCGAGGGGAAGGGGGCGAAAGCGCTAACAGCGCAATGAAAGGTGAAGAGGGGGGGCTAAACGTGAATGAACGAACTATGGAGCGCGGAGGGAAACCGGGCGTCGAGGCAGGTAGCGCGCCGCCGGCAGACGGGGGCTGCAGCCTAACGGCCAGCCACATTGGCAAACGCCAAAGGCTAACGGGGCGCACGACGGCAATGCACGAATGGAGAAAGAGGAGTGGCAGAGGTTGCGGATGGGGAAGACGCGAGTCCCGAGAGCAGGCGCAAATGAAAGGACAGACTGGACCACGCACCCTTGTCCGTGTCGTTGAGGGTCAGGTTTGAGATCGCACGGTCCGTAACCCGGAGCGCGAGGCGCGCGTTGGGGGCGCCGCCGGCGCGGAGCGCTGCGAGCGCGCTGTTGAGGAGCAGTGGCGCGAGGAGGGCGTCGAAGGAATCCCGAAGCTCCGGGGGTGAGCTTTCGGGGAGGTCGACGTGGTAGTCGATGTAGCGCACGGCCTCTGCAACAGTTTCGAGCTCGTCAGCAAACACGCGAGAGTGAAGAGAGATATGAACGCGTGAACGCGGAAGACCGATGCGAGAAAGCGCGAAAGGGACGGAGCACGAACAGAAGCAAAGTCCGTGGTGGAATTTTTGAGGGTAGGGCAGGATCGGTGAATGAAATGAAATAGGGACGAGACGCACTTTGATACTTGTGAAGAGCAGCCTCGAACTTGCCCTCCTTGAACAGCCTGTTCCCGACCTCGCGCACCTCCTTCGCGATCTGCAGCGCTACCTGAGGCTCCTCCCCGACGTCTTTCCCCTCCACCGGGTCCTGGTCCTCCGGGTAATCCTCATAGATGTCGCCGTCGCCGGTAGACGACTCTTTGAGTGCCGGGTCGTCCGGTTGGAGCTCACCACAGTCGGCGATGACGCACGGCTCGATGGGGACGTCGCCGCCGGCGGTCTCGGTGTTCTCGACCGCGCGGACGACAGACTTGCCACGGATGACCTCGCCAAACACGACGTGCTTGCCGTCGAGGTGTGGGGTGGCGCTGCACGTGATGAAGAACTGCGAGCCATTCGTGTCCGCGCCCGCGTTGGCCTACGGTCGAAAAAAAAACACAGAGCGCGCGGTCGGCGACTCGGACTCTCAAGGCGCGGAAAGAGAAAGACGCACCATAGATAGAAGGAAGCGCTTGGAGTGCTTGACCTCGAAGTTCTCGTCCTCAAACTTCTCGCCGTAGATGGACTCGCCCCCGGTGCCGTTACCGGCGGTAAAATCGCCACCCTGGACCATGAAGCTAAACATCCGCGGTCAGCACTTGGCGTCCGGCGGTTGTACAGACACCGGAAGATTTCGCACCCTTTGATAACGCGGTGGAACGAGGAGGCCTTGAAGTGTAGCGGGCTCCCAGTCTTGCATACACCCTTCTCGCCGGTGCAGAGCGCGCCTGTGAGGAAAGACGGTCGTCAGCAGCGGCGAGCGTGAGCTCCGGGCGCGAGGGTGAGACGGTCCACGCACGGAAGTTCTCAGCAGTCTTGGGGACGATGTCGTTGTAGAGCTGCATGATTATGCGGCCGGCGGAGCGTCCGCCGATGGTGATGTCGAGGAACACGATCGGTCTTGTCGGCGCCATGTTGGGAGGGCTACGAGAAGCGGTGTGTAGAGGGTGGGAGAGGGTTTTGCGCGCGGAGGAGGATGTTGGTCGAGGAGAAGGGCGAGGAGGACATGGCCGTCGATCTGCACAGAGGACAAGGCGGGCGCCTTCCAGAATGTGCGAGAACGCGGGTGCCTTCCATATCTGGGCGGCCCCTTCCCGGCCCGGCCGTCCGCCAGGTGCAAGTCCCAATATGGCGTCCGTAGAGTTCGCAGCAGCGCTTTCCTGCGCCAGTCAGAAGGACCCTCCTTCAGTCCGTTCCAACAGAGCGTAAGCTAACATGGCACCACTTTCGTGGCCTGCTGCTCCGCCGCAGTCTATCATGAGCACTCGAGCGTTCAAGCTGGCCGTTTTAGCAGCAACGCGTGAAACGAAACTGAATGTGATGACAGCAGCCGGATGTTTTTCACAGGTGAACGTATGGTACACACCACACATGCGAACTGATATTGACGTCAGGCATCGCCTTGTGAGATGCGGCCAGGTACGTGGTAGCGGACCGCCCTCTTGAGTAAAGTTCAATAAGACCATCGCCGGCGTGCGCATGGTCGAGGCGCGAGAACGGGTGCTGGACTGATCCCCTATTACGTCGGAAGGTACTGGGGCGGCGGGCTCCCGGGGACAAAACGCCGACTCCCCGTTGCGACGACCGGACATCTGCAGCGGCGTGGACGAGGTTGGTGCTTCGCAGAGGCCGCGAGGTGTTGAAGAAGACCAGTGCAATAAATACCCGTGTCGCATCGGCGACTCGGGGACGAAGAGCGGCAGTTTCGCTGTGATCGGTCAAAACGAAGCACATGGGCCCCAGCGGCGCGCTCGTTCGTTCTCAGAGTGGTCATGGAAGAACATTTGCTGAACCTCGGTGTGAAGAGATAAGTTTGCTTGCGTGGAGACGAACGAGCTGGGGATAAATACAGGTAGTTGCACGTCTTGGGCCACAAACAAGACGGACTAGTGGCACCCGGTGACGTTCTGGCATGAGACAGAACGTGCCTCGAGGATGATTGCAACAAAAGGAGAGCTGGGTGAATCAGGCGGGCGATGTAGTGCGCCATATGGTGCATCACAGCTATCTTGGAGCGCGTGGACATGTCTGCACATGCTTGAGCTCCTACGAACAAGGTTGACACGGCTGTTGGGGAAGACGAAGCGGAGGAAGTGACTCATGCCACGCGGCCGGCGGCTAAGGCAAAATTAGATAAGCAAGCGCAAGCGATCCATACAATCGATTTCATTCTCAGATATGCCAACTACAACCAACTTCCTTTCGGAGTTCCAATATAGGCTTGCGTGGGAGCCTCAGGCCGCCTGGCGAGACACGTTGCTACAAAATTGGGCTTGTCCCGCCAGGAAGACGACGGGTTTGAGTGCTTGCAGCAGGCTCCCTTCCACCGGCGACCATCGTGGTGAACGTGCACATGGTGACTGTCCGCCAATAATCACCGGTGCGGTCGCTCACCACCCCTTCTTCTCAGCCGCGGCGGTCCCCTCCGCAAATGGGTGTAATCTCCCGATCCCCAACGAACGTGAGCGGGGATAAGGCAAAGTTCAGCCCACCCGCATGCGAGGCACCTCGTCCGTGTGCAACCCCCCACTCCTAGCCCCCATCCATCGGTGGCCCAGTGCAGAGTTCCGCTTGCCCCTCGTGGTGGTTAACAATGGCGCGAGCACACGGTCCTATCATCAGATGCCCCCGCGGTCTCTGTCGACATTCGGACAAGCATATATCACAACCCCGATCCCTGTGGGACATCCGCCTGTTCCGCACAGCTCCCAGGTCTCAGACCTACCTCGTCTCACCTCCGGCACCGCCATGGACCCCTCAACACTCCCGTCTTACGCGCAGGGTTCCTCCCGATCTACCAACACCCCCGCTAGCACTAGCGCAAACCTCCGGCCGCACCACTCAAACACTACCGCCAGGCGACCGGAGACCACGCACAGTTACCACCTTACGGACTCCAAGAACCGGCCCTGGCTCACCTTGAGCGTCCTAAGCAATGTATCAACACCTCATCACCTCCCCTCCTTCACCGAAGGTGACACCATCCGGGGCTCCGTGGTGCTCGACCGCGAGAAGGAGGACGGGATCAAGTCCATATCGGTCAAGGTGTGAGCCCTTCCCCGCCACACCCAGGGAGACGACGCACGACGCGCCACTGCTCTGGCAGATGCTGTCGGCCCCTACTCACTCGATGCATGTTGGCTGACCGGCCGCGCCAGGTCGTCGGCCAGATGACCTCTTCGGTCACCGAGGTCCTCAACTTTGTCACCGTCTCGGAGACCCTTTGGACGGCGCCCGACCCCCGGTCGTCCCAGCCTGGCAGCGACCGCGACCCCGTGGGCGTCCACACCTGGCCGTTCTCCATCAGACTTCCGCCCCGGTGCGAGATCAAGTCTGCGACCGGGGCGCTCGAGGCGTTCGCGCTGCCCGCCTCGTTCTCCGAACGCATGGCGCGCGTGCACATCCAGTACCAGCTCATCGCGACCGTGCACCGAAGACGCTTCCGGGTGGACAGCACGTACGCCCCCCGTCTTTCCGGCTCCGTGTGTCGGCGTCGCGCGAGCTCACCCCCGCTCGGGCAGGCTGGGCACCGTCGTCGGCTACCGCCCGCGCATCCGGCCTGGCGAGCCCTCGATCGCCCGCCAAATCGCCTACCTCGAGAACACGCCAATACCGGGGCCCGACGAGGACCCCGACGGCTGGAAGTGGCTCGCGTCGCTGCCCGTCCGCGGCTCCGTCTTCTCCACCCGGACGGTCGACGCCACATGCACGGTGCGCACGCCCGGTAGTTCCTCGGCGCCCTGGGTCCTACGGGCTGACCTCGCCTTCCGCCGCACGCCGCGCGCAGCTCGCCCTCGCGCTACCCGTACGTGTGCCCTCCGCCCCACCCCAGGGCCCGGTGCTTCCCCCGGACCGCGTGCGCGCTGACCGGTTCTCCCCCACGCACGGCACCCGCCCGCCGCTTCTCGCCCCCTTGCCCCCCACTCGCCTGCCCCCCTCGCAGCTCTGCTACACGCGCGGGAGCGTGATCCCGTGCGTGCTCGCGCTCGAGGCCACGGACCCGCAGGCGCTGGACCTGCTCTCCGCGCCGCGCGCGCCCGTCGTGCGCCTCCTCCGCACCGTCGCCACCGGCGAGCGCGCGCTGGAGACGCGGCGCGGGCTCGAGTTCGAGCACGAGCGCCAGGCGCTCGCGACCGCCGTCTGGCGCCCCGCGGCGGACGCGGTGGGGGTGGGGGCAGGCGGGGGGCAGCACCCCCACCGGCGGCCGGGCCGGCGCGTGCTGCACGGGGAGATCCACCTCGCCTCGAACCTGAAGCCGACCTCGCGCCTGGGACGCTTCGAGCTCTCGGTGAGTCTCCGCGCGCGTGCGCGCTCTCTCCGAGTCGGAGTTTCGAGGCAGAGCTGAACGCTGAGCGCCCCCGGTGCAACGCATCCACCTCCACACCCACGCCCACGCCCACGCCCACACCCACCCACGCCCACAGTACACGGTCGCGGTCTACCCGTTCAGCGCGGCCGCGTTCCAGCCCGACGGCGACGCCGGCGCCGTCCTCCAGCAGGAGCCCGTCGTCGTCGGGACCGTGCACGCGCCCGGGCCGCGCCCGCGCGCGTACTCGCCGCCGAGCTACGACGACGTGGGCTCCGCGGTGGGGCAGTCGACCGAGTTCCGGCTCTTCCGCTGAGCATGGGCATCGACTCGGACGACCGTAGCGCCGCGCGCGGGGCGCAGCCCCACGGGCAGCTGCATGTGACGGCTTTTGCGGTCTTGGGGCGCCGACGCAGAGTTTGCATGGGGAGGTAGGGTGGCTTGCGCCGGGACCGGGGCTTTTCTTCCAGCTACTTACTTGCGATAACTTTTATGACTTGACGCAGCGAGGCGCCGTTGTGGTCTGTCTGGACTCTAATGACTACGGATATGGGCGTTTATAATGCAGTTTTCGAGCCTCCAAAAGCACTACTGTCAGCACTCAAATTTGTGCAGAATCGCCGTGTTGATCCTGGGTCGAAGATGGACTGCCTGTCGCATTGATCCTCTCGCTTCTCGCCCTGGCGTGATCATGAGCACACGGTGGGTGGTCCGCGCCACCGGTAATTATGGAACCCGCTCACTGCGAACAGGATCTGCCAGACGGCCGACGCTCTGAAACAGCCTTCTAAAACCCAAATACGCGAGCCAGGGGGGACGTTGGCCGTGCTCGGACCGCATCGTGCGAGTGCGTGCCTGCGTCGACCGGAAATGGGCGTTTTTCGCGAACTCTCGCCCGCCCCTCGTGTCTCCAGCTCGCACTCCGCCCGACGACCGACATCGCCCTCCCGCGGGTCGCCAGTGCGTCATCGCATCGCATGCGACATGCGTTTGGGTCGGAGGCGCCGCGCGCACCGTGAGCAGTCCACTCCGGACCCACCGTCGCCCGTGATCCGTGCGGCCTCAAGGCATCTTCGGCTGTGCCGCACGTCTCTCCCCTGCTGGCAGCGGGGGCGCGCGCGGGCTGCACTCGACGCAAGGGGCAGCAGCAGCAACCACCCCGGTCGATCGAGGCGCCGAACCATATCTCAGGCAGAGCAGAGCAGAACTGCAGCAGCAGCAGCGGCTTCTTCAAACTTTCGTCCGCCAGATCAAGGCCCGCCACGCCGGCGCTGCGAGATCTGCTCGAGCCGTTTCCCCATTCCGACGCGCTCCTCCGACCTCGAGCCCGACTTCGGCCCCGCGCTCGCGGGTGGACGCCGGCCTCCAGGGCGCGCGCGAGGGCCCCTCCCGCGCCGCGAGCGCGTCGTCCTTTCGCGGGCACTGGCACCGCCCGGGGTGTGTTTTCCCTTCGTTTGTCGAGCCGCGAACGTCGACTCGAGTCCGGATGGGGCGAACCAAGCCACACCGTCTCACATGCGTTCGCGCTCGCGGCGCAGCGCTGCGGGCATGCCTATCCGCCACCATCGGTCGCGGACTCGGGGCACTGGGCCGTGGGGACGCGGGTGGGCTTAAGGATACCTGAAGACCTCGCGCGCGCGCGCGCGGCGCCCCGGAGGAGTGCTGGTTCCCGCAACCGTCGCTCGAGCAAGGCGCCCCAGCCCACGGCGGGAGTGTCAGATCTCTGCGCTCGCTCGACTGACTGCATCTGCGGCGCTCGAGAGCGAACATGTCGGTATATAAAGGTCCTCGCTGCCCCGGGAGAGTCCAATATCCGCGCTCTCTTCTCTCTCGCTCTCTCGCTCTCTCTTTCTCTCTTTCTCTCAATCTCTCTTTCTCTCTCGTTCGCGTGCTCTTCTTTCTCACGCGCCGTCTCGCTTTCGCTTCCTGTACTCGTATCCGCGGCCGACGATGAGCACCCAGGTGAGCGTGCCGCCCGCGCCCAACGCGCTCGAGGCGACCCTAGCTGACGCGCCGCACGCTAGACCACGAGCCAACACCACCAGGGCGGCAACGAGTCCGAAGACGACGTGTGGGACATGCCCCGCACGCCGCGCCGCACGCCGATGGCCTGCCAGTTCTGTCGCGGTGCGCTCGCGCTCTCTGCCTCTAGTTCGACTCCGCGACTGACGCAGCCCGTTACTCCCGCGCGCACGCAGGCCGGAAGCTCAAGTGCGACGGCCGCCCGACGTGCGCGAACTGCGAGCGCCGGGGGATCCCGTGCACGTACGTGCCCGTGTGAGTAGCTACTCGGTGTGTGAGTGTGTGTTCGCGCGCAGCTAATCGGAAGTACTGGCCCCCAGCACGTCGAAACCGTAGGCTTCTGTTGGTCAAGCTCTGTAGTCCCAGTGCCCCGTCCGTGTCTCCGCTTTCGCCACCCGCGCACCGTAAATTAAGCAGTATAGATAGTAATCCCACTAATGGCACCCTTGTGACCCGGCATATTATTCTCTTGCCACGCCACCCTGACTCCGCGTCCGCCCCGGCACCCGGCTCGAGCTCACCCGATGAAGTAGCGCAGGAAGTTCCGCCCGCCGATAACGGAGACGGGCGTCGCGGAGGTTAAATCGTCGCGGAAGAGGACGGGTGCGAACGCGGCGACTGGCGGACAGCAGGTCAGTGTCGCGGCACGCTCGCAGGGAGATCCGGGATCGCGCCATGGGCGCGCACGCCGGGGGGTGCCGGAGGGGGGGAGGGACTTACCAAGCTGCTCGCCATACCCTGGGGCTCCGTCCTGCTGACCGATGAAGTGCAGGAATGCGGTGAGCGAGATCCAGACCTAGGGACGAGCGGGGGGTCGTGAGCTGTGCAGTCACGCCGCGGGCGTATGAGGTGCTCACGTTCACGTTCACCATCGGGAGTTGGTCGAGGACCTGTGCGCGCGCGCGATACGGTGAGTGTCTGCCGGCCGGAGCCCGAAATCGGAGATCCACTCGCCTCGAACGCCTCATCTCTGCCCGCCATCTGGGCGCACCTCGCGTGCAGGGAAGCGGGGATGACGGGCTCTGTCAACGAGTCGAGAAGCTGGAGAAGCGCATCCGCGAAGGCACGCGCGGTCGCAGGATCGCCCTCGGTCCCGCCTACGGAGAACTCCTCGCCCGTGTCGAGGCTCTGGACGAATGCGGGCGGTCAGTGCCTCGTACGGGACTCCGGGCGGGGAACACCGGACCTCTCGGATTTGTCGCACGACCTCTGGGTTTCCCCTGCTCACGAACAGCCCGGGCTGGAGCCGAACGTATGTGGTCAGTGCTTCGCGTCCCGCGCGGGCGAGCGAGCGGGGGCGCGCTCACCGTCTCGGTCGCATGACTCATCAGCCAATTCACCAATCTCATGATCTCGCGCGGCGCGTTGACGCTGCGCTCCTCCGGCAGGACGTCGCTCGGGCTCGCGAGCGACCTGACGGAGCCCGGGAGGCGTACGAGCCACGCCATGCTCGTCGCGAAACACGTCCGTTCTATCCCCACGCAAGGCTCGTGTCAGTATCGAATCCGGCCGCGCGCAGTCAGGAGGGACGGTACCGTAGTCTCCGGAGATGGCGATGAAGTGTTCTCGGCCGTGTGCAGTGTGGAGCACGAGCGTGTCCTCGAGGCGGGTCTGTCCCACGTTCAGCTGCGACGCGAGCGCGGCGTCGACGTCAGCTGTCAGAGTTATTTGCACCGTCTCGCCTGGCAGTACGAGGCCCTAGGGAGGGCGATCAGCCCGTAGCACATCCAGGCCGAGAGCCTGGATGTGGTACTCACCGTCATGGCATCGACACGCAGCCAGCTCGGGCCTGGACATGGGGTCGCGGTCCGACGTGAGTGGCCGATCGGCAACGGAGGGGGAGGGTGCTCGCTTACACGCGGGCGCATTGGGCGACTGTCCGACGAAACGGAAGATGCATGACACCTGCCGCCGAGAGCCCGGCCGTCAGCACGCACGCAGGAAGCCGCGCTCGCGTTCGCGGAATATGAAAGCGAAAGCGAACGCGAACCGCGACACGAAGCGAAGCTAGCGATCCGTTACTCACTTCGCCAACGTTCTGCACTTCCAGGGTCCGTGTTACCGCGCGCTTATACCTGTTGGGGTCCAGCGAACGCGTCAGTCGCACAGCCAGCGGGAGCCCGTCGCCCGTCGGCATCAGGGCGAGATTGTCAGAAGGGGTTAGCCAGACGCACGCTATCTTTGAGAAGTCCACATTTGTCGACGACAAGCGTATTCGTGGCCGGTACTCCGCATACTCGATCCCGGACACGTCGCGCCAAATGCGTTGCACGAAGGATTCATACGCCGGTACGCTGACGAGAGGGACCTAGAGCGGATATCGCGTTCGAGTCAGCGACCAAATCCAGACTCGGCGACGTCATCCGCTGCCTCTCGCCCGCCGCCACACGCGACGTCCGATAAGCCCGGACGTGGCTGTAGCAGAACGAGGTCCGATCTCGGGAAACCGCACACAAAGGGAGCTAGACACGACCGCGCACCTCTAGCTCGAACTCCGCAGACACCGGTCGGTGGTCGCTGAAGGTGATGGTCGGATGGCTTTCGTAGGACGTCTGTTTCATCCTCACTGCCGGCGAGGACATGTACAAGACGCGATCCGTCCATGCAGGCTTGCGCCTGCAATCCGAGGGCCCGGAGTTCAGCCAACGCCACCATGACGAAAGCGTCCATCAAACGCACTTGGTGTCGTACCCTAGGCTATCGCTCAGGATACCGGGGCTAAACCGATACGAGCTGCCGAGAGAGCGTGAGTCCACGTGGCCACGGAGTCCGCACGGGACCGAGATCCTTACGGAAGGTGGCTGATCGGGCTTTCGTCGAACTCGTCGAACGCCTTGCTAGTCCTTTTCGCGAGCGCGAGCTGCGAAAGGACACGACGGCGTCAGTAGGTGAAGGCGCCGACGGAACGTAAGCCGAAGCGCTTGGACCTGATCAAACCTTCGTAACATTGACATGTTCTCGTCGCGCAGCTGCTCGTCCGCGAGGAGGCTCCTGACGTCGGCGTCGGGCAGGTTAAGCCTGTAGTTCAGATCTGCAATCCGAATATGGGCCAATTAGAATAAGGCTCGGAAGCCAAGCGGGCTCGGGCGGAAGACATACCACCCTAGACCACCCCGATCAGTTTCAACAAATACAGCTCATGAGCGGCGTGGGCTCTCTGGGCGTGCTCTGCGCACGCGACGACGCGCACAGCACATGTACTCACCAGCCAGAAGAGCGCGTCCGTTTCAAAGATGGTCAACGGCCCCGGCTCGGGGGTATACCAGCTCCCAGTGGCGGGGCCCTCGTCCATGGTGGCGGCGGCGGTTGCCGAGTCGAAGTATAACCGTCGCGACAGGTCGTGGAAGTCCGCGTTGCGCTTGTCGAACATCTCGTCGAACGCGGCCAGGTGGGCGTTGACGAACGTGACCGCCACCGGTTTGCTCTCTGACCCCGGTTCCGCTGTCGCCGAAGGATACGGGGTGAAGAGTAAGCGAGCGCCGACTGCGCCCTTGTTACCCTAGGAGAGGGAACGACAGATGTGAGGCACTGTGGAATGGAGATGGAGGCGGACGCAGCTCTGGGCCGGATGCGTACCATTATGCCCATGATTCCGGCACCAACAGAGGCCGTGCGCACATCGCTGAAATTGGGGCTTAGCCGCCTCTTCACAATGACGACAAGGAGCATGCCGACGAGCCGCCTCGACGTAAGCTGACAGTGCAATGGCGGTGCAGGGCCAATTGAGTCAGCAGGGTCGACTCGCGAGGCAGTATCGCCACCTCGGGAAGCACGGCACCCACTTTCTCATACAGGATCGCCTTCTCGCCTAACCCTGCGAAAACCGCAGTGCACCACGCGTCTTCTCGCGCGGTGCTCGTCGAGTAGAGCAGAGCCTCAGTGGACAGGTCGAGTTCCTGGAAGCCCAAGACGAGCATATCGGGATCGGCGGGGTCCTCTGGCACCTTCTTGGTTGGCGTCCGAACTAAGGTTTCGGCCGTCTCCGACGACTCCGCGTCCAGATCGATGTTTATGAAAGTCATCGTGTCGGAGGGCGTCGATAGCGACAGCACTTCGGCGTCCGCCCCGGCCTCTTGGACAACGGGTTTAGGAAGCGCTGCATGAGAAAATTCAAGATTGTGAAATTGTAAAAGGAGACGCAGCGGACCTTCCAATGGGCTTCTGATTATCTCTTCCATGTTTAGCGGAGATACCTCCTTCAGGGGTGGGATGATCGTCGGCGTCGGACGAGCTACCTGACCGCCTACCCATGCGGACAAGTCTTGGGAAGGCAGCGTTCCGTTCACGTTGAAGGTCCCAATACGGATCCTGGACAGCCGACAGCCGTAAGCTTCGGACTTCATCGAGAACCGACACACTCACTTCAGGCCCGCGGTCTCCTCGCTGCACCACAGAACCTCGTCATGCGCTCTCCTGCGCATCCAATCTTCGCGGATAAGCTCGATGTCGGCGATATCATTTCCGGATATCCCAGCGCTCGCTGCGGGCAGGCGGGTATAAAGAGGCTGCTTGGACAAGCGAATATCAGGGGGTATCGATGTTACTGCGGACATGCGTCAAGATCTGAAGGCAAGGCTGTACCGGAAACTTACGAAGAGGGGGAATCGTATGTCTTGCGACGTATGGCATGACCCATGAGAACGGCTCGAAATCGAATGCATCACCCGAATGTGCGCCTAGTGACAGGTGAGCTAACGCGGATTGGGCAAGAAAGCCGATCAACATACCGGATGTTTCTTTCAGTCGTTTGCACTCATCGAGGACTTGTCGCAGTCCTTGAGTGTCATTTGTTTGAAGCTTGATAGACGGATAAGGGGTATCTTCACCAGGACTGATGGTGACGGTCATCTCTAAAAGCGAATCAGATTGAACCACTCTTTGGGTGCACTACGCGAAAGAAAGAAGCCGTCGTCGACGGGTTTTATGAGCAACAAAGAGAGAGAAAGTATACGAATAAAAGAAGAACACGTCAAGGTCGTGTTTCGGGAGCAACTCGTGCGCAAAGAACCGGCTCGTGAACGACATACCTGTCTTTGCCTGACTGAAAGCGCTCATGCTAGGAGTCAGATCGATTGTGGACCGTCTAGGTTGAGACATCGATATCGAGAACCCAGGCACGATCAGGTACGCGTGCTCCACCACGTATTCGTCAGGTATGGACTCCATACGAGGCGGTTTCTGGGTTATAATGAAGACGCTGAGATATATGGTGGTTAGTTAACCGACAATGGCCTCAAAGTTGGTTCTAACACAAGAGAAATGCGACAGAGCGCCGATGTCGAAACACCAGTACTTTCTAGACCCGAACGATTGATCAACATCCGACTTCTCCGAGCGTGCGTCACCATCCATCGGACGACCGGGGCCACCAGGGGCAAAATGCGGTATAAGCGTCTTATGTCGGAACAGAGACGGTGCTACGATGTACATGAGTCTGACTGCGAGCTGAGGCTATGATGTCATAGCCAGGTCCGACAAACAGGGACACGGCTACGGACGCCGCGAGCAAGCATAGACGGTGAGAGAAGGACGTAGGGGCACAATATATCACGACAGCACATGTCCCAACCGAAACGCAACTCAGACTTCACCCACTCGCAACAGAACTGAATTATGCTGTGAGTGGGCGAAGCTCATGTCGGGGCACGTTCGCCACGTTGATAAACTTTCCAAGCAGGGCTTGCCGAGCAATATCCGCGGTTTGGAGACGCAGCGCGCGAGCTCGGGAGAAGATTCGACGGAACGTGCACCTGGCCGCCGAGTGTCTTTCCACGTTCAAAGGCTCATCGATACTTGTCCCGAACGCCCCACTCCGAGCGCATACAAGCACCCAGTCCAAGCCCTCCTCACGTCCTCCACAGCTTCTATCACCCACCACTCTTCGCAGCTCGCGCCAGGACAGATGGAGACTCACCATCCTTGGACATGCAGGCCATTCGGATGCGGGTGGGTGACGACGGCTATGATCTTCCTCCGCTGGACCGGAGGCTCGTGGTCGGCCCAGGTGTCGGAGTCGACATCGTCGCGGATGGAAGACTTTGCGTCGATGGCAATCGTGACCTCCTCCGTTGCACGGATCATTTCCTGGGCGACGTCCATCGGCTTCCTTCCGGAGGCCGCCATGCTGAAGTCTGGCTGGGAGCCTCGGCGGTGCCTCGGCGGGTCTGCCTACGCTGAGTCTGTCTTCGCTGCGTTGGTCGTCCGTGTCGTGCCTGCGAACGCTGAGTCCTGGAGGGTGGTCGCGCCGGAAGACGGCCGAAACACGGATGGATGTGTGGAGGAGGAGAGCGAAAGAAGGAGTGGCCGAGGTCCGAGCTGGCTGGGCGCGTGGCGGGACTCGAGACACCGGGCCGACCTGAGAGACGTCGGGAATTGCCATGCGATCACGAATGTGACTGCGTTCCCACGTTTCCCCGCATAGGTCATCGGCGCGTCCTCGCAGCCTTGCCCCAACCAGGGGCCACACCCGCCGAAGGACACCCATTGAAGGGCTTCCCGAGAAGAGCGCGTGCGCAGGAGCATTATCTGCACCGTCGCCAGCGATACACGCATCGTCGCTGGGGAAGGACGCGCAAAGACACAACACAATCACCGCGCACGCGAGCGGACTGAATGGCCGCGCAGCTGGTTCTCGAACCAGGCCAGGGACTAGAACGGACTCGTGCGCATCCCTCGCGCATTCACCCGCGTGCTGCAGCGAACGCCTCAGAATAGGCTTGAACCGGCTGGCTCCTCTTTCTCGACGGCCGATCACGCGACGCCTGCCGCTGTCGCGCAAAGTCCACAAGGGTGGCGCAGCACCTATATAGCCCGCCCACCGTTCCCCCTCCCCTCTCACGCTACCCTCACCACCACCGCTCGTCTCCCCGCCACTCTAAACTCTCTACGACCCACTTCGATTAATATCTCTATCATCCGAACTACACGATGACCCGCACCGCCCGCTCTGCGTACCCTTCCGCGCTCAACAAGGACCGCTCCGAGTCCAAGAACGGCCTCGACAAGCGCATCCCCAAGAACGGCGCCGGCCCCCACAACTGGGGCTCCCTGGAGGACGAGCTCGAGCTCGAGAGCGCCGCGTACGACGACGAGGAAGTCGAGCTCGACGACTCCTCAGGTGCGTCTGCCTTGCGTCATCCACCCCACTCCCCGTGTGCTCACGCGCCACCCGCCCCCCACTACAGCCGGCGTCTCCGTCAACAAGCACGCCGAGTCCGCCGTGCCGCGCCCCGCGACCGAGCGCAGCCTCAGCGCGGAGGAGTTCCAGCAGGGCATCGAGATCCGCAAGCGGGCGCTCAAGTCGTCCGACGTCGACCTCGGGTCGATCGCGCGCACCGCGCCCGTCGTCTCCACGTCGCCGAAGCAGCCCGTGGCGATTGTCTCGGACGCCGATGTACGTCAACGCGGTCGCCGTGCGACTCATCACGCGCATCATGTGCTGACCGTCTGTCGTAATTGACAGACCACCAAGTCCGCCTAACTTATTGCAAGACCACATGAAGACGTATCTAGCGCATCGCGCGCTCCAAATGCATCCTGTACAATATAGCTGTAAACCCCCATCATCAATGCGCATCGTCTCGTGATCCCCGTTGCATTCCATCTTCGCCTGTCTGAATGTCGTGTGATGTGCGTTGGTGACGTTTGACTGCACGGCGCACTCGCACTGAGGGTCAAATGATGCATGCGATGATGGCATTCAAGCGAAGTTTACGCTCCGATTGGCTTGCCGAAAGTCAACCCATTCAAATTCTCATCACTCCGCTTCAATTTCCGATGCTCAGCGAACCTTTCTCCATTGAGTGCATTGTCGCCAGAAGCCCACTCGTGCGACACCGTCGGTCAGCATACGTCCCGAACGGGAGGATAACAATAAACCCGCAGCGCCACAAGGCATACCATGCAGCCACGAGCGCCACAGATCGAACAGACAACACGGTACGTCTACATCTACAATATTATCCGCGTTGAAGTCAGATCCTGTACCCATTAAGACGCAATCCTCCACTTGCTCGCCGGGATGGCTGCGACGCGCACATCAGACCCAGAACACGTACACAGATCAGGACACACGCACCCTGCAGCTTCCTCACGGTAGGCATGATGAAGAAGAGCACGGAGACCACCCCGAAGATGAGACAGAACCCCGAAACGATGTAGAACCCGTCCTGCTCGATAACGCACTGCCCGCTGGCCTCGCGGCAGGCGGCTTTGCCTTGCTCTGACACGCATTCTCGCGCTTGACCACCGACGCGTCAGAACGGCGATAAGGAACACGTTGCTCGAGACTCACCTTCGACCGACAGACCAGGTGCGGCCTCCGGAAGGCTGCACGTCGCGATAGTGAAGAGGTCCACCCCTGTAGTGGTGATCGTCACATGGAGGTTCGCAGTGATGAGCCAGCACGTGGCGCACCTCTGAGCACGAAGAAGCGCGGCCATGTGTCGCCTAGGTTCACGAATGTGTTCAGCAGCTGGCCGTCTTGTCAGCACGAGGCGTCGGGGAGCGCGAGGAAGGCCGGCCTCACCGTCATGTAGGTACCACCGACGACAGGGTCCGACACCCGGGTGTGGAACGCGGAAATCCCGCCAAACTGGATGGTTCTGCAAACGGCAGCAGTTAGCCGACCATGCACATCCGAAACCCTGACACGACGCGTACCCCGTGAACGACTGCAGGATGATAAGCGTCACCAGCCCGACCATGAAAGTGGATGTGATGGGCGGCCTGGGGAACCAGTAGACCACCAACGCCGCGATGAGCGTCAAGGCCAGACGCGGCCAGAAGCTGTATGTCCACGCGCGCAACGGCCGGTCGCCGCGCGCCCATCTGCCCGCCAGCCACCCCGCGGCGAGCTCGAAGGGGAAGTCGATCAGCACGGCCACGGCGATGTCTTCCCGCCCGAGCCCTTTCTCGGTCATCTTGAGCATGGCGACCGCGTCGTCGGCTTGCCAGCCGACTTTGGCGAGGAGGTGCACGGCCAGGAGGATCTGGACGTCTGCGACCAGTGACCCTAGTCAGCTGCTGTCACGTTTTCGGCGGCGCAGGGGTGGTGCTCACGTTTGAGCTTGCAGATCTCCCACATGGTGAGATAGACCTTCTTGATGCCCATGTCTTCGCCAGCGCGTGAGTCCTGGGCAAGCACGGACGTGTCAAGCGACGGCTGATGGCTGCATCACAAGGAAACAGTACCTCTTTGACGAAGAATAGAACGAAGGTCACGGCGTACGACATGCACGCGCAGAAAAAGAGGTATGCGCCCAATGTGAGGCGAGGGATGCCCCATTTGTGACTAGAGCGGATTGAGCATACGCGCATGGGGCCGAAAGAAAGCAGACGCACGCGAAGTTCTCGCTGTTGAGCGCGAGGAACAGAGAGTAGGACATGATGTTGCCCGAGTTCAAACCTATGACCTGGCACGTGGATGCGTAGGCGAGGTTTTCCTCGGATAGGAGTGTGAGGGCCCATCCTAATGTATGCGGTGTCAATGCACATTCGACGAACTGGTGTATGCGTGCAGCATACCGTCTACTGCGACGTCTGATGCAGTCCTTCAGCAGGAGCGTTTTGAGAAGCCTGGGATTACATACCTTGGGTGGCTGAGAAGAAGACAAGTGACGTGAATGCAAACGTCAGCGTATACAGATGTTTCCCGGGCTTGTGGAAGTCGGTTTTAGTGTGGTCACAGCAGGGGATAAGCAAGGGCACACACGTCTGCGACCAACTCTTCGGCACGAGCGGACATGGCAAGCATGATTGTTCCGACAATTAGTTGCACGGGAATGATCCACGACTTGCGTCGACCTATTGATGGGAAGAACATGGAGTCTACGATAGGTGACCATAAAAGCTTGAGGGAGTATGGGTATGCCGCGAGAGAGAACACGGCGAGCTGAGAGTACGATAGTTTCTCTCTGATAATAAATGGAATGGAGCCCAAGGCCAAGCCCAACTGCAGGCAAGGCTGAGCGGGGGTACGCGAGATGCATGACAGGGGAGTACTCACTGGGAACCCTTGTATGAAGTCTTGACCCGGCAGGGTGAGTCCTCCAATCCACAAAGCTCCCATGAACTGCATAGAGACGCACAGAGAACGGTGAGCAGGACCATGGCCCGCTTGTCGCGCGCCGAGAAGGACCTTTTGGCGTCGACCTGGGTGAGGTACTCCTGCTCCTCCTCTAGGGTGAGGTCCGCGGCGGCCTCCCGACGCTCCGCGTCCCCGAGGAGGCTCAGCTCAACGTCGTCTCCTTCATAGGGCGTGGGTAGCGCATCGTGGTCGCGGCTGCGCGCCCCACCGGACGTTCTGGGAGTGCGGGGGAGAATCTCGACGCTTTCGAGAGAGGTGGCACGGGCGTGCATGGGGCTGCCGGGTCAAGCCTGGTAGTTCTTGACCGTGTGCCGACGCGTGTTGGTGTCGACAGGGCCGTTATAGGAGGACGGAGGCATACAAGCAGGAGGGGTCAGAGTGGCATTAAGATCGCCTCCGTTGTTTCGAGGTTGGACGTGTCCCTTCGCTCGCGCGCATGCCAAGACCGCGATCAACGGGCGCCTGTGCCGCAGTAGCCCGGCCCGGCTCACCCGTAAAACCGTCTTCGAGCGCATCGTCGTGCGAAAACAAAGCAGATCACACAGTACGGGAGTCGAGTGGAGAAAAGCGGAGGGTCCCGGGCAGTGCATTTGTTCCCTTTAACCCGATGATGATGTACAACTTCTCGGCTGCTAATCCCAAACGTATCGATCCATGCCAAGACGCTCAACTCGGTCTCGAGTCGCACCGACGATTCAACAAGCCTTTTCTCAATCAAACAGGTCGAATGTGAGGGTTCGGCCCGACAGGTACGACCCTAGTAGGGTTAAGCTGCACCATAGTCTCCCGTCAATCCAACATCTCCCTAGAGCGAAGTGAGCGACGTACCGAATCATGCGACCAGTAGTAGTGCGTCTTGATGTGCTCAAAGTTAGTCGTGGACGAGAACGCATCATTCGTCCAATACAGCCGGCGCATCCAACGCTCTATCTCAGGATAGCCGTCCCGGATCGTGCGCAAGTTGCATTTGAAATGGCCGACGTACACCAGGTCGAAGCGAATGACCGTCACGAAGAGGCGAACGTCTGCCTCGGTGAGCGTGTCGCCGACGATAAAGTCCTTGCCGGTAAGCATCTTCTCCACACGGTCGAGGGACGCGAAGAGAATAGTGACGGCATCTTTGTACGCTTCTTGGGTCGACGCAAAGCCGCAGCGGTACACGCCGTCTGCCAAAAAATGGGGGATTGACAGGTGCAAATGCAGGAAAGGGAACAAGACTGACTTACTATTGACGGTGGAGTACACCCAATCATTCACCTCATCGATATCTTTGCGCAGCGATTCCGGGTAAAAGTCTAGGGTCGCCTTGTCGGCGGGAAGGAGGTCATTGAACTCGAAGTTCAACGTGCGGATGATTTCCGAGCTCTCGTTGTTCACGATAGTCTTGTTCTTGGTGTCCCAGAGCACAGGGACGCTATTGCTAGGTGTGCAATGACTTCAGAGGCAGCAGCCAATGGAGAGAATGCATACTCACCGGCCTCCGTAGTCGGGTTCGGCACGAGAGTAGAGATCTTTAACGTGTTTTGAACCGTTGTGAGGGTCGATGTCTGCGCCTGGGAATGCGTCGACGGAGGCGAAGGGCCACCCTTCGGCGCCCATGCGAGGAGACACAACGGTGACCCCTAGCAAAAGAATGGAACCAAAGGCTTGTAGCGTACAGAGGACGTCCAAGTGATAGACTCACCGATGAAATCCTCCAGACCCTTCAACTTGCGAATGATCAAGGTGCGATGTGCCCAGGCTGGCCAAAGAACGGGTTGGAATGTGCACGCAAAGGGGTTGAAAGGGGGGACGTACGACACGCGTAGGAGACATAGATACGGTAGCGTCCTCATAGACGAAGGATATGGCATTGGTTTGGATGAATCAGGGGACATTTCTCAACGCTCACCTTTCTCTGGTGGAAACTCTCCCCCCTTCTGGATGAACTTGCGAAACGAAGTCGCCGCGCGGACAAACGCGCCCTTCGCGTCTCTCGGCACAGGCTTGGACATGGCGCGGATGGTGGATGTATGCGTGAAGTGCGAATACAGTCGACCAGGAGGAGACGAGGGGGGAAAACTGAAGAAGGTTGGACGAGTTGTCTCGGATTTGTAGGGGCTATGCTGCGGGAGAAGAATGTGTCGACAGAGCAGACATGGAAAACAGGAAGCACGGCGATACGTACCGAATCGGCGACATTAGTACACACACGTCATGTCCATTTCGTTAAAGATTGCTCAGCACAACGGACCGAATCTAACAATCCTTTTCTCGTGTATGTCGTCATGATGAACTACTATGGCGTCGAGCTCGAGGTTGAGGCGAATGAGGTCAGAATGTGGGTACCAGACTCCAGTGAACGGCGAGGAAAGAGACAGATGGGTCCCGCGCGTCTTGCCCCTGGCCACATCATCGACAGTAGTTGCTGCACATGCGTTCCCGTCGCGGTTTTCAACCTTTCATCGGCGTCGAGGGATACAGAGAGGGTGGAGAGCAAACGCGCTCGTCGCCGTTGGGGGAGTTTTGGGGGAGTTTCTGGCGAATTTCGGATTATGTAATCTCCGACGCGCGTTGCCCTTTTTGGCGCCTGAACAAGTTTGACCGTTTACATGTGTACGGTGAGCTTACATCGCTCAACCACTGTGTTCCTGTTGACGAGAACACAAATTCCCAGTGAACAGGTCACATCATGGCCACCGTCGGCACCCTTCCCTTTCCTACCTTCGCGGGCTCCATCCCTGCTGCGGATCGTGCTTCACTCTCGGGACTCTCGGACGCTGACATTCGCAAATGGATCGTCGCCAAGGCAGAGGAGTACCGCAAGATCGCACTGTCTCTTCTATCTCTCCACAACTCGATCGCGCCGATTCATCGCGCCTTCCCGACAGAACTCCTCTCTGAGGTTCTGTCATACTGCTGGGACGACATGCGCAGTGTGCGCCTCATGCACGTCTGCCGTCTCTGGCGCGCGGCAGCGCTCAAGACCCCGCGACTGTGGGCAGAAGCCGCCGCCGCTCCTGGCGTCCAGTTCACATTCAACAAGGCCAGGATCGAGGCGCAGTGTCAAGACCTGGAGGAGGGCCGTATCTCGTTTGCGGCTACCGCGATAGAACTATCGTCTCCAGAACCGCTGCGCCTCAAGATCCATTTTCTCCCAGATGCCCTATCCCAGACACTCTCGTCGCACACCTCCCGACTCGTCGATTTGTATGTACGCCTCCAAAGTGCCGCGCAGTTCAAGTCTCTGTGCGCACTTCTTGCCAGCGGCTTACCCAACCTCACCGTCCTCGGCATCGCGTTCTTCGGACATGTAGGGATGTACCGAGACTGGCTCACCCCGGGAACCAAAAGGCATTCCGGCGACATACACGAGCGCGACGACAAAGGGACACTCTCCAAGGAACTCACCAAATGGAGCGTGGGTGTTCAAGGCCTGATCGCATGCACTCCTCGTCTTCAGACACTCCGATGCGTTCCGATCGATCTCGTGTCTCACTTTGCTTGTTCCACCGTGCGCGACATGTGCATCACTCCCGCAGTGTTCGGCACGAATCACTTGGAGGGCTTCATCCACGCGTTGAAGAACACTCCGAACGTCATGCGCCTCGATCTGTGCATGGAGAACGCCCGGCTGAGGCCGGACGACGACGCGCCCGGGTGGGCGGCCAGCCCCGTCGACCTTCCAGCGCTGCAGACGTTGGTCGTCAACCTCAACGGAAACACACACGCGGCACAGTACCTGGACCTCATCTCCCTTTCGTCTTCCGTAGGCATCGACCTTATGCAAGGCGAACTTGGCCTTTCGTTTCTCTACCAAGACCTCCCTTCTCGCCACACCCCGCTCATCCAATCCCGAGTCCAGTCCGCAAATACCGTGCACATCTGCGACTCCTACGACCGGTGGAAGATCCCCACCGTCGTCATTTCAACGTCGAAGGACGACGAGGAGCCCGTCCGCTTTACCCTCTCCGCCGACTCGCACAGCACTGCACCCTATCTGCCCTCGCTCGAGCTCATCGAGACCTTCCGCGACACGGGCGCGGCCGTCACCCACCTCGTCCTCCACCAGACCTGGGCGATCCAGACCCTGGACGGGCAGCCGGACGTCTTCCGCGCGTTCCCGCACCTCACCTCGCTCGACCTCGCCGGCCCCCGCGCGCACCGCGTCATCAAGGCGCTCCAGCACCTCGACGACGACGACGACTTCGGGCGCCCCGACGCGCTCGTGTGCCCGCGGCTGCGGACGCTCAAGGTCGCGTTCGGGCTGAACCGCGGGGACGACAAGTCGGCGTCGCGTAGGGCGTGGGCGGCGCTGCGGGTGCGGCCCGCGGGGTGGAGGGAGACGGTGCTCCACGCGATCCCGGCGCGGGTCGCGGCGCTGGTGAAGCCGCTGGAGCACCGCGCGCGGTGTGGGCTCCGGCTGAAGCGGCTGGAGTGGGAGGACCGGGAGTGGGATCCGACGCTGAGGCTGGAGTTCCCGCCGTCGGCGGTGGTGGGGACGTACGTTCCGAGCCCTGCGCTGTTTGATCAGGAAGCGCTCGAGAAGCTGGTGAACGGGCCGGTCGTCTTTGGGGGGTTCACGTACCAGGAGATGCCTGAGCGTGTGGTGTTACCTGGACAGATGGATGTACTGTGACCACGATGTGTTGCGAACTTTGACTCTGCGCATTGAGCCGGTGCGACTCTCCTGTATCGTTCCTGAGATGCGCCCCGCCCATGTTGCGAAAAGAATATACTCTGAAAGGAAATGCGCGCACCCAGTTGGCTTGCCCGGTCCTTGCTCAGAATGCCAGATATCACTGGCGGCTAACGAGCACAATCCATCCTCCGCACGCTGCCCAGGTCTCCATCTAGTGGGTTCTGGATTCATCGGGATGGCTCGGCTTACATCGGCGACTCTCATAACCACATTAGTTACTGATGGGGAACATCCTGCAAGTCTGCAAACACATGAGCTAGCTCATGCTGAGACGGCGAGAGAAACTAGAGAGGCCGACCCTTATCCACGTAAGTATGTAGCGAAGTCGTGCGGCTGTCCAGCTCCCGTTCTGGTAAAAACACACTCAATTTGTACCGTTTTACCGACTACCTCCATGACCACCAGTAGCCAATTCGCGGCTGGCGTACTATACGTAACTGCCTGTCGATCAAGTATGCCCGACCGTCGCGATGGGCTTGTACGGCTCTTCGAGATACTTGATCTCCTCCTCAGTCAGGTTGACGTCCAAGGACCCTGTGCAGACGAAACAAACGTCAGAGATGCGATCACGACGCAGAGAAGGAAATCCTCACCGAGGATGTCCTCGAGATTCGCCAGACTGGTCGTCCCGATGATCGGCGCCGTGACTCCCGGCTTGGCGAATGTCCACGCGAGCGCGATCTGAGCCATGCTGGCGCTCTTCTTCTTCGCGATCTCCTCGACGCGGCCGACGACGTCCGGGAGCCAGGCGGCGTCGTATATGCCTCGGAACCTGCGCGCGCATGGTATTAGTCTGGCACGCCAAGATCGATCCGTGCAAGGAGCGAGCTACGTGTCGGTGTCTGAGCGCGTCGTCTTGACGTCCATGGGGTGGGTGAGGACGCCGCGGGCAAGAGGGGAGAAGGGAATGGACCCGACGCCGAACATCTGGGCGAGTGAGTTAGTGACGTTATAGGGGAGGCGATGATGGGGAGCCATACCTTGAGCGTGGGGAACATCTCGCGTTCTTCCTCGCGATAGAGGAGGCTGTAGTGGTTCTGCATCGAGATGAATGGGGTTAGGTTATGCGTGATGGCGTAGTCTGAGTGACACAATAAGCTAAACCTCGAGAACACAAAATATCAAGAGCGCACTTTGCATTTGGTGGACTGTGAAAAAAATGGCTCAGAACTCCGGAATGCAAAGCAGAGGCGAGATCCACCCACATTGGTATGCCCAGCATGAACTCATCCCGACGTATCGCACCCAACCAGCCTGCACGACATCGTGCAAAGCTTGCATCTGTTTTTGACACGTTAGCCCTCTAAGTTCATGAACAGGGGGTGGAGACGTACGGTTTCCTCGATAGGCGTATTGTAGTCGAAACGGTGGCCTGCCATTCAATGTCATAAGCTCGGAGAGGCCATGATCAACATAGGTCGATTGGTGCATACACTGCAGAAGATCGATGTGGTCCAGCTGAAGGCGCTTCAAACTGGCTTGAACCGAGTCGAAGATGTGCTGCAGGGCGCGGGAGGGATGTTGGTACTGCGATAAGTTCGATAGCACTGTCATGTACCTTGCGACTCAAACCTCTCTGGTTGATGATCCCCTCATCCTCTGGCAGAACGGCAGCGGGAAAACTGGTGTCGTAGCTCTTGCGGACAGGTGCGTATAACTGCGGCCCCGGTGAGCGCGACGACAATGTGCCGAGATAAGAGCAGACCTTGGTCATGATCACGAGCTCATCGCGGGGAAGGTTGAGCTTTTTGATCGCGTTTCCGAGGATGACCTCTGAGAGACCGTTGGAGTACATCTGCGAAAAACGGGTGCAGAGCGTGAGCTGACGAAGGCCAACGGACTTCCGATTGCACTTGCATTCGCCGTGTCGAACGACGTGATGCCGTTGTCATACCTGGGTCCCCACTGAGTTAGGGCCTCACAAACCTCGCGTCTCATGGAGGGGCACTCACGCGAATCTGATGTGTTGGATAGCCTCTTCTTCGGGCAAGATCCAGCCCTGCCACTTGGGAGTGCCATAGGACATGCATCCCAAAATGATCTTCGACACTTTGAGACCCGAGTTGCCGAGCCGGACTGGGTGAGAGCGATGAGCACACAAATGAAAGAGAAAGAACGTGTCGCTCACCATACTGCATCTTCGGAGCCATGGCGAAGGGCGGGTATTGAGTATGCCAACCTTGGTGCTCGCACCCCCCACGGTGCGCGGTATTTATCCCCTCTGCGGCTCCGCGCGCGCGCAGTCAAGCCCCACTCATGGAGAGGGCTGACCCACCTGTCGCCGAGTACCGAGCACTTGACTAAGATGTGTGCGACCAGACATAGGCCGATCGGCTCTCCGAAGAGGTTGGGAAGACGCGAAGGTACTTGAGGCGGCTGGTTATGGTCCGCACGACTCCGTAGCCCACAAGCGTGCAAGGCGACGAAAACCGACCTCCAGTGCGCCTCTCTAGACGCCCCAACGTCGCTGATGAGTCGGAGTCCCGCACTCCTGTATCATGGGTTCGTTATATACGTACGGGCTATGATGGCGACATAATTCCACGGCGACTGGCCTTTACTTGCGGTCTTGTTCTTTGGCGATGTCGCCTGAGTGGACGCAGTGTTAAGTTTTGCATCCTCCAATTGAAGGCTCGCCAACCAATCGAGCGCCTCCTCTCATGACACGGTTCACCGCCAGGCTGCTCGCACTGGGTCGCCGTCGACGGCCTCGCCCCCGGCTACCTCGCGCTCCACGGCCTCTCCTCCCCGGCGTGCACCGCGCGAGCGGCGCGTCCTCGCCGTCGACACCTACACCCCGCCCCCCGCCGCGAAGGCGGACTCACGCGGCCAACACCCCTGCGCCGATCGCGGTCCTGTTATCCGCGGCGCCGCGCGACCCGGCGGACGTCGAGCGGTGGCACGCGGAGGAGCACGGCACGCTGCTCGCGGGACGGCGGACGACTCGAACGGACGGGCGGTCGCGCTGGGCACGGACGCGGAGACGATTCGGGGCAGGCTGGCGGTCGCGGAAGTTCCTCACGCTGCACGAGTTCGCGGACGAGTTCAAGCACGCGTTCGGCGCGGAGTGGGCGAAGAGGTCATGGCGCCCGAGGCGGGTTCGCCGGGTGTTCAGGCGGCTGTGGCGGGCGTGGAAGGCGGACTGGCTAGGGTGGTGCGGGGGGTGAGTGTGCGTGCGGGCGTGTTGCCTCAGGGTGTCGGTAAGTTTCTGTTCATTGCGCGCGTCTTCAGGCGGTACTTGCGCAAGAAGCTAGGACGCCGTGTGTATCGCCTCTACCTCGCACCCCAACTCTCAATTTAGTACAATGATATTCAATCTTCATGCGTGTCTTATGAGCCCCCCGGGGCAAATCACCCCTCTCCAGAGCAACTCGGACCGCGCTGGGCATTCGGGATGACCAGACAGCCACACCGTCACATGCTGGCATTGCATAAGAAGTTATCGCGGAGTCGGACGTTGGAAATCCTCCACTGCCAAGTATTGCTTAGAGTGACGGTCAGCAATCCATTCCGAAGAGTCATCAGTAATATGTCGTCAAACTGGCAATATCTGTGGTGGCTTGACTTGGGACATACCAGCGAATGGAAAACAACGAGTTACCATTCGGACATTGAAGCTGCCAGCGCGCGAAGCGTCGATGGGGATGACAACTTGGTTCATCGCCAAACAATCACCTACTTAGACCACATGAAGAACATACACATGATCATTTCAAGAAGATCCAGGCGTCATGAGATCAACGCTACCCAGAGAGACCCTCCAGCTTCATACCGTCATCATAGGCGACGACTCCTGGGTTTACCCCATCGTCCAGAGCGGCAGACTCCAACTTCACTTCGCCCGGATCCCTCGCTGGCAAAGCCGGCAAGGCCTGCATCGGCTCCTCCCCTACCTTGCGCTTCTTCCGCCCCTTACGCCCGCGTTTGCGCCTCGTCTCTTCGCCGCCACCGACTTCTTCAACGGTAGCGGGCTTTGGAGCCGGAGACCGTTTGCGTGTGGGCTGAGGCAACTGCACGCCTCGGCTCCTAGCCCTCGTAACCATCCCCACATGTACAGCCTTCTCATTCGAGCCCGATGTGTCGATGCTCGCAAGCGTCGTCGCGGGGGGCGCTGTCGAGTCGCGCTCGACAGGCGCAGCCTCCTCGACGTCCTTTGGCGCAAGCGCCACACCAGTATCCACGGCAGCTGCAATGCCATGTGAGCACGAACCATGCTCGCGCAGTCAAAAAAGATGGCCCACCCTTGCACTCCTCCGCCTCGGTTACGGTTTCTGCTTTGACCTTCCCCCTGAGACCCCTTGGACGCTTTTTGGGAGCAGCGTCAGATGTCTCCTCGCCGTGCTCAACGGCGGCGGCGGCAGCGGCCACCGCTTCCGCCTTGATCTGACGCGGGAACGGCTTCGGAGGCTTCTCTGGCCGTAGGTTCTCGTGGACGACAGGGTGGAGGCCGTACATCCTGTACAGATGGAACACCGCCTGCTCCTTGTCTTTCGCCTGCGCGCATGGTCGAATTAGCCAGGAAGCCAGGGGGAGAAGAGATGGATGGTGGACGGACCTCTATCATGAGATCCATGTCGTCGGGAAGGTCCGCAGGGAGCGCCTTGCAGCGGTCCGCATGCTTGCGCTTCTCCATCACGGACTCGGCGCCGGGGCAGGGCTCAGAAAGGTGTTGCTTGGGTTTGATGCCCTTCTTATGCCAGATCGCGTTGATGCGCGCAATGAGCTCGGGAAGTGGTTGCTCGGAGGGCTGACGGGGTGGCTCGTCAGACTTTGAAACAAGATGGAAGGTAGGGGGCAGCGCACATAGATCCAGTTGTGGTGGTAATCGAACTTGAGGCGCGCATTTAGCTCACTTCACAAGTGGGGCTCATTGATAGACTCACCACCAAGGGAATCTCGAGCTCTTCGCACACTGGGAGGAGTTCGTCTGGGTTGTAGCACATCTAACTGCCGATCAATATCTGGAGTTGAAGAGATGGACGGAGCACAAAGTTCACCTCGTCGTTCTCCAACACCAATCTGTCACGGATCTCATCTGTCAACTTGTGCTTGTACACATCCTTGAAGCGTTCGATCGTAGCCTGCTTGTCGTTGAAAACACCCTGTGTAGACATATCAGTCGAAGCTAGATGCGGAGATGGACAGACACAAACTGACACCCATGTGGATGATCATAACGCTGTCCCGACCGGTGTCCATGTGTCGGAACATCTCACAGTGGTCTGGTCTCACGGTCAGCATCTGGGGTGCGAACCGTAACAGGGCCCTTACATTTCAAGTCGCGAATGGCCGCCTCCACGACCACGTCCCGGGGAGAGCCAAGTTGCGTAAACTGGGCGCAAAAGGTTGGAAGGCGAAAATGTGCGGACGAGCATGACCTTACCTGGCCTGGGTGTGTGGTGAGCCGATGTCCATACTTCTTAGCGAGATCACCGGCGGCCTTGGGGATAACAGTGTCAGTCCACCATTGTATGAGACTGAGGGGAGGGGAGACCTTGAGCTCCTTGGCTGCGTAATCCAGCGTGTAGCCATACTTGTCATGGGACGCGAATGGGAACAGCTCCGAAGACACCCGCAGAAACTTGATGTTGTTGTCATCGTTCCACTAATAGACAGGTTTAGCAAGAAGACGGGACCCTCGAAAAGCTAGAGCGCGCCTGGATGAGCCGCGAAAGGTCCTCCGCGTTCTTCCTGCCCAACTCCTTGCAGTAGTCCATCCCGAAATCCGGCTTGAGGATGGTGTCGATCCGCAGCGTGCGCGAGCAGAACACCGGCTCCGGCTTGAGCGCGCGCAAGATAGTGTTAAGACAGGCATACCCCAGTCGTCCTGAGCGACGTTATTAGCCATCTCCTAAATGACGAAGCGCATACAGCCGTACCTTTGAACGTTGTGGTCTTCGTCTCCACCGGGGGTATGTCGTACACGACCGGCTCGTCATTCTTTCGCCGCCGGCGTCGCTGCCTCTTCTTCTTGGGCGGTGCCTTGTCGCCGGGGTCTTCGTCTAGCTCACTCAACGGGCCTTCAAACGCGTCCAGGGATGGAAGTACGGCGAGGCCCGGGACTTCCTCGTCCGTGGCGTTTTCCTCCGTGTAGACGACCATCTTCTTCGACCGCGGTGAGACCCGGTTGATGAGCGCGTCGGGCACCGGGGCTTCGGCAGCAACGGTGGCCCGCTTCCTCTTGTTCGCCATGTTCAGTGTGGTAGAGAGGGCGCGTCGCGGGGGAGGGTGTCCTATGGCAAAGGAGAATCGCAGTCGTGGTGAGAGTGCGGGGAGAGAGCAGAGAGAACGATTCATGCCCTCCGCCCGCGCCCGCCAGCGAGCTTAACGCCCCCCACGCGGCCGAGCGCGACAGCGGGCTCCGTGCGGGTGACGACGCGCGGCGCGATGGGAGGCCAAATGGAAGGCGGACCGACGTCATCCCCGCCGCCCATCGTCGACCGTCCTTGCCTGGCGCCTTGCCGATTCTGGCCAGCCACTGCCTGGCGCCTGTCACGCCCCGCGTCTCGCCGAACGTGGCCACGGCTCGGGTGAAGGCGTCGACAGCACGCTCTGAGCCCCAGACGACGAGACCTCGAGGATGAGTGCGCCCAGACTCTCGCCCCAGGCGCAGCGATGGCGCGTCGTCATGTTCACGTTCCCCATCATTGGCATCACCAGCTGTGAGTCGTCTCTTGCGGCGGTCGGAGCGAAGAGCACGGTGCTGAGGATCATGGCCGTGACGCAGGGATGCTTTACAGACGCACGGTGCTCGGGGAGAAACGTCGGGAGCTGCCGTCGCAGTCGGAGGTGGAGGAGCATGGGAAGGAGAAGGTCGTCGGGTTGTTCACCGCGGGGTCGAAGCCTGATGGAGGCGCGCCGTCGTGAGCTTGTCCAGACCCAGGGAAGTGCGTGCATTGCGTATCGTGCGTCGTCGGGAACCCATGCCAGCGGAGCGTAGGTGGGGGAGGGGAACGCTGAGAGGAGGAAAACGTCGCGAGACATACATTGCAAAACAGCCCGCCTGACAATCTATGTTGCTGCCCCACTCTTCCGTCTCTGTGCATGCCCTGCCCGTCTATCCGTATGCTCCGTCCAGCAGTGCCTCCATGTTCAGTCCTTCTTCGCCTCTGAGGCAGGGATGACGCGTGTGCCCGGTATCCTTGCAGGGTTGAAGGAGCGGTCGCAGTCGGCGTACGCCATACCGGCACCGAAGCCCGTCCCAAGAGCGACCGGCCATGCGCGACCTGGGGACGTAGCCGGGAGAGGTTGGATGGGAAAACGCAAGAGGAGAAAGGAAGCACGCACGGCGGAAAAGGATGACGGACGCGATCACGCCCGCGCTGAAGCCGACCCCGCTGTATGCCCAGCATCAACACACCCACGGCATGAGAGACCTGTGAATACAGAACGTACGACTTCACGATGAGATCCGCCACTAAATGAGGGAACCCAAGTTGAGTATCACGAGACAGGGTGAATCGGAGGAGAGCTGTCGGAACACGTACGGCAACGGTCAAACTGTGGAGAGCACGTTCAGCAAAGGCAAGAAGCGGGTATGGAGAGTGGGATTACCTTTTGTGCGATGATGTTCTCGCTCGACGCTGGCTTTGGTGCTGACGACATGATGGAAGACGGGGGAGAGGTGAAGATGGCGCCAATTCTAGCATGTACAGCGGAGGTCGCGTTTCGCGCGCGCTCGGCCCGACGCGTCTGTTTGACTTCGATTCCGCCACTGACACGAACGGGAGAGCCACACACAAAACCTTGCGGTGTTGTATGCTTACTGCTATACAGGGCTCGCGCCACTTCATAGGCCCGTAACGAACCATCAAGAAGATGATGGGTGAAAACATGACGGACGATGACGACCACATCATCGTCGACTCGGTCCCCTGGGCTTACGTTCCGATGAACGGGACAGCCTCGACCATTGACAGGTGTCTATCTTGAAGCTCGAACTTCTGTAGGTAGTCGATCGCGCCCGCAGTGTGTCGGATTTCATGATTGCGCTTGAGATCTCACCGGTGATACCAACCACATCATATGGGTGAACGCGCGCACGGTCCCTCAGAGGGATATATAAGAGGCACAGTTACGCTCGGTCTAACTTCAAGGGTTCATTGCACCACCTACTAGCTGTCACACCTCCCCCAATGATGTCTTCAGCAGACACTTCTTCTCTTGTTGTCGACGAGCTTGCCAACATGTAGGTTTCTTTCAATATCCTCGGAGAACACGCTAACACGTCCTGTAGACAAACCATCCTTTATTACCAGGTGGCATCTGCAGGTAATATATAATGAGGACATTCCAAGAGCGGTTCTGTCTAATCTCACTCTCGACAGTGCTTTTCATATACGACTATATGATCACGTTCTCCTCCGAACTCGACGTTTACTGGCCGTCTTGGCGAAAACCTACCGGCGCCTGGGCTCTTTACATGCTGAACAGATATCTTTCCCTGGGGTGCTTTGTGTACAACCTTTTTTACACGTTCTCCATTGCGAAAACGGCAAAGGTAAGCCATTTTCTACCCTATCCACTGACGATTTCAGATGCTGATAATCATCCCTTGTAGAGGTATGTTATATCGTTGCTCAGAATTCGCCAGCCATCTCACTCGAGAACGTCAGTTTACTGATCACCGTGTACCTTCAAAGTTCGTTTATAACAGTTCTCTTTATACCATGGGCATGTAAGAGATATTCATTGGTGATCTACCAAACATTTAACTTCAATATAGTGTTCTCTGCGCTGAGGGTATTCGCCATCTCGCGTTGTTTGATGGTGGCTATACCCGTGCCATGCATGCTGACACTCATATCTTTCGCATTCAATGTGGTACGTTCACATCCCATAGCACCCCGTTGACGCAATGTGCTCATAAATTCCACAAGTATGATGCAACATCAGCATTCGTCGTTGACGTGGTGCCTGGAGATCTGCAGCCTGGATCACACGAATCCGAGAGGCTTTCACAAAGGTTAGTATACTCACCTCCGATGCGGTCGTAGCAAACCACTCAAAGAAGAGGTTGTAGATGCAGTGCCCCAAGGCTAGGTACCGGTTGAGTGCGAAGAGGACCAGGGCTCCGGTAGGCTTTCTCCACGCGGGCCAGTACAAGTTGACTTCAGTGGGGAACGTGATCACGTACTCGTAGATGAGCAACGCTGTGACCCTATGGTCAGATAAGATTTTGTCACCCAGGGCTCTCATCATACCCGACGCAGCGGTGGCAGAGTAAGAATCGGCGCGACTGGGGCGAGTGAAGAGCTCGTAAATAGTAATTCCACTGGAGAGAAGATACGTACAAGACAGTGATCCCGGACAGAGACGCCATCTGCGAGACGGGACGTGGGATGCGTTGGAAGGACGGGCGGACGCGCCACTTATATCCTTCTCAACAGCCCGCCACCGGGGTTACCTGTCTGCACGTCGTTTGGGTGGGACTCCGATGTCTAGGTTAAAATAAGAGGGTAAGCGCACGCATGAGTCGACAATCCGAACGCGGAGATTCGCAATCCATCCAGGAGAGTGTTCGAGCGTAAGCCATGTAGAAGAACTCCCAGTGGCCATCAGTACTTCACGAAATCTCTCAAAATCTCTCAAAATCTCTCAAAATTTCTGTGGAGAGGCGTGAGACGTTGTGAGACGTTTTGAGACATTCAGAATTTCTCTTACTTCCAATTCTTAGTGAGATGTCGTGTGAGAGATTTCAGACAGATCAGAAAAACCAGAAGTCCAAGATGGAGACGATTTTACCTTGTTCGGGATTCACGCACGCTTCACACACCAAATACGGAGGCAAACAGCTATATTTCTCTAGGTCTACCAGTACACATGTACACTACATACTACGATATCGTACACTCCTCGTGCAGCTCAGCACCGTGCGGTCACGCGCGCAGCCTGCGTGGCGCAGCATGGTGCTCGGAGAGCTTGACTCGCCCATCGGCGAGTACGCACTCCACCACTGTCGGCCCCGCTCGTGCACGTCATGCGGGGCGACGAGAAAGGCCGTTGAGTACCACACCGTGTTCGCACCCCACTCTGTCGTGAATCGCCAAACCCAGCCCATCCACCTGCGAGGGACCCGGTGGGCGAGCCGAGGAGCACGAGGGCCTGGGCCGAGCACTAGCGATGGTGGCTTCGAGGGCACGGTGGCGGGTCGTCGGCGCCCACGTCCGGAGGAGGGGGCATCACGCTCGGCGCGTACGGTCGCGCGTCTGGCAATGGCGGCCGAGTGGGCGTGAGCGTGGACGCGCGGCGCTTTCTCAGACGTCACGGGCGGCGTGGGTAGGGGCGCGGTGGGCGCGGGAAAGGGCGAGGACGGGCCGTGGACAATCGCGCGCGGAGGCGAGCGAGAGGGACGTGGAGGGCTGGCGCGCGACCGTGATGCGCGCGTCTGCGCCTGTGGTGCACCGGGACGACGAGGGCGAGTGCTTGAGTACCGCATGAGACGCAGGGGGCATTGAGGGGAAGCTGGACGTCGTGGAGGATGGCGTGGGCGGCCAAGCCGAAGCCAATTAAGCTCCATGTTCCCGACAAGCCCAGCGATGGTGTGTGGGCAGTCTCTTTCCTGAGCGCGAGGCGCTGGGTGTTCACGGAGGAGAGGTGGTTGGCGAGCAGGTGGAGGACGTGGTAGAGGACATTGAGGCAGCGAATCCGGAGGTGGGGGGCGAGGGGGGTGCAGTGGGTGGAGTACTCGGTGTATCATGAGCTGAATGCAAGACAAATGGGACATATGGGCGTACCATGTGTCTGGGGGATGTGCTTATTGATGCCCGTCCAAGGTCCAGCAATTCACAACATGGAGCGTGTTTGGTCGGTGGTCGCCCCCGCCGCGTGCGTGTGCGCCAGCCGCAGAGCATGTCAGTAGTGTCATCGAACATGGATGGAGACTGACTACGCACCTTGTGACACGATGGGCGGATAGCCAAGATGCTCTGACCTTCGCGCGAAGCATGGCGAGGGCGAGGGCGAGGTCGGGGCAGGGTGGAGGAGGATGACAACGACGACGAAGATGAGAGACTGCGCTGGCAGAATCCTCCTAAGGCTGAGATTCTCACGCTAGGCGCCGCCAGCTGTCGTCCAACGTAGCGATGCCACCGCACTTTGTCCTCGTCCTCGTCCCCTCCTATGCCTGCTATCCTCCCTGCCACCGTCTCGAACGCCTTCCCCCCTCGCCCTCGCCCGTGTTTCCCCCTCACACATGTCGTCACCTCACCCTCGTCGGCACCTCGCTCGCCTCACCAGCGTCACCCCCAGCAGGTTGTCGCGATCCCTCCACCGCTGATCCGCATCCGCGAGCTCGAGCAAGATGAGGAGCTCCGCTGCGAGCTCGAGGGGCCCCGTCGGCGCGGTGCCTCCGCCCAGGACGCGTTCCCCCGCAACTCCTACCCCACGCTCTCCGACAATCGTCACTTCAGTAGTTGAGGCCAAGCGCCGCCGCACAATGGACGCGATATATGTGAGTGCACTCCTTCTATCCCGACGTTTTTTGTCTTTCCCTCCCTCCTTCTTACCCTACTCCACTCCCACTTTTCCTTCGCTGCCGTACAATACAATTTCTCATTGTGCCATTCAGCCATTGGACTACGCACTGAGTTAGACCTTCCACCCACACGCACACCGCCAGTGGGTCCTTGCGAGCTTGTACGGGCGCAGCGCACTGCCCTTGTTGCGCAGTACGACTCTACGAACCCGTTAAACTTGAGAACGAGCAGCACTACGTGGTGAGTACCTCTCCGCTCTGCGTTGCACCAAACGAAAGACTGACGATTGGCACCCACATCACCCTGCTCACCCTCATCGCGCCCGCGTCACACGCGTCGGGCTTGCGTCTTTCACGTCACCACATCGTCCACATCGCCGCGCTGCTGTCCTCGCCCATGTTGCCCAGACATTGCGCCCACATCACCTGCCTCTCACTTGCCCACCTCGCCCGTCGCCGTGCGCACAGGCCATGGCCCCGAACAGGCCCATCTTCCTGCCCGCTCCCGGCTTGGTCGATGGGCTGGACTGTAAGCTGGTGCGTGTGCGGGTAAAGCACAATTCGACGCGCGCAGCAAGGACGTCGTGGTCTTTGTCAGCGTGGACGCGAAAGACGGGCCAGTGCGGCCCATGATTGAGTGCAGCGTTGACGAGGGGTGGTGGGCGCCCGATGGGCATGACGATCGCGCGAAGGATGCGAAAGAGAAGAAGCAAACTGGGAGACCATGTGGAGCAAGGGACAGGTGCGCGAGCATAGCGTGTGGTGCGTGTTCGCATGCGCGCTCATGCATCATCCTAGATTGCCCCCCATTGTTTGTGCTGCACCATGTGGAGCGCACGGTGCGTTCAAAGCCTCTTGGTCGTGCGTGGTTCAGGGCCACGGATGCACGCCGCCGTCTGCAGTTTAGGTCGCATCCAGTATACCTTGTTTCACCTGTGTAGAGTACTCAATAATATATCTCATTCTCGCCCTCGAAGCTCGCCGTGTGCCGGTGTCAATGCCGGTCATCTGAATTGTCTGATATTTGTCTCAGATGTCTGCTCACCTCTCACTTCTCTGAAACGTCTCCCGCAAGATAAGTGAGAGATCAGACAGTTTCAGACATCTGGGGATGTACTGATGAATGACTATACTTTACCTTCGTAGATTCGCCACGCCCCCCCGCAACTCAGTCACAAAAACTCTAGATTCCACCGCGATCACGGAAGTCAATGGGATTTGATACTTCGCGTGCAATGAGACAAGACACGCCCGAGGAAGAGAAACATGACGCTCACGAAGACCACTCCGAAAGGTACGAGGCATAGGAGGAAGATGGAGGCCGTCAGGACGCGACTTCTTGAGGTAGCGTAGATTCGCATCGCCGTGAAATCTGAGACAATATTCAGTGGTTGGCGCCACCCAGGTCGAACGGTGGCCGCTCACAAGCCCATGGTATACCAACGCAGATTTGGAATGATTGGTGGACTTGATATCGGATTGTCAGTGAGCTGGTACCAACACACGGGTCAGTCATCTTAGGATCCTGAGATCCACCACCACGCACCGCTGCTGAAAATCGTGTTCAGCATTGACACATGCGAGCTCCTGACTACCTGAGCTCTGTTTATACGCTCTGTCCACGCTTGGCACTCAACCTGAGATGTCGTACAGATGTACAGTGTCTCCAAATTCAAACGAAGGCATGTAAGGCTAACACGGGCGGGTTGTTACAGTAAATATTGTCTCAAGAGTGGCGCTTATCCTCGCGGATTTGCTCGCTGTTTCAGCGACCTGGTACAATCTAGGTCGCTCTCAAATTCGTACAGAGACAGCAGTGCGCAGCGTGGGCAGTGCCTTGTCATCCGTAATTTTGCGGGACGGTGCGTATTCTTTCCAGATAAATCAGATAAGTTTTCACATTCAAACTCACATAGGCACACTGTACTTCATGTCAGTGACTATTCTTGGGCGGTGACGCTTGTTAATTGGCGCTTCTGCGTCGATTGTGCAGCACTATGGCTGTTGTGAACGTCTTTCAGCTGGCGTCGTTGAAGGTGCTTCCGGTATGTGGGCTCGCATCAGTCTCCACTCGCCGAGTCGGAAATACTGACGCTCGGAATCACCCGAAGACTCCATTCCAAGAAAATAGCCTGGTCCACGCCTTCATCACTCCGTAAGACAGCGTAGCTAATTTATCAATGAACGTGTACCGAGTACTGAAGGATTGGTTGGCACGCAGTATCACTTCGATCCTGGTGTCGCGCTTCCTCGTTAACCTACAGATGGCTCATAGGAAGCTCACCGGAGACACTTCTACCATGAACAGATCTCAGTTCGACTCCGCGGTATTCCAGCGGGTCATCGGCTCTCTGGGGGAGTCACTCGATTTACCTGGCAATCCAAATGGGGACGAGGAATACACGGAACACGTACACGACGTGAACCCGCAAGCTGATGGCGCAGACAGTGGACGCGAGCAGGACGGGAACCACGCCCCGCAGGCTGCGGGAATTGAGGCGGATGGGGCGGATTTTATTGAGGTGCCCAGACACTAGTGAGTCAGTCGCATCTGGTCGTTCAGGATTCGCAGCTGAGGAGGGTCCACAATGACAGCCCACTCGCTTTTCTTGAACACTAGTATTTATTTGATCGTGCCAAGCGATGTCTCTATCTCTAGTATGCGGTCGTTTCTTCTAGTACACAGGATGGTGCCGTTTCGACTGGGCTTTCACGGACCACCTACCGCTTTGCTGCCTTACTATGTTGCTGATCTCGTCGGAATGTCCTCTGGATTTGCACTATTTATTTGAACCGATTAAACGGATGTACATTGTGCATGAAATTGGAGCAAGACTTCGCAAGCCGCTGGGTATGGAACGATAGATAGAGTCCGGGGTCATCTGTGATGAGAACTCCTCTCTACAAGAAATCATCGACGTGTGTAGAGGTCCGCGCCTGCACCGCACCACACGGACCAGCGATCGGAATCGTGTTTGCCATCACAACCCCGTCTTGCGTTTTCCGACGTGTTACTATCATCGGGACAACAGCGCATTTGACGTGCCACTACGGACGGTCGGCGATATCGACATCCATGTAGGGGTGCGGGGAGCAACAATGACCGGAGACGCCGCTTAGTCGAGAGAGACACGCAAGAGGAACGGCATAGACATACCACTTTAAGAAGATCAGCTCTCTAGACCCCTCATATGGGGAGGGCTCCTCATGGGCTGTCACCTCCACCCCTCCGCACGTCGGCACTGTTCGTGTTTGGAGTTTGGCCCTTCTGTAGGGCTGTTCAGGGATACTAGTCTGCGTCTTTCCGTCGACAGAGCGAGTGCGGTAGTACGCAGGAGAGCAACTGGGAAGCGATGTGAGGCTCGGGTGAACTCACCTGTTAGTAGGAAGCACTAGAAAACCTTGTTTACACCCCAGACCCCCACGTCCTGGGAAGCAGTGGGCAAGTACACGCGCTGCAATGTCGAACGTTGAACGTTGATAGCGCACGAGCTCGATGTCGGCGTCGGGGTGGACACGTGATGCGAATGTTTACTTCGCGGAGGCGCGCGCTAGCGCGCTAAAGGCTGACCTCCCGCATCGCACCCGCGCATCTCAAAGCGCACGCACCCACCACTCCCAGAGCTTTGGTTGTGAGAGCGGCGCAGAACGCGTCGCACTCCGTCCTCGCGCTCAAGCGGACCGTCCGGGATCGCGACTCACATCAATATTCGCGTTCTGCCCAGTGTCGGACTCGACCTTCAAGCTTCAACCCGGACGGGCGCTCCGCTTTTCCCTCCGACCGCAGAACGTGACATGGGGGCCGCCGCTACAGTAACCAGAGCGCCCCTCGACCATGCATGTCTCCCCTCACTGCCTGCTCCCACAAGGCTCTCATCACGCCACGAGGAAGCCCGGTACACTTCCTGCCGACGCGAGTCAGAACGTCACTTGGCTGCGTTGGCCCGAAGGACGACCTCCGGCCGGTCGGAGCACATCAGTACATCCCCAGATGTCTGAAACTGTCTGATCTCTCACTTATCTTGCGGGAGACGTTTCAGAGAAGTGAGAGGTGAGCAGACATCTGAGACAAATATCAGACAATTCAGATGACCGGCATTGACACCGGCACACGGCGAGCTTCGAGGGCGAGAATGAGATATATTATTGAGTACTCTACACAGGTGAAACAAGGTATACTGGATGCGACCTAAACTGCAGACGGCGGCGTGCATCCGTGGCCCTGAACCACGCACGACCAAGAGGCTTTGAACGCACCGTGCGCTCCACATGGTGCAGCACAAACAATGGGGGGCAATCTAGGATGATGCATGAGCGCGCATGCGAACACGCACCACACGCTATGCTCGCGCACCTGTCCCTTGCTCCACATGGTCTCCCAGTTTGCTTCTTCTCTTTCGCATCCTTCGCGCGATCGTCATGCCCATCGGGCGCCCACCACCCCTCGTCAACGCTGCACTCAATCATGGGCCGCACTGGCCCGTCTTTCGCGTCCACGCTGACAAAGACCACGACGTCCTTGCTGCGCGCGTCGAATTGTGCTTTACCCGCACACGCACCAGCTTACAGTCCAGCCCATCGACCAAGCCGGGAGCGGGCAGGAAGATGGGCCTGTTCGGGGCCATGGCCTGTGCGCACGGCGACGGGCGAGGTGGGCAAGTGAGAGGCAGGTGATGTGGGCGCAATGTCTGGGCAACATGGGCGAGGACAGCAGCGCGGCGATGTGGACGATGTGGTGACGTGAAAGACGCAAGCCCGACGCGTGTGACGCGGGCGCGATGAGGGTGAGCAGGGTGATGTGGGTGCCAATCGTCAGTCTTTCGTTTGGTGCAACGCAGAGCGGAGAGGTACTCACCACGTAGTGCTGCTCGTTCTCAAGTTTAACGGGTTCGTAGAGTCGTACTGCGCAACAAGGGCAGTGCGCTGCGCCCGTACAAGCTCGCAAGGACCCACTGGCGGTGTGCGTGTGGGTGGAAGGTCTAACTCAGTGCGTAGTCCAATGGCTGAATGGCACAATGAGAAATTGTATTGTACGGCAGCGAAGGAAAAGTGGGAGTGGAGTAGGGTAAGAAGGAGGGAGGGAAAGACAAAAAACGTCGGGATAGAAGGAGTGCACTCACATATATCGCGTCCATTGTGCGGCGGCGCTTGGCCTCAACTACTGAAGTGACGATTGTCGGAGAGCGTGGGGTAGGAGTTGCGGGGGAACGCGTCCTGGGCGGAGGCACCGCGCCGACGGGGCCCCTCGAGCTCGCAGCGGAGCTCCTCATCTTGCTCGAGCTCGCGGATGCGGATCAGCGGTGGAGGGATCGCGACAACCTGCTGGGGGTGACGCTGGTGAGGCGAGCGAGGTGCCGACGAGGGTGAGGTGACGACATGTGTGAGGGGGAAACACGGGCGAGGGCGAGGGGGGAAGGCGTTCGAGACGGTGGCAGGGAGGATAGCAGGCATAGGAGGGGACGAGGACGAGGACAAAGTGCGGTGGCATCGCTACGTTGGACGACAGCTGGCGGCGCCTAGCGTGAGAATCTCAGCCTTAGGAGGATTCTGCCAGCGCAGTCTCTCATCTTCGTCGTCGTTGTCATCCTCCTCCACCCTGCCCCGACCTCGCCCTCGCCCTCGCCATGCTTCGCGCGAAGGTCAGAGCATCTTGGCTATCCGCCCATCGTGTCACAAGGTGCGTAGTCAGTCTCCATCCATGTTCGATGACACTACTGACATGCTCTGCGGCTGGCGCACACGCACGCGGCGGGGGCGACCACCGACCAAACACGCTCCATGTTGTGAATTGCTGGACCTTGGACGGGCATCAATAAGCACATCCCCCAGACACATGGTACGCCCATATGTCCCATTTGTCTTGCATTCAGCTCATGATACACCGAGTACTCCACCCACTGCACCCCCCTCGCCCCCCACCTCCGGATTCGCTGCCTCAATGTCCTCTACCACGTCCTCCACCTGCTCGCCAACCACCTCTCCTCCGTGAACACCCAGCGCCTCGCGCTCAGGAAAGAGACTGCCCACACACCATCGCTGGGCTTGTCGGGAACATGGAGCTTAATTGGCTTCGGCTTGGCCGCCCACGCCATCCTCCACGACGTCCAGCTTCCCCTCAATGCCCCCTGCGTCTCATGCGGTACTCAAGCACTCGCCCTCGTCGTCCCGGTGCACCACAGGCGCAGACGCGCGCATCACGGTCGCGCGCCAGCCCTCCACGTCCCTCTCGCTCGCCTCCGCGCGCGATTGTCCACGGCCCGTCCTCGCCCTTTCCCGCGCCCACCGCGCCCCTACCCACGCCGCCCGTGACGTCTGAGAAAGCGCCGCGCGTCCACGCTCACGCCCACTCGGCCGCCATTGCCAGACGCGCGACCGTACGCGCCGAGCGTGATGCCCCCTCCTCCGGACGTGGGCGCCGACGACCCGCCACCGTGCCCTCGAAGCCACCATCGCTAGTGCTCGGCCCAGGCCCTCGTGCTCCTCGGCTCGCCCACCGGGTCCCTCGCAGGTGGATGGGCTGGGTTTGGCGATTCACGACAGAGTGGGGTGCGAACACGGTGTGGTACTCAACGGCCTTTCTCGTCGCCCCGCATGACGTGCACGAGCGGGGCCGACAGTGGTGGAGTGCGTACTCGCCGATGGGCGAGTCAAGCTCTCCGAGCACCATGCTGCGCCACGCAGGCTGCGCGCGTGACCGCACGGTGCTGAGCTGCACGAGGAGTGTACGATATCGTAGTATGTAGTGTACATGTGTACTGGTAGACCTAGAGAAATATAGCTGTTTGCCTCCGTATTTGGTGTGTGAAGCGTGCGTGAATCCCGAACAAGGTAAAATCGTCTCCATCTTGGACTTCTGGTTTTTCTGATCTGTCTGAAATCTCTCACACGACATCTCACTAAGAATTGGAAGTAAGAGAAATTCTGAATGTCTCAAAACGTCTCACAACGTCTCACGCCTCTCCACAGAAATTTTGAGAGATTTTGAGAGATTTTGAGAGATTTCGTGAAGTACTGATGTTCCCCTGCTCTACAATTCTGAAAACGGGAACTCACCGAGAACACCCTCGCAGAGGTTCGTATACATGCTATCAGTAGCCAGGCTCGATGGCTCATCACAGGAGCTCACAGCGATAATTGTCGCGCGTCTGGCGTTCATCCTCGCCGACGTGTTTGCAATATCCGCCACATGGTACAACTTGGGGCGCGCTCAATTTCGCGTGAAGCCCACGATTCGCAATATCGGGACCTTGACGGATGTGTTTCTCCGCGATGGTAGGCAGTGTTCCTTTGAAGGGATCGGCAAACCTCGCCCTGACGTCATTTCTCAGGAACCCTCTGCTTCGTGTGAGTACATCTAGTGCGATAACGGCTCATAACCTCGAACTGTTCCATCTTCACACAGCGTATTGACATTGTTGAATATCGTGCACCTCGTCTTTTTTCTCGTCTCTGTAAGTGACCACGGATTTACACGTTCCGTTTTCAATCGCCTTCAACCTGCTGCTATCCAGATTAACGCACAATCGGGCATCGCGACCGCTATCAACGCTTTCCCCGAGCCGTAAGAAACAGCACCTATTTCCACGAAGCGCGCGCTCACTCGTGCGTACGTATATCTAGCCTCACGTCCATCCTCATGTCGCGCTTTCTCGTGCACCTGCAGGTCGTTAACAAGGCACTTTCCGGGAACGACACCATGCTTAGCGGGTCCCATCACACTGACTCCATAGTCTTTCAGCGAGTGATTGGTTCCCTGGGAGCGACGCTCCCAAACTACGACGAACCAGGAATGGATAAAGATGGCGAAAATGAGGAACGTGAAGATGAAAACCTCAACGAGGGCGTGCTCGTCGAAAGAGACGTTGCACAGGTCGAATCGGATGACGTCTGAGCTAGTACTAGTTGCGCTCCCCGATCGTGAGAAGCTCTCGTCGGACTGTTGTCAGGATGTAACGCTGAGGAGTATTTATACAGCCTCTTGCCTCCGTTTGTCTTGAATCATACCTGCGTGGGGCATAGGACCCTCCGATTCGTTTGAGCTTTGCAATGCATGATTTGATGACGCGGGGCGTCACGGTCATGTGATAGCGTGACAGTTCCCCAAAAAGCATCCAACTCCGATTGCTGATTGATTCTTTCCCCGACCACCATGTGCCCTTGGGTCGGCTTCCTGAAAAACGCTCTCAGCTTCTAGCAAGACTTCACACAATAGCGTGGCCACCCAGGAAGGGCCACTGGCTCCGTTGACTTCCTCGGAGCTGCGGGCTCAACTCAGACTACTTTCGGACTCCCGAACTCTCCATATGGCCCATCAAACGGCGCGCAAATCAACACTATCATTACTGCTGCCACTTATCACGGCAAGTTCTGTACCCTGCGCCGACCGTACGTCTTTGCTATTTGTATGCCTCCTGCCGCTGCGTCTCTCTCACGTACGTACTGATAGACCGCTGGGAATCTGCTTCTCGAATGCAAACTCACCCCCTCTCACGCACACTTCCTACGCTCCGTCAATAGCCTCTGCTCGCCGTCCGGCACGAAGGAGATTACGCAGCCCGAACCGCAGGATGCTGCCCGTCCTGAACTCGACTTCAGGATGCGCTCTCGCGGACTCTCGCTGCACTCGGCGGTCGTTTCGCTCATTAGTTTCGTCTTCGCGCTCGTATGGATCGGATACGGGTGTGACGTGGATATCAGTCCGGGATTGCACTTGAACCTGCGCGTGGATGCAGACAAAACCTTGAAGTTCCCCGACTTGTATGCGGCATGGAGAAAGGGCTCTTTACGAGCGTCGTTCTTGTCAGGGTGAGATCTGGGGAAGCTCATCACGCCGTCGATCCTGTTGTGTTCTACGCATGGCTCGGCGCTTTGAGGTCCTTATCGCTGATGGTCTTTCAAAGGCCTATTTCGCCCGTATTGACTAAGTTAACCTCAAAGGCCCCATCCTCCGCGCGGTCATCGGGATGAACCCCAATGCACTTCAGCAAGCGGCCGACCTCTGCACGGCATTCCCATACTCCTCAAGGACAACATCGCGACGATGGCCGGCGAAGGTCCGCGTCCCCTTCCTCCTTTGTGCCTTACATCTTACCCTCCTTTTTATCACCTAGGCATGAACACCACCGCTGGCTCCTTCGCACTCCTTAGTTCCATCGTCCCGCGTGACGCGAACGTCGCAGCCAAAGTGCGCGCCACCGGCGCCACCCCCCTCGGCAAAGCGAACCTCTCCGAGTGGTCGATCTACCGTGGAAACAATCCCTTCGGTTTCTCCGGCATAGGAGGGCGGGCTAGCTCGCCATACGTCCCCTTGGGCAGCCCGTAAGGCTCGAGCTCAGGTAGCGGCATCGGGGGTGCGATTGGCCTGGTCGCGGTGGCGCTGGGATCCGAGCTACTTCAACAACCCGGTCGGAATCAAGCCTTCGGTGGGGCTGACGTCACGCGCAGGAGGTCAGTGGGCATCCAGACATGTTCGGTGGACCATGATAGAATTCTTGCCGCGCAGTCATCCCTATTTCTGAACATCGGACACGGTGGGGCAGATATGTCGCTCGGTGACGGACGCGGCGGGCGCTGGACAAGAATGCGTTGAAGGGCGTGCGGCTTGGGGTTCTGCGCCAATTTCTCGCGGACGTCGACCCAGTCATTATGGCGGCGTTCAAAGCGTCGCTGGTCACGATGAAGAAGCTGGGGGCGACGATCGTCGACCTGGTGGACTTCCCGTCGTTCGAGGAGTTGCAGGTGTCGAACGACGAGACGATCGTGCTCAACGTCGATTTCAAGGTATACAAAGTCTGTGCCTACAAGTTTTGAGAGAGAAGCTCAGACACATACAGGTTGGCGTCAACAAGTATATCGCCGAGCTCGTCCAAGTCCCTACGGGCGTCGAAAACCTCGCCGACCTCATTCAATTCAACATCGACCACACGGACGAAGAGCTCATCCCGCCCTTTTGGGATGACCAGTCCCAGTACGCTCCTTTTCTCGCGCTTGCCCTGGTACTTTGCCGCTTGACGCTCTCCTCCCCAGGTTCATCACCTCGGAGAGCACCACCGTCAACCAAACCTTCTTCGCCGTGCTCGCCGCGGACCGCGACCTCGGCGCGACGCGCGGGATCGACGCCGTGCTCGCCGCGCACGACCTCGCCGCCCTCCTCCTCCCACCGACGTCGCCTCGACGCCCGCGGCGATCGTCGGCTATCCAATCGTCACCGCCCCGCTCGGCTTCTTCCCGCCCGACACCCCGCTCGCGCCCGCGAAGCCGACGCGCGAGGGCGGGCCGAACCGGCCGTTCGGGCTCTCGTTCCTCGGGACGGCGTTCGGCGAGTTCGGGCTCGTGGGGATGGCGTTCGCGTACGAGCAGGCGACGCGCACGCGCTTGGCGGTGAGGGCGTTCCCGGCGGCGGTGCTGAAGACACAGCTAGTGGATGTGGTGGGGAAGTGAGCCGAGGGAGGGGAAGTCGAGACTGAGTCTTCTTTGGACTTTTTTTCGCGATAAATGCTTATAAACGGTCTATGCAATCATGTCAGAAGAGACAGGACGTACGAGTTCGTGACGGTCAGGCTGCCACGAATGACTTCGAGCACAGATATCGATGAGTGCTGACGCCTGTGGAGACACGTTGAAACAAGTGTGGAAGATGCGTGAGTGGGGAGTGCCGACGTTGTATCGCTCTGATTTTCAGTGGTGAGCGCGGAAATGAGCATGGCAGGGAAGATACCATAGTCCACAGCGCACCAAGCGGACGTCGTAATCATGAGGAGCAAAAAAGGACTAGACTTCGCAGGGCAGCGGAGCCGTGGACGAGATCATGGTGGATTTGATCGGGACCCCGGTCTCGCACTCCGGTCTTGGTACCGCCGAACGTCTAAACTGCAAAACGCACAGAACTCTATAGAGCGGATATACAATATACACAGTTGCGACGATAAGCCAACTACTACCCCAGCGTGATAGTCTGTGGAGCACGGGTTCTCCGACGGGTCGTCGGCGAGTCATCCATCCCATCCTCTTCCGTCGACATCGTCCAAGCAGCGACCGGAGGGAGCAGGTCCGTCCTGACCCTCTTCGGTGCCCGCCGACGAGGCGGCGGAACGTACTGCGCGAGCGCGTCCTTCTCCATCAGGTCTTTCTTGGGCCATTTCACCCTGTCCTCCTTCTTCGCCTTGTCCTGCACAACGAAGCGCTCGAAGATGCCGATGATCGCGTCGTGCGTGTCGAGCGCGGCGGAACGCGCGAAATCGTGATCGTCAGGACGCGGTGGAGCCTCCGGATCGGGCTTCAGGAGGGCTTTGGGCCTGATCGAGTTCCCTGTCTTGCTCTTACGAGCGACTGGCTTCAGGTCCCAATCTTGGTCAGACTCCTCGTCGGAGTCCTCAGCAGGCGGGGTGGTCTCTTCGCGGACCGGAGGCAACGTGGGCGTCTTGGCGGCTTTCGAGGGTTCCTCGTCGGTGGTCTTGCGCGCGGCGTTCAGGGCCTCCCATTCGGTCCAGCGACCAACGGCGTATCGAGACTTGAAGTGCTTCAGGAGTTCCGCGATAAGTGCGTTGAAAGGATGTGGAGCATTCCGCCTGGGGGACGCGAAAGCGAGTTCTACCAGTGCGCTCGTAGTCGTGATCTTGCCGTTCACGATGGCATCGTGTTTGTCTTTGGAGACGCTGATTTCGCCGATCTTCGTGGGATGCGGGTGGCGTGCATCGAAGTAGGACCGCACGAAATGCTGAACATCCAGCAGATTGCTAGGGACGAGGCGGACCGAGTTGTAGAGGAACACGTGGAAGAACGATTCGAGTTCGTCTGCGATCCGTATCGCCGACCGGGGGTCCAGCAGACAACGGACCGGAATGAATTGCCAGGTCCCCTGCATTTTGCGTCGAGTGAGAATAGATCGAGCCAAGTCCACAGGGCTGCACTCACCGTACGTGCAATCTGCCGCGCGTATTCGATCCTCTTATCCTTGGCGAGTTCCCAGTCGGCAAGCAAACCCGTCTGTGTGACCCCTAGCGCCTTCTTATCCGCTCCCCATGTGATCACGGGGTACATGAGGATGTTACCGGTGCTAACATCGCGGTGTACGATATAACATTTCTCAACCGCGTCGTGATGGGCTGTGCACAGATGTCGCATCGTGAGCATACCGAATGAATAGATGAACACCAAGAACCCACCGTACAGCGTTTGGAGAATCATCCTCGCCCACTGACGTCCGGAGGTGAACGCGATCGAATCCTTGCAAACCTCCTTGACGACTATGCGATGGTGTAGCATATGGCGCAATCTTGTGCCTTGGATGAACTTGGGCTTCTTCGCCTTGGCTTTCTTTGGATGCTCCTCAGTATACGCGCTCTCCTCCTGCGCATGCCGCTCATCGCGCGTGCGCTTCGTGCCGGCCTCGGCGTCTTGCATGGCGGCGGTGATCATCTCGGGGTGGATGTGGAAAAGAGCAGTCGTCGCAGGTTGGGGAGGAAGGGAGGACGGGCCCGCCGTAGGTATCTCGGCGGACGCGGGACGTCGGCGGCGAGGGGTGGAGGGAAGGGGTCGGGTCGCGGGCGAGGCGGTGCCGCACTTGTGCGTGGACGCGGCCTGCGCCTCATCAGGAACCGGCCTGCGCATGCTGAGGTCGATCGTCCGCCGGTTGTTGCCAGTGACCGGAGAGTAGTGCGACGTCTCCGTCTCGTGGCCAGGGACATCCTCATAGCAGACCAGGGTGCGGACGTTGCGAACGGAGCCCTCGTTGAGTGTCTTGAGCACATCGCCTTCGCTCGGCAGGCCGGCGTAGAAGGGGCGCCAGGTATCTTTGATGAATACGAAGCGCTGTGTCGCCCACTCGAGAGCGATGAAGCCGCGAGTGCCACGTCCCACCGCACCGAACGCGACGAAGACCGGAGAGCCTACGAGGAATATCCCGCCGTCAATCTTGACGATGTAGCGACGATTCCCGGGCGCGATTGAGCTTTTGAACTTCGCGCGTATATAGTCGAAGGTGGGGAGGTAGCGCAAATCACGCATGTGCGTGTCCGGCGGTGTCTGCCTGTTGTCGTCGCGTCTAGGGTCGGCATAGAAGGCCTTGTCCTTCAACCACTGCACGACGCGCTCCTCGGCGATATCTGGGTGAAACTCGGCAGCAATGTGGTATTCTGCGCTAGCCTCGCGCGTGTCCGGTGTGATGTCGTCGGGGTGGGGGTTGGTCAGCTGGCCCATACGCGTCCATCCGACGGAGGTGTCAGAGAGTTCCTCGACGGTATCGTCGTAACCCTTGCCGCTGCGATTTAGCCTCGAGAACCCGTATAACATCTTGAGGAGATGTTCGGTGTCCTCCAGCGTAGTGACGTAGTCCTCGGCCTCGGTAACAATCACGCCGGAATGGTCCCATCGGAGGAAACGGAATTCGCGGCCGTTGACGAGGAGCTGGAAATGCCACTTGCGGTGTTGTTTATGGAAGAGGCGGGCGGAGTAGGCCATGAGCTGACCTCTGACCATCTTGCGCGACAAGGCGAGAGATTCGTTGTCGTACTCCCTGCGGTCGTCAAAGGGGTCATTCTTCGTACCGCCGCGCTTGAACTTGATCGACATGGCCTGGATGGCGAAGTTGGCGGTGTCCTTCTCGTACCACTTCATCAGGTTATTCGGAAGGAAGCTCGCATCGATCTTGTTCTTGCCGTTGTCGTCTCGGTCCGCCTTCGACTCAGAGAGGTGGAAGAAATGCTCGTCATCGCATAACCGCGCGATGTTCATGTCGATGTCGCGCTGCGGAGAGGTGTCAGTGACTCCTTCTGACCGCATAGAGACTGGCCACTTACCCAAGCTTTGCTGATTTCAGACTCCTCGGGAGGTGAGTCTTCGGGAGTCTTCATGAGGGCTTTGAACGTGACATGAATCTCGGCGACCTTGTCCTTTGGGAAGGCAGCGTTGAAGCCGTCCGCGTCTGCGGGGCTGAGATAACGGGAGGCGAACTGAAGAGAAGGGATGATGATGGTGGTGTCATTGCAGTCCTCCATCATGTCTGCACGGTCGGTCTTTGCGTTGGTTTGAATGACTACACCAGGCTGGCGACTCCCTGGATCCTGTACGCGAGGTCGATCGGGATCGTAGGGAGTTGGATGCTCCTGAGGAGGAAAGATGTGAGCCTCCATAGTGAGGCGATGTGCAAAGAGGGAAGAGGACTGACAGGAAGGAGAGGCGCGCGTGCGGACACTTATATGCGCGCGCGGAGGGTGGTTGAAGAAATTGAACAGTGTGGTACAAGTCACGGGAAACGGGCTGCGTGTTATCTATTAGGCAAATGAGAAGTCACAATGAGTCTTCTCGTACCTTATTTGGACGACAATGGGACGAACAAAGGGACTTTTTGTCGTGTGTGGCGGGGAGGTTGTGGTGCAAGGCAAGGTGCGTGCGCGTCTAGCTGCCCACGGTTGGATTGCCACATTTGGGAGGGTGTGAAGAAGCACCCGGAGAGTCCCGGGCCGCTACAACCAGTCTGCAGTTCATACTAAACTCATGAAAGAACCCTCTCGATCGAGTGCGATTCAACACGTATTGAGATGGCAGAAGAAACAGACGTCGTTCGGACACGTAAATACAAAACGCTCTAAGCACACCGCGTGCAAGTACCGTTGCACACGCACGCAGGACAATTGCTCAAGCCTCCGTTCCGCCCGAGGAATCTCCGCCTACCCAGCCGCGTTGCGCTCCTCCTTCTGCCTCTGCAACCCCTCCACCACCAACGGGTCCATGGGCCCAAACTTCTTCGCAAGTCGTCGACAGCTGACGTTGAAGAGCTGTTCACAGGGGTATGGGTAGAGGACGCGGATGCCGTCGTCACGCGCGGCGGCGAGGTGCGATCCAGGTGAAGACAGAGAGCGCGCGAGGTCGAGGTCGTCCGCGAACTCCGCGAGTCCGTCCTTGAGGGGGCCACGCTCGATGAGCGCGAGCTCCAGTTAGGAGCAAACCTGTAGCGGGCGGAAAGACAGAGAGAGGTAGATTTATTGTCACCGGTCACCGCCCGATTTACCTGTTGATGATTGTACATATGTGTATTTCCCTTGTTCCGTCCGAGTTCGCGTTCGCGGGAATTCTACACGCCCAATGGTCTCGTTACCATGCTCATAGACCACCCATCAACGATACCGCTCGGACTGATCAAGAGACGTGTGAGGCGAAGTCGAGCGGAAGTGACCAAGAGTCGCACTATCCTTCAGGCAAGACAGTTCAATCGCCCAGACCGAGAGACAAAGAAGGCCTACAACCGATGGGCCCCACTGTTCCCTTCATTCCACAGCATCCTCGAACTACAACACCAACAATGGCCGGCCGGCCGATCGACTCAGTGATCTGCCCCTACCTGCCCTCACCTCGCGTTTGGTAGAGGAAGTACTTCGGGCCTGGATCGTGCCGCGAGTGGTGACTGGCCTGCTTGGTGGTCAATTCAGGGATGGGGCGTTAGGAAAGCCCGTAGTTCTGAGAACCATGTGTACGAAGATGACTATATTGCAGCAATGATGCACGGAAAGGAAGGACGGTGTACGACTGCTACAGTTCTCCCCGTGAATGACCTTTGAGGTAGCCAGATTTGGTGACGTTCCTGGCGAGGCCATCGAGGTAGTAGCCAGGGGCGTAACGGGAGAGCCGGGCAACCGAGCCGTGACTTTCGCGACGGAGACGTGATGACTGACCGGACGACTGGATCCGACGAGGACCAGGCACGCCGAGGATACAGAGAGAATGAAGGGGGCTCTCACCACAAAAGGATGAACGTCTGGAGGGAACGGAGAGTGCTCACATCTGACAGGAAGCCGTCTGTCTTCTCTAGTTCTTGTTAGAGAACGTCCGTTGAACGCACTGCAGGTCATTAAGGGAATGAAGGGGATGCAGGAAAGGTGAAAAAACGTCGAGTTCAAACAAGGCCCCGCACCAGCTCGTCTAGCTCTCCAGCAACCGTGGACCTTGGAGGGAAAATCGACCCAGATAGAATCTTCGCGAGCTTTCAGACCACGGCCGGCGGACGTAGGCTAGTGCCAAAGTTTGATACATGGCACAAGAAGTAGGTCAGAGGAGATTGACGGGCTTAGGACTGAATGGTCACGGGGGAGCTGAGGATGGGAAGGACGGGCACTGGACGTAGAATTGATCAACGGGCAAACGCGGATAGCGGTCGGGAAGCAGATAGCACAGAACAAGATGAAGGCCTCGCATCGAGAAGGAAAGTCTTCTGCGAGAAATAGTGCTGACACTTGACACTGGCGTCGAAGGGATGGGCGACATGATGGACGGACGAACTTGAGGGCTGCGGAGGGTTTCTGGCGCTGGGCAGCAGCGCCGAGGCCGATCGATTCGGCCGGTCCCGGACTGGCCCCGGGGGCCGTACCCTGCTCTTGATTTCTGCACTCATCTCCTCAGCCCTGCCAGCGCGAGTGGCGACAAGATGGCCGGACCTTCCGTGCATTCGAAAACCTGTTCAGCTTGTATCTCATCTCGATGTCACTCGTGTCGCGGTCTGCTCTGCTCGGCAGTCTTTTCGAGATGATCCAAGTGCGCTGTCCCATCGAGTACTCTCGGATTGAGGTTGGTCACACACGAACCTCGCATTACACGTTTTCCGATGGGCTAAAAGAGCTCTTACAGGCCTGATTGCGTCATTCAGAAGGACCCTGCGGGAAACGTTCACATGCTATATCCAATTCGACCAGTGGCCTTCGCGTCTTGGTGTCAAGCCGCTGTGATGAGCCATCTGGTAACAGCAGAGGCTTGGGTTCCTAGATTAAATGAACCACGAGATACCCGATACCGAACAGCTGAAGAAGCCGCTCATGATCAAACGGCCGCGTCCCGAGAAACAGTAAGTACACCCGCGCAAGAGGTTCCGAGCCTCACCGCCGCCTAGCGAGACGTGGTTCTTCAATGCGTCCTGCCGATCTCCACTTCTCGCATTCAGGATAAATTGGGAGGGCGAGTACTTAAGCTGATCATGCTTCATTCAATCTGCAAGCCAGCCTCTGCACACCCGCCCTTTAGCACTGCACATCGATGGCGTCTTCTGATAATGACTCCAGTGCCCTCATCGAAGAGTTCTTCGTCGTGTGAGTGTCCCTCGAATCTCTTACGCATCACGTAGTCTTACCTTCCTTAGTCAGGTACAGCTGTACATCCAGACAGCAGTTGCAGGTGCGTAATGAGAATGGGTATATGAGCTTGGCTGATGACGTCGCCAACAGTGATGATAGTGTACGAATACCTTATCACACTTCCATCCGAGATCTTTCTTTATTGGCCATCCCTGCGGAAAGCGACTGGTGCTGTATCTCTGTTCATGATTAACCGATATCTCTCGCTTGGCTACTACGTATACGACCTGTGGTTTACGTTCAACACCCCGACTACCAAAATCGTAAGTACTGCGCTCCCAGTATGCATTCGAAACTTCGCTCACGACTTCAAACCACAGGAGTAAGTGAAGGTTTCACTCGATGAATAAGTGGACTCTCAAAAGGCCACGCATCAGGGCGCTGGTAACCGCATATTTTCAAGCCATCCTCAGCATTTGCATCTACCTTCCCTGGGCAGGTGAGGTTTTATGCTTTGCGGTCCTTCTCGCTGAACGCCGGACGCGGTTCTCCATCCACTTCTAGCCTTCGCCGGGTTGCGGATATACGCCATCTCGCGGAACTTGATTGTGTCCATCCTGATCTTTCTCTTGTCCGCCGCCCCGTTCGCGATCAACATGGCGGTAAGTCGCGGTGACGGTCGCAGCGCCACCACCCCTCGAGGTTGACGAAAATATTTAGTTCAACATACCGACCCTGTTCGCGGAGCAGCTAGGGCCTGACTATTGGGCGACCGGTGCAAGCGTAAGCGAGGACTTTGCGCAGAGGTGAGTGGCCTCGTGAGCATCTTTCGATACTCCAGTCGATTCTCACCGCCTTGCCATGTAGATGTTCGTGTCCCGTCCGGACAACATACGCGCTTTGAAGTACTGATGCTCCGTTCAGTGGGGATCGTCTCTCGAGGTGCACTCATCGTCGCGGACGTTCTCACCGTTGCGGCGACCTGGTACAACCTGTGGCACACTCGCTCGCTCATCGCCCGGGAAGAGCGCGAAGCCCAAACTCTCTCGAGCATTCTCTTGCGCGACGGTACGTCACGCTCCGCTTCCGTTCCCTGCGCCGGCCCACCTCATGCACGACGGTCCGCAGGTACGATATACTTCATGTGAGCGCCATCACTCTCCGGCAGGGACGTCCCCAATCACACCATTTGTTCTTTCCAGCACGCTTGTCCTCCTGAACAGCCTGCATCTCGCGCTCACCCTCGCCTCCGTACGTCTCCGCTCCCCCGCGCCTCTCGGTCTCTCACCCTCACCGCCGCCCCGCTCAGGTCGGCACCAGCCTCGCCGGCCGCGCGAGCTTCATCAACTCCTTCACGGAGCCGTACGCGTCCCACTGCCTCGCTCCTGCGAAACCCCGCTGACCGCGACGCGTCCGCGCCCAGCATCACCACCGTCCTCATCTCCCGCTTCCTCCTCAACCTCCAGGCCGCGAACAAGCGGATCGTCGGGGAGACGTCGACGGCGACGTCGGACGGGCGCGCCGCCGCCGCGCCGGCCGGGACGCTCGTCTTCCAGCGGGTCGTCGGCTCGATGGGCGCGTCGCTCGACTTTGGGATCGGGACCGCGGGCGGCGGTGGCGGTGATTTCGATTTCGAGTTCGGGTTAGAGTCCGAGTCCGAGGGGCACGAGCTCCACTCTGTTGGTCGCGGCGAGCACAAGGACGGAGGTGGGGGGTACGGCGGTGGCGACGTTGAGCGGGCGGAGGAGGCTTCGAAGGTCTGAACGTTCGGCCGTCCGGGGCCGGCGAACGAGAATCGGCAAGACAGCCAGTATTTCTGAAGCGAATGTATATGTTATGTATTGATGGACTTCTGGTACTCTGTTTTTGGGGACCCGGGTGGGTGGATGGAGGCCAGGGCGGAGGCGCCGAAGGAGAAAGATCCGGGTGCCAACATCGTGCTGGTGTATGATCTGCCACTGAACGCAGGTCCCAGACCGCCGACGTAAGTTCAAGTGAGTGTGCAGTGAGGCCATCGATCGTCCGCACCATGGGCAGATGACCTCCACCGCCACACAGCGTACAAGCCCGATTGAGCGACGGGGACTCCAGCCTGGCCACACCGTGTCCTCGCCCGACGAAACTGTGGACTCATGGAATTGGTACAAGTACACGTAATATACAAATCGAGGTCGCGATCTAGGGCTCGAGAGATAACGAAGCGTCAAAGTGCAAGTCGACAAGGCTTCTAACAGGTCACCGTCGCATCTGAATCATACCCGTCCTCCCCGGCGTTGGCGTCGACATCGGCATCGATGTCGACCTCATTCTCGGGCTCCTCGTCTTCGTCGTCGGCGTCCACGCTCCTCTCGTCCTCCTCCTCGGGCTCGCCGTGGTTGAGTATGCGCAGCTCGTCCAGGGAGACCATGACGTCCGTCTCGCGGCCCTTCTCGAAGGCACGCTTGGCGCAGCGCGCCGACTCCATAGGCAGCTTGTACCCGAGCGCCCGCCAGCGCCCAAAGCTGACCAGCCGGAAACTCGGGTTAAGGTACGAACGCTTCTCGACGGGGACGTTCATGGGGCCCGGCTGGACGAGCATGTTCTGCGGGTGCGCGTACCCGTGCGAGAAACCTTGGCGGTGCATGCGCTCGACGAGGTCCCAGCACGCGTTCCTGCAGAATCGCGAAGCATCAGCGTGAGCCCAAGCCCTAACCTCCGAAGCCTGGATCGCGTAGATCGCGCCACGAGGCACACCGAGACGCGGAAGAAGACTCACCGCTCGCTGAAGGGCATGCACGCCGTATCGATCTGCTCCCCACAGTCCTCCATGAGGAGGATCGCCTTCGGCCAGCGATGAACGTGGCACTGAGAAGTCGCGTACTCGTTGCAGCCCGGGTGGTCGCGCTCGAGTGACTCTCCCTTGGAGTTGATCGGGACGTAGTATCCGTAGAACTTGGGCACGATGGGCGGCGCCGTCTCCAGCCGCGCGGGGGTCTTTGGGTTCATCGCCTGTGCCCACCCGGGGAACTCGTAGCTCGGGCGCATCGCCGGACGGGGCGCCGCGCGAGGCTCGAGCCCGCGGGTCATCTCTGGGACGGGCTTGGAGCGGACATAGAATTCGCGGGGGAAGGCGGCGTACGCCTTGGCTTCTTGCCGGAGGAGATGGTGAGAGCGACAGCGGTCGTCCGCGACCTTGGCTACGACGCGCACATGCTTGCGCTTCTGGTCGCGCGGACCGAGGGTGGCGATGAGCGGGGTGCGGAAGACGGAGGAGCGGCGTCCGTCGGCGAGCTTGTTCTGGTCGTCGAGGAAGAGGCAGCCGCGGCGGGCGTCGCGAGATCTGATCTTGATGCCCTCCGGGTACGCGCGCTTGTAGAGCACGGCCTCCCCGTTCGGAGCGCAGTGGGTGAGGTTCCCGCGGTCGTAGACCATGAGGAGCTCGGGGAGATCCTCAGCGTTGACGAAGTCCTCGAGGTTGGGGATGCCGTCGCAGGAGAAGTGGGCCTCGGTTACGGAAGACTCCCGCTTAACCTTCTTGGTGGACTTGAGCTTCTTGACAGAAGGGATGCCGTCAGAGGACGAAGAGGATGAGGTTGAAGCGATGGGGGACAAAGGCTCGCCCAGGGGCGGCCGTATGGTGCGAGCAGGCATTGGTGGGGATGTGGTTGGGGGCAAGGGGGCGAAAGCTTGGTGTGAGAGAGGAGAGTGGCGGGACGGTGGTTGGCGACTATATGCGGAGATGTGGCTCGTTGCGCTACAGGCCGCGAATCAGACGCGTCCGACCGCGTGCAGCGATGCCAAAGTGGACTCACCAGCAGAGCCGTCTCAGGAGGAGCGTTCTGGGGGTGGCGAGAGGGGAGGTGGCGGAGGGAGATGGTGGTCGAGGAGAAAGGGATATCGATGGGCAAGCGCCCGTGCTCGCGGCCTTGTGTCTCTCTTCCCCGCCATCCGCAGATCCTTCGATTCCGACGGCCTGCGGGGCTCCTTCTGGGCCCTGCGCACACGCCGCCTCGCTCCTGCTTTCATTTCCGTGGCCGCGCGCGCGCGTGGGCGGAGGGCCCCTCTTGTGCGAGCCCGTCGTTGCCAGCGAGGAGGGGGCCCGCCAAGAATGACTCGATGTCCCGCGCGTGGGATGTGTGGCCCACTGCCCACTCCGCCTCCGGCGCGCGACACCACCAAAGGCGCATACAGCGACTAGCCAGCTCGGCCCACATGCATAAGCAGATATCCGGGCGCGATGTCGACGACGGGGACTCTCTGCCCGAGCTCGGTCAGCCAACCAGTCGTCGGAGATGACGTCAAAACGTAAGGACTGTTCCAAATCCCGGGCGCACTCCCACGCGCGCACGTGCCGATTAGCGCGTCTACTTCATTTTCCGAGGAAGCCCGACCATTGCCGACAACCTCCCGCGATCCTGCGATCGAGACCCGGTCCGGCGCTCCATTTACCCCGGTTACGTCTTGACGACGACGACGACGACAAGATGCCTCACATCGAGCACAAGTGAGCCTGCGGCATGCCTATGTATCTTAGTTATCTTCTACAAGCATTATATGAACCCTCTAGTTACTACCCTCCAGCATCTTACGATCTCGGCTGCCGCTTTTGTGATTACGTTTTGTGTTCTACCTTTTCGGGTAACTTCCTCCGACCTGACCGTTCGACGGTTCGTGCTCGCCCATCTAAAGCCAACGGCCGCCGGCCGCTGCATTCGAGACTGGAATCCAAACTTCAGGAGCTCGACGCGGAGAGCTATGGTCCGAAAGTTAGGCCAAAGCAGCCTCCAGACTGCTGATGTCTGCGTTAACCCGGCCACCGTGGATTATCCGAAAAGCCTGTTCTCGAAGAGATTTTGGCAATTGGGACCAGGGGTCTATGCGAGATTTCGAGGGTCCTGGGAATGAGAATAGGACCTCCGTGATAGAGCCGGTGCATAAACCTGGTGTGAATAACACCGACCCATTTGAATGTCTAGATCTTTGCGCGCGGCCGAAGTGAAACACTTACGAGGCCGAGGGTGGCCGAAGCTTATAGATGTAGACTCGTGGATCGCGTCTTCATCAACGCCCAATACAACCAGATCCGGGTGAACGGCGCAGTCGATCATTACGAAGAAGCATGAATTGCGGGCGACGCGCGCATACATTACATGAGATGTATCATCTTCCGTAAATACCATATCGTGACCCCAGTGCCCACAAAGACCCCAGTGTTCAGAAACGTGTCAACGACCATAGTGTACACCAGACTATAACTGCTCCCCGTCAGCCGGGAGCCCGAGCGTGCTCCAGGCATACTCAAAGTCCTGGTTGCAGAACTCCTCGAACTCGTCCGCGTTCGTCCGCCTGCTCGCCCGGGCCTCGGCGCGGCCGAAGTCGACGATGCGGAAGCTCGGCGCGCGCAGAGACCGCTGCGCGGACGGCACACCGAGCGGCCCGGGTTGCACGAGGATGTCGTACGGGTTCGCGGAGAGGTTCGCGAAGCCGGCGTCGTGCAGGTACTTGAAGAGCGAGAAGCACTCCTTCCTGCGGTAGAGGACGACGATAACGATCAGCACGAAGACGGCGGATCGGCGGGAACGAGAGCGAAGGCTGTTGGTTAACCGTTCACCGGGCCGTCACCCGCACGCGCGACCTCCTCCCTCAGGACGGCCTCCAGCAACACGAACGCACTCACCTCTGCTCGAGCGTGAGCTCCCCCAGGAAATGCTCGACCGGCTCCCCGCAGTCTTCCATCAGGAGGATCGGCGCCGGCCAGCGCACCTCGCACCCGCCCTCGACCGTGCACCCCGGGTGCGTCTCCCACCAGATCTCCCCGTCCTGCTTGAGCGGGAGGTAGTACCCAAAGAACTTCGGCGCGACCGCGCCGAACGCGAACGTCGTATGCCCCTCCGGCACGCCCGGCACCGCCGCCTTCCCCTCCACCGCCGCCCTGCCCGCCTTCCCGCGCCTGACCAGCCCGCTCAGCATCTTCCTAAGCCCCTTCTGCGGCGGCGCCTCGGCCGCCGCGCGCTCCTTCTGCGTCGCGGCGCGCCGCAGCAGCGCGCGCGCGGTGTGCCGCTCGACGAGCACGACGTCCTCCTCGAGCACCATCTGGCTGCCGCGCTCGTGCTCGACGATCGCGACCGGCTCGCGCGCGCCGTTGAGCAGCACCGTGTGGCGCTCCGTCAGCCGCGCGGGCAGCGCGTCGTACAGGCGCGCCTCGCGCGCGAGCTGCGCGTGCGCGCTGCACGCCGGCCCGGGCGTCTTCGCGACGACGCGCGCGGTCGTGTACGCCGTCTCGTCGAAGGGTCCGCCGTCGTCCGAGTCCGAGTCCGGCGGAGGGGAGCACGAGTGGAGGGGGAGGGGGAGGGAGAGTGCGGCGCGGAAGACGCTCGAGCGCGCGTGCGCGCCGGGGGCGGCGATGCGCGAGGCGGCGGTGAGGTAGAGGCGCGCGGCGGGCTTGGGCGGCGACGCGGGGTCGCGCGCGAGGGCGGGGGCGGCGCCGGGCGCGAGGAAGAGCGAGTGCGGCTCGACGCGGACGTAGCGGAGCGGGAGCGGGTCGTCGTCGTGCACGAGGAGTTCGTCGGGGAGGAGGTCGTCGGGGATGTGCGTCTCGAGCACGGGGATGTCGTCCAGGAACGTCGGGGAAAGTTTGGGCATGGAAGGTGACCGTGATTCCAGGTCGGTTGGGGTGGTTGGCGGAGAGTTGGGCAGTGCGCCGCCGATGGCAATAGGAAGAGAGGGGAGAAGCCCGGGAAGAGAGACGACGCTACCTGGAGAATCGGTCGATGTATAGTTTCCGCTCGAGGAAGGCGAGTTGTTCTCGATCGCGAGCTTGAACTGAAAGTCGGTCGTGAGCTTGTGGAGGGCAGAAAGGTCCTTTCCCGCGAGGCGGAACGGGCCGTCTTCGGACGGCGCAGTCTTGACGTGAGCGACAGAGCTGTTGAGCCCGTGGGCCGGCGGTAGGGAGGTGGTCAGCGGAGGGTGGTTGGGCTCCGACATGTTCGGGACCTGATCGTTATGTAGAATCGCGGTCTCGCGCGTCATCGTGCGAGATTTGGTCGCCGTGTCGTACAGCTGCTGATTGACGTCTGAGTGGGGTGAAAGAGCGGGTCGCGTGAGGATCGAAATGGAGTAAGAAGATGCCGTAGAGAGGGGCGCTAGTGGCAGTCATCGTTCAAATACTCGGCTAAGCGGCCAAATCTGAACACCGCGTGACCTGCGACGGAGCGCGATTGAGTATGGCGTAGCCAAGCGAAGACTAACCAGGGACCTACGCCAAAGAAGAGGCCTCCTTAGAACGCAGGTGTTCGTAGTGGCCCGCGGGTGTCAAGTTGGTGGTAGGGCCGAGTGGATGTGGCCAGGGAAGAAAAGGCACCGCGCCGTTGGCGGCGACTGTGAAATCCTGACCACCCTGGGGTGCGCGGGTGTAGCGCGGGAAAGGATTGAATGGCCGTCGGGCGACGGCGCAGCCCGTGGGTTCGAGCGCGTCTCCACTTCATGTGGTCACGGATGCCGTGTTAAGTACTTCACGGATGGCGGCCCCAGGCTTCTCCGGGAGTTACGGAATCGGTGTCCACGCTCGCCACTGGCGGTGAATGGATCGACATCATCGTACGTTCCCAGAAGGACGACGGGGGTCTGGACTTGAGCTAGGATTCTGAGAAGATCGAGCCGCTCTGTGCAAGCAAACACCGGGGGTATCGTCGGGAGAGTATATTCTTCTGCGCTCAAAGTTGACCCGTTCTTCCACGGCATGAGCCAACATTCAGAACTATTGAATGTACCAGCGAACTCCGTGAAGTGGAACTGTCCGTTTTAAGTCTCAGCGATGTGGTGGAGAGCGATCAAGGCGCATCTGGAGTACTGAGATCGGTGAGCATCCCTTCCGGCAGAACCGTATGCACATATGCAAGCGACTCACCCTCCGAAAGCTGCACAGCGACGGGCCCGGAAGCACAGATCGCACAGGCCCAGAAGGATTGTCGCCAGCTGTGAATAGATTAACGTTTGACCCCGAGCCACACGAGCTCCCAGAGGACACTCAAAGGGAGCAGGCAGGGAGGGACTTGCATTTGTGGTTTTTCACTCACGGCCAGTGGCTATGTGGCGTACTACTCCACCCTTCGTCGATGCTCGAAAGACCGTTTCGCCAGCTTTCACAAGCTCTTTGATTTCGGACGCTGTACGCTGATTCACGTGGTGCGTTTTTTTCTTGAACTACCACTCGAGCTCCCAGGCTTCAAAGTTCACATCGTCCCGGAAACGCGTGTTCAATTTGGAGGCGCGTGCTAAGCGGCTTGCATCCACATGCCCAAAGGCGCTGCCTACATGAAAATGATGAGGTTAGCAAAATTCCGGAGGTTCTGAGGACAAGCACAGACCAAGAAGAATCTTCCCAGACCTGACGTCGACGTGCCTTGTGATCAGCACTGAATCAAACAGGGCCTGGGGACGAGCATCGATATGCAACGTCGCAGATCAAGAGATGATCTCGAGCTGATCTCGCGATGATCAGAGCCCAACCCAGACCAAGACAGCACACAGCGTCCATGAGCGAGAACAAAGTAGTGAAATTCTACACACGTAAGGTAAGGCAATGATAGGGGATAAATAGAAAAGTACGGAGTGGCATCCCAGGCCGCCAACACGGCGACGTCTGGGAGGGTCTCCGCGCGCGAAGCATACACAAGAGATGAAGACGAAGTAGAGTAAATGCGTGGGGTGGGCCGATCTAAGCAAGCGGCCCGCCGAGCAGAAGTCCGATGGCGCCGAAGAGGCGGTGAGAATGCGGGTGGAATGATACAATGTTCGGGATATCAACGGGTACATGGGCAATACATTGCGGCGGGTGCGGCGGTCATGAGGAAGGCGAGGCGGCGGACAGCGCTATGCGGAGCTCTCTGCCAGTCGCGAAGACGCCGCCTGCGGGCGGAGCGAGCCCTGCATGCGTCGTGACTGTCTTGCGGGTCGTCGTTGCGACTGCGAGAGAAGAATGAGTCAGCGATCAGGGCATACATGCGAAGGATACGAAGAGAGCGGCCTCGGCCCGGCGCGAGCCACTGTGCGCCCGGGCTGACACAACACCGTCAGCGCATCGGACGAAGACAGCCGGGGAGCCGCGCAGGAGGATGGTCGGGATAGAACGAGGGACGGAGGAGTGTCCGTGCGCGGTGTATGCGTTGCCTTGGGCACTTTGTCTGCGCCGCAGTTCTCCCGCTGGCAAAGGCACGGGGGCAGGGAGGAAGGCAAAGACGCCCGAGTGGGGGCAAATGACATCGGTGCGGTCCAAATTGTGACAGCGCACGAGCAACCCCTCGGCCACGGGTTGGAGAAGACGAGGACTTACGTGGCGCGACATGATGAGCTTCGCCATGGACATCGGTACTCGTGATTCGTACGTGGTGACTGAGAACAACGACAGCTGTCAGCGTCCAAGGCTCGGGTAGATAACGACGACAGGAAGCGCGCACCTATGCGAGGCGAACGAGAAACCTGCCAATCCATCCTTGTGAGCTCCGTTCCGCCGACGTAGCCTTGGGACTCGACCGACTCCTCCTCGCCAATGAGCGAGTCGAGGGAGATGACGGGGAGCCCTGTCCAGGTCCAGAGCGGTTGCTTGCCAGAAGTGATGCTGCTCATGGCGTCCGAGGCCGGTGCGTCGACGCCGGGCTGGATAGGGCGGGCGATGCGGTGGAGGGAGCCAGAACCGACGCAGAGGACGGCGAGGACAGATGTGAGGAAGGAGACGACGGAGAAGAGCTGGAGGACGGAAAGCGATAGAAAATCGCTCATCGTGGGCGGGGACCGTTGACGGAGGGGGGCCGGGGCGGCGAGCGTCGGCGGCGGCTGGGCAGGCTCAGCGGCGGCAGCAAGGACGGTCGCGGCGGGGGAGGGAGCAGACTCGGGGACGGGGGTGGTGGACGTCGCGGTGAGAGCTGGACACCAAGTACTCTTCGCGCGCTCCCAGCTGTGGGAGACGGCGCCTGCTGGGGCTCCCACCGCCGGCCGCGCGTCTGGGGCTTCCACCGCCTTTCCTACTGCTTGGACCCCGGAGCCACCGTCGTCATCCGGCTCGTTGTCGTCGCGGTGTTCTGTTGCTGACGGTGATGGTTGCCCCAATGATGCCCAACACCCGTCCATAATGCAGTGCGTTCATTCTCTCAAATGAATGTCGAGATGCTCTACACGTGTACGTCAACTCATATTACCTTTGCGCAGCTGTCCACAAAACCACGGAGCGAGGAAGGTATAGGGCTGGCCTCCTATCGACCTTTCAGACGCAGTCCAGGCATCTGAGGGTCCAGACCGCCAGGAAAAGGCAAACAGGCCTCTGTTCGGAAAGTGGGTGTGAGTACTCTGTCCCCCACTTCCGAGAATGTTCGTCTCTGAATTCAGCAACATGCATGTGCTTGAAAGGGACTCTGCCACCCGCTCGGCTCGGGGGTCCATGCGTAAGCCCCGATCCAATATCCCTCGCGCCCATGCGAATTCTGCTGGATGTGCCTGGCCAGCGGCGTTAAGTCAGCTTTGGTACCAGCCCGATTGTAAACATTCCCGTCACTTTCCGCATGATCATGCCCGACATGAATGGTGTGGAACTGTTTCTCAGATGTTTCGCTCACTATTTTTTACACGGTTTCTTCACGTTTCAAAGAATACACTCGACTGCGAATCTAGGTACATAACGGCGTCGCCGTACTGGGGTTCGTCAATGGACAGCATCACCTGTGCCTCCTTCCTCTGTGCCAATGTATCGTTGACGGGCGTAGCCCCTGGGATCGCTGAACGGGGCTCCGGACATACTTCCATCGTACCAATCTCCTTCCGCTCACCACCACCGATTTCTGGGTAGGGCCCCGTGTCTCGCGTAGCGGCTGGTTTTCAGGCCACCGTGCACCGTCTCTCGCTCTCTATGCCAGTCCCGGCGACCGTGCAAACCGGCCCGGTCGCTCGTCTTCGCTCATCCGCCCGTCCGCCCGTTCCACATAGCCGCACCTCCGCTTTCGAGACTGTCCCCTACAGCGGAATTCTTCCTTCCGATTCGAGAGCGTGGCAACGCCGTCACCCTCCGCCCCCGCATCCGCAACAAGCTCAGGGGCGCGGATTCCGTCCCAGCGCAGGCTCTTTCGCGGGTGACGGCTTCCGCCAACAGGAGCGCGCGGGGATTTCGCGGAATGGGTTCGAGGGCGGCAGGCGCGCCGCACACTTAGCCCTATGGTGTGCTCGCGGTCCCCTCATCTCCATCGCTCCAACATTCTGGGGGTCCGCCGATTACAGCCGTCGCTTGGGCCGGTTGCTCACACATGTCATCTAGATCTGGCGTAAGTACACTCCTTGCCAAGATCGTAACGACCCTCGTATGTATATCCCCTCCCGCAGTCGCAAGTTCTCGGCCCCCAGCTACATGCGTCCCCGCGTCGCATACATCCACTGTTCCATACTCGTTCACCGCTTGGCCCATAGATCCTACTCCTGCCAGGCCTTTCGACTCTTCGCTTCGGCGCCCGGGCGATCGTCGAGGCAATCCCGACATCATCACAGTCCTCGTTTTCCGCTCCACCGTCATGCTCAGCGACGCGCACTGGCCCCGCGCGTGCGTTCGAGCACGAGGGCGAGGCGGAGGTGGCGTTCGCCGCGAAGTGCACCGCGGATATACATCTGTACGGATGGTATCGTGGCTCTTTCGACCAGTATTAGGCCTGTCCGCGGACCACGTCCTGAACGTTATGGAACGAAACAGTCCCGTCCAAATGTCCCAGCCCCAGCGTCGCGCCATCCCTGGAGAACGCGGCGACAGTCCACTCCCGGCAACCCTTCGTGCTCTGGATCCGACGCAGAGTCCCTTCATCGACGTGCCACAGCCACATCTTGTGCTAAACGACAGCGACAACAGCACTCCATGTCTGCCGTCGGGGGAAAGCACCCCGCGGCGGTTGCCCTGGAGGGCGTTTTTGAACGAGACGGAGGCGACCGTGCGACCGGTCCCGACGTCGAAGACCGAGTACGTCGTGCACGGAAAGCTAACAGCGGCGACATGAAGAACGCAGATGAGCATGTAGTGACGCCGTTACACCGGTCATTAGTGGAAAGGAGAAAAAGAAACGGATCCGCCAATACTATTCAGTTTCGACGCCACTCGCTTTCTGTTCTCGATACAAAGACGAAGACTTGTGCATGAAGCGATGGGCGAATAAAAACCTTCACACGCCATTTGATGCACGCACGAAGAGCAAAAACCTCAAGTGAAGAGACGCGTCGCGCGGTTGTATGCGTGACGGAATGCATGTGGTACCTCGGTCGAACGTGACACGAAGACATGGCATTGAAAGGAAACATATGGCCATACATATGAAACCAGCGAAACCGGCCAGGGAAGTCGCAGGAACGTCTGAACATTGTGAGTATGCAGTGCACCGGCATCGATGTATCACTCACCATCACTCGTCCCAGTCCAGTACCTCCCACCAGATGGGCGGCGATCCCATCAACTTCGTAAGGTAATCCACATCTCCTTGTGCGGGCAAGTCTTCCAGTGCCTTTTTGGTGTACCTGAACAGCGAGATGACGGGGACTGGTCGCCATGTTCTTGGGTTGTAGCTCTCCAATTCGGGAACCACCTCCGTGGCGCGAACGTTGACCCAGCCCTGTATCAGACGGACCTCCTTCTTCCTGCGCTGCGTCTGGACGACCTCGCGGACGTACCCCGGGAACTGCATCCCGAAGAAGCTGTTCTCGATGTCCAGCAAGCGAGGGACATCCCTGGACGCCGACCGGGTCGAAGAAGAAGCCAAAAGCCCAGAGTTCATGACGGTTTCTGGGCTTGGGGCACGGCCTGGGGTCGACGGGAGTAAGGTCGGGAGGGGGCGCATCGGTAGTGGCCTCAGGGGGTTTCAGTGATCAGTCTAAAGACAGACCATGGTCAACTCACCTGCAAGTCGGAACCAGAGACGAGTTCAGACTCTTGTGGAGATGACATGATGGTCGAGGGCAAGGAGGAGACAGGCGTGCAACACCGACGCGAGCTATACATACAGGAGGTCGATCGAGCGACAGGGGCAGGCGGTGGCGGTATTGCGCCGCGTTGATGGCAGCACGCAGGCGAAGCCGGAGGATGTGGTTGGAGAAGTTGGTGTCGGATGGGAGCGTATCCACGCCCATGGCGCGAGGGAGTAGCAACGCCGAGGTCGTACAGAAGGCTTCAGTGTGCACAGACACCGTAGAGGTCGTGTGGTCGTAGTCTCGGAGATGCACGGGCCGAGATGAGCTGATAGGCTACCCAGTCAGATGGAGGATCATGAGGGCAGAAATGTGCGTGGTGTGGTACTGGTTCCATGAGGGAGGCCAATCGGGGTGCGGTGTGGACGAGCTGAGAAAGACGCGGCCCATTGATACGACGCTTGCGTCTGAACCGCGCGTCTTCTGGCGGGGAACGCGCGGAGCGTGAAGTTTGGTTCGCCGACGGGTCCAAACTTCACTCCATTCTCCGACTTCTTGATGAACCCACAATTCACCTCAATCCGGACCACAATGGACGGTCCCGAAGATTGATGATGTCTGTGGTTTTGCACCGACCGTAACATTCGGGGTACGCGTACACGATGCAAGCCATCAACTGAAATCTGATCTGCTCTTCGCAGAGCAATCGCAGAGCTTCTTCATTGTTCCCCATATCGAGTATATATGACTCGATGTGAGAGGAATCAAGTCATCCGAGCGTCGATCGTCATTGTGCCGTCCCCGAAAGGTGCGTGCTTGACCACAATCTGTGCAAAATGTGGTACTTACTAGTAGGCCCAAGGCCTTGTGTCTCGGTCACTGCGATGCCAGTGCCCAAAGTGAAGGGCAGCCTCAATAATGTAGCATGGTGTCATGGTTGCGGCCTCGCATAGGCGCATCCCTCGTATACAGTGCACAAAAACAGGGGTGCTCAGGTACGTGCTCAGAGCTCGCATGTATATCAACGTGAATGATTGCTCATTCCCCACATCCCCCCTTTCCCCTTTGCCACCATGACCTCCCTTGTATCCGCATGCCCTTCCGATTCCCTAGATGTGCACGCGCCCCAAGACACGAACCATTCTCAAAAGAACACTGCTTCCCTCTCTCCCATTCTCATATCGGCCCAGCTTGCCAGCGACGAGAAGGATACCTGCGCCACACAAGTCGTCACCTTCCCTATCGATGGAGAGCTGTTTGTCGTGGACGCGGGTATTAAGGACGTAAAATCCTCTCCAATTTCTCCCCTACCACTCCACGGCACTCCAGACGACCCGAGCGACGCGTCTGTATCCCCATCCCTGTGTCTGCCCCCTGGACTCTCCCCAACAGACATTCGTGCGGCCATTACTCACACTCAAAATGCACACATTGATGCACCTGTCCACGGCGACCTGTTGGAAGTCGATCCCACCCTCTTCGAGCACGACACGAGCGTTTATTCGACCAACGGACTCGCACCACTCGACGTGTTCATAGAGCCCGATCATCTTCCTGCCCGCCTCCTCGTCTATGATCTCGACAACATCACCAAATCCCAGCCCGACAACGAGCGTCGCTGTAGCCAAGCTGTATCCCGAGAGTGCAACCGGACCCAACGGAAGTCAGACATCCCAGCCCAATACGTCCGCGTGTACCCCGCACCTCCCACTTCCGCGGACGCCGGCCTGACACCCCCACGCGTCGCACAGCTGTATCTGAGCGGATCTGTTTCTCTCGGGCGCGGTCACCACTCGAGCGTGTACAACGCGCCGCTCCGCCTCCAGCGCGAAGGGCAGGACGGTACGCGCGAGTGGTGCCGGGCCGCCGTCGCGGTGAAGACGGCGCTGGGCCAATGCGGCGCGCACGCGATGTTGGAGCACGAGGCTCGGCTCTACGCCTTGTTCCCGCGCGAGCTCATGGAGGACTGCTTCGAGGGCACGGAGGGGGGCCCTGCCACTCCCTCCGGAGAGGAGACCGTGGAGACCGGCTCTCCTTTCGTGTGCCCCTCGGATGACGGGCTTGCGGCGGCGTCCCGCATCAGCGTCATCCCGGCTGTCGTACCCAAGTTCTACGGGTACTATGCTCTGATGAGCCCCGAAACCGGTGAAGTCGTCTCGAACCGGCATAGAAATTGTAACGTCGAGGGCGCTTGTTGGGTCGAATGGCCGACCCGCCTTCTCCTCTTGGAGCAGTGCGGGAGAGATATCAGTCCCGCAGATGGCCGCTTAGATCGGTACGTTCACGAAGTTGGTTCGTCGTGTTTTATATCTACCATCCTTACATGATTTACACTTTGGCTTTCTAGGGAATCCATGCTTGACACGCTGGAGCGTTTGCACGAAGCGGGGTTCGTGAACGGTTCGGCGTACACCCGCAACATGCTCGTTCAGCCCGGCCCGCTGAGCGCGCCGCGTGGTGAACGCTCGATGGATTCACCTAGCTTTCGAGTGATAGACTTCGGCCGCGGCTGCGCGCGCGATGAGATGGGCAGTGAAGAGTTTGCTCGCGATGTTGAGGAGGAACACCACCGAGCGAAGAGGAATCTGTACTTGTGAACGTGCGGACAAGTTTTGTCTATGGTACCAAATTTTTTTGTATGAGTTGAAGTGTAATGCAGGAAAATGCTTGTATCAGACCGGCATGCTCGCCCGAGGTCACCCAGAGCGCGAGGAAGGAGGGTATGCTTGAACATGTCCCAAGCAAACATGCACCCGCCGTCGGCTAGTGAAAGCCGCGAAGATTCGAGAATTGAGAAAAAGCAGGGTGAGATTGGAGAATATGTAGAGACATAACGAGCACGCGTTCTAGGAGACCCCTGCTTTTACCTCCAGGGGCATGGCAGTGGAGAGCCGTGGATACCAGGATTCGGCGTCGACCAGACATGATGCAGGCTCGAGGTTACGAGAGCTGTCTATAATCATGAGAAGCGCGGGAAAGAAGAAGACGTATACTATCACACGGCACTTTAAAGCCTGTTCTTGGACACTGGTGCGCATAGAAGATAAACAGTGAGGAAACGGCGAGGGAGCTGACGAGCGGTTCGGTCACGTGTAATGAGCCCGCAGGCGGCCATTTGCAGGTGCGACGCGCGGTCTCCCCTCGACCGTTCCTCTGAGCTCTTCTCATCTATCACAATCCCGGTCGGCCGGCAGCTTCAAATCTGCTCCACCCGCTCGCAAGTTATTTAATATCAATCACTTGCCTGATCAGGACGTCCATGGGGGATTCGAGGAGATGCTGTGGAGGTGGTGTGGCATTCATCGCCTTGGTGGGAGCGCGGTACGATGGACGGTGGCAGCACACGCGTGAGTGGTTGTTTGGATTCGGAGAGCTCACTAGACCGCATGCGGGCTTCCTTGTGTCGGATCTGTTTTGTGGCTTGGATCTTTGCTGTCACAGGCCGGGTTGTACGTACGTTCGATCAAGCTCTGCTCGTGGCCTGCCAATGTCCGCCCATGAACGCTAACTGAAGTTGGAAGTCCATTTGCAGCTATAAAAAAGCACTCACCTATACTCTCTCCAACCCTCCCCCTTTATCCCAGTGCTCACAATCGCAGACGATGTGGCTCCTGAACACATCTACTGCAGAGCTCAGGTTCTTTCACAGCCCATCTGGCATATGTTATGCTATCCTCTCCCACGTCTGGGGTGAACACGAGCAGACATTCCAGGAACTCCAGGCCCTCCGCTCCTCCTTCCACTCCCCTGACGGTACTCCTCGCTCCCGCGCATCGTTCAAGATCCGCGACTGCTGCATGTATGCGGAGAAAGCTGGCTACGCATGGGTCTGGATCGACACCTGCTGCATCGACAAGACCAGCAGCGCGGAGCTCTCGGAGGCGATCAACTCGATGTACGTCTGGTACGCCCGTGCCGACGTCTGCTACGCCTTGTTGGACGACGTCCCTGGGAGCGAGAACCCGGTCGCGCACAAGTCGTGCTTCCGCCACGCACGCTGGTGGACCCGCGGCTGGACGCTGCAAGAGCTCATCGCCCCCCGCACGCTCGTCTTCGTCTCCCACGACTGGCGCTTCCTGGGCACGAAGCACTCCCTCGCCTCGGTCGTGGAGGAGATCAGCGGCGTCGACCGGGCGGTGCTCGTCCACTCGCGTGCGCTGGACGACATCAGCGTCGCACGCCGCATGTCCTGGGCTGCGTCCCGGGTCACTACTCGGGAGGAGGACCGCGCGTACTCGCTCATGGGCATCTTTGGCGTCACGATGCCCACCATCTACGGCGAAGGCCAGCTCGCGTTCACACGCCTTCAAGACGAGATCCTCAAGCTGACCCCCGACCAGAGCATCTTTGCTTGGGGTCCGGTCCTCGAAAGCTACCCCTACGCCTTCCACGGCTTCGCTGCCGACTTGGACGAGCCCCATCATCGAGCGAGCCACAATCACACGTCGCAACCGGAGATGCAGACCATGCTTGCTCCGTCCCCCGCAGAGTTCGCGGCGGCGGGCAGGATCCGACCCATCACCACCCTCGAGCTGTCACTAAGGCTTGGAGTTGACCTGTCGAACCCGCACTACCAGCACACCAGCTACGGCATCCGCACTCGGCTCCCGCTCCTGACCGACAGCCACGCTCCTGGCGAACTCCCCTCTCTCACCGCGCCCACCAAGGTCTCTCTGGCGGCGCTCGCGTGCGAGCACGAAGACGGCAGTCTAGTGCTGCTCTTCCTCCGCAAAAAGGACAGCGCACACGACGAGTACTACGTGGGCGACTTCGTCGACGTCGGCGACGGCGGCGCGCTCTTCACCCGCGCGTACTACCGAATCGCCTTCCTCGCCCCTTCGACCCCATCTGGCCTATCCCACGTCGACGTCCAGGACGTCTACGTGCACACACACGCGCATCCGGCGCTCCGCCTCCGCCTCCCGCAGCGCCTCCCCCAAGGCAAGCTCACGGACGGACTGGAGCGCGTCGTCTACGCCTTCGTCTTCCCCGAGTGGGTCCTCGCGCGCCTCCGCGCCGCCGGCTTCGTCCCCACCTCGCTCCCGCCCTCGCCCAACTCCCGCCCCGGCTCGCGCCCCAGGTCCCCGCCCCGCACCGACGCCGACGGCGGGCTGACGCTCGAGATGCCGGTGCTGCCCGGGCTGGACGTGAGCGCGATCTTCCGGCTCGCGCGCGTCGCGACGGTGGCGTTCCGCCACCGCGACGCGCGCCGCCCCGGCTTCACCGTCGTGCTCGGGCTCGGCTGCATCTGCCAGCTCGCGCAGAACCGGCGCGGGTTCGACGCGTTCTGGCTCGACGTCGTGCGCGCGCCCGTCGTCGGCGCGGCGGGCGCGGGCGCGGGCGGGAGCGCGGGTCAGAGCGGGGGAGTGAAGGCGGCGCTGGGGCGCGCGGGGCTGCACCAGCGCTGGTCGGGGGCGCTGGGCGCGTCGGGGACGTGCACGCGCCAGCACCTCGGGCACACGTCGATGGAGTTTGGTGGGGCGGACGGACGGGTGAGGCTCACGGTTACGCCGTGGGGGGACGCGCCCTCTGGGCCGGTGGCGAGGTACAACTATGTGGTGGACTTGGAGCTGTTGGGCCCGGAGGAGGTGGCGAAAGTGGGCGAAGGAGAGCCCGCGCCTGTTGAGCAGCTCTCCTTGCTGCGGCGTGTGGTGGAGGTGTGGATGACTCTCGGACGGTCGGAGTAGAGGCATTTGTACCTTGCATGTTGGTCCAAACCATCGACATTTTGGCATTTTCCCTTTCACAATAACGTCTGATGAGTGGACTCTTCCAATATGTGGTGGCCCTCAGGCCTCAGTGGGCTTGCAGTTAACCCCCGACGGTGACCGGATCAACACAACCACTGCAATGTAAGATAAGTTGCTAGCAGATGTGCTCCCCAGACCTCCTGCCAAGTACTGGCGCTGGCAGAGCGGCCCAGGGCGGCCCGTTCGGAACCGTGTAGGGCAGCTTATGTACGCCAGTGGCAGCCCACTTTGAGTACTTGAACCAACTCCCTCAGCCCTCCCTTCCAGCGAGTCTTCCTATTGCACAGTATTCTGGCGCTGGTAATCTCGAAAAGTACATCAAAACATTGGACATCGATGCCGTTTGATGATATCTCATTTCAACGATCTTCCCCTCGAGCTACTCCCGCTAATCGTGCAGTATCTCTTACGTCCCAGTCATCTGGCCATTGCTTGTCGCGTCAACAGGTCGTTCTACACATTTTCAATACCTCTTCTTTATGAGCGGGTGTTCATATATGCGTGGCATAAAGAAGGAAAAGCCAAGGTAAGTCATGGGCATGTGCCCGCTAAGCGGAACTGAGCATCTCCTTAACTGCAGGTCATAAAGCTCTTCAAAACACTGGCTGACTATCCGCATCTTGCAAAGCTAGTGCAGCAGCTGGGTATGGGTCTCTTATTATTCTCGTTCCCTCCGCCCTCAGCGATGACGTCGTCAGCGATTCGCGACTTTCCCAAGGCTCTACAAACGGAAGATTACGACCTCGTACTTGCCGCCTGTCTCGATGGCATCCGGAACTGCGTCAACCTACGCGCATGTACATGGACCAGGCACGGATCGCTCACATCATCTGTTCTAAGCACACTCGTCGAGTGTTCGCGGCTACAAGAGCTGGAGATCAACGGCGAGCATGCCGGATTTTACGACCCCGCCATCCTCCCTCGTTTCACACACCTCCGCAAGCTATCTCTCATCATGCCGAGCGCCGCCGTAGCAAGCATGCTCCTCCCATGGTGCAAGAATACAAGCGGCACGCTCCAATACCTCTCAGTCATTTGTCAGGCGAGCGAGCACCGACATCGCTCTGCAACACCCCAGTTGACCCAGCGCCTTGATGCAGTCGTCTCCACGGATCAACGATGAAGTGGTCGCAAGCATCGCGCCCTACGTCACCAATCTGGAGTACATATACTTCGTTGGATGCCCCAAGCTCACCCACGACGGTCTTTGGACGCTGCTTTCTGGGAATTACAAGGGGGTCGTAGGTCTCGGGATGGAGGGTTTATCGACCGCTTTTGTGAGTACTTGACTCTCTTTTCTCATGTGTCTCCCCACACCCCAATCCCTATCCACTCAAGCCTTCCTGTTCTCCGTTCCCAGGACATGCACGCTTTCAGCGAGCTCTGTACCCACCACAACACCCTTTCCCGCCTCCGGTCCATCACCCTCACCGTCGACGAGCACACCGCGCTCGACGAATGGCAGAAATCCGTCCTCGCCCTCCTCTCGCATGCGCCGCTGCAACAGTTTCACATCTCCACCGTAGGCGGGCACGTCAACCATCGTCTCGACGACGCATTTTGCGCGGCCGTCGTCTCTGCGCACGGCTCTCGCATCACCCGCTTCTCGGTGCATCGGATGCGCATGACCATCGACGCCATCATGGACATCTGCCGACGGTGTGTAGTGCTTGAGCAGCTGTTCATTGTAGTGGAGCAGGACGACCTGGTAGGCACTACATTCGAAGACTCTCCGTGCAAGTACTAGGCTGCTGATGCAAATCGACCACAGGACGCGTTGGGACCCTGTCTTGCACAAGCACCAAAGCTTCGTGCAGTCCACATCAACAGACCTTTGGACTTCGGGTCTGAGGACGTCCCGAAGCAGTCACTGGACCTCATCCTGTCAATCGCTCGCCAATGCCGACCAACCGTCAGGCAGTTTGGGTTTAACACTCGGGTCTTCCAGGTGCGCACTGTATGCACGTCGTGCTCGGTCGTGCTCGAACTAATGTCCTGCTCGACCAGGTTGATCGCAATGTACACTCGAATGCGGACGGCACGACTGATGTCAATGTCGCCTTATCATCATACGAGATCCCAGAGATCCCGGAGCAGTTCTTGGTCGTCCGGACTTGATGTATGCGCATATTGCAGTAGTAGATGTTACTGAGCACGACGACTGGGTTGAATGATATATGTTGTGCGGTATAGACCCACGATGTGCAGTACGCGTACACATCTCAATCAAAGCATCTAAAATGGTAGCCGCCCTCAAGGCCTCATCCCTGGAAAGCAATACCCTTCTTGGATGTCTCTGCGAGACCGCCAGCCGCGTATCCAGTTCCTGTGGAGGTTCAGCAGATGACTAGGAGCAGCAAATAGCAAGGCCTACCTTCTCTCGTGAGGTCAATAATATCCTTCTTGTCCAGCTTCACATCACATAGAATACACTGCTTCGCCGGCCGTACAAGGGTATCTGTACATGTTTTGCACGTCACATGTCCGCACGGCTTCATGACTGGAGGAGATATCAGATTCGGCGCCAGTCAAGCAAGAAAACGCAACGACGTACGATGCAGGAGCGTGTTGTTCGACAGCTGCTTCTTGCACGACGGACAAATGGGCGGCTTCTCCTCTTCTCGCGTCGCGCCCTTCGGTGCCGTGGTGCTCTCCCCGCTTTCCGTCGATGCGGGGGTCGCCTCTACTGACTTGCCCGCCGACCCCAACGACGTGTCGAACGACCACTTCACCGCGATCAAATGCTTCCTCCTGTCCGCCCAATCCGCGTCAGCCCCGCCCGCCCCCGTCTCCTCGACGCCACACGACCGAACCCGAGAAGAGACGACTCACGCGAGCGGGTGCGGCGGCCCCCCGTGGCACGTTGTCTGGAGCTTGATGTCCGCGAGGCTCGTCGGCGCCGCGCCCGCGGGCCCGGCGTACGTCGGCGTGAGCGACGGGAGCCAGAAGTCGGGCAGCTTGCTCTTCAGCGCGTCCGCCTGCTCGCGCTCGATCTGGCGCAGCGCGGCCTCCTCCGCCTCGCGCGCGAGGCCCTCGACCTCGCTCGCGTCGAAGTCGAACTTGCGCTTCGTCCCCCGGGCTGCGGTTCGTGCGTCCGAATGAGTCGCGATTGAATGGGCGATACGGGGGATGCGGGGGAAGAGCGGGAGGTGGGAGGCGAAAGCACGCACCTGCTGAGCCGTCGAGTCCCGAGACGGTCGAGACGGTCGAGGTGGCGGCGAGCCCGAGCTGGCCCTTCTCGAATTCACGCAGGACGCGCTCCCGCGCTGCTTCCCTCGCCCGCTGGCGCTCCTCCTCCGCTTCTTTCTCGAGGGCCTCGAGCTTGACCTTCTGCCTCTTTATGTCACCGATTTGGGTCACTGCGAGGTGCAAAGGTCAGCACAGTCGCCCCGCACCCGTGATGAAGAAGAGATGTCGGAGAAACAACGACATTGGAGTTCTTGAAAGTAGATGTGAAGATTCGGAGCGATAGAAGGGGCAGAGGGAGGGGGAAAGAGATAATGACATGGTTGGTCACGCACCAAGGTCCGTCAAGACGCACTCCCTGCAAAACAGGTGGCCCTTCTGGCACGCAACGGGGTCACGCGCGCGTTGCAAGCACAGTGCGCACGCATCGAAGCGACGCATGGACTCGTTCCCTAGACGTTGCTGCGCGTTCATTAACTCTAGCAGACTCGGGAGGGAAGACGAAACTTACTCGTTTTGTGCCATAGTCCAACTTCTTGTATTCAGCGTAAGAAAAGATAGAGGACGCGGTGTTGTTTTTGCTGTGTTTCGTCATGGTACTTGACGAGTGGTGTCGCAGAGGTCAAGTTACAGAGACTAGTGGAGAGTGGTAGTGGCAGTCCGAGATGAGGACGATGCTGGGAGCGCGCGCATCCGAGTGTAGGGCACTGTCGAAACGTTGACGCCCATTTGGAAGCGGGCCCAGTGGCCTCTCGCTCTGATAGACCCAACTATACGCTCAAAATAATACATTATATGTGGGTACCGCGTACTTTCGGTTCGGAGCACAGGAGACATGTGTGAATACAGAAAGCCGTATGTACGGAGACGGCAAGCAACGTCAGGCAGGGTTCGTGATGGAGGTCGTAAATGAGTGCGTGCGTAGAGATTGTAGGAATGCTAGATGTGGCCGGAAACCAGCGCAGTAGAAAAAACTCATCCCATCCCTCTCAGAGGGTAGCCGTGCAAGATGCTAGACCGTAGGTAACCCATCGGTGAGCGAGTCGCACGTTTAAAATTGATATCCCGTGGCGGCGACAATACCCAGCCCGATGCCAGCACAGAACGCGCTGACGAAGGCGATGCCGAGGCCAATGGTGTATCCCACACCACGGCCCGCACGCAGCTGACTCTCCTCTTCGATCTTCTCCTCGAGAATGGAATTCGTGATCGTTGATGACCGCCGCCTCAGAGGGGGTCGAGGGTGCAAGCCTAATGCGCGGGTGAAACGCGTCCCCACGGCGCGCAGTAAGGTGAAGGAGAACACGACGAGCGACGGGAGATGAAGAGGGTCGAAGCCGGAGGTACAAGGAGGGGACAGCAGGCCTTTACGCTTGTCTGTAGAGTCGTCCAAGCTTGCAGGCGGGAAAGAGAAGCGACTGACTGTGGAGAGGGAAGACAACGGGGCGATACGTCGGGTGGAATTCGAGCGCTGCCGTCGAAGGTGAAGAGCGACCTCCTGGGAGAGCGTGCCCTCCCATTGCGCCTCCCATGCCTCCTTGTTCCAACGATCGTTCTTCTCGTATCCGGTGGAAGGAGAGCGGATGATGTCCGGGTGCATGGACACCTTGGAAATGGCCGTGCTCCATCGAACTCGCTCTACAGCGCGTTCAACTTCACGCCAGCGGAGGAAACGGGAAGCGGCTTCTGATCGAAGCGAGGCGAGGATATTTGGCGTGCGGAAGAGTCCTACGCGGAGCGCATCGAGGGATACGGGCCGGAATGAGGAGATATGCGAAGAGTATCTTGAGGATTCATGAACCGAGTTGATTAGAAGGGCAGATGGCGGTGTCGGAAGGAGAATGACGGGGATGTGCGAACTCAAAGCTTCCACAAGAGACCGTTCGACAGACGAGAACGATACTACGGGGAAACATTCAGTTGAAGGCCGTAGGGTCATGTTGAAACACTCACATGGGTCAGAAAGCAGGATTAGAGCGGTGTACAGAGGTGTGCAAGATGACGATAGCAAGTGTGCCAATGTGCCAGTGGGAGGGTGCTCGCGGCTGAGGATTTCGAGGACTTCGCGGAAAGGGGAGTGGATCACAGGCAATACGCGGTCGATGACGGTATCAGCCTGCAGGCATTCGACATCAGAGCCAGCCACGGAGTTTCGTAATGGTGTACGTACCTCTGTGTCGGGATCATACGCCGGGAGCTCGACAATCTCCACGTTCCTCGCAGGCTCGACGCGCTCAAGGCCATGCCTGTCCCTCTGCTCCACCCAATCCGTGGAGACACGTAGGATGGTCTTCCGCCCACCGCGACATGTTCCCGGCTCGTGCTTGACCTCCTCCCAGATACCGACCTCGACGACGTCTTCATTATCATCGACGAGCTGAGACGCGATGGCGCTCATGTCGGCACCCTTCGGGCCGAGGAGGAGCAGTCGCATCCCGCCTAATGTCTGACCATATGGCGTGGGTCTTCGGGACGGCGATGGGAGAAGAAGCGAGGGGATGACAAGGCCGCTCGTAGAGTCGCCCATGTTGTGGTCTTCGGGGTCGGAGTGGAGGCCGGGATGCGGTGGGGTGACCGGGACAGAGGAGAAGAAGAACGACGAACCGACGGAGGGGAAAGACGACACGGAATCTCCGGAGGGACTTCCAGGCTCAGACTGTTGGGCACTGTGTGGTGACGAAGGTCGAGGAGGCCAAGGTGAGTCCAAGGGATCGTCGTGTGCAGGCTGGGGGAGGGCAAACGCCGGTTCCGGAGCCGGTGAGGACGACTGCTCAGATAGGAGCGCCATGTCGAGGTGTCGGAGACCTCGGAGAGTGGAGACACTCGTACTGGGTTCGTGGTCAGGTATCGTTTCCATGCTCGATTCAGTGCTTCTGCGAGACAATCCGAGGGGGGATGAGCATGCTGCGCTCCCGACGCTGGGGCACTGTTGATGCCGCATACCTGGCGTCAGCGATACGACCTTGACCACTGGGAGCCAACGCTGAGGTCCTCGGAGGGCCGAGTTATTGCTTCAGGGAGCCAGAGGCAGTCGAAAGGCAACGGGGAGGTGGTGGTGGTCGCGGGCTGGGGAATGGGAGAACGCAGATCACTGGATTGGGACAAGGGCGACGAGCCGCTTGATCATAGCACGCCACTGATGCCATGCGATTCGGCCCATCTTATCTGATAAGCCGTACCAGACGCTCGGACACGCCAACACGTGACTGCGACGCGCTCCGTCGCGACGCGTTTGCCTTGAACTCTCCTTGAACCAGCACCAGCTTGCTTTGCCCCGCCACTTCCACCCCCGTTCGCCGCGGCCTCCTCGGTGCGGGAATTTTTGTGCACCTGCTCCGGCGATGGCACGTGGCTCAGCATCCGCCTCCAACACGACAACCTCCAAGAAACGCAAGGCGACCGGTGGTCAAAGCGCATCTGGCAAAGGTGACGCTGAATCAAGCAACAAGAGACGCAAGACTCTAGACGCCTTCTTCTCACCTCAAGTATCTCTGCCTTCCTCCGACAAGAGCAAATCTGCGTCTGCGGAACGAGTGAGCCTGAATGCGGAGCAAAAGAGAATCTTGCAGATGGTGGTAGATGAAGGAAAGAATGTGTTCTTCACTGGTGCAGCAGGTGAGTAGTCATAAGCGCTGGATATATGCGCATATTCAGACCTTTCAAAGGCTCTGGGAAGTCGCTCCTTCTGCGGGCGATCATCTCTGCGTTGCGTCACAAGTACGCCAAGAATACCTCTGTTGTATCTGTGGTTGCTAGCACCGGCATGGCGGCATCGAACATTGGAGGTCAGTCACTCTCTAGATCCCCCGAATATGCTCTCTGTATACCTTTCATTCAGGAATGACCATCCATTCCTGGGGTGCCGTCACTCCGGGGTTGGACAACATCGATCGTCAAATCAGTTGCATCAAGACCTGCAAGCCTGCACACAAACGCTGGAGAGATACCAAGGTCCTGATTATGGACGAAAGTGAGCATATTTTGGCAGGAAGTGAACTTTCGCTCAAGTCTCTCCAGTATCCATGGTTGATGGTCATCTATTCGATATCTTGACTCGGTTGGCTGATGAACTACGAAGCAGCAAGCGTACAACCAAACCTTTCGGTGGCATCCAGGTACGATGTGCGCATATATATTGTTGATACATGAGATGCTTATCCCGGTTGTGATAGCTTATTATCACCGGCGACTTTTTTCAGCTACCACCAGTCACAAAGTCTGGCACCGAGCCGTTCTTCGCTTTTGAGAGCGATTCATGGAAGAAGTGTATTGAACACACCGTTACCCTTACGCAAGTTTATCGGCAAAAAGATACCCGTAAGTCGCTTGAGACTGGTTTTTGTGAGCTTCGCCTTCTTTTTTGGCGGAGCAACTACCACAGACCTACCCTTTGCCCCGATGCTAGCCTTTTTGCTTGCAGTTTCGCAGAGGCTCGATCAGAGATAAACCAGAACATCCGTCCCCTTGATTTCTGCCTCCGTGATCGCCTGTAAACTAATCCGAAATTCCACAGAATTCGTCGAGCTACTTAATGAGCTCCGGAAAGGGACCATCTCGCCTTCTGCTCTCACAACATTCACGTCCTTGTCACGATCTCTGCCTGCTTTACCTTCCGGAATTGTCCCAACGGAGCTCTACCCCCTCCGCGCCCAAGTTGAACGCTCGAACACCACCAGGCTCGCTGCGCTCCCCGGTGCCATCCACGCGTTCGTCGCCCGAGACTCTGGCTCCAACCCGAGAGTCCTCGAGTCGATGGTTGTCCCGGCCCGGGTCGCATTCAAGGTGGATGCGCAAGTGATGCTGGTGAAGAACGTCGACGAGAAACTCGTCAACGGCACCGTCGGCCGCGTCCTCGGGTTCTACACGCTCTCCGCTTGCCAGGCCAGCATGGGGAGCCTGACGGCCTCACTAGACAAGCCCCTAAGCCTCACCAAGTCAGAATCCCAAGATTCCACTAGCAGCAGCAGCAGCTCGAAGGCCAACAGTGCAGTTCGCAACGTCCAGCTTGGTCCGGACGGTCGCACACCCATCGCGCTCTGCAAACAAACCTTTTCCGGCGAGGCCAACATCGCGCCCGCGCCCGCGGTCAAGCCCGAGCACCCCCACCAGGCCTCTCCGCCCACAAGCGCCAAGGGCAAGGCAAAGGACGACGAGCTGTACCCGCTGGTCGAGTTCCGGACGCAGCAGGGGACAGAGGTCGTCCTCGTCGTGCGCGACGAGTTCCGGGTGGAGGACAACGAGGGCAAGCTGCTCGCACGCCGCGTACAACTCCCGCTCGTGCTCGCGTGGGCGATGTCGATCCACAAGAGCCAGGGGCAGACGATCCAGCACGTCCGGGTCGACCTCCGGAGCGTGTTCGAGAAGGGACAGAGCTACGTCGCGCTCTCGCGCGCTGCATCCCTTGAGGGCTTGCAGGTGCTCGGGTTCGACCCGAAGAAGGTGCGTGGCCCGTGCTGGCGCGTGTGTCGCTTTACTGACCGTCTTCCTTCCACAGGTCAAGGCGCATCCGAAGGTTGTGGAGTGGCACGCGAGCCTGGAGGCGGCCGTGCCTCTGTGAACGTTGAGCTTGTTAGCCCATCCGGCGTACCTAGTAATGCCAGCGCAGTGCGCTCACTAATGCGTACAGTACCAAATGCATTATTTCTGTGTCATACAGTATCTCCACGTCTAGCCGTACAATAGGAAGGCTGGAATTACAATCGTACTTTGAGTGACCGCGGGGCTAACCCGGGGATCCTGCGAGGCGGGCGCCTGTAAGCGGGCGCTCACTCCCTTGCCTAAGTTCGCCGCCACGTCGATCCTCAAGATATCTGCAGATCTCCCGCTCCGACGAGGAGAATTTGATCCACAGTCAAACTGTAACCCGCGGCCGGTCGAAAGACCGTCTCTGCGTCCGAAGATCTCGAAGAGCCGGCGCAACCGACCCCACCAGAGGTCCGTGCGTCATATCAAGTTGGGCGTTCAATGTTCATATCAATGACGGGACGAATTTATCAGACTTACGCAGCCCGTCTGCCTCCAACTCCCGTCTCTCACCGAGTTCCTTCCAGCCTCCACACCGTTGGTACTTGGTCTGCGCGATGATTTGAGTCTTCTGGTGCTAATATGATGTTTTTGTTTCGTAGACTAATGTGGCTTCTTAGCACGACAAGAGCGGAGTTGAAGTTCTTTGCTGGGCCAGAAAACGTGCCTGGAGGATACGCCATCCTGTCCCACGTATGGCTGAAGGATTCTCAAGAGGACACCTTTCAGAAGGTGCAGACATACGCGGGAGAATCCCGGTTTGAAGTTACGTCGGAGGCCCCAACCCGTGAAACTACAAAGGAACTCGCTGTCGAGAAGACCCCTAGCCCCAGTCCTCACACATTGCCCCTGCCTCCGGAAGTTACGGAGTCCTCAGCGCATAACTCGTCATCACTAGGAGATTCCGGCTCTACAACAACCCTCCCTTGCCGAGATGCCGCACTGCTCTCGCGATCTCCTCGCGATCTCGTATCGCCCAAGGTCCGCGGTTTCCTCGCTCTCGCAGAGAGTGACGGCTACAAGTGGGCGTGGGCGGATACGTGTTGTATCGACAAGACGAGCAGTGCAGAGCTCACCGAGGCCATCAACTCTATGTTCCGTTACTATTCCCTGGCTCGTATCTGCTACGTCTACCTCAACGACGTCTCCGCCGTGGATCAGCAGACCTCAGACGACACCACGGGTTTCGCGCAGTCCAAGTGGCACCGACGCGGGTGGACGCTGCAAGAGCTGCTCGCGTCGCGTATCGTGGTCTTTCTCTCCAAGGAATGGACACCGCTCGGAACAAAGTTCGAATTCGCCGACCTCCTACAAGACATCACCGCCGTCCCCTCCGAGGTCCTTCGGCTAGAGACAAATTTGGCAGTCATGAGTGTGGCAGCGCGGATGTCATGGGCGTCGAAGCGGGAGACCACGAGGATCGAAGACGCTGCGTACTGTTTGTTTGGTCTGTTCGGCGTCAATCTCCCTCCACTATACGGAGAAGGCCAGAATGCGTTCTACAGACTACAAGAAGAGATTCTGCGAACGTCCGGCGATGTGTCGCTTTTCGCTTGGAATGGGACGAAAGCAGAGATCTTTGAGGGTCCCGAGACATTGACGACTTTCCTCAACACCTCTCTGTCGACGTCAAACTTCTGGCAGCATTCATTCCTCTTCGCCCAGTCAGCCTACGTGTACTCGGGTCAAAGGAAGATGCGACATGAAGGATCCAAGGGGCACTTAGAGTATCTGAAGCGCCCGATAAAGGTTTATTTCACGTCCCCTGTGAAGTCAATGCGTTTCGTTAAACTACTTTTGCAGGATCGTATCTCCCCTTCCAAATTTCCCGGAAAGAAGACGGAAGCGCTCCAGACCCTGCAGCCTCCTCTCATGTTCACTGCTACACCCGTAGGAATGCTCGTGACGGCACCAGTACTTCATCTAGACACTTCAAAAAACTTCCTCCTGGTAAACCTCCTTTGCACCGACGTCGTGAATATCGACGGCGAGCCCCGCCGACAGCCCTGCTACCTCTTGCTTCAGCGACACGACGACCTCTCAGTCCATGGGCGCCCACTCTACCACTGTGGAGCGACAGGCCGCATCGTGTCCATGCTCGGGCACGACTCGCGCGACACCACCATGCACATCCGCGTGGTCACCTTTTCCGCCGATCCACTCCCTCCGTCCGACCCTCGCTGGGAGACATCTCAGGTCCACATCGCCACTCGTCCCCCGTACTCCGCGGACCCATTTTTCCTCCCGCGGAGTCTCCTGCGCCTCCGCCACTTTTGTGAGGCGACGACGATCAAGGCGCCATTCCAGCTGGCGTTCGAAGACTTCCGTGACCTCGACAACATGCTCTTCCACCTCGACGAAGAAGCGAGCGTCATGCCCGCTTTGCCCTGGAACCATAACGACGCGCTTTCGCTGTTTTTTACTGGTCCCGCGGCTGAGGTTGACCGCAGATCATGGGCAGGACCCGCGTTCGCGCTTGTCCTCGGGCGATGTAGTAGCCCACCTCCAGACGGGGGTGGTCCGGAACACCATCCTCACACCCCCGATGCTCAACTGTCGCCAGGTGCAAGTGCTTCCCATCCCTCGACGTCGCGGACGATGACAAGAAGGCCCGGCGTGCACTTCGCCAGCATCCACATGTACGACACTTTCTCGACCCTCGACGCCCATGCGACGTATGCGGGCGTGCACGACTGCAGCCGCGACCATGTTCAAGCCTGGGCGCAGTGGTCGCGGCGGACTCCGATTCTGCCAAACCCTCGGACGCCTTTCGCCGCTCTAGATGTGTCGTTCGCGACAAGTCCTTTGAGCCCTACCAGGGATACGCTGAAGATGACACTACGCCTAGTGGGACTCGGAGACGCACGTTGAATATGTAAATTGCGTCATGTTTCCGGCATGAGCGTTCATATCCCGCGTACTGGAGGGACTGGGCAGTTAGCCCCTGGCCTCCCCCTTATGATTTTTCTTAACGTGCGTCAGATGCTAGAATCCCTTGCTTGTTCTGACACAACACTGTCAGTAGCGAGCAAAACCGGCTGAGTGTGCGCTATGCAGGCTTCAAATCCTCCTGGTACGTGATTCGATGATTCTATAATTGGGTCCTGAGACGTAAGCGACTTAACCTAATACGCTGTTATCCCCTCAATCAACAGCGGCTTGCGGCTGCGGATCGCAGCCCCCCCAATGACATCAACTGCGCGTGAACATACCCGTTCTCAACGCACCTGCGGGGTCGCAGCACGCATTCGTACCGACTGTGACATTCCGATTTTAGCACACATGGCAGCGGGGCCGCCCGTGTCCATGATCAGCAGCATGCTCCGCGCGCGATCGGCGAGACAAGTCGACGGGCGCACAGCCGTACAGCCCCCGCGGGCATACGGGTGCGGTCCCAAAGGCACTTGCGCTGAAGTACTTCCGAGCGGCGTCGGAAACGCGGCCTCGCATGGCAAGCAGTGCCACGGAGCCGACTACGATAGCAGCACCGCGCACGGTGCCAACTATATAGGTTGCACGCCTTGACTGCTTGTCAGTGTCCTACTTCGTTGCGCCCTACTTTACTCTACTACTATGTCTTCCAACTCTACCCACCAGTTTCCTTCGCCGATTGGTGGAATCCCTATCCCTATCGATTTCGCCCCTTCTGTCCTCTTCTCCGCCCTCTTTGCCTGCCTTTCTGTGATCCTGGTCTGGCGCATGGCCCATCCACGATCCCGTACGTTCGTCCTGCAAGGCACACTCATCTTCACTATCGAGCGGTATGTCACCTCTCTATCTGCCTCTACCAAACCTCTTCTCACATCCGTTCCAGCGTCGTCGCCTACGCCCTGCGCGCAAGCACAGCCCACAGCGATACCCTCCGCGGGAACGTCAATCTCCAAGTCTACTTGCAAACCACCCTCGCCGGCGGCTTCATTTCCATCGGCCAGGACCTCCTCAACCTCGTCCGCTCCCTCCTCGTCGGCTCGACCATGGGCTCCGACATGATTCGCCTCCATTCCACCCTCACGCCGGCGCATGCGGCGACCAAGACCTCTGACCTCGACCTCGAAAACACGTCGTTGCGCGACAACTCCGGTCCTTCCAGCTCGTCCCACGAGGTGTACGAAGACCACCCACGGATGCGAATGTGGCTGCGCCGCGCGTGCGGGCAAGCGTCGATCATATTTTTGGTCGCGGTCATCCTGGGAATCATCGCGGGTGTGGACTACAAGGGTGCAATAGACTCGGGCGCGCACGCGATGCTGGTGCGGGCGATGATGCAAGTCTCTCTCTCGTCTATCTGCATCAGCAGATTCTTACGAAGCATTTACAGGTACGGGAGCGCGGGGATCGGGCTGGGGTTGTTCTTCTTGCTCGCCGGGGTGTCGGTTTGGGCCCTGTTCTACGTCCCGCGTGTGCCCAAGATGCCGGTCGTCTTGATTCTCATCGCCACCTTCCTCCTGGTGAGCACCCCTCCTGGGTCCTCGTCGGTGCTCATCCTGAACTCTGTCCGTGCAGTCCGTCGTGACGGTGTACCGCCTCGACGTGCTCCGCTTCTCGACCACTTCCCTCTCCTCAACCGCCCCCGGCTCGCTCAACACCGACGGATCCAAGGCTGCATTCTACATCTTTCACGCGGCGCCCGAGTTCCTCGCCGCCGCGATCCTCGTCTGCTCCAACGCGCGGCGCACGTTCGGCACCGGCCTCTGGGGCGACCGCAAGTTCAAGGACCCGAGCCCCAAGGCCTCGGTCCCGTCCAAGGGCACAAGCCGCCGGTGTGGACTCGTGGGGACGTTGTTTGCGCTCCGAAAATGACCCACGACCGACCGGCATTCCACGTATTTTGCTGGCATACCGACTATGTGACCGTATTTATGTAATGCCCTTCCGACTAGGCGGGGTGCCCACCGCGCGTCAAGGCACTCGAGTATCATACTAGATGGCCCGACTCGTGAATCTCTCTCTGCTTCTGACCTACGCCTACATGACCTGAATGTTTGTCGCTGTCTCTGTTGGTTTCTAGAGACTCGCGTTGAATCGCGGGAGTCGCCTCAGTACAGGTCATGCATAAATCCCTGTGAGAACGCCCCGCCATCATGCATGAGCTACATATGCATGAGAAAACGTCCCGACAGCAAACTGTGCATTACATGTACTACTATGTATGGGCGGTTCAGTCGAATGGTGAGGAAGTGGGCGCGCACTACCTCATAGTATCCTCTAATACCTCCACGTCCAAACACCAGAGCGACGCAGAGAAGTGCTTCGCGGTGACGCGTATCGTCGCCGGAGACCCGTCAGCTCGCATGAACGTCCAGTCCTCCACCAGGCGGTCGTTCCCAAGCGTGAACGTGTGGAAGCCGGCGGCCTGTCCGGGAAAGGCGCCTCCAGAGCACCACATGTGCTCGACGTCGCCATTCCCGGCCTCTCGTGCGCGCTCATGGCAGACCTTGACCGTGACCGTGATGAGCAGCGGACCCGCGCGCTCATACCGCCTCCCAAACCACTCCACGCTCAGCCAGTCCGCGCCCCTGGCCACCACGAGCCCTCGCGGGCCATTCTTCCGGACCCTGCATCCCTGCATCTCCAGCACCGTCTCCACCCACCCTGCGACCCCGATCTCGATCTCCCGCCCGTCCCGCGACGGCGGCGATCCCGCGATCGACGGCCGCCTGCCGCCCGCCGCGTCGTCGTCGCCCGGCGCGGACGGCGCGACGTACACCTCCTCGACCCGCACGTGCGGAAGGCATCGCGCGAGCTGCTGCGGGGAGAGCACCACGGTGCGCGCCCACCGTCGCGCGCTGGGCAGCGCGGCGGCGGCGAACTGGCACCTGTCCGCATCCACGTCCGTCCCGATCTCCCCGCCCATGAGCGTGAGGAGCCCGGTCGCGGGCGCGCGCTCGACGGCGCACACGAGCGCGACGAGGCCGCCGCCGCCTTCCGCCCGAACGTCGCCGCGGGCGCTTTGTGAGGGCGTTGGGACGGGCTCGCACGCGAGGAGCGCGAAGTGCCAGCGGTCGTGCGGGGTGCCGCCGAGCGCCGCGTGCGGGAGACAGTGCGCGACGCGGACGAGCGCCGCGTGCGTGCGGACGCCGTGCGGGGACTCGACGTACGCGGGGAGCGGGAGCGCGGTGGGGTCGGCGCCGAGGCGCGCGGCGAAGGCGGCGTGAGGGATGCCGCGCACACGCGCGGCGGGGAGGAACGCGTGGGGCGCCCGCGCGAAGAGCGGGCGCGTGTCCGCGCGGTGGGCGAAGTGAAAGAGCTGCGGGCCCGAGGCGGGGGTGAGGGGCGGAGGGAGGGAGTCGATGGAAGGGGAAGGAGGGGGTTTTGGGGAGAGCGTGGGGGGCACTTGATCTGCGCCGGTCTTTGGGCGCAGGAACTTGAAGTTGAAGAGACCAACGACGCGAAGCGGCCGGCGGTGGGGAGCAGGAGGGACCTGGTTGACGTCTTGGGGAAGCTGCAGAGGCGGCTCAGGAGGCTCGGTGGGCAAGTCCGCAGCGAGCGCGCCCCATGCGAGCACACTCTGGTCCGGGACGCACGCGAGGACCTCGCGCTGCAGGCGGACGAACGCCCGCCGGCCCTCCCCGTACAGCGTCGGCATCGTGATGTCGAACAGGCCCATGAGCGCGTACGCCTCGTCCTCGACCCGCGTGCACCTCCGCCGCGCCGCCCACGCCATGCGCTGCGCGACGCTGACGTCCTGTACTCGCAGGCGGTGCGTGAGCACCGCCCGGGGCACGCCTGTCACGGCTTCAACCGCATCCGCGAGCGAGGCTTTCGTGCCCAACACCGACCAGCATGCAGAGAGGAAGAGGAGCGCACGGGGCGCGATGAGCTCCTGCAGCGTCCAGCCGCGGGTGAACCACCGTGCACGGTGGAAGGGCGAGCCGGACGCGGTTCGACCGGCGTCAAACGCGGGGACGTCGACGTCGGCGAGGAAGGAGTAGCAGATCGAGGCGTCGCGGTACCAGGCGTACATGGAGTTGATCGCCTCCGATAGCTCCGCGCTGCTGCTCTTGTCGATGCAGCAGGAGTCGATCCAGAGGTAGCGGTGGCCGTGGGCACGAGCGAGCGCGCAGGCGTTTTTGATCTTGTCGGAGATGCCGGTGTCAACCTCCACTGAAGAGAACGAGGATGTTGAGGTGATACGCCGCAGTTCATCGTAGGACTGCTCGCCAGAGGCTTCCCAGGTGTGTGAGAGGATGGCATAAGGTACCGCGAGGTGGTTGCTGACCTCGAAGAACTTGCCGGTCGTGGTCTCAAGGAGGCGCATGATGAAGCAATTCTGTCACTATTCGTATGATGAGACCGTTGTCAGTTAGAATGAGTGTTTGGGGCATTGATATACCAGAGTTGGAGATGGGGGTTCGCTAAAGGGCAGCGAGCTCGCTGCCAGGAGCTTTACATAGCCTCATTCCGGCCGAAGGCTGTGCCTTGTTGGACGTTGGCCATCTGCGGATGGTAATGTGCGCGGGGATGCCATGTCGATAAGATGAGAATCGAACAGTGGACGAAGAGAGCCGTATGGGCGAAAGGATGCCGGATGACGAACAGGGTGTCGGGTAAGATGGCGATGGTGGATGAGACGACAAAATGGATGTCGATCTAGGACAATGCAGCGGCATAGTACTGTACAACTCGTGGGAACGTAGTATACATGACTAAGCATACTGGTCGCGCCTCGGATGAGGGCGTATACGTACGCCCCGGATCCTCCATCTTCTCCACTCCGAGTTTCAGCCGACACTGAGAAGTAAACCTGGAGACGAACAGCTGAAGCATCGAATCCGTCAACTCGGGAGAGAAGAGTCAACAAGCCATGGTATAGCGGTAGTGGAAGAACGAGAAAGCATCGTAAGCGATACAAGTACAGTGCTCAGGGCGGGCTGCTAGCTACATACACAGTGGAGGGGGAGACGGAGGGGGGGTGGGTAGTGCGGGGGTCGGTCGTACGGTATTTCGGCGCAGGGGGTGGCCGCACGGGTATGGTACATGTGGATATCTGGGGGAGACGCGAGCGTGTCGAAAACAAAAACACGGAGGGGCAGGGGAAAGCGTGCGGGGACCGGATCGCGGGAGGCAAGGTCTAGTGCTCTAAGTACTATGCCCTGTAGGCGATCCAGGTCCCGGTCCGAGGCCTTCACAGGTTGAGCAAGGCAGAGACGTACGCCGTGAAGCGCGCGAAGGGCGCCTTCTTCGACTTCTTTTTCTTGGGCTGCGCGTCGAGACTGCGTGAGCGAACGTGCCCGTGGTCGCGAACGAGGGCAGGAGGGACGACGCACCTTCTGGACGGCGCCGCTCGCCGCGCGCTTCGTCGCCGCGACGGGCTCGTCCGTCTCGACCGTCGGCGAGCTCGTGCTCGACTGGCTCTGCGTGTCCGCGACCTTGGGGAGCGCGAGCTTCGCGGGCGCGGCGGCGGCGGGCGGTGCGGCGGCGGGTACGTGCTCCGTGAACCACTTGCTGACGAACTTGCCGGACTCCTTCGGGTAGCGCTTCTGCGTGTCGTAGTCGACGTACGTGAGCCCGAAGCGGGTCACGTAGCCGTCCGCCCTGTGCGTCGGTACACAGTGCGTCAGCCGTCGCGGCCGCAAGGAGACGGGGAACGGACGACACGCACCACTCAAAGTTGTCGAGCAGGCTCCAGGCGAAGTACGAGCGGACGTCGACCCCGTCCTCGTTCACGGCGGCGAGGATCGCGGCGGTGTTGCCCGCGAAGTAGCGCACGCGGTCCGTGTCCGCGAGCGCGCGCTCGAGCGGCATCGCGTCCTCGTCCTTGACCGCGAACCCGTTCTCGGTGATGTAGATCGGCTTCTTGTACCGCTGCGCGTCGCGGTCGGGCGTCAGCCGACTGGTCTCGCGGGGTGAAGGGAAAGAGAGGGGAGTGGCGGACGGACGGACCTTGTAGAGGTAGTTGAGCAGCTGCCGGAATCCTTCGGGGTCTGAGCGCAGCGCCATGAGCGGTCAGATGGGCCGGAACATCAGCGTGCGCGCACTCACAGTCCTGCAGCCACGCGCAGTGCGCTGTCGACGGGCGCGCCCGCGTCAGCCTCGTTCCGCGCCGCGGTCGTCGGTCGCGAACCACGCACCTTGCGTCCCGAGCTGGGTCCCGTCCGGCCGGGTGAACGTGTACTCGACGTTCCCCTGGAACTCGTCCTCCCCGCCCGCCTCTGCAGACGGCGGTTTAGCGCACCTGTGACAGGGAGCCTCCAGAGGGATATGGTGGACGTACTGCAGAGGTTGGTCGTGTACGTGTTCATGCCGTAGAACTCGGACGAGCCGTGCACGACCGCAATCTCCTCCGCGGTGAACCGCGGGAGGCGGTCCCCGAGCATCTCCCTCATGTACTGCGGGTAGTCCCCGAGGTAGATCGGGTCCTGCGCACGAAAGCGCCCGTGAGCATCGGTTGTCAGAGGATAAATGAAGCAGAGAGAGACGCACCGCGAACCAGCCTGCACGACACCGGGATGGAACAGGGTTTGTGAGCGGGAGGATGATAAGGGCGCGGGCCCGGACATACCGATAGCGACATCGAGCGCGTGTTGCGCCGCGGCGATGTCTATGTGGACGCAAAGGGGTCGGTTAGCGATCCACAATGTGGAGGGTTCGCGCGAGATAGCCACGTTCTCAGACGGGGGCTTCTGAGGCATTGAAGGGGAGGGGGAGAAAACCACCGTAGACGCACGGGGTGGAGAAAGCTGCGCAGAGCGCGTAAAGAGCCCGAGAAGGGGTGCGAAACCCGAGCGAACGGCGGGAAGAGAGAGGAAAACAGGGCGATGAAGAAGAGGACGGGACACGCACTTTCCGGGCTGTCGTCGTACGGCAGCGCCATGTCGCCGTTGAGGGTGATCCCGATCTGGCCGCCCTGCGCGGCCTTGAACTCGTCCCTGTAGAGCTTGCACGCGTATGCGTGGGCGAGTATTAGGTGGTGCCCGACGCTGGGTGTCGTCCATCGCGCACGAGCGAGGCCAGGGCGGCGGAGGCAGAGGAGAGCAGGTCCGGGGATTGGGTGGCGGGGACATCGGGCACGCGGACGGCGGGCGGCACGGTGAGGTGAGCAGGGTGGAGGACGCGAGGGCGGCGGAGGACGTACATCCATGGTTCAGTCGAGGAATCGCCCTCGGGGGAGCGCACGCGGTCACTTGACCGCCCGGGGGCGAACACGCCGCGGCCGTGGCCGAGGATGGAGATGCACCACGGCTCGTTGTGCGTCAGCCTGGGGGCGCGGACGGGCGCGTCGACGGGGGGCGAGGGGCGCGTGACCACGGGCGCGACGGTGAGCTGAGGGACGCGGGTGCCTTGAGGCAAATCAGTGGCACGCACCAGAACTTGACGCGGTCGCCGAACCGCTCGAAGCAAAGCTGCCAGACAGCAGGCGAACATGATGTTAGCGACGGCGCACGGTGGGCATCCCGCCGGAACGGACCTTGGCGTAGCGCACGTAGTCTTGGACGATCTCCCTGTCGAGCCAGCCTCCATAGCGGTCATAGAGAGTCTGGGGCAGGTCCCAATGGTAGAGTGTCTGTGTGGATGCGAAGGATCAACCGCGGATAATCAGAAGCGCGGCATTGAGTTGGACAGGACAAGGTCACGGACCACGAAGGGAACGATTCCGCGTTCGAGGAGCGCGTCGATCAGATCCGAGTACCACTGAATCCCCGCCTCGTTGACCGGGTCGCTGCGACCTCCGTGGGGGATGACGCGCGACCAGGAGATGGAGAAACTGCGGGAGGCCGAGCGCGAGCCCAAAAAGGTAAGAATGTGGCCGGCGAAGTGCCTGTGAGGGAACCGACCGGTAAGACTTGACGCCGTACTGGGAGAGGATGTCGAGGTCCTCTTTCCAGCGGTTGTACGAGTCCGTGGCGACGTCGCCGTCGCGGCCGTCGAGGGTCTTTCCGGGGAGCTTGGAGAAGTCGTCCCAGATGGACTTGCCTCGGCCGTCGACGTCGGTCGAACCTTCAATCTGGAAGCTCGCTATGAGCGAGAGAGAAAACGAGCGAGTGAGTACAATCTGTAATTCAGCGGAGCCCCGCCAGGCCTATGGGCAGGTCACGAGCCCCCGCCCACGGACAAGAAGCGGAGCCGGAAAGATCGGGGAACGAACCAGTGGCGAAACCCCAGAGGAAGTCGGCGGGCAGTTTGTCTGTGGCAGGCGGGGGTGCAGGTGTGACCGTCATGGCAGCGTCTGGCGGGAGTTTCGCGCGGGACGGGGTACGGGGAGGGCGGGCGGAGGGGCGCAAGGATGTAAGCTCTTAAAGGACGAGGGGCGAAGCGGTGCCGATATCATCTCTCGAGGCTTGGAACAGGCCATCCGCCACGGGGTGGCCGAGGATTGTCCGGGTGGAGGTTGGGTGCGCGGCTGGGCGCGAGCGGCCGCGTCGGCGCGAGGCGTGCCGTGGGCCAGCGTGGGCCGGGGGCGGGGTGACGGGCTCGTGCTGGGGGCCGGTCGGCACGCGCAGTGGAGCAGACGAGGGTGCTGGCTGGTGTTGGTGTGCGGGCAAGAAGGCGGAAATGGAGTTGGTAAGATCCCTGGAAACTCCGGGGCAGCTCCGGGTCCAAGGGGAAGTCTGTGACGAACAGGAGGAACATAGCCAGACGGCCGTAAGCAGGGCAACGTACGCAGCCGGGCAAATCAGCTTGTACGCACCTCACTTGGGCGGGCGTTGTGTGCGCAACAACGTCTCTTTCGTGGCAGGAGGCGACAGCGAGCGCTCAGGGCGTGCACGAACGTCCGAGATTTCGCCGCATCAGACGCCGATTTGCAACCTGTGACAGTCATCCGCTTCAGCTGCGAATGTGACATAACAAGTACTGGCAATAAACTGTTGGCTTTTCTCCCAGTCCTCGGTCGTCTCCTGCCCCTCACCATGACTGCTTCACCCACCCGTCTCGCTCTCCTCGGCGCCGGTATCTTCGCCAAGGAAAGTGAGTACTCCGCACACATGCTCCTTCTGTGATGCCTTCGCGCGGTCGAGACACGTTTCGTCCCCCTTCATGCTGCCATTATCCCCGTCCTCCCCGGGTGATGGAGGACGCTGGTGATCGCGACCCGATCTCGCTTCGACGACGTTCACAGTCCGCGACGGCTCTCGCGGAGAAACCAGTGCATGGCGAGATCAGGCGGAGCCATGTCGATTTCGCGCGGAGCGCTCTCTCCGACCACTCTCACCTCCTTCCGACTCTACACTCTGACCCAGTCCGGCAGGCCACCTCCCCGCCCTCGCCCAACTGGGCAGCACCGAAGTCACCCTCGTCGCCGTCTACTCGCGCTCCGAGGCCAGCGCCTCCTCCCTCGCCGCCGACGCCCAGACCGCCCTCGGCCTCGACGCCCCGCCCGCGGTGTACCACGACGACCCGAAGGCCCCGTCCGCATCCGCCTCGCTCGACGCCCTCCTCGCGCGCGCCGACATCGACGGCGTCGTCGTCGTCCTCCCGATCACCGTCCAGCCCGCGATCATCCTCAAGGCGCTCGCCGCGGGCAAGCACGTCCTGAGCGAGAAGCCGGTCGCGCCGGACGTCGAGCGCGGGCGCGCGCTCATCCGCGAGTACGAGGGCAAGTACGTGCCCAAGGGGCTCGTGTGGCGCGTCGCGGAGAACGAGGAGGCGGAGCCGCCGCACGTAGCGGCCCGCAGGTTCATCCAGGAGGGGAAGATCGGCAAGGTGACGTTCTTCAGCGCGCGCGTGGTGGGCTATGTGGATGAGAAGAGCAAGTACTGGAATACCCCGTGGAGGACTGTCCCTGACGTGAGTGCGCGTTGACATCGAAAGAGGGCTACGAAGCGTTCGCCGACCTTCCGCGATAACAGTATCAGGGTGGTTTCTTGGTGCGTACTTCTACCTTCCCCGCTTTCGAAAGACGTTCCTGACCGGTCCCCCTCTCTCGGCGGCAGCTTGATGGTGGTGTCGTAAGTCGCCGTCCACGGTTCCCTCACCCTACGTTGCTTACGTCTTCCGCTCGCTTTGACGTTTCGACTCTCGCCGGAAATTGCCCGGCCGTCCCTGGTCCCTCCCCTCTCCCCCATGGTCGACCTGATCGCCCTCTGCGATTTCCCCGCCCCACGCGCCCCCGCGCCCGGCTCTCGGGTTCCGGCTCTCGGCTCCCGGCCCTGGCCCCGCGCGCACCTGCGACCCGCAATCCCCGTGCGCCGTGCCGCAGCACACGATCGCCACGCTCCGCGTCGTCCTCGGCGACGCGCCCATGGCGCGCCTCGCCGCGCACGCCTCGCTCACGCACGACATCCTCCCGCCCCACGACACGATCCACGCGCTCGTCGCGACCGCCTCCGGCGCGCACGGGCTCGTCGAGCTCTCGTGGGGCGCGCCCGTGCCCTCGCGCGCCGCGCGCGCGGCGGGCGGGATCGCCGTCACCGACACCGACGGCTGGCTCGAGGTCGGGCGCGCGGCGGGCGGGGACGCGGTGCGGTGCGTCGCGCGGTGCGCGGTGCGCGACGCGCGCGGCCGCGTCGCGGGGGAGACGGAGGAGGTCGTGGAGGCGGAGCGCGCGGGGGTGCGGCGGGAGATCGCGAGCTGGCTCGCGGCGGTCCGCGGGGAGGACGACGGGATCAACGGGCCGCGGGGGGCGTTGGCGGACGTGGCGTTCATCGAGGCGGCGCTGAACAGCGGGGGGAAGGAGGTCGATTTGCTGGAGCTGGCCAAGGTGTGAGCGCTCGGCGTTCGAGGGAGGGTGCTGTGCTGGGGGGTTAGCGGGTGAATGGATGGTGCGGTTGGGATGTTAGCGTGCTTACTGAGATCCATGTAAGTAGTAGTCATTGCGCTGTGTAAGATGTATACCAGTGATGGATGATATAATACCTGGCCCGGTTCCACGTATTCGCCTGCTGCTGCGGATAGATCAGCCCGTGCTTGGTTCGTCACCAGCCACACCTCCAACTCACGACCACCGCGGACGAATCCAATCAGGTGCTATCATGTCTCGAGAACACCGTGACCCAGATGTCCGACACGCGGCCCAAAGCTACGTCACCCCGTCCGTGAATTCGACAACCTTACCCCAGAGGCGACGCGCAATGCGACCCTCGCACTTCGCCTCTCTTCACCTCTCAGTGTCCACCGCTGGCGCGTCCACGTCTCCCGCCGGGCGCTCGGGGTTATTACGGCAACCACCCGTCGCGCAGTAACCTCGGGGGGTCCGCCCGTCTGGTACGCGAACGTCTCTTCGGCGATCCACGGTGCGCAATTTCCGGCGTGCGTGGAGGCGGGGGGACGGGACACAGAAGCGGCGGAAAGGAGGCTGCCGGAGGTCTGGTAAACGTCTCGAGCACGGGCCCACTGTACGAGGGCACGGGGAGCGGGTATGGGAAAGAGAGAGAGGGAAGAGAGGGCCGAAGCGCGGCCCTCGGGGGCGACGCGTCTCGCCTCATCGCCGGGCCCGCTGCTGCTGGGGGTGCAGTCGCCGCGGGCTTCTCAGCTTCTCGTACGCGCTCTCGCTCTGCGTCTCGACGTTCGACGCCGCGAAGCGCAGCGCCCCGGCGGGAGCAGACTCGGCCCGTCGCGAGCACGGGTGCGCGTCGCCGCAAGCGATCGACAGACCCCTCTCACGCTCGTCGACGGAGATACCAGGCTCAGCAGCACTTGACATCGAGCAAAGACATATCCTGCTGCGTATCCGACACCGCTCGTCACCGTTTCAGCGTTCGACGGTAGCAGATGCGCAGTGCGGAACGCCAGAAGCAGAACGCGGGCAGTGGAGCGTCGAAGGCTCTCTGCCCGCCCAAACCGCACTTCTCGGAAAGTGGCCGGGCGGGGCGGAGGGATCGTCGCCACCCAGAACGCGCCGTGGACCGTGCGGAGAGCTCATCCCAACTCTCTCGCGTCGCGCCTGAGACCGGCGCAAGGGGAGAGGGTTGCGAGTGAAGGGGAAGCCCGGAGCGCCCAGATTCCCCGAGGTCTGGACTGCCGACGCCTGGGGGCTGAGGGCTGAGGGTCCGGGGGAGCGATAATATGGGAACGGGGACGCACCTCTCGCGCAGAGAGCGTCGCACGCGCGTACGCAGGGTGTTCCGTCCTGTTGGGCATCCGTCTGCGCGCACACGTCCTATTTTGAAGCAGAGCGGGGCTTGGCGCAGGTGTAGACGCGGTGGGTCCCTATAGGCGACCGTGGACCGTGGACGCGCGACGCGGGCAAAAGGGGACTAGGTGACGAGAGGCGCGAACCAGCGACAGGCGGTGGACGCGGGCGCACCGAGATCGTCAGCCCCCGCGGGCGGAGCGCAGCAGCGTGTGGGACTCTGGGGCGGAGGGCCGAGCGTGCATCTCCCGCGCACTCACGCTGGGGGGACACTCTCCCAGAGCGGCGGGCAGGTGACGCGTGCCTTGCCTCTGCGCCCAACCTTCGCATTTGTCTGGGAACTTGGCCGTTTGAGCTTCGCTTCGTGCCTGTAGGGGCGGCGCTGGACTGCAGAACCGTGGGCCGCGAGGCACGCCGCGCTGGAATCACGGACTACAGAGCACGAGACAGCACTGCAAGCAGGAAATAGAACAAGCAAGGTGCAAAGCATGTGCATTACCGGAATCGATCCTCGTAGCTTGTATATATAATCGCTGAGAGAGCCGAAACTTCCCGCAGCTCCGCCAAGCCCTGCAGTGTTGATAGTCAGTGAAGAGTCAGAAGAATGAGGAATGATGTCAAACGCACATCCACCAGTTCATTTGGTAGGCCCTCTAGGGCGATGTGGCACCAACGAGCTAGGCCAGGGAGCATCCCCGCAAGCCGTTCTCGCGGCTCCTGGTCGCCCAGGAGGACGTCGTCTGTGTCGGTGGTGGTTCCGAAGACGTTTCTCTCTACACCATGGAAGAGTTCTTCTGCAGCGTGGTCCAGGCAAACTTCGAGAACTCGTTCAAAAGAACCTGATGTGATGTAATTCCGCGTTTCAACCAGGAAGGAGTCGAAAGTAGAGTCGGGGGACATTGCAAGCCAGCTTGGGATGCCTCCTTGGGTGAGAACATGTTGAAGGGTTTCTGGTGTGGGTGGGAGGAGTGTTGACATGAAGCTATACAAAACCATAAACGGCAGGCTCTTCGAATGGAACGGATACAGTAAAGGGAACATACTTTATTCGACGCTCTTTTCCCTCAAAGGTCACCTCGTACTCGACCCGTCGTCGTACATCATTGATGAGACGATGAAGATCTGCAGCACTGAGCTTCGTCTTCAAGGAGACGCTGAGGAGAGGTCAATATGTGTTCGACCGAGGTGACGAGAACACCGCACCCTTCAAAAACCTCCTCGACGCCCCGTCTCACACGTTCCCCAACGTCTTTCCATCCCACATGGAGGATCCACCAGCTGAGTGTGAGGTACTTGCGCTCGGTTTCCTCCGATATGTTTTCTGCGTCCTCCAGCTCGTCCGTCTCCGGATCCTCGAAGCTTTTGTCGTCCCAGAAAAGAGAGTACACTGAGGTACTATATTGAAGCTGTTCGCGGAGACGCTCGTCGCGCTCCTGTTGAATCATGGATTGTATGTATTTCGACCGTCCCAGGACGTTGAGTTGAATATGCGTGAAGAGAGTGAGGAGGGTGATAGAGTAGATTACAGTCAATGTTCGAGTAAATGCTGTCATCTCGTGTCAGTTGCCTCGCATTGGGACCGGACAAGCGAGGATCGGACGCACTTAGTATCTTCACTTCCCGCCACAATTCCGCCTTGCTCTTCGTCGTCGGACTGAGCACCGCCAGGATATTTGCGGACGCCTGTGGGGCATGAGCGCGGCACAATGCAGGCTAGTTCGGAGGTCGGAAGAACTCACAGACGGCGCAGCGGCGGAAGAGCTCGAGGCAGAGCTCGTCGTGAGCATCGAGTCGGAGAGGTCGACGGCCGCACTAGAGCCGCAGTCGGACGCCTCGCGAGCTGCGGCGGGAGAGACGGCGGAGACCTGGGACGACCCGAGCGAGAACTGATCGACCCAGGAGGCCGAGGACGCGGACATGTCGGGGGTCGAGACAGCGTCCACGGAGGACGTCACGGAGGCGGAGCCGTTGTCGGAGCGGCCGTCTTGCCCGGGGCTACGTGCGGCGTCGACGCTCGAGGTGACGCTGGACTCGGAGGGGGCGGTGGGGTGCTGGAACTCGATGCGAGCGCGGGGGGTCTTGGAGGAGTAGGACTGCAGCTCTTGTGTCACGCCTTCGACGTCCATGCCCTGCAGGATGTGGCCGCCGAGGGTGGGGAGGAGCGCCATGACGGTGAACGACGCATCTTGCTGGTTCTGCTCGAACCGCCGCCGGAGACTGGGGCGGCGAGCACGGCGCTGAGAACGCCGAACCACGCGCAGGGGTGGGGGGTGCTCACTTTTCCTGTGCCGCCCGTTCCTGAAGGATGGACTTGCGAACGTCCTCAAGCCGCTCGGAGATGTACCGCCCAACCATGTACGCGCCGCCGACATAGCCCACCGCCTTGGAGAGAGTGCCGCGCCGGTCATGAAAGTAGTTTCCTATGGCATGAAACATGCCGGGACGGAGGGGGCATGCAAGCAGGGGGGAGGGAGGAGGGAGTGTCCGCAACGTCGCCGCCAGGTGCGCAGGCGAGGCCGGCGCGCCTGAGCCGTGCTCGACGGCGGACGAGTTGCCGGCGCTGCCAAACACGTGCACGCACAGTCCGTCTCCGCCCATCCTTTCTCTCCACAACCACCACTCCTTCATCATGGTCCGTTCTGCTTTAATCCCTCCTCAACGCGTCTGGATGGCTGACCGGCACTCTGCAGGGCGGCGGCGCGAGATATCCCTACCCCAAGCAGGTCTGGTCGCCAGCAGGTGCGTTCTCCGTTTCCACCCGCGCCCAGCACATCCTCGCGGTGACCGCAAAGGATTCCATGGTCCTTATACAAACTGTCTGCAGGTGGTTGGTGGACGCGCCCTTCAAACTGGAAGTCAAACACCGCGATCGCGACCGCTGGTCTCCTCATCATCTCATACGGTATCTTCACCGTCAGCGCCGACAAGGAGGTATGTCGTTGGGTTTCTGTCTGCGTGTTGCCTGGAACGCCCCCTTATGCCGGCACTTTTTAGAGACGAACAGTGCAGCCCATCAGGCCCATTCCCTCCATGATGGTGCGTGTTCAGCTTCTTCTCGCAGATTTTCGACAGCCTTGCTCACTCGTCGCGCAGTGGACTACCGAGTACCGGAAGAAGGAAGAGACCTCTTCCGAGTAGATTACTCTCCCGCCGCAATACATGTGTCCTTTGCGTTGACCGTCTCTATCACGTGTGCCCTCAAAGCCCTCGAATCGTGATGTGCGGTTATCTCATGCGGTATACATCAAGCCTTGTACGTTTCACCCGCGTCGCCATAGGAGGGAACTTCCGGCAGTGAAAGCTAGAGGTCTGGAGACGACTCGTGGACACTAGTACGTTGAAGTGTGACGAAAGGTGCGCATGTGTCAAAGATGCATATTCCATAGGATGCCCACTTGACCTGTTTGAGATGAGCTATGTCGTCGTCCTGTTGCCGCACAGATTACACAACCAAATGCTTCCCAACTTCAACTGGACACCAAAAACTCGCACGTCGCCGAGTTCTTCTCTTGTATTTCCACAGGTGACCATGGCCAGGTAACATTGCCCCGTCACTCTCCATCGTTCTGCGTGACGTGGATATTGCACTCGGTGACATCGATATCCACATGAAAAACTGCGGACGTCATGCAAGTAACAACATCCGGTGTTTCTCCGTAGTATTGACAAACCACCTCTTCGCCCTGTTTCTAGTTATCTGACATTGTGCTGCACAGTGGACGTCAAATGCTCTCTTCGCGTTGCCCAGGGCAATGGGTATCACTTCGCCGCCTTACGTCCAACCTCCTCGGAGAAACTTAGCCGGATCGTATCTCCCCTGTACCATTGAGCCACGAACTGGCGAGGCCTTCACGGAGAAGAAAACATTGAGGCTCGTTACGCCGACAGTCCGCCGAGCGACCTCGTCACAAAGCACGATTCCTCGTGGATATTGTATGGGCGAAGTATGCAGGCACAGCACTACCCGACGCCCGAAGCGTCTCGTCAACGTCTCCAGTGACCTCGCATGAACGCCCCATTCAATCTCTATCTCGACCTGTTTCACCGACTAGCACCCTTCGTGCAGCCAGAAGGCCCTCCATGTCGTGGCAGACGACTCCGCGCCACGCCCTGCCGCTACTTCTCCTCCGACATTTCCTCTAGCCTAGGTTCGTGTACTCGGACTACGTCTTGGCGCAGCGTGCCGCCGTGCGGCGGGGAAATCGAAAGTCGGTCTTGCCCACAGCTGTGGGTCGTCTGTACACCTGTTTTTTCCCGTTCGTCAGGCGATCCTTGGCTGAGGTGCAATCACAGCTGGGCAAGACTCACTGGTTTGGACGGAATACGCGTCAACGCTCACCCCGCAGACTGCAACAGCGCTGCGGCGTAGGACATGGTGTGGGCCTTCCGCCGAGGGGCGAGCTCCTCACCGAGCTCCTCCCATCCCTCCGACTGCCAGTCCTCGAGGTCGTCCGTCCAGCCCGCGTCGGACTTGAAGTCCGCGTACTCGAGCTCGTCCTCCCATCCCGCCTCGGACTTCGCGGCGGACATAATCTCGTCCTCAAGCGCGATCACCTTCTTGACCGCCCCGACGACCTCGAAGCGCTTCGAGCGCGCTGCAATTGCCAGTCCGCCGTCAGCGTGAGTCCCTCTCGCCATTCACGAGAGTATCATACAAAGTCACTGACCTCGGGGCTTCGCCACCTTCGCGATGTCCAGAATGTGCACCTCGACCTTCCCCCTCTTCCCCTCCTGCGCCGCCGCGCCCCACCCCGCGGCCTCGCGCTCCCACTCGCGCTCCGCGTCCCTGTCAGCCGCGCCGCGCGCGTCCCGCGCCTCCTCCGCGCGCTCGCTCACGAACCGGCGCGAGACCCACGCGCCCGCGCCCGCGCGGGTGGTGTCGGCGTTGCGCCCGCCGCGGGGCGTCGCCGGCCAGTGCGGCTCCGACCAGTTCCCGTACCGGTCGCGCTTGCTCGTCTTCCACGGCTTCACGTCGACGCGGAGGTGCGCCGTGATCTCGTCCTGCACGTCGTCCCGCGCCGCCGGGGAGGCCAGAGGAGGAGGAGGAGTGGGGTCAGTCAGCGGGTGCTTCGGTGCGGTCACAGTACGGGCAGGGGCGGGGGAGGGCGCGCAGCACGCGCATGGGGGGAGCGGGCGCGAGCCGATGAACGGGGCGCGCGGAGGTGTTGGGAAAAGTGGGAGGGGAGGCGGGGAGGGGAAAGTGGGACCGGGGCTCACCGAAGACCTGTGCTGGTTGAGTTCGGCGGTGGTGCCCAGGACGGTCTTGGTGGGTGTGCTGGCGCCGCGCTCGAGTTGGCGGACGACGATGCGCTGGTCGCGGTTTCGGCCTGGCATTGTTACTGGGGGGTTGTGTGTGGGTGCGGTGATGTGGTGTTGTTGTTAGCCTTGGTGGGCTGAGTGCGGGACAAGGCTCTGGGTGAGCGCTGCCTGGTGCGAGGTGGGTGAGTGGTTCGTCCTCTCGGTGCGTCCCGTCTGGGCTTAAGACTGCTTTCGGCAGGGTCATTCTGACTCAACTCGAGTCGCCCACGGCTGTGGAAAGCGTCGGCCTCCTGTCCGCGAAGCAATGCTAGGGTCAGACGTTTGATAGCCATGACATCGCCAGCGCCGGCTCGTCTGAACCCACGCTTAGTGACTCCCGCCGCTTTGGAAGTCCCGGTCGAACGTTGTGCCTTTCCTTCCATGGTGGCCGCGACGGCTCTCGGACATTCCGCGCAGTGGCGGGGATGTTGTCGCGGTGAGTGGCGGTGCCTCCGCACCGGTTCCGCGTCCAGCAGTGACTCTAGGTTACTTATGGGTATCTCCGTCGGCGTCCGCGAAGTCAGCAACATGACCAGTGAGGAAGCAATCGGTACAACTGAAACATACTCGACAAGGACCGCGATGATAGTCGACGACTCCTCTGGTCGCGATCGGGGACGGCGATCGCCATCCCCAAAAAGCGTATTCGTGTCTCTTCAAATGCTCCGAGAAATACTTACTCGCCCGACTTGATCCATGGCAGGACGAAATCTTGAAAACCAACAAGCCAATGCATATTGGAACCTGTCATCGCCAGCACTTCAGTCTCAAATCAACCCAACTGCCGCTGACACGTCGGCGATAGGTTCTCGCAAGCTCTGTACGGAGATCTACAACTCTGCGTTGCGCTCAAAGTCTGCTCCAGTTGGACTCACAAGCCCCAGCGCTTCGGTAACCAGAAAGCACCGACGGGAGCAAGTTGAAGATCCTACTGCTCCGCTGAGATGCATCACATGTGAGTCTCAACAGCTCCATGGTGGGCGGTTCGGCGCTCTTGGAGTTCGGCGTTGTGCTTGATAGACCTATGTTGGGATCAACGAAGGCGGTATGCGTCTTTTTCTGAGCACGGTCCCCGCGGAACTTCTCAGGGCTCGGCGTGCATCTCGTACGAGTTCGGCACATGGATAAATGTTAGCTTCGATGAAGCATCCTTTTCGCTCCGCTTTGACACACGGAACCGTTCCAGTAGGATATCGCAATTCTTTGCCACGGAAGTCTGTGAACATGCCGAAAGAGGACAAAGCAATATTCAGCATTTGTCAGTGCACATGGCTCGCCTGGGGATCCTCTCAGAATCTCCAGCGCATTCAATGCGGATGGCCTTGGAGACGTAACTTCAAGTAAGATATTCCTTGTACAAGATCAAGGCAATCAGTGGTCTCATACATGACCTGGAACATTAACAAGGTCGTGTGTCTGGCCACAACTTCCGCCCGACGGAGATTTTGCAAACGATATGTAAGATGCCACTGAGCGACACGGGCTTGTTCTGAATTTCGAACTGTTCGTCAGTTAGAATGTCTAGATGCTGCTGAGGATTGTTGCAAGAATCGTTCCCCTCGTATGTTTTGAGAGCGACGGGCGGTGCTTTGGACCGAGAACATGAAGCATTGGAGTCATTGAGGGCAGGAGGAAAGCGCGGGCGAGCCCAGGCGCCTCGAGATAATGAATTAGCCGCCGGTGTCGACGACCGAACCGGTCTCCTCGCCACGAGCTTAGCTCGTTGCACCCACTATCCTGCTCTCTCTCGATTGCTTTCCTTACGACATCCTCTCGACTCCTGTACACTATCTCACCAGTGATCGCTCTACCCACTTGAACCGTGCCCGCGATGTCGCAGAAGGGCGGGAATGGCAACTACGCCCAGGCTCCCAAGTTCGTTCCTCTTTCTTTCACTTTGTCACCCTCGCCCCCGGCTGAAGCCCCGCTCGTGCGTCGTGCTGCGCAGGTACATCAATGACTTTAGTAAAGCTCTTGCGAGCGAGGTCCGCATCCTCCTCGCCGAGGTCGGCAAGCTCAGAGACGAGCGTCGGCAGCTGCAATAGTACGTCCACCTTCTCTTCGCGTGCATCCATGCGCTCATCGAGACCGCCTTCCCGGACGCCCCTCCCACCATGTGCCCAGTGAGATCTCCGAGCTCATGGCCGTCAAGTCCAAGCACGGAGGTGGCGGGGAGTACAACCCCGACTGGATGCCCAGGGTCCGTCCTCCACATTTCTGCCCGCCCCGTTCCAGCCTTTAACGCCGCTCGTCCTGCTCCACCGTACCGGCCTCTCCACCCGTCCTCGTGCCCTCCTATCGCGCGTGCAGCACGAAGAGCCCCCGCCCCCGATGCTGATGTCGCCCCCGCCCGCGCCGCCGAGCGAGATGCTCGAGGACATCGCGCCCGCCCGCCCCGGCTGGCGCACCGTCTACAAGCGCGAAGACCGCCGGGCGAAGAAGGCCAAGGCCCTCCCCGCGCCCGCGTCCCCCGCGCCTCCGCCGCCCCCGGTGATGCCCCCGCACCACGACATGCCCGCATGGGCCCAGTGGAAGCGTGCGTCCCTCTTTCTCTCGCTCTTGCTTTACCTCTGGTGTCGACGGTCGTTTGTCGTCGGCAGCGAACCCGCTGCTCTCCCCGGCGCCGATTCCTGGAACGTCAGCCGCTCCGCTCCCGGGAGATATGGGGGGCATGTCTCGGGGCGGGCTCTTCGGTGCGTGCCCGTCGGTTTTTCTCTCTGCGTTCGCCTTGCTGAAACCCGGCTGGATTTTGCTTGCGGCCCGTGTACAGGTCCGCCATCGCCACCGCCGGGAAAGTGATCGCCAACGTCGATCGGTCGGTTCCGAGCCCTCGATCGCTCACGGCCCCTTTCCAAGCCAAAGACTCGAACATTGCATGTAGCTTGTATCCGATGTGGATGTGGGAGGTTAGGGTGGAGGGACGGTGTCTGCGTGATTTACCCGTGCGGTCTCGGATCCGGTTCGTGTCTCTATGCCTTTCGTCTTGCTTACTCTGCTCTCGGATGTGTCCCACTACGTTATTCTCCCGCTTCTCCACCTGTATCATCGCTCTCGCCTACGCATCTGCCATCCACGCGCCAATGTACAATCCGAATCTCACCGTTCGATGCTTGCAGAACACTGAAGCCGGGAGGTCACACCGGCCGTGCTCAGTTCCTCGTTCCTCGACACTCGTTCGCGACTTCATTGCGCTAGCGAATAAAAGCATTTAATATACCTTGAAATGAGCGACTGATATACGTTAGGTGCGTCGTGAGCGCGGGGGGCGTAGTCGATGTGCAAGTCGGCTGTATGTAGTACGGTGCGTAAGTGCGCGGCCTCTAGGTACACGGGAAGGAGGCGAGTACAAGTACAAATGATTGGTTGTTGGGTTGATATAGCGAGTGACAAAGGAGATAAATAAACGGAAGGCATACACGTAGGATGGCACCGGCAGACGGCGCGGCAGGTCAAGCCGGGGGAGCGTCCGGGGGAGATAATACAGTAGGGAGACGACGGGACCGCAAATTGAGGTCGTGGGCCCGCTCACGGGGAGGCGATCTCGATCTTGACGAAGAGCGAGGAGAAGAGGTACTGCGAGAGCTGCGCGTCGTGCAGCGGCAGGTGGCGGTAGCCGACGTTGAGGCTCCCGAGGCTGACGCAGTACACCGCGAGCGGCTCGTTCTTCTCCTCGTCCTCCTGCTTGACCGCGAAGCGGACGAACACGAGGTCGCGCATGTCCCCGACGAGGTCGAACGGGAGGCAGAGCGCCTGCTCCCACACCGGGTTGAACCCGTTGTTCTTGACCACCCCGGTCTTGCAGGTCACCGTGCGCGCCGAAGTCGCGGCGACCGTTCCGCCTGCCTGCGGGGCCGAGTACTCAGCGGAGGACCCGCCGGTCGCGCCCGCGGTGGCCGGGAGGAAAGGCGAGTGCGTCCAGTCGGGGATGTGGATCGAGACCTCGACGTACGGGTCGATGATCGTCTTGTCGACGATCTCGCGCCCCTGCGAGTCCTTCGGGCGTGGGAGCTGTTGTGCGGAGATGACGGTGATGTTGAGCAGGTGCTGGGTGCGTTGCGAGAGGAGCGCCTTGTCTGGCACGCGCAGCGCGGACGGCTTGAGCACGTATCCCGCGCGGCCGTTGCGTTGGAACATCGCGTGGTTGATCATGTATCCGAGATCGAACGTCTGCCAGTTGAGCGCGACGAGCTGGCACCCCGCAGACCAGAAACGGTGGGGCTCGTAGTTCGTGGATCCAATTCGTGTTCCCTTGGGATATGTCCGGACGAGGTGGGTGCGGTTGTGCTTGATGAGGTCGACCATCGCCTGCTTAATGAGCTTGTTGGCCGTGCTCTCGGAGAGTGAGAACATGTGCTCAGGCGCGTACTCCTCCTTCTTGTTCAACCCACGGCACTTGACACCAACGGTGTACACCAGAAGCCCGACGAGCTCCATCGACATCTTCACCTTGGGCGACGCGGGGGCCCCAGGTGCGGCGCCGGGTGGAGGCGGGGAGACTGGCTTGGGCGAGCGCATCCGGCTCAGCTTGCCCTTGGCCTTCTTGAACTCCGACTTGAGGTCCTTGATGAGCTCGGCCTCGTTCTCCCGTGCCTTGCGCCACTCTGCCTTAACCTCATGCGTGACGTGCGCGGCCTCCGACTCCGAAGATGACTCAGTCGTGGTCGAGGTGTCCGATTCCGCATCCGCCGTCGCGACAACGGTTGTAGCGCCTTGTTGTTCCGCAACGACGAACAGGTCCTTCGTCTTGAGCAGAACACGGCCCTTGAGTTCCTCCGGACTAGGAAGAACCTCAATCTTGGGACGGCCTTCTGGTGGTGCGATGACGAGTGCCGGGCCAAATACCTCCTTCATGATGTTGACGAGCATAGCTTGTTGTGTAACTCCACAGTGGATCTCGGCGGAAATGATGATGGGGTAAGGCGAGGCCATGAATGCGTACTTGGAAATCGCAATGCAGACGTCGCGGACCGAAACCTTCGAGGTCCACGTGCGGCCGTGGTACACGACCGGCTCTGTTTCGCCATCGTAGATGTCCACTGGTACGCATGTAGTCAGGAACTGGATTCCGCCGAAAACGAAACCACATACGTTCGACACTTCGGCAGGAGTGGAGGAGTGCGCGAATGTAGCCTTCGACCGTGCTCTCCCCAACAAGCTGGTTCCCGACGAGGTATGTATTATGCGACGAGGAGATGAAGTACTCTGGAAGCGGACGTGTCATGTCGTGGTGGACACCGGCGTACTGGTCGGCGAACGCTGAGTTGTCGGCGGACAAGAGGAACGCGGTGAAGTTGCTCAGAGTCATCTTGGCCGTCTCGACAGTAAGCGGTTCGGGGACTACTAGCGTCGCCTCAGTCGCAGAAGCTGGAGCAAGTGAAGCGAGCTTGTCTTGAATAGACACCGACTTCATGGCGAGATCCAGGGAGGTCTGAGGGGGAGATCCACAAGGCTTGTTCGGCTTGGGGACGGCGTAGCGAAGGAATAACTGCTCCAGTTGCTCTTTGCTGATATCAGACTAACTGTGGCATGAGTCAAGACGAACACGGCATCATGAAAGGGGCACACACCTTCTGCATCTCACGCATGAATTTCTCGAAGGCGTCGAAAGACATCGTAGAGTCTCCGTTCGCGATCTTCTTGAAGAGACGATCAAGCTCGGGACGGGCCTTGAGCGACTTGACAAACTTCTTAAAATCGTCGAAGTCGAGGTAGCCTCGGTTTTGCGAGTCGGCTTGCTGTGGCATGTGATGAGTTCACCGTCAACGAACATGAAGAAAACGGATGGATGTATGCGCATATATCGAGGATTCCACCGACGGTACGACTGAGCAAGAAACGCACCTTGAATCTCCTCATGAGATCCTCGCGCGAGGGGTTGATGCTCAGCCGCCTACACAACTTCTCCACATTGTCGAACTCAAGCTTCTGGTCCTGCTCCGTATCTGCACCTTTCCAGAATTGTTTCTCCCAAACCGCGTTGCTGATGTCCGCACCACCAGTACCCCTCATGAGTTCTTGACGGATCGCATAAAGGCGGCGGAGAGTCGAATCCCACGCAGCGAAGATGTCGCGAGTAGCCGCGACGAGGTGGAGGGTCTTGTAGCCTCCATCGAGGGTGTAGATGACGGTAAGCCAGCGGTCCTCGTACTCGGCCGAGATCTGGAGCTGCTCGCGGTCGTACCGTGCGGCGGCGCCGGAGCGGAACTCCTTGATGTTGTCGATTGGGATGAAGCGCATCTTCTTGGACTCCCAGACGATCTGCCCCTCGTCGGCATCGAGGCGGAAGACGTACCGCTTCTGCTTCTTCGTCGACACCTTGAGCATCGGCACGCCCACCTGGAGGATCTGGGGCACCGTAGCATCCGTGCATGCTGCGGGTTGAGCAACGGTGGGGGCGGTCATGGAGGGTGGCGACTGCGGAGGCGCGGGCTGCTGTTGCTGCGGTTCGACGGGGCCAGGTTGCGGCGGCGAGGGCGCTGCAGTGTGTGCGTTGACGGGGGACTCGGGATGAGAGGCCATTCTTGAGAGTGCAGGGGGCGACGACGGGGTGGGGAAAGGTGCGCCGTGTGCGGTTGTGGGGGGCGAGGTGGAGGCGTGACCGCCGTCAAGCCGCGGGCGCGTGGCTTGGGACTCGGACTGTGCACGGCGGTGGCTCCGCCTGCGCTTCACCCACGCGGACGGCGAGAGCGAGAAGGCGGCCATCTCTGGGGGGAGGAGCAGCGCGGGGTCGACGTCGCCGGGGTCGAGCGAGGTCGACGACGACCCGCGCGTGTCCGTCGATCGGGGCGGTGGCGACGAGGGTGAGCGGCGGAAGCTGGCGCGGCGGGCGACGGACGCGCCGGCGTCGCGCACCTGGGACAGCTTGCGCCGCAGCGACCCGCCGAGCCCGCCAGCGCTGCCGTCGGTGCGGCGGCGGCGGATGGGCTCGGCGACCATGGCAGTGTTGGACCGGGGGAGCGCATTCTTGATGGAGGGGACGGGTTCGCCCTTGGTGGTGAGCAGGTTCGGGGCGCGGGCGAGAGAGCGGCGGGGCTGTAGGTCGGTCATGAATACGCCATGCACGCCCAAAAGGAGAGGGAAATAAGACGGGGAGGAAAGGGGAGGGGGGGAAGGAGGGGATGATGGCGGCAGGAGTGCTCAAGTACTTGTAAACCGTCGGCCAAATGCACCCGAGCGAGACTTAGTTATAGCAGACACTACATATTGCAGTACAAGTTCCCTCCGCTGGTGCCGCAAAGGACGCGCAACGGCTGCATCCGCGTGCACGGAACAGGTAGCGTACCGAACCCTCGGGACGGCCGCGACAATGTCGTTGTCGGAGGCGAGGCACCGCTGCTCGTTCCCCGGTCGGCGCAGCCATCACGTCTGTGCGCGCGCACAAAGTGGACTAGGCTCGCGCGAGGCTTCATGAGACAAGGATTCACCTGCCGCGCACTATCTCATCCGCGCTTCCGGGAGCCACGTTCGATAGGCGAACCTCCGGTCGCATGCGGAGGACTCATCCAACGCTCCCTCGGCCACGAAGTGGCTACATCCGGCATGTCGCTTTGCACGGATTGCACCTCCACCGCGGCTAACACAGCCTTGGGCGAGAGCACGCCAAGGCTCAGCGCTCAAGCTGTGCGGTCTGCCGCGGCCCGCCGCGTGCGCCCACTCGACGCGCCCTGGCAACGCGATCGCTCAAATACTCCTGGGAGTCTGAAGACGCTGGCTGCTGGTCCCGGGAGGAGACAGGAATTTGAGCCAGTTACGCTTAGCGGCCCCATGGACACGTATGGACACGCGCACTCCAGGTACCCCACGGGGCCGAACTTGTCGGAAGTAGTGTCGTGAGCCGGAGTCACGTCCCTCGGAGCAAACGTGCGTTGACAACGGATATCGGTGTCGCCGATGCTTCCATATGTCGCAAAACTAATGGCAGATGTGGGGGAACTCTTAACGTGTGGACCTGTATTTGCACAAAACAGCCAAGCGTTCGTCAAAGGTGAGGCATCCGGCCCGTATCCGCACTCTTCTAGCCTTGATTTCGTCCACAACGAAGGCCGCAACCCACGGCACGGCGAAAGTTGTTCTCCGACAGAGGCGTCACTGAAGATGTGGGGCTTGAGCCGACCGGCCGAGGGCTGTGCAGCCATGGGGTGTCTCAGAACGGCATCCCTAGCCAACTTGTGCCTACAAGCTATGTAGTCATGAGCGATGGCGCGCGTGTATTCAACGAAGTTCAGACCAAAAGCATCTACCTACTACATACAGCTGTGACCCGGTGGATGGGCCCGAGGGAGGCTACCGTTATTACAACCACGTGCGCGCGGGACGCAACAGGCGGGGGGACCTTGAAGTACAAGAGAATTGGGAGACTATCTACACAGCGTATGGATGAGCAGAGCGAAAGAGGGTGGGATCGACGAGGGACAGGACGGGGAGAGCAAGAGAAGGAGCAGCGTCATTCAAAGCACGAGTCGGTATCGTTCGCGGGATGTGCGGGCCGAACGCAACCTGGGGCGTATTCACTTCTCGGGCCTTGATCCGAGCCAGAGTGTCCGGCGGCAAAGGGTGGGTCTTAGTCAACGTGAGCGAGGGGCTTCGGAGCTTCGGTTCAGCACTTGATGAAGTTGCCGACGATGAGCGTCGGGATGCCGTACGGATCGCGCCGGATGGTGAACGAGAAACAGCAGGAGATCGTGCCCTCTTCGTTCGGGGGAGGCTGCGTGTCCTTGCCGCGCCCAGGTGTGACCGCCCCCGACGACGGCAGGAATGGTTTGTACCGCAGCACGCACGAGGTGAGGACCGCCTTTTGGTTGGAGTCGAACGCAACGTGGCCGTATTTCTGTGCGTTTCATGAGGAGCGTGGTGGGCGAGCCGCGTGCGGAACAGGACGGAGGTATGACACAGACGGGGAAAGGAATGGCGACGGCGGCGAGTTGCGGAAAGTGGGCGGCACGAACGGTCCGAGACGCGCATGAATCAATGTCGTCATTCATGAGCCGAGTGCGGCCGACGTACCTCCCAGTAGTTCACGGCTGAATCTTCCGACATGAGCTCATAGATGCACAGTCGACCCTGTCGACATGCAAGGGTCTCAGCTGATCTGCGTTCGTGCCACGATGTAGTGAAACGTACGTCTCGAAGCATGTATCCGTCCACCCCGACAAGCTCCGCAAACTCGCGATTCGCCTTGTATATCTCCCCAGTGCGGCGCCACAAACACGCGGGGATGGCCATGGCGGAGAAAACACGATCGTAATCGAGGAGCAACCGCTCAAAAGCTTCTTCGATGAATACCAAATCCTGTAAAAGAAGTCAGATGAGAGTCAAGGTGTGATAAATCTGCTACGCACGATATCTGTAAGTGATTCTGATTGGGCAATAGCCTGTACATCGGAAAGAAGTGTGGTTAGCGGCGCCTATGAGACGAGTCCGATGGCTCACTCTGAACTTTGGTCGGAGCACGGACAGCGGTTGAAGGATCTTCGCTTTCGATTCTTGCGAGACGCTGTCAAGCACGCGCAGGTGATGAGCCACAATCCACCCGGACGAAATGTGGAACCGATCCAAACACGTACTTCTTGTCCATCCACCTCGACAGTCTTGCGTACCCCTTGACGTAGTTGTATGGCTTGAGAAGCCCTGCTTCGTACTTACTCCTGATGACCATGTTCAACCGCTCGTTTCGAGAACCTGAGGCCTGGTCCGCCGCCGTGAGGAAGAACCGTTCCGTTTTCGTGGCTGCCGGGAGGACGACGGGGGCTTGCTCTTCGGGGGCTTTTCGCGATCCCGTTCTGGACTCGCGGGCAGCGGTACGGCGGCGGAGGTATTTGAAGGAGTCGCTCCGGGGAGACCCGGGGGAGGAATGTAAGGGTTGTCGACGCCTAGGCTGACTGGACCGGTGTATGTCGGGCTCGACATCAAGGATGTTCCGATGGCTGGAGGCTGACTGAAGAAGGTCCCGTCGTCTAATGATTCGAGAAAATCGCTGTAGTTCATGGTTAGTAGGCAAGATCAAATCAGACGCGACCAAAATTTTAGAGCCCGGAAGACGTGTCGTTGCACGTGGAAGATGGGCCCAAGCAGGCGAGCGGCAAGTAACTGGATACGGCGTCAGAGCGCGAGAGGCTCGGATCGTTCTAGAAGGCCATCGCGTGCATGTAGAACGACCAACCTCAGCGACCATGACGTCATTGCGTACACAAGTGGCTGAGGGCAGGCTCGTCCGGCCATCCGCGGATGGGCCCTTGCGACAACAAGCATACAGCGATGGGTGTGTGCGTGGATAGAATGCGGGGGCGCACCAAGCGGAGCGAAGCGTGCGATGTATGCCTTAACACCCCCGATCACGAGGGATCAGGCATGATGTCCAAAAGCACTGGCTTCTAGCCCATGCCACTCCGCCAGAAAACGCACGACATGAAAAGAGGACACTCACGAAAGAACCGAAAACTCATTGCTGAAAGTCTCGGGCGGGTACAGCCACGCGCCCTGCGCCATGCTCATCCCCATCCCAGGCCAACCTGTGTTCATCGACACAGACGCGGATCCGTACTGGCCACCTGCATTCGCAGTCGCATTCGCGAGGGCGGTCGCATGGTCATATTCAGTGACGGCGGACGGGTCGGCACGATCGGTTCCGTACGGCGCATCGGCGTCGGCGGGGGGCGGGGGCGGTAAGGGTTGGGCCATGGTGCAAGGGGAGGAGAGAATACTCGCCAGGCAGCGCCCTCGCGACGTCGATGGCCGGGTTTGTGATGCCGGGCGTGCCCGCGCCCGCGGGCGGTTTTTCCTTCGTGGGGGCGCGCCGTTCGTCGTGGCAGAGGTGGCCGATCTCGCGCTTGACGCTGCACGCGGACACGCGGGCAGATGGGGAGGCAGCGGGGGGCGAGGGCGTCGGAGTGTGCGGGGCGGGGACGGCACAAGGACGCGGTGAGCGCGCGGAGGGAGCGTGAGGAGAGGACGAGAGATGCGCACCACCGCTGGCACGGCCGGCCCTCGTCGCAAGTCATATGGCTGCGGCGACAGTACAGACACGCATGGTTGACCTTTCGCCGCTTGGAGCCCTTCTTCTTTTTGCCCGGGAGCCCGTCGTCGGTGTCGCCCCCGTCACCGTGCCCATTGCTCTCGGCCACGGTGGACGCGGAGAGCTGGTGCTGGTTTGCCCGGTCGGCTGCTGAGAGGGCGTCCGGACCAAGAGAGGCGTCGGCGTGGCCCGGGTCGGTCGCAAAGCTGGCCATGGTCCCACTGTCGGGCGCGGTCGGGAGGAGAGAAACTGAACTCCCCTGCGCCTGCGCCATTCATTTGCTTGATGACGGTCCGCACGGATCATGTGTCGCACAACGGCGCTTGTACGTGAGTCAACGTAGCTCAGTTGGGAAATCACAGAGATGGCCTCATTGTTCGAACCTCGTTCACTTTTTCCACACCCGTTTGGACAAGAACGAACAATGCAGATGATTTGGAACCGAATGTTACAACTGAGATTGTTAAATGGTACAGTAATGCTAATGCGACTTCAATCTGATACTAGACAGCGACAACGACAGCGAGGAGAGCATCGAGAACAAAGATGAACAAGTAATAAAGATAGGATGCGGGGGTAGCGCGAGCGGCGGGATGAAGAGCATACAACGAGGCATAGGTGATATCGCGGATGATGAGGATGAGACATGCGGGGGAGGGGATTTAAATGCATATGGTCGGAGGGAGACATAGAGAAAGGGTTGAGAAGACGCCGCCGCCGGCTGGCCCACACCAAAAATCACGAACGAAAGACAAACTCGGATGCCAACGTACTCGCTCAGAGAGCCTCAGCAGCTAGCCTACGGGCCTCCCGAGCGAGTCTGGTGGCGTTGGCTTGCGCAACAGCGATGCCGATAGCAGTGACCTTGGGCTGCGGGCGGGGGACGAGCTCAGGCTTGCCGATGGCGATGGCGAGGCCAGTGAGGAGTATGTCCCAGCTCCAGTCGATCCCGATCCACAGGAAGCGGTCGGCGACGCAGAGGTAAATCGCGTTTTGCCAGAGGCCGATGACCTGGGTAAGCATCTCGACGATGGCGTGGGGCGTGTAGCGCGCGGCCAGACGATGAGCCGTCTCGACGACATAATTCGGGTTTTCCGGGTACGGGTCCGCGAGCGTCGGCAGTTTGAAGTCGGGCTTCGCGACTGGGACCATGTGTGCTAGGAGCAAGCCGACATCGTGTGTATAGAGCAGTTGGAGGAGGCTGTTGAATGTGGGGGGATGGGGAACAGCTAGTGGGACGACCGGGAGAGTGATCCTTGTGCCCATAGCACCGTTGCCGTTGACGCCGACGCGAGTGTGACGACTCCTACGCGAGCTGGGCAGCTTGAACCACTTCGCGCAGTGGGCAGCGAGGACTACGTTGTGAGCGGGCACCATGTGGACCTGGCGACGGCCAGTCTGGGGGTTGATCCCGGGGTTCTTCTCGATGGAGGTCTTGTGAGGGAGGTCCCAAACCGCGAAGACGTGAGTCGGGAAGCTGTGCGGGGTGCCGTTCGTGGGGAAAGAGAGCATATCGTAGTCGGCGATGACGAGGTTGATCTCCTTGGGGAGTTGAGAAACGTTGCCCATTTCGCTGCGTTCCAGCTTCGCCCGTTGAGCGAGGTGCCACATACTAAAGAGAACTGATAAGCGGATGTCGGAATACAAAGGACGAGAACGTACGCAGGACCAGTCTCAGCAAGTCCTTGACGAATGTAGTTCAAGGGCATGCCCTTCAACTCTGGATCGCAAGCCTCGACGTTGTCCATGTCGATGGGAGCTGGCCAGAACTGAGGAGGAGGACGGCGAAGCCAGCGAGGGAAGCGGAGGACGTTCGCGTTCTCCTTCTTCTCCATGGTAGGGTCGACGCCGCCCACACTGAGATGGACCGGTTCACTGGTGGTGCTTACGGGCTGGACGGCGTCGGTCGTCGGTGATTCGGGGAGTGTAGGGACTCCGGCGGGTTCAGTGGGCTCGCACTTGACCTTGCCGACCCGCTTGGTGCGAGCGTTGAGGATGCTCTTCTTGGCCTTGAGGGGGATGGAGCCGCTGACGATGCGAGCGCGCCGACGACGGGAGGCTTCACGGCCAGAGACGAGGGCGTCGGCCTTCTTAGAGAGACCCGGCGTGCGAGGAGGGAAGTTCTCGGCGTTGGAACTCTTCCTGAGCTGGAGGAAACGCTTGCCGGCAGGGAGGTACGTGGTGGACATGGTGTGGATGGAAGGGAGAAGGCGGCCACGGGGATAAGCGGATGAGGGGATAGGGGATGGCGAGCGGCATGGGGCTTATATGCAGTTGAAGGGCGAAAGCGAGGGGCAATCAGTTACGTGACGCTGGATTGCAGGATTGCGCTGGATTGCCTCGTGAAAGGTCTTCTTCCGTGGGTGGGTATTTGGTCGCGCTTGGTGCACCTTCCACAATTGGCATCTCTTTGCTCAGACTCCCCGAGACCTTCCCGGCGCCTGTCGGAAGGCGAGTCCAACACGCAACCATCGCTTGGCTAGCTTGTTGTCCTCCCATCGTGTCTTTGTCTCCTTGTCGCGAGAACCCACTGGATCCTCATTTGCGGCTTCTTTGGGTCACAATAAATGGCCTTCCACCCCCTTACAAGATGTTCGACGACTGTAGCGTGCGTGTGTAGGCCCACGGAGTACCGAATGTGCAAGGCAACTTCGACTGGCTCCTTGCGAAAAGAGCTGCGTCATAGCCATGGGTGCGTCGTGGTAGACCTACGCATTTCCGACGCGAATATTGTCCCAGGGATGTCGCTTCAACGAAGCTGCCGCTTCGCCACATTTGTTTTCCTTTTCCGCTTGCGCGTTTTCGCTCTGCCATAATTGTCTTCAATGAACTAGACGACGCGGATCTGGAATCATCCTTTCGAGGAATCATGACATCCATCCTGGCTCTTGCTTTGTCTTCAAATGCCTGCATATTGCTGCTGCTACCCATCTGCGTTGGATTTGAACACGCAACCACATACATTGTCCATCGGGAGCCACTTGTCCACAGGATCGGGGGTCGAAAACTTACGGCCTTTGCAATTTGTCGACCATCTCGAACTCATCATCGGGGCTTGCTGACCGGTTTGATGCACAGCGACCTTACTAGCTCGTTGGCCTCTCACTTCAACTCGATCGCTTGGGGCAGCCTGTTTGACGGCTGAGTGGCAATGCTGCGGCAGACAGAAGTGGTGGCTTCACAATCTCGGCGAACCTGCTACAAACCTCGTGTTTCGTCTGCAACGCCGACCTTATGCCCCACCGGCTGTTCGTTGTTCTCACCACGACCCACAGCGCGTAGTACGGCAATGGCGATGCTTGAAACGGGCTGCCGACAGGACAGACGCGGACGACGTACCTTTGAGGTATCAACCCGGTGAACAAACATCCATCTACGACTGTGCGACCGAACCTTTGAACTAGACTTGTCGTTTCGAAAACGACAAGCCTGGTTTGGGTGTTGAAACGTGCAGGGTGGTCAGCCGGAGTCGATGCCGTACCGCAACCGTACCGTACCTAAAGATGATTCTTGACCGATTGCCTAGGTATCGAGCCAATAAGTGAGTGATACAAGGGAGTGATTAGGGGGGTCCACAGAGAGGACGGTGGCGGGGAATAAGCAGAAGTAGAACGCGGACGGCCGGCGCATGCGGGAGAGCAGATCCGACATACCATTTATGGTAGGTTGCGTCATGTGATATGTTCCACTCGACGCGTCCCTAGTCATACCACGTGATCGTGGTTCCGGCGCTGGGATGGTTCAGTGACAGTTGGTTTGGAGTTGCTTTCACGGCCTAGGCTTTCAACTCCCCTCCCACCTTGCTTTGTTCGTGTGCCTTGACTCTCCAAATGCTATCACGATGACGACCTCAACAACCCAAATCCTCTTTAACTCTCCAGCGCTGCACTCGCTCAAACGTGACCAACTCGTGAAGCTCTGCAAGATACATTCCGTTAAGGCCAACGGAAAGAACACTGAGCTCATCGCGCGATTGAAGGAACTCACACAATGTCTCCCACCCGAAGGACTGCGGACGGAAACAGAAGTGGACCCGGCTTTCGGCAGCACTCTCCAAGCAACTTTGGACGCCAACCCGCTTTCCCCCTCCATGGATGAAGACGACGCAATGGAGGGAATACCCGACATACCCGTCGGCTTTGGCGACGACATGGACGCGATGGACCAAGACGTTGAGCTACCAATGCTTTCCTCGCACTTCACCACACGCCCGAGCGAACAATGGGAGGTCGTGATGGAGGACATCGAGGAGATGGACGAAAGCCGGGCCGGCACAATGTCATCCAAGGGAAGTCTAAAGGCGTTTTCTAGCGGCGAGTTCGGCACGCATTCATCCAAAGGTATGTCATTCATTTTCAGTCGTTCGTGTTCGCGGAATCTATTGCGCATATAGCTAGTAGTATCTCACGCGATACTGGGCAGCTTCCGTCTCTTCCTCCATCAAGGCTCTCGCGACGTCGTTGGGCATCAAACGCGTAGTATCCAAGGCGTCAACCTCCATCCACACACAAGACTCTGAAGCAGAGTTGAAGATGACATCTTTCTCCCCTGGAAAGATCTTTGGCTCCACTAAGGCGCGCGACTCTCTCATCGCGAACGCCACCCCGTACCACGAGATTCCCCCCTCTGACTCACTCCCGGAGACCGACCAGTTCAAGTTCTCCACTCCCGATGCCAGTTTCCTCAGTATGGCCGAAGGCGACGACACCGAAAACAGCAACGACGGCCCTCCGCCTGTGCGCGTTCTGACCAACATCGCAAGCGGAACGAAGGGCACCATCAGGCTGGTCTCACATCCAACGAAGGTCCAACCACGGGACAACTCGCTTTTCATGAGCCCTCCAAGATTGCCCGTCGTGCAAACCGACTTCGATCTCATTGCCGGCACTCCAGGCACCGTCCGAACGCTCAACATGTGGCCAGCGTCGCCTCATCCGACCCTTCAAGACCCCGGCGAGCGACTCTACCCCAAACTCCCGCTGGACAACGACTCTGACATCCCAGGCGGCTTCGGTTTCTCGAGCACCGCCGCGATGACTCCTGCCAAGACCCCGGCGAGATCCAGCGTGTACGCAACCTCCACGACCAAGACTGCAGCAACACCGGTCGACGAACCGGATATGTTCTCTCCCTCGAAGCCTACCGCGATGACCTCGCACGCCGGAGCCACTCCTGGGCCATCGAACGGCCGCACACCTCTCCCACGCAGTACCCCCTTCCTGTTCGGCTCTCCTCTCCCTCGTCGCGAAACAAAATCGAGCACCCAACCAAAAGAAGAATCGCTTGTAGACGCCGCAGCCGGGGTGTCAAACGCCGCGTTCGACGGCGTCGCCAAGTCCGTACTCGAGGAGATGCACCGACGCCTCGCGGAGACAAACGCGGCCCGCAGCGAGGACGCCCCCATGGCCCCTCCCCAACCTTTCTTCAACGCTGTCCCCACTGCCGCCGCGCCCGCCGTGCAAATGGATCGCTTCGCGAAGGCGCATGATGTGGTATTCGACAAGATGGACTCCATCGCAACACACTACGCAGCGCGCCGGCCCATCAAGCGGAAGTCGGATGCGCTGGGACGCGGGCGGCCGTCGGCGGGGCAGAAGAGGAGGAGCAGCGCGGCGAACGCGCGGGTCATCAGCGCTGGGGCGCGCAAGCGCATGGCGGTCCCTGGCGGGTTTGGGGGTGGTGATGACGAAGTGGAGAGTGCGGAGGAGGCGGCAGATGAGGGTGAGCGGGAACGGGCTGACGATGAAGACGCGGGTGACCGCCGAGCCAGTAAGCGGGTTAAAATCACTCAGGGATGGGACGTCCACAAGGGTCAACGCGTCTCATTGGCACCCCCTCTCCCGCCCGACGAAGAGGTGAAGAAGGCGAAGGAACGCGAGGCGGTGAAGCGCGAGCTTGACGCTGCGAAGGCGCGGAGACGGAGCAGTCGTGGTCGGCCAAGCTTGGTCGCCCCTCCACGTGAGTTCTTACTCAGATCCGTTCCCATTCCAGTCTGATATCCCCGTTTGACAGCGAAAGCCAAGTCGCGGTTCGGCTTCCTCTCCTCCGCAAAGTCTCTCGTCGGCAAGGTGTGGGGTATTGGTGGCAACAGCAAACCCAAAGCCGTCCCCACGGCATCGGCTCCATCCAACATTCCTGTTCCGAAGCCAGCCCCCGCGCCCGCTCCGAAGGCATCGACTGTGCCTGCTTCGAACACACGAAAGGCATCTGGATCGCAGCTGCACCCCTCTTCGTTGGCTGTACCCAGCAAGCTCGTGAAGGCAAAACCATCGGGATCGACTGCGGACGCGAAGCTGACCGTTGACGGCACCATCACATCGACGAAGTCGAGCAGTTCGCGCTCTCGATCCCCTATCCCACCCTTCACTGCCCTCACAGGCACCAGCAAGTCATCGGCCACCTCAGAGAGCCTCGTTGGCACTGCTCGTTCTCGTGTGAGCAGCTCGGGCAGCGCTACCGGGACCGCAAGCTCGCGCCAAACTACTCGCACGAGCGCAGTATCATCAATGGGCGCGCGGACTAGCCTCATGTCCGGCAACTCTGCTGCGTCCTCCATGGGTACACGGCGGAGCGTGGCGAGCACGAACATCCCCAGCTCGCCCGTTGACAGCAAAGAGCAGCCGAGCCTCCGCAAACGTACATCTTCCCTCCTCTCGCCGACCGCTTCTTCCCTTGCGAAGACTGCCGCCCCTGTCAAAGGTCGCGCCTCCGGCCTGCCTGCTGTCGCCGAAGCGGATCCGAAGCCAAAGTTGAAGCGCGCCAGTGCCACGCCGTCCGCCGGGACGGTGCTCAAGGCGGCGGGCAGCCCAATGTCGCCACGGCCCACGCGGATCTTCAGTCAACCCCTCACCAACCTCGGCGGTTCCCCCGCGTCCACCACTGGGGCACGTTCACTCACCGCCGCGGCGACATTGCTCATGGCCGACGCCGCGGACTCGCCGTCCAAGATCCCCCGTCCCGCCGTGCTGCCCCCAAAGCCGAAGCAGCTCGTGGCGCGCAAGCCACGGATCTCACGCGGCAAGGTCATCGCGAAGCTCGGCGCGCAGCGTGCCGCTGCGGCTCGCGAGGGCGGCCTTGTATCTCCTGGCCGCGCCGATGGGTCAGGCGCGCGGATACGCTCGAGTATGGGCAACCAGGCGCGGCGGTCGCTCGGCGCGGTCAAGGCCGGGCGGACGAGCGCGGGAGCGGATCTGCGGGTCGCCGTGAAGAAGCGGGCGCGACAGAGCGAGTACGTTCGTCGTCGCAGCCGCGCGGGTGGCGAGAACCACGCGGTTGAGGTCTGAGTCGGGGGAAACCCTGAATTTGTTTATGACGCTATTGTATAACGTGCTTGGACCCCGTCTCTCCTCCTGTCCCCCGAGTGTATCCTATATATTTGTCTCTACTCTCCATAGTGCGTCTTGTTTCTTGTCTTGTCTAATGATCGATCTTTGCGCTGGCCGTCATAGTTGATTGTTCTGAGTTATTCCGACGCCTCGGAGGGGATGCATGCCGACATGAGCGCTGGAATGCGGTGTCACGGAACGGGTGTCAATGCCTTCATGTCCGCAGGAGGTGAACGGTAAAACATATCGCATTCACTAGTGAAACAAGTGAGAGATTGCGGGTATACATGGGGTATATAACTCAACATAACGTACGAGGACTACAATCTCGGAAGACCCTATTCTACAATTTGAATCTGGATGTACTGTTGTGTCCGCATGACGTTTTGGTGGGTTTGGACTTCGCCCGCCTCAACGGCGTTTCCTCACCACCGTGTTCAGGCCATCCCGCAATCGCCTCATCAAGTGCTAGGTGCACGGACGTCAACGAATGTCATGCATCCCCACTGCCCCATTTGAGCGACTCACTGAAAGAATGCGGAGCACCCGTGAACGCCTGGGGGGAGGCGAGGAGAAGGGGCCGTAGGAAACGTGCATCTGCGAGTCCGGGCGTGGCTGGAGGGCGTGCGCGCGCACCGCGCGGTCTTCGCTGATGATGTCTTCTTGCAGGAGGTCCTCTTCGGACGTCATCGGCTGTCGAGGGAGTGGCCCATATGATGAGGACGATGGGAAACAGAAAACAGAAAACGGGCAAGGCGTCAGCGGGATCGCAAATTCGAAGAACAAGACGCCGGAGCACGCCCGCGCACCGACCGGGAGAATGGTCATGAACTCCTGTCCGTCCCGGACCTCGAGCAGCGACGACCGTGCGCGGTACGACGCGCCCGCCGTCGTCAGCGTCGACGTGCGCGAGGACGTGCTAAACCGCCGGGACGCGCCGGGGGCGGGGGCCATCGTACGCATGCCGGTTCGTGCGTGGTCCCCGTGTGGAGGCAGGATGGAGGGGGGCCTAGCGCGAGGGTGTGCGGCATGCTGCGAGTGTGGGGCGTGCGTGTTATAGGCGGTGAGCATCGGCGCAGTGTGGCTGGGGAATGGGCGGAGTAGACTCACTGACGCTGTCTCTCGGGGGCCGGACGCACCGCCCGGCGAACTGGCACGACCGTGCGGGCGTACTGGAGGGGACACCACGTTATGATGCGGGTCGAAGGGAGGGGGCGCGAGCGATGACGCAGCGGCTCGCTCGCTGGGGGCGAGCTTATACACGGCGCATGGCGCGGCGGAACAGGAGCGAACGCCCGTCCTGATGGGTGGGCAGACGCCGCAGAGTTCCCATGCGGCGGCGTTCACAGCTTCGCCAGTACAATCGAGCGCGGGGGATCTTTCGCAGGCGGACGCGCAAGGGAGTGCTCCCGAACGTACTGCCAGTGGTACCCTCACGAATTCCCAGCCAATATATACCGAGAGACCCGACTCACGCCATGGCCTGTGGGGGCCATTGAATTATAACCGGCGAGAGGTGGATCATCTTAGAGGGGGGTGAAGAGACTTGTGGACCAGTCTGAGACTAGCTCGAGCAGAAGAATGTTGGCACCAGACGGCGAACAGCACGAGGTGCCGCTGGGGAAGGAGGATGTCCTAAGAAGAGCGTCAATCGCGGAGAAGCACTACCACGCCCACTGAGCTCACCGGAACAAGGAAGTCTACGCAGCTGATTTTGTTAATCCGGAAACCTGGGACGACTACACGGCGTTGGCACGGCGGTGCAAGTAGATGGACAGCGCAGCTGCCACCGCCATGGATGGCCGAGGGCCTTTCTCAGGGGTCTGGCGCCGGACGAAGTGACAACTGTAGTCAGGCTGCTCGATGCATCACACGAGAAGACGGTCGCATTTACCATCCTAAAGGGCCGGAGAGAGAGCGGGTGCATGCAGGGCGCCATTCAGAGGCGGGGACACTCACACAGGTCTTGATTGCATTCATGAAGGCGTTGAAAGCACTGCGCCAGTGATGAAAGGAACGACATTGTGGATCACCATCGCACTCCAGGTAGAAAAGAAGACGTCAGTGGGGGAAGAGAGGGCAGATAGAGTTCTTACATCACTAATCAGATATCTCCACGATTTCATTGTGCAGGGCCCTGGACGGACTGCTCTTTGTCGCTGCTGGCCGTCGTGGCTGGGATAACGGTGGCAAATCGGGAAACGGGGCCATCGTCCCCCTTATCCTTTCCGCCGCGGTGACTGAAGATATTTTTCCTAAGGAGCTCGGATGGTACGACGTGCCAGAAGGATCGACATCGTGACAGGCAGGTTGCGCATCGTTCGCGGGCGGGATTCGCTCCCTTGACGCCTGACGCACCGGCCGTGGGGGCTTTTGTGCTCGGAAGCTATCGCTGTGGACACGAACGGGATGCGGTGAGGATGGAGATCGGTCTGCTGGCATGAAAGCAAACCTTGCTGCCTCGGGTCTCAACTCTCGGAGCCGCGAATGTCTGGCTGTCTCTGTGGTCGTCCCTCGGGGCGCGGTCAGCCGAAAAGGAGGCATGTCATCTGCGAGGCTCGCGGGCTGTTTTACGCGTCCATTCGATGATGTGGGCGGCCTCGAGTAGGGTCTCGTGGCCCCCCAACGAGGGCCCCCATCTTGAGCAGAGTCTTCCGAGTCTGAACTGCTGATAGCGTCCAGATCGAAGAACTCTTCTTCGTCGCTAGACGCGTGAGGCGCCAGGGTGGACAGCTGCCGTCTGGACGTCGAGTTAGGCGCGGCGCGGCTTTTTGGTGTTGCCGCCTTCACCCTCATCTTCGCCTGCTTCTTCAAACGCGGAGGAGTCCTAGACATACGAGCGCCAGCTTCGTTCTGTGATTGTTCACTGAATATCTCGCCTTCGTTTTCGTCGTCCTCTTCTTCTGGCGCTGCTTCTAGTGTAGCACCGCCTTCACGTCGCCGGAAGCATCCACGAATGATATCGCCCCACAAAGTATAGGCTCCACATGATGGGCACTCACCCCCTCGCGGGATGAGAGGCGGAGATGAAGTGGCCGCCGAGGACTTGTCAGTGTCCAGAAAACGGCGAGAGAGACATGAAAGATGGAAGACGGCGTCACACGACGGTGCAGTGCATAACGCTGTTGTCAGGGGGTCCTGAAATTTCAGGGTGAGAAGAGGTAAAGACAAATAAGACCGGTCTACCCACATCATCGTGACGGAGTGAATCCTGGCAGACAGAGCAGTGAAGGTTGCTGCCAGGCCCGAACACTCGGGAAGCTTTACTGAGATGCATGGAAGTGAAGCGAGCTGAAACACAAAGTCATCGATGCAGAAGCAGGGAGAAATTTCAAAACTATTCACCGTCCGTGACATCGATGGGCCCCACTCTTCCGGACCCCTCTACCCCTGATTTCCCGTCGACCCCTTCGAACTCTCGATGAACCTCAAGGCCAGGAGGGTTCGAGGCTGGGACGAGATCACGACCAGCGGTGTTCCATGCCCGCTCAGCTGCTTCAGTAAACAGCGTGACACGCAACGGCCAAGTGTTGTAGGGGTGCGAAGCCACCATGCTTCGTGCCACCCTGCGCAATCAACCGTCAGTCGCTTGAGAGACCTAGATGATATTAGTGACTTTACCGAACATTGGAGCCGAAGCTGTGAGATTTGGAAGGTGGTTTTCTCCCTTCGGTTTGCTTGCCAGGATCTTCGCGAAGGTGTCTCGATATATGCGGATGCTGCCATGCCCATTCAAACTGGAGTGCCGCCAGTTTGGAAGGAAACCCGTGGACAATCATCTGCATCTCCCATGGTCGGCCGTTCCGAGTTTTCCATGCGCCTTGGGTAATTTCACCATTGTGCTGACTTGAAAGACTCAGCATGACCGAAGAAGAAATGATAGATCTACCTCACCGGATACGTCGTGGAGGGCTGGGAGTGCTCCCAATGTAGGTTCTGTCAAGTGTGTACCGTCCAAAGGTAGTGAAAACTAGAAAATTCCAAGCTGAGACTTACGACGTTGCACGTGGTGTTCTCACACTTTTAAGAAGGTAGCATGCGTAGAATGCGGGAAATTTGTGATTTATGAGGGAGGACTTTCCCCGTGCCATGGTCGATAATAGCGCTGATCTTCAGTTGGTATATGCGTTCGTAATATCTGCATCAAGTCTTTAAAACATACCTCAAGTATATCGGGGTAGATGGTATGCGATCTCAGGGGGCAAGTTGTAGCTCGGCGAGTTCGAAGAGGAGACGTCGTGGCTTCTGTCACGAACACGCCTGTCACATCGTGACTAAACGCGATTGTGATGGAGCGCGTTGAGCCGCGCGCTGCTAGCGCTGCCCTGAAGCTGACCCTCGACTTCATCTGAACACTCTCTCCCCTGTTGCTGCCCTGTGCCCAGCTCTTAATCTCTGCTTCTCCGTAACTTCGGTTTGGTGCCCGCCCTCACTTTATTTCTTCTAATCTTGGGACAGCCTCACCTCATCGACGTGAGCAAGCAATGGATCGAGATGAAGCAAATTCCGCTGTCGAGGATGAAGAGTCTGGAGATGAGCCATTCGTCGACCGCCGTGCAATTCTTGGACCCCCAATTAAAAGCGTAGTGGACGCGCTTGGTGGGTTCGAGCAAGGGGTGTACTCGATGGGCGACGAATGCTACGGCTGTCTCAAGGATCTCAAAAAGTACTGGCGCAAAGATGACACCGACGATGACCGCACCGTCGCCCGCATCTTCTGGGACACCCGTGTCCTCCCCAACGACCTCGTTCCCATCCTCCTTCAGACCGCGGGCAAAGGCCTCTTCGAAGACAAACGTGGAATCGCGTGCGCGGACCTCATGACTGCAATGACATGGCCCATCGACCTGGCAGAAGAGTTGAAGGAGCTCGACGACGAGTACGACAAGGGCGTCGACTACACCGCGCTCCTTCTCAGCCACCTCCACTACAAGGCCGCGCTCCTCCGCCCGGGCGTCCTCGACGCCCTCTTCGCAATAGCGCTCCCAAGTCTGGCGAAGGAGGGAAAGGAGCGGCAGGAGCGGGACGTCCAGATCGTGAACGTTATTCTCCACCTGGTACGCAACCTCGCGTTCATCAAGGACCTTCCCTCGAACATGCACGCGAGCGCGGACCACGCCGAGCTCTCGACACTCCAGTCAAGGCTTATAAAGGGTCTCTCCGACTCCCACTTCATCGAGCTCCTCATGACCATCGCGGCCAACGCAGCAGACGACCCGCTTTTCAAACAATGGAACGCCCTCACGCTCGAGATTTTCTATCTGTTGTACCGGGGCGTGAAACCGGCGTCGCTGGCAAGCGACCAAGCGAAAGTGAGTAATGGTCCATACGTCCGAGCGATGTTCAGCGTACCCATTGCTCCGCGCAGCACTCCTCCAAGACGCTCGCCACTCTGCTCGCCGCCGAGGATGTGCGGAAGCGCAACTTCGCCCGGCACGCGAACACTCGACATTCACGTTTCGGCACGACCCTCTCCGTTACCGTGAACCCGAAGAAAGCTAAGCCTCCTCCCCAAGCCGACGAAGGAGTACCCCCAGCCCCCGCCCAGCAACCCGAGGCATCGACTTCCCGACCATTCGTGTTGCACCGGCAACAGGCCCTCATGAAGGACGTGGGGAGCACGCTGGACAGGGCTCGGGCGAAGAAGACCCGCGCGCCGAACAAGAAGAAGGTGGACGAGCTCGGGCGGGAGGACAACCTGTCGGTCGATTCGCGACTCATCTTGCAGAATCTCGCGACGGAGTTCATCGAGAACGCCTTCAATCGTACGCATTGCCAACTGCACATATGCGCTCATACCCGCTGATGCATCGTCCACCGCAGCTCTTATAGCATCCCTCTTGAAGGACATTGCGGCAGAACGACACAAGATCACCGAGAAAGACAACCTGCGGCTTCTGTACGTCAACAAGTGGTTCCTCGAGTTCTTCCTCTGCGAACGCGCCCGGCAAGCCGACGATGCGAAATGGAAGTTCGGATACGTGGCCACGGTGACGGAAAGCGAGTGGGTGAACTGGGTGCTCAAGGAGATGCGTAACGCGCAGGAAGACAAGGTACGCCCCTCCCCGTCTCGCGCGGCGCCCACGAGTCTGACCCCGGTCGCGTCCAGCCGAAACTATGGAACGCGCTGCAGGCAGGGGTCGAGTGCCTGACGCAGTTCCTCATGGTTCTCGACGCGATGACGTCCACGGAGCGCAAGGCAGGCGACGACCCGTTCGCGTTCGCGGAGGCGAACAAGACGGAGGAGGACGACATCGCGGACACGGCACGGATCTTGCAGCAGCAGATCATCTACAACGGCCACATCCTCGACCGGACCGTCGAGAGCCTCAAGTCGTACAAGGAGGGTCGGCAGAGTTTGGCGTATCTCGACGCGAGTGTGTACCTCGCGTACGCGCTGTTCAAGATGCTGGAGAAGTGGGCGAAGAGGAAGGGCGAGGGCGACATGTATGTGCGGAAGAAGCAGCCAAAGAAGAAAGGTACGTGATTCCAGATCCTATGTGATATTATGTTCATCCCGAGTCTTGTAGCGAAGACGGTACCGGAAGGCGAAGGTGTCCCGGACTTCGAAGAGGAGGAACCACAGCCGAAACAACAAGACATGGTACATGAGACCATGTTCACACTCAAGGACTACGAGAAGGTGCGTTAAAGCACCGCGCCCTGGACCCCTTGCTCATCTGTACCTCACAGAGATTCGTGGACGCGGATATCACTACGACTTTCCTCGCCTATCTTATTCGGTACCCAGAATATGCAAGCTCTGAACAGATGAAGCGGGTCGTCAGTTTGATGCACCGTCAAGTTGTGAAGCAGAAGGCTGAGGGATTGTACTTCATGGTGAACATATATTCATGATGATGATGCGACACAGCCATTCATGCTCTACGTCTAGGTTTCGACGCTCAATCTCTTCAAGAAGATCATAGCAGAAGAGAAGAGTCTTCCGAGGGACCAGCCTTACAAGGATCTCGTCGCCTTGATCAAATACCTTCTAAGACAGTTCTTCAAGGCTGTGGAGAAAGATTCTTTCGTGATCGTTGAGGTTCATCATTGTCATTTCTCATGCTCGGACCGCGCGCTAACGCTCAGTGCAGGCGTTCTACCCCAAAAACCGCGGCCACTGGAAGGCCCTCTCAAGCCGGGAGCCTGAAGAGCTCATGCGACGAACGGACCTCCGCGAGGTCGACCCGCGCTTCCCACCAGATGTGTACGTCAAGAAGGGGTACTCCGCCAGCGAGCAGATAGGCATTGCCATGAAAGTCCTCACGGAGAACGGCCAGATGGTGCTCATCGAGTGGACGCGGCAGGTGGGCGACGTGACACAAAAATATCAGGGTATATGATGCTGACGCGTGTCGAAAGATTTTGCTTCTCTGTATCGGCAGTCGCTTGAAGATCATTGAGGACGTGGACGGATCGTCGTCGAAGACGATAGACTTGAGCAACTTGGACAGCGAGAACGACGACGACGACATCGATGCGATGTTAGGTCGTCGAAAACCGTCCGCGGAGGCTCTCGCGAAGATCAGGGACTATCGTGGGTGTCTTGAAACAGCCTCCCCGGTCGCTACTCACTTTCTTGCGCAGTGATCCCTTATGTGAGCGACGAGGAGGCGGACGCCGCAAACAAGAACCCTCATCTGAAGCTGTTGTTCCGGCTCGTGAACTTCAAGATCATGGACCAGGGTGAGTTCACACCCGATTCCCTTCGACCCCAGTAGGCTCACGCGCACGCGCAGACGCGGACGAGCTCGAGTGGTTCATTCCCTCCGTGATCCTGCCCGGCCAGCTGCAGACGAACCTGAACGTCATCAACCAGTACCTCGAGACCCCCCTCGACCTCGAAGGCAAGAAGGCCGAGGCGCTCCTCAAGAAGAAGCGCCGCCCCCGCCGGCGGAAGCCCCGCGGGCCCGCCCTCAGCGACGAGTCGGACGACGTGGACGGGCTCGAGGACCTGGACGTGCGGAACCCGAAGAAGCGGGTGCAGCGCAAGAAGGAGAAGCAGCAGTACAAGTCCGCGCAGTTCATCGAGGACAGCGACGAGGACGAGGCGGAGCTGGAGGCGTTCTACGCGCGCGAGGCCGCGCTGCGGGCGCGCATGTCCGCGCAGGCGGCGTCGGCGGAGGGCGCGGCGGGCACCACGCAGAAGCGCGCGACGAAGAAGAGGCGGAGGAAGGGCAAGGACGGGAAGGATAAGACGGCCAAACGGCGCAGGAAACGGGGGGGCGTGGACGCGGAGGAGGAGGCGGAGGAGGCGGGGTCAGGACAGGAGCAGGAGCCGCAGCCCAAACAGGTGGACGGCGGCAGCGACTCGGAGGAGAGCGAGTTCGATGTATTCGGGAGCCCGAAGCGGGCGCGGTCGAGCCCGGACACCTCGTCTCCGGTCAACGAGGCTGCCGCGAAGCCCAAGCCACGCCCAAGACCGCGACCACGCGCCCGAATATCGAAGGTCGCGGCGGGATCTGGGGACGAGACGGTCGCCGTGCCCATCGACGGCGGCGGTGGTTCTTCCTCCGCCGTGCCCTCGCGGGCCACGTCGCAGGCATTGCTTTCGGACGACGATATGGCGCCGTCGAGAGGAGCGAGGGGAAAGGGAAAGCCTGCGCTGCTGGTTCTTTCAGACGAAGAATGAAATAAGGCACTAGATTCTCTGTTCTGACCTCGATGATATGCTGTTTTTATATGAGGACTCGTTTGGCTTCACCTTTGTCCATTCTTCGACTGTGGAGATACTCATGCTGTACACCTCGTGCGTCTCGCTTCGCAAGGAGAGTGCGCAATGGCCTAAGAGACCAGATAGTAAGGAGAGAGATAAAATAACACTCTTCAGTAAAGCCATTTAGAGGTTCTGCAGGATATTTGCCATGTATGTGCTTAGCACTCCAGCTTTCTTAACAGGTTAGTCTCCCCCACGCAGACCTACCACTACATGATGGTGGGAGGCGGAGATCATGCACATGAGGGAAGAGAAAGGCCCGCCCGGCCAATGACTGGTCACCATTGGCTTAGGTAATTACTATTAGATAAGCTTATCTGAGCGTTGAGTTGATTCTCCTTCCTCTTGCTCTCTCTCTTTCTTGAACTTCGTCACCAGTCTGGCTGCAAGTAGATTTGTGGCAGACGACCGTAAGCCAAGCATCAGGCCTCAGGAACGCCGCGGGGTGCCGTGGTATTTACCAGGGCCCAGGTGCGCGACGTGTTCTGACCTACGTTTTCCCTCATCGCCCGTTGGTTATCCAGGAATCGTCTCCTCATTTTTCAACAGACACGCTCAAGATGTGGACAATGCTTCTGCTGATTAGCGACGGCCCTGTCTTCGTCGACCCTTACTTATGGCACACGCTGCCGTACGCGGCGTGGCAAATGCCGTTAGGCCTTCAGGGCTGGGGCCGTTCCGCGCGACGTCCGACGGCCTAGAACCGTCGCGCTTGGAGTAGTTTAAAAAATTTCAGGACCGAGGACCCAGACACACGAACCTGCGGGGCGCCGCCGACCACCGGCGGCGGCCGTGCACGGGCGCAGCCTTCATCCACGCTAAAACTGAGCAGATGGCCCTCGTTTGAGAAGCCAGCTGCTGCACACCAAGGCGCAATCACGCGGCGCTCCCCGAATGTGACGCTCTCAGGTCGGTCGCTTGGCTCTTTCTGCACATGGAGCATTGACGTTGGATTACTGTAGGACTCCTCCTCGGGCAACGTTACTTCGACCGCCACTTCTTGACGAGCTGAACCGATGGCGCACGAATCGCATGCCTCCCTGACGTCAGAACATCCCGTCCGTCCACCGCGCCCACATCCGTCATGATCCGCACCTTCGAACCTTCTTCTCGACTCTCGAGTCAGACGGACCGTCACGGTGGACTCACCGGGGGAGGAGGCCTTCGATCAGAGCACGTCTTCGCGCGGGACGCGGCCCCCGACTAAGCAGGCTCAAACTTATGGCCGCCTCCGTCTGGAGAGTCGAGGAACTTGGACTCTGACCGAAGTGCATCTCTGAATCTCCTTTGTTTTTTTTTGGTGGAGCAATCACCGTGGACCATCGTTTCACCCCCAGCGCCGTCGCGAACCGCGGTGCGTGTTCGGTCTCGTGTCCGAGGGCCGTGATACATTCAGAGATGCGTACAGTACTTGTCAATGGAGAACCTCTGTCCCATCTCTGAACCTCGGTCCTCGGACACGAGACCGAACACGCACCGCGGCCCGCGACGGCTGGGGACCAGGTTCGCGGTCTGCACGCGCGCGACCTGAGTCGGGCCACTCGTCCGGGAGCCGCCCACCCGCCTACCGGGACTGCATTTGTCGCGAAGTGGCAGGAGCGGGCGCGGGCGAAGGGAGCTCACCGGCCGTGATGGCCCTGCCATGGCCCACGGGCTTCGACGGAGATCTCGGCGCGCGTGGCCGTCAGATCTGAGGCCGCGGATCCGCCGCGCGGCGGTGCACTGCATGCAGAGTGTGGCACACGACGCATACGGTCGCGGCACGCGCTCGGGGGTCGGCGGGCACATACGCTCGCATCCATGGAGGCAGCAGGGGCGGCTCGGGATCGTGCGCGTCGCGGTCGTCACAGCTGTGCGCGACTGTCGGTCAGCTCGCGATCGCGGCAGTCGAGACTCGAATGCGCATCAGCGCCCAGTGCCCACAGGACCCCCCGCCGAGCCCTGCTGTCGACCTCTCTGCTTGCTTATTCACCTCTGTGCCGACCGCTCGGTCAATCGAGCTTGACTGAGACAGGCCGCGTTTTGAGTAGCCGCGTGCTTGCGCGAGTGGGTGCACATGGTCGCCGGCGGTGGGGAGGTCATGGGAACGAATGAAGGTGATGCTGCATTGTGCGGTCCGTGGTGAGCGATGATCGATGAGGATGAAGCGGCGAGGGAGTGTGAGGCGGCAAAGAGTGAGAACCTGTGGTGAGACAGCGACGGTGATGAGAGGTAATAGTAGTTATGTATGTACAGCGAGCAGGGGAGTACGGCACTAAGTAAGCTACGTGCGCATGCGTGTGTGTGCGTGTGGGGGATATCTACAGGCGGGTATCGTCATGAGGTGCGGAATCGTTATATGCATGCGTCCGACGGCGCGACGACGAGAGAGAGAGCGGGTGGCGCGGAGACTTATGCGAGGGTAAGTAGGATACAGTAGGAGCACAAGGGGCCCACACTACGAGTGGGGTGGTACATTATACTGGGTAGCTCAGAAGAGTGAGAGTAAGCAGCGGGCGACGCCGCCGCCGTCGTCGTCGTGCTCGATTTTTTCTGGGTTAGGATCCGGGGTCGGAAGGACGAGACTCACGCGGTGAGCAAGTCCCGCGCACTCCGCTGCCGCACGAGCCCGTGCCCGTGCCCGTGCGCATGCCCGGGGGGTGCGAGCATCTCCCTGCTCCGCTGGCGGATGATCTCGCGGCTCCGCTGGCGCGAGAGCTCCCTCGGCGGCGCGAGGTACGTCGTCTCCGACACCGCGCTCGTCCGCCCCGCGGCGCCCGCCTCGCCCGCCGGCGCGTGCACGCTCACCCGCGGGGTCCGGCTCCGCACCTCCGCCCCCGCCCTGGGGCCCGGCTCCGTCACCGTCTGCGCGCGCGGGGAGGGCAGCGGCGACCGCGACCGCGAGGGCGACGGAGACGGAGACAGCGACGGGGGGCACGGCGAGGGCGAGCGCTCGCGCGGGCGGCACTCGGCGGGGAAGGCGAGGCGGCGCGCGTCGGCGGTGACGTTCCACGCGAGGCGGACGCCGTCGGCGGCGGCGGGGTCCGTGGGCGCGAGCGCGAGGACGTTGCGCCAGAGGCCGTGGTTCCAGGCGACGTGCGCGCGGAGCGTGGGGGGCGGGGTGTGGCGCGCCATCGCCTCGGCCATCGCGGGCGCGGAGGGGAACTCGGCGAGCGCGACGGGGGGGAGCATGTAGGGGACGAGCATGCGCGCGTGCGGGCGGGCGGGGGTGCGGGAGCGGGAGCGGGTCGAGGCGCGGGAGGAGGGCCGGGAGGAGGTGGAGGCGGAGGCGAGCGAGGGCGAGGGCGAGGGGGTGCGGGCGGGGAGAGGCGCGAGGCGTGAGCTTGGGCTTGTCACGGGCGAGGGGAGGGGGGACAGGGACAGGGAGGAGGGAGAGGAAGGTGCGGGGGACGGCGCGCGCGAGGCGGGCGGGGAGAGCGAGACGGGGATGGACTGCGCGAAGAGGAGGAAGTGGGGGATGCTGGGCGGGTGCGGGACGTAGAGGGCGACGAGCGGGAGGGTGACGAGCTCCTGGCCGCGCGCGCGGTCCCAGCGGACGAGCGGGGTCGCGGGGCGGATGGAGAGCCCGGCGGCGAGGGAGCGGGCGAGGCTGTGCCCGAAGCAGGCGCAGAAGAGGGACGCGTCGATCGGGAGGAGGAACGGCTCGGCGTCGACGGGCGAGAGGAGGGACGCGGGCGAGGAGGGACGGGAGTCGTGCGGGGAGCGGGTGGTGGTGTCGTCGACGGAGGGGAAGGGGACGGAGCTGCTGAGGACGGCGAGGGCGTGTGTGGGCGCGTTTCCTCCGCGCCGGACGAGCGGCATCTCGACCGAGCGGGGGACGCTGCCGTCGTTGTCGAAGCTGAATGGTACGGGGACGACATTGTAGAAGCTGTGGATGAGCCTGGACGCAGCGAGTGAGCTCTGGAGGAGGGACGCGAGGGCACGACACGTACGCGCAGGGATCCTCGACCGGTCGCGTGAGGGAGTAGAGCGGAGGGAGCGGGTGCACTTCCGGGATCTTCTGCGTCGGGGAGACGGCGACGGGGGAAATGCGCGGGGTGTTCCATGGCGAAGGCTGGAGGGGGCGTGGAGTCCACTCTGGAGAATCTGGCCGCATGTAACGGTTCATAGTGGGGCGGAGGCGATTATAGCGGGCACGGATTAGGGAGGAGGAAGGAAGGAGCGTGAGGGGGACGTTCAACGACCAGGCGCGACCCGGCGTCGGGGCAAAGGAGGAGGCGAGTGCGGGGGATATGAGGCGGCGCACAGGCGGGCGCAGCCAGGGTTCGTGTCGGGCCCAGATGGCTAAAAGTAGGATCGCGTGCGGGGATCTAGCCGATCGAAGCTGCGTTCGGGGCCGGTTGTTTCCTTCCACCCTTTCTCAAAGACCCCGCGGTCCACGCTCACGACCGGCGGCCATGTCGAAGAACGTCTTCCTTCTTTCGTACCACCGTGGCCGCGACGACGGCGCGCGGCGACGTCTGCCTCCTCACCAGTCCACCACCCCGGAGAGGCCATCAATCATTGGGCCAGGGTTCGGGAGCGAGGGGCGCTCGCCGGCGGTTGATAGAGTTGCTCACTCCAAGGGACGAGAAGGAACGTCGCATGGCGGCGCCAGCGAGTGCGAGACCCCTGCACGCGCCCTTCGCGAGTCGTTTCAGCTGAGCGTGTCACGGGAGCGTGCGCGTTTCGTGGCTGCCCGTCCGGCGTCGACGGTCGGGCTGCGAACCTCGCGCGTGTCCAGAACTGGTCCTCCAGAATTGGGATACACACTCATCGACACGACATTGCCGAACGCTAGCGGTGAGGAACAATGAGGAACTCGGGTGGTACGCTTCAGGCCAGACTCCGAAGAGATATCGATAGCCCAGGATAGCCCTCGCCGCGCGCTCGCGCTCACGTGCCTGGCGCAGGGTTCGCGACGATCGCGTTTCGGCCTGCGCAGATCATCTCCGCACGCCGGCATCTCACCCGCGCGTGCACGCGTGTTCGGCGGCTAGTGCTCCGTCAGAGGACAATGTCGACGGCCCGGTTTGACGACGATACTACGGGTGCGATTCCTTTTGAAAACGGTTTGTCGACTCCTACAGAGAAGTCACTACGATATGTCACGGTGTTCGCCTAGAGAACGTCCCAAGCAAGGAAAGGAAGAGAGCCGTCCGAGTGTGCCAACGCAAATGTTGTCCCTCTATCCGCCCATAACTTGGCTTTCTCCCACACACGGCATCCCTTCCAGCCCTCCGACGAGAGGATGGCATGCGCGTCGGGCGAAATGGCTGCCTTGAATGTTCCCCCATCGGCGTCCGTGTGCCTACTCTCAACATCAACAACTGACAGGGTTGTGATGCTTCCGACAAATGACACGGAAATATTCTGCGAGATGAAAGATGTCTATGGTGGCTGCCCCCTGGGAAAACGGATTCGTCAAGGACTACCACGTGGCTGCCAACTTCTGAAGCTTGTGCACCGGCCCGGGGTCCCGGCTTGCAGTTGCCCGGTGCCGGTTCCGGTATCTTGTGAGGCCGGTGCGGGGAAAGTAGCGCACAGTGCTGGTGAACATGATATTATTCACCTTTCGGGCACCCCCCATGGTGGCCGATCTTGTTTACTACGATCTCATTCCCTCTTCGCGCTCGCTGCTGGAGACGATTTCTGGGACCAGGCCGAGTTGAATCCTCGCAGTGCGTGTTCTCAATTCTACGTCGATGTCGCGGATTCTCATTCGTCTCAGAACACGCGCATACATGTCCAGTCGCAGGCTGAAGCATGTCCTCGCGGGCCTTCGACCTCCACCGCAGCCCATAGGTGTCCTCAAGCTTGGAGACATCTCGCACGAAATCCTCGCCGCGCGCGACCCAAGCAGGCTGCCGCACTCAGAGGATATCCTCCTCGACATCGCCAACCCGTTCAACCTCGACAACCTCCACTTCATGCTCCAGAAGTTCCTCCTGGGCCAAGACATCTTCCTTCTCTCTCAGCCTGGTCCATATGCTCGCCGTCTCGCTCTTACGTTCTGTCGGTGAGCAACGTCCTCCGTTCTTGCGTCCCCAGCCATCGAAGCGGCACCGTTGCAGTATGATCAACTCCGAGTACGAGCTCGTCGCTCTCCATCGCGACGTCGGCGAGACGGAGCTCAAACAAGGGCGCGAGATTCGCGAAGGCGGTAACTTGGTGTACGTCGACAGCGCGGCCGTTCGCGCGGTCAAGTACGGACGGGTACTCGTCATCGAAGGGGTTGAAAAGGCGGAGCGCGGGATCATGCCTGTACGTTCTCGCTCCTTTCAGGTGGTAACAAACGATAGAGACCTCGGCTTCCCGCGTATACACGGTCGGTTGTGGTAGAGCCCGACAAAATGGGGTCGCGCGCACACACACAGGCGCGGCGGTGCAGTGCGATGCGGGAGCGATCCTGGCCGCTTCGCGCAAGCGTCGCTTTTTTCGAGCTCCATCGCAACCAACCGTGTATGTGCTGGAAGCCGGTGCCTCTATCGTTTTGTTACCAGCCGTCACTATATGCACGTTTGACTGAATGTATGCTAGGTTCTGAACAATTTACTGGAGAACAGAGAAATGTACGTCAATACAGTTAGTTTCTTAATTCGCGAGTTCTTACGCGCCATCCAGGAACCTCGAAGATGGGACGCACATTGTTCACCCCCATCGCTACGAGCTTCTAGACACGAACGAGTTCGACTCTGCGGAGTTCATACCCGCTCACAAGAACTTCCGGGTCATAGCCATAGCGGCCCCGGTTCCACCATACCCTGGATACCCACTGGACCCACCATTCCGGAGTCGCTTCCAAGCACGCTTTGTTGACCCCCTGGGTGCTCTGCTGGCTCTCCAGCGGACAGAAGCCACCACCGCCAAATCGGTGCTAGAGATGCCCTTCTACCAGAAGCTCCGGGACATAATTACTTCCACGCAGATCGCCAGCGAATCAAGACACGTCCTTGACGCTGTCGCGAGATCCACCCTCCCCGCATTCCCGCAGACCGCACTAGCCAAGGCCACCGCGCTCCTTTCGCTCTTCCCCCCACCTCCGACCACCCCCCCAGAACAGCTAGCGCGTTTCGTGCTCTGCATGCATCCCGCTCTCATCCACAGCCCTTTCATCGCCTGGGCTATGCTCTCGCGCCAGTTCGAGGAAGCCGGCCTTGGCGAGCTCGGCAGCCCGAACCTCACTGGGATCGAGGACGACGTTGGGCTCTTTGGATACCGGCTGGCGCGCATCGACCGTGTGGACGACCGCACCGCGCACGTAACCTTCGCTAGTTCTTTCGACACCCAAGTCGACGTGGACGTCCCCGCCGGACCACTCGAGTACCTGGCGTACCCGTTCGCCAACCCGGAGTTCCTCGGCTTCGTGCCCAGTGCACGCTTCATGGGTCTTTTGACCGCCCTCCTCCAGGCGCACGCTCTCGGCTGGGACTTGTCGTATACGCCCCCGGCTCTAGCATCCACCGCGTCGTGCTCGACTTCGACCCTCGTCCGAGCGCTCGCGGCTGTGCTCGGCTATGAGCTCGAAGACGTGCACGTCTACAAGGAGCTCGGTGGGCGAGAGCTCGTCATGCGGCGCAAGATCCTCGACGGCGGTGCGACCACTTGGGAGCCCAGCCCTCTGGTCGAGGGCGCGTGGGAGGGCCGGCTGGTCCACCTCGCTGGGCTGGATGTCATCGGATCCACGGCGGGCGCACTCGCGCGCCTCACGCAAGACCGTGAAGTAGAGCTGTGGGAGACGAAGCGCATTGTGCGGCAACTGGGTGATGATGAGGTCGGGTTTTTTCTACTCTAATCCGACTTCAACGTTGACACACCGTTTCTTCAGACCACCTCCGCCGACCTCAGCGTCACCCACCCCTCTTTCCGCATCATCAGCACCGCGTCCAAGTCACTGCCGCTGAAGGACTGGCTCTCCGACGAGCACGCGAACATGTTCTTCACGTTGCCCGCGCAGCCGATGTCCCCAGACGAAGAGTCCGCGCTGCTCCTCCAGGCCGGCTGCCCCGACGACGTCTGCGCGGCGCTCCTGCGGTTCGCAGACCGGTACCGCGCGGGCATGACCGCGGACGCAGCGCAGAAGAACCGTAAGCTCGGCATGCGGGCGCTTCTGTGCATCGCGCGGCGCGCGGCGCAGTTCCCTGCGGACGCGGCGAACCTGCACGTGCTGCTCGGGCGCACGGTGCTGCAGGACTTCCTGCCGCCTGCGGAGCAGATGAACCTGAACAACATCCTAGAGGAGTGTGGGATCACCAAACGGACGCCCCCGGTGAGTGGCGGAACCCTCCATCGGTGCGGACTCTGCCGCAGTCGGACCGTCCGCTGCGCCTCCCGCGCACCCATGCGTCCGTGCTGTGTCTGCCTGTGCTGTGGCTGACCGACGTTCTCACAGTATAACCCCCCACCCGAGGTGCGCGACAGCGGCGTCGTCTTCCCAGCCCCGAGCGGGCCGCAGGCGGTGGAGGTGGGCGCGCGGGAGACCTTCGTGCCGTTCTTCGACCGCAGCCAGGACCCGGATGGCGCGGTGCATGTGCCGCACATGGTCCACTTTTACGACAACAGCTTGCAAACCGGGCTGATGCGCGACCTGGCTGTCGATCTAGAAGTCTTGGGCGAGCATCTCGTCTTGCTCGGAAACCAGGTGCGCGTTGAGTTCGTGGATGGAAGAGTGGTGCTGATGTGGGCGTGGTAGGGTGTCGGCAAGAACAAGGTTATAGATCGGTGGGTGGGCTTCTTACCGGCGTAGTGATTATATTAATTCACTAGACTTCTTTTTCAGGTTGTGTCAGGTGCGATGACAGCCATCCATATGTGCTCCCGCGTACTCACATATTGCCTTGCCAGCTCCTCGGACGACCTAGAGAATATATCCAGCTGCATAGAGATACCACAGTGAACCAGCTAATGTTCCAGACGGTCTTGGAGAACGGGCTCATCAAGTACACGGACTCTCCGCTGCTCCGCGCGATCCAGATGGGGCGCGTGATCGTCATAGACGAGGCCGACAAGGCCGCCGAGCACGTCGTCGCCATCTTCCGCAGCCTCGCGGGCCACGGACAGCTCACGCTGGCGGATGGCCGGCGCGTGCGTCAAATCAAAGAACGCGAGGGCGACATCGCCGTGCACCCAAACTTCCGACTCATCCTCCTGGCCAACCGACCGGGTTATCGTGCGTCATTACTGAACCGCTGATGCAACACTGTTGCTGATGGCTTGGACAGCATTCCTCGGCAACCACTTCCTGCAGGTCCTGGGTGACAACTTTTGCTGCCACGCGGTCACCAACCCCGACATGGCCAGCGAGCGCAGATTGTTGTCGCAGCTCGCGCCCCAGCTCAGCGAAGACACGATTTTACGGCTCGTTGCCGCCTTCCAAGACCTGCGGCGCGCTTATGACGCCGGCACCCTGACATATCCTTACTCCCTCCGAGGTACTTTTGTCCTTCTGAGATAAGGGCGCTTTACTGATCGTGCCTCAGAGCTGCTCAACCTCGTGAGGCACATGCAAGCGTACCCGAGCGACTCGCTCGAAGCGGCGCTCCGCAACGTGTTCGACTTTGACGTCTACAAGCCAGAGACGATCTCAAAGTTACAGGACATCCTTGACCATCACGGGTGGGTGCTATCGTCTCGGTCCAGCGAGACGGCGACTCATTCCTCAGAACGACAGCCTTGCGGTGAAACATGTTGGCATGAGTGCTGCTCGCGAGACCGCGAAGAAGCAGGTTCTGGACCTCAAGTTTGAGCCCCAGGGCGACACCAGCCTCTCCAGCCCCAAGTTCGGCAAGGAGGACCCCGACAACGAGCCGCACACGGGCGGGAATACATGGGCCGGCGGAGTGAGTTCGTGTCAAATATCGGCGTCTCGCACTGACCAACATGTTTCCGCAGACCGGCGGTCGCGACACGGCGGGTCTTGGCGGCAGGGGCGGCTACATGCGCCTGTTCAAGGGCCATGACATCAATCAAATTTCCGACGCGCTGAAGAACGACGTCCCGGACCATGTCAAGGACCGTGCGCGGGAGATGGCCCGACAGGAGCTAGCGCGGAGGCTCGAAGAACTCAACTTGAGCGCGGGCGAGGCCAAGGGCTACGGATCGCTGCTGAACGCCGTCGACGGGCACATTACGCAGCTGCACGATCTGCTCGAGAGTGGGTGCGGTGATCGACGTAGTCTGAGCCATCCGCTGATCTGCGGGTATTGCCCCATCTTTTTCGGCAGACCTCGCTGCGCGGGAGGAGGAGCGGGTGTGGGTCAAGCGGCAGACGGACGGCGAGCTCGACGATAGCCGGTTGACGGAAGGTCTGACCGGAGAGGCCACGGTCTACAAGCGGCGCGGGATGGCGAAGCCGGAACTGGGACGGCCCCAGATGAAGTAGGTTCTTTTCAAGGGGCCTCTGGGGCATTCGCTCATTACGCTGTTATTCCTTAGGCCCAAGCGGATCCGGTTTCTCTTCGACGTTTCCGCGTCGATGTGAGAACCACCTTCAATTTCGTTGGGAGCCATACTGACGTTCTGTCGCAGGTACCGTTTCCAGGCAGACGGACGCCTTCGGAGAAGCATGGAAACAGGTGATGATGTCTTGTGATATTCAAGATGCTTCGCAGCTGACATTGCGATAGCCGTCATGCTTATGGAAACCTTCGATCGCTTGAATAGGAAGGAGAAGTTTGTGTGGGATGTGAGTGTGGACCTAGTGCCCCCACCGAGCAGAAGCTTATGTTTGATTCACAGATCTATGGACACGTGAGTCGTCGTGTTTTCCAGGTACAATCGGATGGTGACAATCGTTCTCTAGTCTGGGGACTCTGCGGAGGTCGCTCTCGTTGAAGCGGGAGAGAACCTGGAGATCAATGACCGATGGAAGGTCGTCGAGAAGATGGAGATGATCACTCAATATACCTTCGCCGGCGATTTCACCGGTACGCTTCCCCAGTGTTATCCCACAGCGAGCACTGATCACGGGATACAGTGGAAGCGATTGACAAGGCAGTCACCGAAGTCGCCAAGTTTGACGGGGGTGAGTACGTGAGGTTGACCTTGAAACCATCCAGCTCATTGTTCTCGTTTAGACGACTGGTTTGTCATTGCTCTGACGGACGCCAACTTCGCGAGGTACAACATCACGGCCGAGGAGATTCAAGGTGCGATGAACCGCAACCCCAAAGTCCACACGGCCCTAGTATGTATAGGAGAAGGTGCGGAGGCAGCATGGTAAGTGGTCCTCCCATCGGTGTTTGCTCTGCGCAACTGATACATCGACATATCTTTAGGATTCCGAGGAATCTACCGGGCCGTGGCTACCGAGTGTCCAACACGGCGGACATCCCCACTGTGCTTCGAAGTATCCTATCCACCATGGTTGACAAGTGAAGTTTCGTTAAGCAGTAGTTGTGATGCTGGATTTCAATCTACATTAGTGCGTGCTGCTTGTGATCTCGCTTTCTCGACTGCGATTAAACGGATACTTTTTTGCAGTTATCAACAGCGTAGTAGAAACATGACATACTCTATGATGCACCAGCAAATCACAGCGTCAAGTAGAAGATCGCTCAGACTCATTCAGTGTACACGTGATCGCGTGATGGATGTCGGCACCAGTGTCATTTCTCCCACAGGGACAGCGGATGTCTGTGCCTGCGCCTGATCACCCGCAGCATGCCCTGCTTTCCGCAGACCCAGAGTGTTTGACAGCGTACAGCGAATTCTTTCCGTTGGGAAACGACCTGCGCGGTTATTCGTGGCGACATGAACACGAGTCCGTTGTTACTCACACTGCGCTCTGCGTATTGCTTCCTTCGCAGTTCAATATTTGAACGCTCGGCCTACGCGGCTTCACAGATCGGTATAAGAGTAAGTCATACGGCGGTGAAAAGCCTTCATTCTCCCTTCCACTTTCAATCTCGTCTCAGATATCACGACCCGGTGTCGTCTCCGAAGTCTTTCGCACAAACTCCCTTTACTGTTTTCTTACCCCACTTTCTTTCATCGAAATGGTCCGCGCATTCTTCACAGCTGGTCTCGTTTCCTGCGCGGCCTTCATCGCGAGCGCGATGATGTCTCACGCCGGTGAGTGTTCTTGAAAGCACCGTCGGTCAAATCGCTTATTCTATCGCAGCTCCCATCGCGACCCGCCGCCAGCTCGGCAACCTCGAGTGCAACATCGACCGCGGCGAGATCGTCTTCCACGTTGCCGACCTAGGCAAGACCGTCTCCTCCCTCGCGAAGGCTTCGGACCTCCAAGCAGCGTACGTTGTCGTCGTCTCCGGATCATTGGGTCGCCTCTTTCATGCTCACGCCGTCGCGGTCCCCAGGAACAACACGGCGAACGGCAACCTGCAGGCCATGCAGGACGGCGTGCAGGGCGCAAGTGCTGCCATCAACGGCATCCTCCTCGGGCTCATCAGCAACCAGCCCGCCGACCCCGCGCTCCGGGATGCCGTCGGGGGGAACCTCACGGAGATCCTAACCGGGCTGCAAGACCTGTCGTCGTGCGTAGCACTTCCGAGCATATGGGACTCGACTCGAAGTTTGCTGACTCTTGAACGCACGGCAGTTCGAACAACAAGACGAACGCGCTACTTACCAAGGCGAACCAGCAGCTGACCAACGCGGTGCTCGCCGGGAACGGTGTTGTCAACAACTGCAAGTAGGGGCTGGCCCCCGTCCTGGATGTTGTGATGAGTGGTCGGATGGTCGATCGAACTGTGTAGGGTATTATGTTCAGGCAGAACATGGGAATAACTCGCTATGATGCAGTTGTATACCTATGTGACGCATTTGCCGTTGTGTGCTGTAAGTATTGGGGTGCATTATCACCCGAACCTGTGCACTTTCAAGCGAGAGCATTCGGGCGCTTGGAGGCTAAAGGTACCACTCCCTCACCGTTGATTGACGTTCGACTCTTCTTCCCTTGTACCAGTGTATGCTCTTCATGATACTGTGAAGAATTATTTTCATGTCCGTGGTCGATGCTTCTAAGACCAGACTCGGTAGAATCTTACATCAGCAGATATTCGCACAGCACGAAGCACGAAGCACACCCTTTTTGACTTGGGACTGGGTGCATGGTCACCCCCGTCACGTCCGAAGAGCGTTGTACAGAACGGCGCTCTGGGTGTTATCCTCCGACGGGTCTCGCGTGTTAATTTCGACCACCGAGGCCGGACCAGATAAAATGTGGCTGTGGAACGTGGACAAATGGCGCTCTGTGCCGAATTCATAGCACGAAGGACCACCGTGGATGTGACCGCGATGCGTTCTCGGCGGACGGGGAGACGCTGGCGCTGACATACCGCGATGGAACATTTTTTTCCATCATGCTTCGTGCATAGGACAAACAGCTTTAGTACACTGCAGTATATACACGGAGATGCAGCCTTCTCGACGCTGTTCTGCAATCGGTTGGTATAAGCATCAAAAAGTGGAGATGAATCATGGAACCGCACCTTAAGCGACGATCGCCCCTCTCTCCCCTTCCCCGACTTTCCAGACCTCTACTCCACCCTCGCCTCCAACGCCAACCAATCCCTTCGCCCAGTCCACGCTCAGCACCTTCCGCGCTCCCGCGTCCTTCTGGCCATCCCACGCGCGGAACGCAGCGACTGCCGACTTCGTGCTCCGCAGGTCCCACAGGCGCACCACGCCGTCGTACGCACCAGTGACGAGCTGGTGCTCTGCGGCGCTGCTCGCCCCCGGGACGTCTGTCGACGCGGGGGGCGCGACGGCGATGCACGACGGCGTCGCGGGGTGGGGGAGGGACGTGACGGAGGGGGTCGTCGCAGCTGTCGTCGCGGCGCGGAGGTCGTACTGGCACACCGTCCGGTCCGTGGACGCTACGAGCGCCGTGGCGCCATCGCGCGAGAGAGCAAGGTCAAGGAACGGCTTTGATGACGCAGTCTGTGAAACGCGGAGAAGGTGGGGGTCTCAGAGGGGGGTCAACGCGCACTGGTAAAAGAAGGAGGGACTCACGATCGTGCTGGTACAAACACTGTTCTCTACGTCCCACGTCCGCACGGTCGAGTCGAGCCCGCAGCTGTACGCCTGCACGCCCTTCGCGTCGCGGTCAAATACGACGCGCGAGATGCGCGCGGTGTGGCTTTTGAGCACCGCGGCTGGGGCTTTGCGTTTTGGCCGCGGTGTTTCCCCGTCCTCTGCGACGCGGCGGCGCTTCTTCCTGTCTCCGCTTGGCGCGTCGTCTGGAACCTCGTCCGTCTCCGGAATCACGGTATCCCACAGCCCAATGAGACTGTCCCAAGAGGAAGTTAAGATGTGGGAGCCGGATGCGTTCGCCGCGACGGATGAGACCGGAGCCGTGTGGAGGTGGAGGGACGCAAGCGTTTGAGATTGAGGGGTCGAGGGGTCGAGGGATAGTCGTGTCAGACGAGCGGTGAGATCATGCGATGCGCTCGCAATGAGTTGGGAGTCCGCTGAGGAAGATGGGACGAGGGTTATGGATGTGATGGGCGCGGTGTGGATGGTTGCGGTGTGGAGGAGCTTTTGTGCATAGTCGAAGACGCGCAGCGCGCCATCATAGGATGCCGTTAGGAAGTATCTGTAGGCGCGTTCAGCAAAGGACGAACGCATATATGCAGGTAAGGCGTACCCAGGTGATTGACATGAGATCGAAGATACCCAGTCTTCATGGGGGAGAGATGTCATGCGCTGGGGCGGCATGACAGACTCGAAGTATTCTATCTCCAGAGTTTCTTCCTACACGTTTACCCATCCTTCTCAAATCAATATAGCAGGGCAGGACGAAGTGGTATACTCACCTCACCCATGCCTTTTTCTGCGCACCATTCCGCTAATGTCGCACGAAGGATCTCCCCTCGCACGAGAAACTCGAAGGGAATGGGTTTTGGCAAAGAAAGCGCCTTGTTGACGAGCTGCGAGAGTTGGTAGCGTTTCCATGATGCAGGAATGAGGAACTTCTGGGATGGCAGGGGATATGGTGTTTGGGTCGTGAACACGACTGGATGCGTGACTTCAGAGGTAGAAGCAGACGCCATCTTGCTGTGATTTTAGAGAGTGCCCTCAAGGAGGAGGAGGAAGAGGAAGTAGAAGCAGGGAGGCAGGACAAGGAGCGTTTGAGCCCAAGCTTGCGCTCAGGATCTGGGCAATATTTTGTCACAGTCACCCGGTGTCACGACCAAGACGCGTGCATCACGCGGAACGATCACGAGGGCGCGTCACCCGGCATTCGGGCTGCGGGCATGGCCGATTCCCGGGCGGTCTCCTCAGACCCATAACATGACCCAGAGCCCCTCTCCTTGCCCCACATCTCCTCTAGACCCCCACACACGACCCTGTCAGTAGTCCCCGTCATGTCCCAGTTCGACCTCGGTGCCGCTGTTGGATGGGAGGGCGAAGACCAGCCGGTGCGCAGAGGCCCGTTACATGGCCAACAACGTCTTGCTGACCCCAGTCTCTGCCAGGTTTCTTGGAACCAGAGGGACATTCTGGTGTATGGTATTGGAATTGGTGCGAAAGCCAACGACTTTGCGATCATCAATGGTGCTCGGTTATTCGTTGCTCTTGACGCTACTTGTGCACTCATTCAGGCTGTCTGCAGAACTGGACAAGTCATGGTCGCCCTTCCCCACCTACCCCGTCGTTCTTCCGTTCAAAGGCGAGTCCTCCTTCTCAAGCACCATTTGACACCAACTCAACTGTAGTCAGGCACGAACCAGGATGTTGTCAACTTCCGGAAACTCATGACTGGAGGCAAGCACTCTCCCCACCTTCCGAAGTTTGACCCCAACCGCGGAGTGCGCCGTTTCTCTTTTTTGTACTCTCTATAGGTCTGACCGGATACCCCACCATAGGTTCACGGTAGCCAGTCTATTGAGATCTTGAAGCCGCTGCCTGCCGTCAGCGGAGAAGGGTGGAAGGTTAAAAAGCGCCTGGTTGCTGTTTCGGAAAACAGTGCGTTATGTTTCGTTCCTTTGTCTACATATACCGACGGTTTCACAGAGTCGGGCATCATTGTTGAGATAGAATCCACGGTTGTTGATGCCCATGGAACGCCATATGTCAAGCTCTACGTGAGTATCCTTGGCCCTTGGCCCCTCTTCACGCAATTAAATTCGCGCTGCAGAGCGGGTCGTTTAACCTCGGGGCGAAGGCGACTGGCAGTAACTTCTCCAAGCGTATCGCGGGGCCGCCTCAGGGCAAGCCAGTTCCCAAGGACCGCAAGCCCGACTGGGTCGTCCGCGACCAGACCTCTCCCGAGCAAGCGGTCATGTACCGTCTGAGCGGTGACTATAACGAGCTCCACATCAGTACGTTTCGTTCCTTCCATGTTTTCCTCCTCAATCGCATGTTTCGCTCCCGACCTCTGTGCGCGTTCACCCACCACGTACGTCCGTGCTCACTCTCAGCCCGCAGACCCTGCTATCGGAAAAGCCGGCGGCTTTGGCGGCGTCATCCTCCACGGCCTTTCGACCTTCGGCTTCGGCGCACGCGCAATCGTCGAGGCCGTCGGCGGCGGCGACCCCGCGTCCCTCACCCTCTTCGGCGTCCGCTTCACCGCGCCTGTCAAGCCCGGCGACGCGCTCGAGACGTCGATTTGGGACATGGGTCCCGCGCGTGCGCCCGGGCACGAGGGCGAGACCGAGGTCGCCTTTGTCACGAAGAACGCTGCGAGCGGAAAGGTGTGTGGCGGGCGCGCTGCCTTCTTCTTGCTGAAAGCTGACGGGTAGCGTTTCCACAGGTGGCTCTTGGCGCGGGCGTGGCGTACGTTAAGAAAGTGGAGAAGAGCAAGCTGTGATGAGAGCCAGGTTTCTTCCAGCCCAGTACACTCCTTCGTTGTGTTGTGTCGTAGGATTAGGAGTCTATTTGTTCAAGTGCTAGGGCCAAGCAAGACCACGGTTGGATATCGCGCATGCCCAGTGACGTAGAAGTGAGTACCGCGTACTCGCTCACATTCTAAGATATTATTCTCATCATACTTTGCCAGGTGTCTGTGACATGACGAGTATGCAGCGTCTCACGGTCCGATGCGGAGAGACGTGCTAAGGGCGGCTCGGCGCAGTACGCGGTGGGTCTCTCCTGTTGCTCGCCGTCGCCGTTGTACGGTACACACGGGCAGCCGGTGACGTTTATGCGGGGCTGGGGGTGGGTCGCGGACAGATGAGTCGTGCTACGCGCCCGAGCCCTCGCTGCGGCGCGTTGGGGGGCGGAGGATACTACGACCCTCACGGACACGCGTTCATTTCGAGCACATTGAGCTCCTTTCCTTGAGTGGCGAGATTCATGGCCAGAGCATTGCTCAGACGAGGACACGTAAGAGAGCCTATCGACGCGAACAGACTGCCGTAAGTCTACGCACCACCAGCTGAGCACTGAACAGATGCTCTAACTGGAAAATAACATGGCACACCTACATACGACTCGCGCGCCGGGTGTGTCGAGCAGTTCTGACACGCGTCATGATCAAAGATACGGAGGAGCGTGCGTCGAGCTCCAAACCGAGTCGATTCTTGAAACGTTGACCCCTGACTCGCGTGTTTCCCTGTCTTCCTCCTTTTCTCCCATTTTACTCCCTCTCGTATCTCCAATGTCCGTTCTTGACAAGGTCTCCCTCATGGATCCCACTCCTCGTACCATCATCCACGTGCTCACTTCGATATTCTCGAAATATCTTCGTGAACATGACAACATCTCTAAACCATTATTCCAAGGATGTTGGCACCGGCCCTGCGGTGCCAAAATCTATGATCATATTTCTAATGTCCTAGTCATCCACCGGGATGGCGTTGTAGCTGTCACGGGGAAAGCACTACCCGATGGTGTCCACATCCTCATTGCTATGACCTCGAACTCTTTTCAGGAACGCCCCGGGACGGGGTATTCCGTGCATTCCGTAACCCCAAGCAACGAGGAGGTTGACCTCCAGAACCTCTGCTGGTGAGTCGTTGTTCATTTGTCTGTGTCTCCACCAACCTCCGCTGTGTTCAGGAAGGGAAGCTCTGGATCTCCTATCACTATGCGTCGCTATGCCGGTGACCTTCTCCGCGTTCTCACCGACTACATGACCAAGGGGCTGCCTGAGGGCATGGGCGAGCTCTCCATCGGCGGATGGATCACGTCCCGCTGTTACGACGCTGTCGTCCGCCGCATCAAGCTACAAGACACGCATTGGTCAAACCCCCTCTCCCAGACACTGTGCATGTGGAAGCCCACGGATCTCGATGGCAAAATCTTCTCTGGTGTCGACACTGAGATCTGCCTTTCCGACCACGATAAAGATTGGGCGCAAGTCTTGATCGGAGAGATGCTTCCTGAGACCTCGGACTTCACTAGAGCTACTGCCCCCCAATGGATCAAAATACTCGGTCTCCTCGTAGCGTATGCTCGCGAGAAATGCGACGACAAAGGCCCTCTCGACGAACGCTTTTGCGTCATTCAGTGCCTGCGTGTCGTGTTCGTCATCCTCGAATGCAAGGCTGTTGAGCGTGTCTTCCAGCTGCCTTCTCTGTCTGACATGTTTGCCAGAAAGTCGTTTGGTATGTTCTCGTGAATCTTTTGGTTGCGCAGTTGTTGACGCGCTTATATGAAACAGGCGGGCCACCGGAACTTGCGTCGACAACTCCTGCCTCTGCACATGCGCCGTCGACGACTCGGACCACTTCTACGCCTTCTCTCGGAACGTCTTTTCGGCAAGATGGCAGCACTGTCGGAGACGAAGGCGGCGGTGAAGACGATGGATCTGAAAACGACGACGACGACCGCTATGCCTTGGCTCCCGAGCGAGGCGAGGCTGGTGGACATGTCGTGTTCCGGTACCTTCTTATGATCGTCTCCCCTCTCAAAGCATCTCTCACAATCCTGAACACCATCAAACGGCTGCGATCCGTCCCCCGGGTATCTATTCTTGAGCTCGGGAAAGGAGCCGAAACATACACTCAAGAAGACTGTGACCACGTCCTGAAAGCTCTTTGCGCTCACACCGCCAAACACAACGCTCCATCGGAACGACTCGGCGTAGTCACCTCGTGGCTAAGCGATGTTTTCCGTGACAACGTCAAGAATCGCGAGGGCCTCCCGGTGCCTCCGGTCCACGTTGAAGCCGAGCTGATGTCCTTCCTCAACTCCGAGCCGCCGCCCGACAGTCCCCAGGCAGTTCGCGACCTACACGAAGACTTCGTCGTGCGTATGGGTCAGCCGCCCCATCTCCGTCTCTGATCCCGACTTCCTCCACGCCGCTAGCAGGAGAGCTCGCTCACATCATTACCGCTCGGGGTCAGCAGACAGGCGTGCAACGGCTGCACGATGCTGTCCGAGCGCACGCACAAGTTGGACAACATTTACGGCCCTGGTAAGCGCACCTCGTCTCGCGCAATGTGCTCGACACGCATGCGGTGATGCTGACCCCCGCTCGAAGCGGTCTGCCTTTCCGCTTCGCATGGCCAAACCGTCCCCTGGGACCCTCCCGCGCCCGGTGTCCCCGACGACGTCCTCGTCCAAATCGCGGAGGGGCTGCAGAGGAAGGTGGGTGCCATAGCGAGGAAGCACGCGCGAGCGTTGTTGGCCGCGTCCCAGACACCTCCGCTATCAAGCGGTCAGGGGGGCACTTCGGAGGCAGAGCCACTCCTTCAGGCGGACACTGGCAGGGAGACCGTGACGAAGTGGGAGAGAGATGCGTTCACGCGGCTTCGACTCAAACGTCGACTCGCCCGGATGGAAAAAAGGAAGGAAGAGGGCAGAGAGGGCGACGAGGAGAAGGAGGAGGAGGAGGCTGAGGAAGAGGAGGCAAAACTGGGCGGTGCACTCGCACGACTAATGAAAGCGCAGACGTAGTTGGACTGTGCGCTCCACGACGCGCCGGCCGGTTTGTGCTGTGGCTCTCTTTCTCGGCTTTTCGCTACATCACTGTCGGCGGCGTCCCTCGGAAACCCAATGGCGGTTGGAAGACGAGATGGGAAGTTGAAGGATGTGTGCCGTGGCCCGGATGCGCGCTGCAGCGGAGTAAATTGCCACGGGAGACCGATCACACAGACCTGGGCCGGCGCCGGAACGCAAGGCGTAGGGCCCTTCGTGACGAATGTCCCCTCGGCCTTGACCTCATGCTCGGACGCACGCGCAGGGCCCTCGAGAGCGTCACTGACTAGCTGAGCTTGACGGTGAAGCGGACGATGAGGAGCGTGATGGAGACGACATCCAAGCTAGTTTCATAGCGCGGTGGCAAACTGAGAATTTTAACTGACTCGGAAATCCCATCGTTCACCGGCGCTTGTCCCATAGATCCTACCCTTGCCAGGCCTTTCGACTTCTCGCGAATTCGGCGCCAGGGCGATCGTCGAACCTCGACGCGTCGCAACCCCGTCTCCATCACGCTCCACGCCGGCCGCTTCACCGTCAAGTTCAGCGATGCGCTCTGCGCGTGAGTCCGAGCATGAGGGGAGGAGCCGAGGTGGCATTCACCACGAAGTGCGCCGCGAGCGGCAAGGCGCACGATGATTGCGATGCGCTGCGTTCGCTCCGCCAGGTCGCCGACAGGGGCGTACGGCGGACAGGTGGGTCTTCGGCCCTCGCAGTGTTCTTTGGGTACAAGATCTGTATGAATGGTATCGTGGGGTTTAACCAGTACTACGCCTGTCCGCGAACTATGTCCTGAACGTCATGGAACGAAACAGTCCCGTCTGAATATCCCAGCCCCAGCGTCGCGCCATCCCCGGAGAACTCAGCGGCTCTCCGCTCCCGATAGCCCATCGTCCCCTGGATCCGATGCAGAGTCCCGTCATCGACGTGCCACAGCCACATCTTATACCTCCCGTAAGACGACGCCAGCAACACTCCATGTCTGCCGTCGGGGGACAGCACCCCACAGGGGTTGCCCTGGAGGGCGTTTTTGAACGAGACGGAGGCGACCGTGCGCCCGGTCCCGACCTCGAACACCGAGTACGTCGTGCTGACTGCGGTGCCATGCGTATGGAGGACGCGATGGCCGTGGGCCGAGAGATGGAAGAGAAGCTTGCGGCTCGGTTGTGTCGGCTCGATGTCGAGGGTCAATGACACCGGGCCTCCGAGGGAAGAGTCGGTGCCGACGTCGGCGAGCATGACGATGGGGGCGTCGTCCCGAACGACGACCACTTGCTGAACGTGTGGCCGAGCCGGGTCTCTCCGCAGGACGGCTTTGGTGACGGCTTCGAAGCAGAACGGGGTGGGGGCGTCCGGGGAGGGGAACGGAGAATGACAGACCCTGGTGACGAGGTCATGGACGAGGATGCCCCGGTGTCGCGTGCCAAGCTTCGAAGTAACCGTGCAGACGCACAGGACGACGTGGCCGTCGTTGGAGATCTGAATGAACGACGGGATGTACACGGATTCGTTGTCGATGGGGATCGGTAAGATGTGGCTCGGACTGGGAAATGACTGGACGAGGGTAAGAGTGACTGCGTCCCAGACCTCAAGGCTTCCGAACCTTGTCAACATCACCAGCTGCGTCCCGTCCGGCCGCCAGGTGTGATCGACGTGGTGGTGGTGGTCACCAACCTTGATGCGCCCGACCTTGCACACCCTTTGTCCCGCCGCCACCTCGCTTCGTGAAGGGAGAGCGAAGATATCTACTTCGTTGGAGGGGCTAGTGCACGCGCACAGCGCCTCCGTGGGTGCGAACGTCACTGAGAACACGCCAACAATGGATTCATCGCACCACTGCTCGAGTGCCGGCTTTTCTGACTCGGTGTTCCAGATGATGCAGTTGAAGATCCAGCCGGAGGAAGTGCATATGCCAACACTTGCGGCCCACGCTCCCGAGGGGGAGAGATTGAGACTTACCACGTCACGAGTGTGCCCGTACGATCTTTTGACAGGTGGGTCTATGAAAGGTGTCAGCTCAATCCACCACCGCAAAGGAACCAACAGCTAACGGGTGAACGTGCGCAAAACCCGTAGAAGGTTCAATGAATGAAGCGGTAAGAAGGCTTGTTCGACCACACGGGTACACCCTTCCACGTGGTTCTCCTTCACGTCTTCAAGTATGCATGTTGCTCCTATTTTTCGGAGAGGGCCGAGATCTTCTATCAGTCGTGCAGCCGGCTCAGACTCCTGTCTGTTAACGTAATTGAGCTCCTTTTGCGGGGGGCAGATAGCCTCTGGATACACCACTTCGAAGGCCAGCAGCGAACTAGGGAGGCCGCAGCGCAAGAGCATATCGACATTCTTGACGGCGATGATACAGGAGCCCAACGCGGTTGCCCAGCGGTCACATCGGAGAGCAAGATACTGCAATCTCGTCATTTCGGCGACGTCTGTAAGACAATGATGAGAATCGGATTCCACGAGGCCGGAGACAGTGAAGGCATTCTCACTGTGAGATTGGTTGAACGAGTCACAGGGTAGCGTTAGGTGCGTGAGAGTCGTCGAACTGGCCTGATACAATGGCCGTAGTTGCTGTACCATGTATACGTCGTCCATCTGTTATACACGGGTTAACGACCACACGAAGCCGGCCTGCCACACCCACTCACCTTGAGCTCCCGGAGAAATGCGATGCCCCTGTGTGAGCTCAACAGGGCGAGCTCCTCTGCATCACGATCGTGCCTGACAGAGGCCAACCGGAGCACCTGAAGTTTGGGAAAGCAGGCCACGAGTCGATACAGATGCAGAGGAGACGCCAAATGCACCTCCGTGACCTCCAAAGTCTTTATGGACGAGTACTGCCTGAAGCAGGCCATAGAAAAGTGCGAGAACGATCGAAAACCGGGCATACCAAAAGGGTCCCAGAACGCCTCGAGTCTCCAGACTTCCACATGGCGCAGGTACGGCAGGAGGACCACCGGCGCGCTGTTGAACAGAGCGGGGTCTTGCCGTTCGCCGGGGGCGGGCAATAGATGGAGGTGCACTGAGTGGACGAGCCCGCGGAGCTGGGGGGTGCATTCGAGGGCGTGACGGACCGAGGCAAGCTGGTCGATCGTGTTCAGGTACACCTCGCGCCAGATGTTGAGGCGGCTCCGGGGGAGCCACTGCGTGCAGACCCTTGCGCAGACGGCGACGGATTCGAATTCGTGTGCGGCGGCGAGGGCGTCGATGATGTCCTCACATCGCTCGACAGGGAGGGGAGGGGAGGGCATGGCTGCAGTCAACGTCCGGGGGCAAAGTGGACAGCAAAGAGCGTAAGTATCGCGCGGGGTCTGACCGCGCTCAGCGCTACCCGATCGATAAGATCTTTTGCAGTAGACGGCTGATGCATCCAACACAGGTTCCTCTTCAATCACCCTCACCAGCCCTCACCGCACCATCCTTCACTAGCACTGCCTTCCCCCAACCTCCTCCTTTCATCGAAGAAATCCGTCAAAATGCATCTATTCCAGGGGTCTCTATTGGTGTAATACGTCTGGGCGAAGACAAGCAGCCACCGTTACAGTGGATCTCACCCCCGAGGTATGTCGCCAACTTGTGCTCTCCAGAGGGACAAAGTATGTATATGTGCCGGCCTTCAGACACTTTTTGGCATGGAGTAGTACTCGAAGGCGTTTCCGCCTCTGTCGGCATCCTTATGTACGACTTCGCTCGCAGCAAGAACTGCATCCCACTCCCGCCTTCAGTCGCTGCATTCGGCTGGGACACCAAATTCCATGAACTTCTGCCTGAAGGGCTCGGACGGTCGCTACAAGAACCCGACGGGACGTTGGACGGATGGACGACGCACAGGGCCAGTATCCGCGATGTGCTCGGGCACGCCTCGGTTCTCCAGCGGCACGACTTCGCGTACGAACCCGGCAACACAGCGGCAGACATACATAGTTGGGCGGATACGTGTGCTCAGGTCGGCGTATGAGCTGCGCGAGAAGTGGTCGTACAACGACCAGGTGCGTCTCTTCAATTTCTCTATCTGCGCTCCCCTTCCCCGTCGTTCTGGGCCTTTTGCCTGACACTGCCCGCGCAGATGTACATGCTCGGCGTGCAGCTCGTCGCGCAGTACTCTGGCATGTCATACGCCGACTTTCTCTCCACGCGCATCTTTGGCCGGCTCCACATGGACGACACGACCGTCTGGCCGTCCGTCGCCCAGCGGTCCGGCAGTCACGGCTCGCGCACTCGTGGAACAAGGACGGTCGTCGGATTCTTTTCTGGTTCAATTCGAACTCGTCATGTTCAAAGCCGGCGCAGGAGGCGTCATCTCAAGCGCGCGGAGGACATGATTAAGTGGCTGGCGGTGTGGCTGAACAAGGGCGTCGACCCCGTCTCGAACCGGACGCTCTTCCCGGAAGGTGTGTACGAGGCGACGACAACTGCACGGTGGATCGCGAAAGGACAGCCAAGTGCGCCCCTTGGTGCGAGCATCCTCGGATACGGCATGGGCTGGGAGAGGTGGTCGTATGGCAGCGTCGACGTAAGTGTGACGTTCATGCGTTCGTGCGAGGGGTGTTCACGGTATGAATACAGGTTGTTGAGCATGGTGGTGCCATCCCTGGGTTCTCCCTCCTCACTGGGTTCTCTCCCGAAAACAACATCCGTCCCGTGCAACGCGGACGAGAAAGCAGTCGCCACGCGCATGATCTTGAAACGGACGTTTGACGATGTCCTCGGACTGCCTCCGACGAAGCTGATCTACCCTAGGTACGCTTTGCTTTCATATTTTCGCTTTAGGACTGGCTGACATGATAGCATTCAGCGACGAGCCCGTCGCCTTGTCGGACCCATGCCCCGAAGAATATGTCCACCGCCCCTCCGTCGCTCAGCATCGCGCGCTATGCCGGCTTGTGCGCCTCCCCCGGCTACGCGCCCATCGCACTCTGCAACGCCTAGTCTATCTCCGCCTACTGCAAGGACGTCCTCTCGGACTTCCTTTTGCTCGGAAGGCTGCCTTCCCGCCTTCCGAAGCGTGTGGGCGACGCACGTGCGGATGGAGCACGCAGACGGCGACGCTTTCGACACGACGTTCACCACCATCCTCCCGGCGGGCTACGGGCGCAACACCAGGGCGTTCGAGTTCTCCGAGACGGGCGAATCCGGTGGGCCGGCGGAGTTCAACGTCCGGGATGGAGAGGTGGTCGGGTTTTCGCTCGTCACGGACTGGGCGGCGGTGGAGAGGCGATTTGGCGAGGGCGCGGGCGCGAGGGAAGTGGCGGATGCGTTGTTTGAAAAAGTTGACTAGTATTTGGTAAGTAAGGTGACACGTGTGTATGCGGCGAGACACATAGTACAATGGCCGTTACGAGCTCAAGAAGTGTCATTCAATTGTCGCCCCTTCTCGCCCCCATCTACATGAATCCCCGCGCCGCATACATCCACTGTTCCATACTCGTTCACCGCTTGGCCCATAGATCCTACCCCTGCCAGGCCTTTCGCGTCGGCGCCCCGGGCAATCTTCGAGGCAACCCAGACACCCGCCCCTCGTCTTCCGCTCCTCGTTTTCCGCTCCACCGTCATGCTCAGCGACACGCACAGGCCCTGCGCGTGCGTTCGAGCACGAGGGCGAGACGGAGGTGGTGTTCGCCGCGAAGTGCACCGCAGAGATACATCCAGTGTATGGATGGTATCGTGGGGTTTAACCAGTACTACGCCTGTCCGCGAACTATGTCCTGAACGTCATGGAACGAAACAGTCCCGTCCGAATACCCCAGCCCCAGTGTCGCGCCATCCCCGGAGAATTCAGCGGCTGTCCACTCCCGGCAGCCCATCGTGCCCTGGATCCGATGCAGAGTCCCGTCATCGACGTGCCACAGCCACATCTTATGCCTCCCGTAAGACAACGCCAGTAACACCCCATGTTTGCCGTCCGGGGACAGCACCCCGTGGCGGTTTCCCTGGAGGGCGTTTTTGAACGAGACGGAGGCGACCGGGCGCCCGGTCCCGACGTCGAACACCGAGTATGTCGTGCTGACTGCGGTGCCGTGCGTATGGAGGACGCGGTGGCCGTTGGCCGAGACGTGGAAGAGGAGCCCGCGGTGTGGTTGTGTCGGCCCGGTGTCGAGGGTCAATGAAAGAGGGGGTCTCGGGCCGCTGAGGGACGAGCCGGTCGCGGCGTCGGCGAGCATGATGAGGGGGGAGTTGCCTGGCAGAAAGACCACGACTTGATGAACGTGTGGACGAGCCGGGTCTCTCCGCAGGACGGCTTGGGTGACGGGTTCGAAGCAGAACGGGGTGGGGGCGTCTGGGGAGGGGAACGGAGAATGGCAGACCCCGGTGACGAGGTCGTGGACGAGGATGCACCGGTGTCGTGTGCCAGCCTTCGAAGAAAACGTGTAGGCGCGTAGGACGAAGCGGGCGTCGTTGGAGATCCGAATGAACGACTTGTTGTACACGGCGTGGTTCACCTGAGGGGCGATATGGCTCGGACTGGGAAACGACTGGACGAGGGTGAGGGTGATTGCGTCCCAGACCTCAAGGCTCCCGGACCTCGTCAACACCACCAGCTGTGTCCCGTCCGGCCGCCAGGCGTGATGAATGTGGGGGTCGTCGTCATCAACCTTGATGCACCCGACCTTGCGCACTGCTTGTCCCGCCGCCACCTCGCTTCTTGTAGGGAGCCTGAAGATATCTACTCCGCTGGAGGGGCTCGTGCACGCGCACAGCGCCTCCGTAGGTGCGAACGTCACCGAGAACACGTTAACACTGGAGTTGTCGTACCACTGCTCGAGTGCCGGCTTTTCTGACTCGGTGTTCCAGATCATGCAGTTGAAGCTCCAGCCGGAGGGATTGCGTTCGCCAACGCTTGCGTCCCACGCTCCCGAGGTGGAGAGAACAAGTCTTCCCACCTGACCAACGTACCCGTACAACCTTTTGACAGGCGGGTCTATAAAACGTATTAGCTCAACCCACCGCCGTAGAGAAGCTAAAGGCTGACGGGTGAACATGCGGACAACCCGTAGAATGTTCAATGAATGAAGAGGTAAGAAGGCTTGTTGGACCACATTGGTGCACCATTCCACATGGTTCTCCTTCACGTCTTCAAGTATGCATGTTGCTCCCATTGTTCGGAGACGGCCGAGATCCTTTACCAGCCGTGCAGACTTGGGTCTGTTAACGCCATCGAGCTCCTTTTGTGGGGGGCAGAAAGCCTCTGGATACACAACTTCGAACGCAAGCAGGGACCTAGGGAGGCCGTGGAGCAAGAACATATTGATATCCTCGACTGCAGTGATACAGGAGCTCAACACGGTCTTCCGACGGTCACATCGGAGAGATAGATACCGTAATCTAGTCATTTCGCCGACGTCTGTCAGATGATTATGATGAGAATAGGATTCGATGAGGCCGGAAACAGTGAAGGCACCCTCACCGTGAGATTGGAAAGAGCCACAGGGTAGCGTCAGGTGGGTGAGAGTCGTCGAGCTGGTCTGATACAATGGCCGTAGTTGTTCTCTCACGTACAGATACCCCATCTGATACGGGTCAACAACAACATAAGGCCGGACTGCCACGCCCACTCACCATGAGTTCCTGGAGAGACGCGATATTCATGCGCGAACTCAGCAGGGCGAGGTCGTCTGCGTTCTTTTCGAACGTGACGGAGGCCAACCGGAGCGCCCGGAGTTTGGGAAAGCAAGCCACGAGTCGATACAGATGCAGAGGCGTCGCCAATTGCACCTCCTTGATCTCCAGGGTCTTTATGGACGAGTACTGCCTGAAGCAGGCCATAGAGAAGCGCGAGAACGATCGAAAACCGGGCACACTGGACTTGGCCCAGAACGCCTCGAATCGCCAGACTTCCACGCACGGCAGGTACGGCAAGAGGATCACCGGCGCGCTGTTGAATAGGGCGGGGTTTTGCCGTTGGCCGCGCAATAGATGGAGGCGGACTGAGTGGACGATCCCGCGAAGCTGGGGTGTGTGTTCGAGGGCGTGACGGACCGAGGCCCCGAGCTGGTCGATCGTGTTCAGGTACAGCTCGCGCCAGATGTTGAGGCGGCTCCGGGCGAGCCACTGCGTGCAGACCCTTGCGCAGACGGCGACCGATTCGAATTTGTGTGCAGCGGCGAGGGCGTCGATGATATCCTCCATCGCTTGACAGGGAGGGGAGGGGAGGGCATGGCTGCAGTCAGCGTCCGGGGGGCAAACGTCGTCAGCAAAGAGCAATCGCGCGGGGTCTGACCGCGCTCAGCGCTTTCCGATCGATAAGGATCTTTTGCGGGTCCGCTACTGAACTTAGTCGACGACGATCTTGATGCCGTACGTCATCTTCATCACACGCGCGGAGGCGAAGTGTGGAGGAAAAAGCAGACAGCACTAGTCGCGACGGAGTCGTTCCCGCGTGCTAGACGTGTGGGTCTGTGTAAGTGAGGGGGTCGGGACGGGAGGGACGAGGTGCATGCACGTATATGAGTCCGGGCGGTAGAGCGTAATACCGAGGGCTTCGAGGCGGCGCTTGAGTGAGGAGTAGAGCCACGGGCTCGCGGCGAAACCGCCGACGAGGAAGACCGTCTACAGTACTTGGTCAGTTCAGGAAGCGCGTGGATAGCGTACAGTGAGTGGTTGCGTCGCATTTTGGAGCTGTTTTTGGATTTTCGAAATGGTCGCGTCCAGGGACGATTGAATGCAAGACAGTATGTTCTCCCTGAATCACAGCGTGCCATCGGCACTGAACAGACAACGCAAAAAATACAGAACAGTGGACCCAGTGAGCACGAGTTGCCCACGTCTGATATTGAACTTCGGGTCGTTACAGTGCATAGACCCAAATTTGATGTATGACGAGACTCCTTCTCGTCCTTCAAGAAGACTGGCTTCGTCACCTTGTCAAAGTATCCGAGCATTGACTTGATATTTCCGTCGTTGCAAAATGCCGAGTCCTTCAGGAGTCCTAGGGAGTACGCATGGGAATGATAGCTGCGTATAAATTCACCTTTGAGGTGTGCCTCCGCACGCGTTGACGCGGGTCGATCCTTGGAATGAACATGCAAGTCCTTCCCAGTGATACTCAAAGCTGCTGAACCCCCTATTTTTTATCGGAGTACCGATCGCGCGCCGCATAAAACATCACACATACAGTGGACCGAAAGCGAGCCGTCCTCGTACGCTAGCGCCAGCGTCCCCCCATCCGCCGAGAACGCAGCCTCGACCCACCCACGGCGTCCCCTCGCGTCCCAGACCCGCCTGAACCCCGCCCCCTCATCCGCGACTCAGACCCACATCCGCGACCCGACACCGGGTCGGGTCGAAAACGCGCCGCGCGCGCCGTCCGGAGCGAGCGCCCCCCGGACGTCCACCGGCCGGTGTAGGAGTCCCGCGCTCGCGGGCACTCTGAAGCACGTGCGTGCGCGACAGAACGCGGTCACGTGTCGTCCGAGCGGCCAGAAGTCACCGAGCACACTTGGTGAAGAAGTAGTACCTGCACATGTATAAAAGTAGTACGCACACACGAAGAATGTCAGTTCCTCTCCCCCACACTCACTCGGTTTCTGTCGTGTCCGCTGCTCGTTCTCCCCCGCGCATCCGTCTTATCCGTGCCCGTGTAACCGTCGTATCCGTCGTATCCGTCTTTCCGTTTATCCGTCGTATCAGCCAACGCGCGTCCGTCGCGCTCAGACTAGTCGCGTTCAACGCGAACATTTCTACAAGGTCTGAAGACTACGCGAAGGAATCCCCACAATTGGTGACCACCGCAGGGGGGCTACCTCGTCTCTCTCGTCCCCGTCCGGACTCGTTCTACTCCAACACTTAGTCAACATGCCTTTGGCGAGCTCAAGCGGCAACCCTTCAGTCGAACGGGGAACATTCGCGCCTGCAAATACCAGGCCCACAACATGGGCGAGCGCGGTAAGACCAAACTTGAACATCCCGACGGCCCCGGGCCGACGATCGTCACGACTCGCCGCCAAACCAACTCCACCGCTGCCATTACCGCCGAACAGCCGAGGCGCACCACAGCGATTGAGCACACGTCCGGAGAACCGAACGAATCAAGCACGCGCGGAGGATACTTCAACTGCTCGCCAGAGAGTGTTGCGCGCATCGACTCCTCTCTCTCCTCCCCCGCTATCGCCCTTAACCCGTTCGCCAACTTCCCCATCACCGACTCGAACTCGTACGCCACCTCCGCTACGCACGCAACCAAGCATGTCTACACCTGCGACAAAGATGCCCCCGCCCCGCGCCAAAACCGCCCCCCGGTTCAAAGGCCGCAATGTCAAGGACTTCCTTTTCGAGCTGGAAACCATCGCAGAAAGTGTCGGTGCGAAGCGCGAAGACCTCCCCAAGTGTGTACTCTCGTACTGTGAGTCGGACATCCGCAACCGTCTTGCCGGCGAGCCCGCCTTCAAGGGGACCAACTGGGCAGCGGCCAAAGCCCTCCTGTTCTCTATCTTCCGTTTCCGCGACTCTGCCACGCGGTACCCACCTCAACGTCTCCGGTCGTTCGCAGCCAAGAGCCGGAAGAGTCAAACCGTCGACTCGGAAGAAGCCCTCAGCGAATACCGCCTCTCGTTCATGAAGTACAGCGGGACATTGGTCGAAGAGAGTCTCCTCGAGCAGAAAGAGCACGACTACCTGTTCTTCATCGGCCTTCCAGACTCGCTCCGCAGCTCGATCGGGTCAACGCTGAAGTCAGTCGTCCTCACTCGCTCTGGCCAGAAGTTCGAGCCCTGGACGAACCCTGCCTCCGTCTCTGAGGTCTGCGCGGCGGTCTCAGAGCACTACGAGTCTTGCAGGATCGACACGTACCGACGCCGCCGCAAGCGCGCTGCTGTGTCCGACTCCGAAAGCGACAGCTCGGACAGTGCGACAGACTCTTCGGACTCAGAGGATGCGCCTTACTCGTCTGGAGACGATGTGGCTTCACCCCCGAAACGCAAAGGCAAGAAGAAGACGCGCCGTGACAGGCTCTCATCTCACTCTGACTCCGAGGTTCGCTCCACGCGGCGCGGCCACAAGTCCACGCGTAGGGAAGTGAAGGCGCTCCGTCTTCAGCTCGAGCTACTCAAGAAGCAGACTTCCGCGCCGACGCACTCAGACCCGGGCCCTCTCGCGCCTCTCGCAGGCCCTTCTAGCGTGTATGCAGGGGTGCACGGCACCGGGAACGCTCCCAACCCATTCGCCGCCGGCTTACCTGCAGGGTACCCCACCGCGTACGCCGCTCAGCCCAATGGCCCCAACGCCGGTCCTCCTGGTCAACGAGTGTGTTACATGTGTGGCGGTGTCGAGAACAACGGACTCACCCACCCACTTGGCATGCGGAACTGTCCGGAGACGACTGCACTCATACAGGAACGCGTCCTGCAGTACCACCCTGTTACCGGTATGCTGGAGCGGACGGACAAGGGCTACCTCCCACGCTTCAACCAACTGCCCCAGGGTCTCGCCGCGTGGATGCGGTCACAGAGCGGTAACGCGCAAGTCCTCGGAGCTACCGCGCGCGCCACCGGTCTCTACCTAGACGATGAGCCTGCGTTTCCGTATACAGGCTCCTACGCGTTCCCCGCTGCCGCGTCATCCTTCCCGGTCACCACCCGTTCGAAGGCAAAGGCGGCAACTTCGCCCTCCAAGACGGTCCGTTTCGAGCCTACGACACTTCCCACTCTCCCTGTTGCTACCCCTGCGTTCCCCCCTTCTGCGCCACCCCCACACTTTCGTAATACGGAGGAAGGTTTCATGCAGGAGTACCGTCTGAAGAAGCACCCTGCGACGGTCGAGGAAGTGCCAGATGCTGACGCGCCTCGGCACCATACCTTCACACGCACGACCTCAAAGCCGTTCAAGTTCACTTCGGAGGTTCAGCAGAGCGTCGTAGTCGATGACGTCCACGATCGACTCCTCGACTCCCCCGTTACCATGACGCTTCGAGAGGCTCTGGCGCTAGCCCCCAGCCTACAGAAGAAGGTTGCCGCGCTTGTCAAACCCCGTCGGGACTTCTCTGGATCTGACGTGCCCGCGACTGCTTCGGCCTTCGCCACGGACACCACTCCTGCGTCGTTCATCGAGGAAGTCCCTGTTACGTCTGAGGGCTTTATTCCAGCTGGAATACGACCTAGGCGCCTTGTGGTTACAGTGGCGATGCTCAGAGCGCTTGCGTGCTATCGAGCGAGTGCGAGCGACAACGAGTGAGATTGCGCGTAGTCAAGGTAGACGTAGTAGTACAAGAGGAGATTCAAGTCTGGGGAGGGAGCGCTCTGGGGCGTCGTCCTTATATACAGGGGCGAGAGTGGGGAGTCATATTATCTACGAGTCATCACCAGTCCGCATGACACAGCCCTAGTCGTAGCGACTCGTCGTGACTAGGTACCGCAGGAGGAGTCAGGGCGAGTATACGATGAGTAGCGATGAGTATGTATGAGTCAGGAGATACAGCATGGGTATGTAAGAGTTCTGCATATAGGGAGAGCGGGGGTTATGGATGGAAATTAAATGGGGGCAGCGTACGAGTATCCGTGATCGTAACATTAGCTCCCTCTCCCAGGGAGGGTTGTCCCGACCTTCTACGTGGTGGTCGGCGGTGTCACGTCCGCGGGGGCGTGCCCGATGCCGACGGCTGTGAGGTCCGAGGCGATTTGAATCGACACTCGATCGACGTACTCCTGGATCGGGAGGTGAGTCCCCTCGTAGTTCCGGAGTATGGTGATGATGGGTTGGTCGAACTTCTCGCGGTAAGCGTTCCACCGTTGAGTGTCGACGATCCGGTTCTCGACGACTTCGTCACATGGAGCGTCGACGTGCTGAGCGATGGCCTCGGCGACCAGGAGGTGTAGGTCGTGCCGAATCTTCGTGTGAACTTGGGGAAAACCGATCTCATAAAGACGTGCGGGAGTGAACAGCTCCGGCCAGGAGTCCACACGCACGCCGAGGTAGTGATTGACGCCGACATGGGCTGTGATGACATACCGGCCCGCTCCTGCTTGGACGCGCCATCGCGGCGTACGTGGAGGTGGGTGAACAAGGACGAGTTCATCGTCATGGAAGTCGAGGATTTCGGCCTCTAGTTCGGCGAAGATGTCGTCCAGGGCATCGTGGTGGCGTGGGCTCGGGGACTCGTCGGGTCCGGTGAGGGTGAGGCGTGAGGAGCTTGCGAGGGTTCCGGGAGGGAGGTTGAGGACTCTGAACTGAACTCCGGGTTCCGCGTTCGCGGTCTGCGCTCGGACCCAGTTGCGGTGGACCATGAGGAGAGACTGGGCTGCGAGGAGGTCGGTGGTGGTGACCGGGGGTTGGTTTTCTTTGTCGGAGTCGTCTTCTTGCGTGTAGGGAGGAGGCTGCGGCGTGGAGGTGTCTTGGGCGCGTGTTACAGCGGCGGGGAGGTCGAGTACCGGCATGAGGGGTGGGAGGTCGTCCGTGGTGCCCGTGTTCGCCGGAGTGAGGGCGTTCCAGGCGGCCTGGTTGCGAACTCGTTCTTCGGGAGCGGGCTCACTGGGGGATCCCCATTCTACGATGTCGGACGGGATATTTCCCCAGGGGGGAAGGTGCTGCTGGTTGGTGGGGAGTAAGTCGTCGAGGGCGGCCGCGACCTCGATGCTGGTGAGCTGGTCGAGTGCGACGTCGGCGGCTCGCGCGATGAGGGCCCGAAGGGTCAGCGAGGCCTCCTTGGCGACGGCCTTCTGGCTGGCAGGGGCTCCAGCGCGTTGCACGAAGTGGTCGACCGTCTTCCAGACGTCGAACGCCTCGGTCGCGATGCGGTATTCGTTGACGAGGGGCTCGGTGTGGGGGATATGTTGGGTGCGGTAGCGGACGTGTCCGTGGAGGTCGGAGTGCGCGACGGTCCACCGATGCGGTCTCCGAGGGTTCCGCGACTCTCGTTAGTGCGATAGAGAGTCGGAAGGTGGTCGTAGTTGACCTGGGGGCGGTTATTGATGAAGTCGGGTGTGTCGTGGATGTCCGGCGTAGTGAGGCGGATGGGATAGAGGCGGGGAGCGCGACGAGGAGTAGAGCGGTGGTGGCGAGGCATCTTGAGAAGCGCATTCGAGGTGGAGTGGGATGAGGGTCAGAGGAGCTTGTGTCTCTTCTTATATACCCTCAGGATATCGGGCGCGTTCTTCAAATGGTGCTCGGGTTCCCATGAGTTTTCTGCTGACTCCCAGCCCTTCCACGTCACCAGGTATTCCAATTTGTCTCGTTTGCGTCCTCTCATTCGGTGGTTAAGAATAGCTTCCACTTCATGCTCCTCTTCGCCGTCTATGACGTCAGGAGGTGGACGTGGCATGTCCGGGCCATGTGCTTTGGTGACTCGATATGGAGTCAGGAGCGCGGCATGGAAGACTGGATGAATCTTCCAAGTGCGTGGTAGGTTTAATTTGAACGTTACAGGTCCCATGACTTCGGTGATAACAAAGGGTCCTTCTCGTTTGGGTGCCAGTTTCCTGTGTGGGTACGGGAGGCGGAGGTTGGTTGATTCTAGAAGGACCTTATCTCCTTTCTTGAATGAGACGAGCTGTCCTGGTGATCTCCGTGCCATTGCCGCGGCTGCGTGATTATGGGCTGCAATTGTATTTTCTTGGTCAGCTCGGAGGGCGGAGAGCCGTTCCTCCGTGCTGGGTATTTCGGGTTCTTGCGTGGGAGTTTGACTAGTTGTGGTTGATAACCATAGAGTAGTTCAAACGGCGATTTCTTTGTTACGAATGTGTTCGTTGATTATGCGCGTATTCGAATTCCTTGAGGTGATCTGCCCATTCGTTTGGGTTATTGCCGCAATAGAGGCGTAGAGCGAGGTCCAGTTCTTGGTTTACTCGTTCTGTTTGACCATCGGTTTGCGGGTGATACGCCGTGCTCAACGCAGTTTCCATTCCCATTAGTTGGTGGAGTTCCCTGAACGCTCCTGCTGCGAATTGAGGGCCTCGATCGGAGATGATTTTAGAGGGGATTCCGAATCGGCTGAAGACTTGGTCCCATAGTAGCTTTGCTGCTCCTTCTGCTGTGATATTCTTTGTGCATGGCGTGAAGATGGCCATCTTTGTAACGTCGTGGTCAACGACTACTTGGACTGCATTGTATCCGTTTGATTCTGGTAGTCTGTGATGTAGTCGGTGGTTATGACGTTAAACGGCCTAGTGTTCCCGCTATGTGGGATCGGAAATAATCCTGTCTTAGTTGGATGCGTGTTGACTTTGGTGGTTTGGCATTTTGCGCATCCTTTACATATTCGGTATGAAGTTACGCATTCCGTCCCATATATAGTCTCTTTTGACTAGTTCGAAAGTCTTCTGAATCCCTGGGTGGCCCATTACGGCTGGTTCATGATAGTTTTTGACAATGTTGCGATAGAGGTTTTCGTCGGGTGGTACGTAGATACGTTCTTTGAATAGCAGCAGTCCTTCTTCTTCCTTCCAATCGCTCAGCTTGCCCCAGGCGGTCGTGGTTTATCAGTTGCTTTTGTTGTCAGGAACTGTACTAGATCCGGGTTGCGGGCTTTGTTGTTTCGGATTTGTTGGGAGATGTCGATTTGGACAGAGTTGAGTGAGAAATTTGTTCCGGTAGCATGACCATGTCCTTGTTATCATTCTCCCCCTGTTCATGATCTGTTCTCCTGGACAGAGCGTCGGCTTGCGCAATTGTTTTTCCAGGGTGATGTTTCAACATAAAGTTGAACTCGTTCATGTAGTGGTGCCATCTTGCTTGTCTTGGGTTTAAGCGTTGCACGGAGCGGAAGTACGTTAGGTTCTGGTGGTCTGTGATGACTTCTACTGGGTGTGGAGATCCTTGCAATAAATGTCGCCATTCCTTGAATGCTCGAATGATTGCGAGTAATTCTCTGTCGTAGATTTGATAGTTTCGTTCTGCTTCTGTGAACGACTTTGATAGATATGCGCATGGGTGCCATATTCCGTCGTTCCTTTTTGGCGTAGTACCGCCCCTGTCGCTACTTTGGACGCATCGCATTCTACTTGGAATGGTTCGTAGGGATCCGGCATTTTGAGGATTGGTCCAGTTGTGAACCGCTGCTTCAATTCTTGAAACGCTGCTTCACAGTCTTCGTTCCATTTGAACGGAGTGTCTTTTCGCGTCAGTGATGTCAATGGTTTGACCACCTTTGAGTAGTCCTTGATGAATCGTCTGTAGAAATTTCCGAATCCTAGGAAGGCCTGTACTTCCTTCAGTTTGGTTGGTTGTTTCCATTCCAGTACTGCTTTGATTTTTACTGGATCCATGGCTATTTCGTCGGGGCGAATGATCGATCCGAGGAATTCTACTTCTTGTTTATCAAATTCGCATTTGGATGGTTTCAAGTAGAAGTCTAGCTCTTGAATTCTCTTGAGAACTTTTAGTGTTCTTTTGTGGTGTTCTTCTAAGTTGTTGGAGAAGATTAGAATATCGTCGATGTAGATAACCATCCATCCTTCGCGAATGAGGTCCTCGAAGTTTTGATTCATCATGCTTTGAAAGGTCGCTGGGGCGTTGCATAGTCCAAAAAACATTACTGTGGGTTCATATAGTCCTTTGGGGGTTATAAACGCGGCTTTCCATTCATCTCCTTTTTTGATTCGAATATTGTTTATCCGGCTCGTACGTCCAACTTGGTGAAGTATTTGGCTCCTTTGAGCTTATCCATCAGGTCGCTGATTAGTGGGAGGGGTACGCATTTCGAATTGTTCCTTCGTTGAGGGCCCTGTAATCTTGGACTGGTCGTAGTGTCCCGTCTTTTTTTGGAATGTAGAAAAATGGTGAAGCGAATGGGGATTTTGATTTCTTGATGTACCCCTTTCTCATGTTTTCTTCAATGAATTTTTCTAATTCAGCTTGCTCCGTGAGGGTGAGGGGATAGATCTTGTTCCATCTCTTGTCCTTGTGAAAATCGAAGCCTGGTTTTAGGTCGATTGCATGGTCCCATGGTTTGGATTCTGGAAATCGTTCTGCGGCCTTCTTTTCAAATATCTTGCGGTATCCTTTCACGAAGTCTGGTAGGATTTCGTCTAACGGTACTTCGGGTTTTAGTTTATTTGCTTCGATGGCGATTTCCGCTGACTTGTAGCTCGTCGGATTTTGCTGGTTTCAAACCATTCTGTGAAGACTTTGGAGGGGTTGTGTGTCAGTTTATCGTCGTCTATATCCGTTTCGAAGTATGCCAGTAATAGTTCTTGATCGTCCGCTCTGAGTGGGTACCCCCACAGGGTTCCTTCTGGGGG